GAGACATTACGGGACTGCGCTCCGGCCTGTCTCTGAGATCAAGAGCCAACTCGCTGCGCCGCCACCGACTATCTGCTTACTTGAAACTTTTGATAACAGCGTCTTCACATTGCTTTACATAAAAGTTTGCCTTTGCCAAAGGACGTGCTTAGGAAGCGAGTAGCGAAGAGGAATAAAGTGCTAATTTCGACAAAAAGTCTCGGCACCGACGCCGAATAGGGAATAAGGCCCGCGACCAGTATCCTCGCGCCATCAAGCCTTTCTTGACTATACAAAATCCCATGTGAATCAAGGGTTGTGCACTCAAGGCATCAAATGGCATGGGCATCAAATGGCATGGGGTTGACGGCCTGTGAGCTCAGGACCTGCGCTGATCGCGGCTTTCAAGCAAAAACAAACAAATTGCTCAGATGAGCGGTAAGTTGGCAACGACAAGGGCGTCTGTGCCCGGGTGCTTATAATTCTATAGACCCATTCAATGAGGAAATCATTTAAACCGGGTTTCTTGAAAGGTATGCCATAAATTGCGATTTCTAGTATTATTCAACAGCTGTGATCATGGACCTATCTAGTAGCTAGGTAGTGTAAGTTGCCAAGTTCTCTCAACTATATGCGTTGAGCATTACGGAGTGAATGTCGGATATTGCCTCTATAGGTAGGTAGGTCTAGCGTACTCCCGGCTATCGCTCGAGATATATGGATAGTGATTCCCGCTTGGTCATGCAGATGTGATATTGTCCGATAAATAAGGTGAACCCACATCCAACACGGGCCAACTGTACGTGTATCTTAATCACACTTCACTCTGACCAGAGCTTAGACTTGCACATACACGTGCGCAAATGATGTAGTTATTTTGTATTTCACAGCTCATGGCCGATACAGCTCCATTTCATAATAGAAGAAAAGGATTTCTCAATCTCTTGAACAAAACAAAACACTCTTTACTTGACTTGAGAATAGGCAACTTGAAAAGACTGTAAATTCAATCCTAAAGCAACCGGATCTCACACCTGGCATAGCGTTCTTATCACAAAGGAAAACGCCATAGATAAGGGCACGTGACTTTGCTCTCGCTGATTCGGTTCATGCGGAGCTGCGGCTGCACGTGATTTTCCTTTCCGGCCTCTCGACGCAGTTTGTCATCGCCAAAGGCACATCGTCAACTCCAAAGCGGCCCCGAATTTTCCACTCTCGATATCGACAGCCACTATTCTTCCGCACAGGTATTAGTTGCATCTTATCTAGTGGTACCATCTCAGTATTGCGCTCGCTCGTTATTTTTTTCATATTTGTGAGTCGCCCTGGCGGACGTGGCCCCTCCATTTTGCAGTGGGACCCTCACCAATTCCCGCTTCCGTTCGCGTGTCCTGACTTTGAAAGACATTGACTGACATCTCCCTGTGCAGTCGCCTTTCAGCTCGCAGCAAACCGTTTGCACTTGTTATATCCAAAACCTCAGGATTTTTTTTCTCGCCCGCCCCCTCTTGTCTCGCCGTTTTCTCAACTCTCCTTGTTCCGATCAGAGCTTTACGCCACCCCCGAACCCCGCGGTTTGCTACTCCTCACCTCGGCCAGCTAACGACGTAACCTCGCCTCCGGAATTCCATCGAGCTCAGCTACCCATGGACAATTGACGTCGGTTCCGGCTTCACAACCACTCGACTGCACCGGCTCTCACCATTGCATCTGCTGGGGCTCCCTTCTCGCCGAACCCATGCGCAAACGCGATATCCGTCCTGCGTCCCTCGTTTCGAACAGCGCGTCTAGCGGAAACATTTCTTCTATCCTCCCCCCGACCCGGGCTCTTCTCCGATCCCTCCTCCACGCATACTAGACAACAAATGACATCTGCTCCCGACTGGCTTGCCACGACAGACTCGCCAACCCCCTTCCTCGACCGACATCTCTATAGTCCGGCCTAGGCCTTGCTCAGAACCGCCCGTCGGCGCGGTCCTGAAACGCCGCGGCTCCAGAGCCGACATCTAAAGCGTCAAACACAACCTCTGCGGCATGTACTCACAAAGCCACCAGCAGGGACACAATGCCCGGCTGAATGGGGCGGGGCGGGGAATGCCCAACATGTTGTACAATTTCCAGCAGCACACGCAACATCAGCACCCCTCCCAGCCCCAGCATCACCAAGGGCTACAGCACGACCATATCATCCCCAGTGCCAATGGGCTGGGCCACCACTCCTCCTTTGCTTCCGGAATCCTCTCCAGCTCGGCCTCGTTCAACTCCGCCGCCCTCTCCAACGGGCACGCGACCAATGCGAGGGCAGGGCAGGCTCCGCAAAATGAAATGTGGCAAGAACAATTGCGGCTTCACAAGGAGGCGGAGAGGGCACATGCTGCAATGACTGAGCAGCAGCAGCCTCACTACTATGCCAGACTTAAGGCATCAGAAAACAGAGGCATTGGTGGCCCTCCTCCCTCCAACGGCAAGACCCAGGCAGACAGCGAGAACGACCCGGCAGATATGAGAAGGCCGTTGAACGTGGAAAAGGGAACGAATCGCCAAGACTGGCACAACATGGACATGAGTGGCCAGGGACTGAGAAATCTTGCTTCAGAGCTCTTCCGGTATCATTTCCTCAACGAACTCTACATCGCCTCCAACAAGCTTACTCGCCTCCCCAATGCTATTGGAGAGCTTCGCCAACTCCGACACCTCGATGCTTCCTTCAACCAAATCAGCGAACTTCCCCCGGAATTGGGCATGTGCACCTACCTGAAGCAGCTGCTCCTTTTCAATAACAACCTCCAAGAGCTGCCCTTTGAGCTGGGCTCTCTTCATCAACTGGAAATGCTAGGCATCGAAGGCAATCCGTTAGAACCCAGCATAAAGCAGGAAATTATCGAAAAGGGCACCAAGAGCCTTATCAATGCCCTAATGGAAGGAGCTCCAAGTATGTCACCACCAACCATCACAACCCCCCAGTTTACATCGTATCAATTGCTGACCTCTCTCCCCTCTTTCCAGTTCCTCTGCCCCCCACCCCGCGAAAAGAAATCATCATTCAGGAGGACGTGCCCGAATCCCTAGAACGTATCAGGGTCTTTTCATGGAATATTCTCTGCGACAAGTATGCAACAACGCAAACGTATGGATACACGCCCACCGGAGCTTTGAGCTGGGAGTATCGCAAGAACTGCATCCTGGAAGAGCTGCGGATACGGGACGCCGACTTTCTGGCTCTGCAAGAAGTCTCCACCGACGCCTTCAAGGAGGATCTCAGCCCCGAATTGGCCCAGATGGATTACAAGGGAGTGCACTGGCCCAAGTCAAGAGCCAAGACAATGTCTGAAAAGGATGCACAAACTGTTGATGGTTGCGCCGTCTTCTACAAGCAGAGCAAGTTCATCCTACTCGACAAGCAGTTGATTGAATTCGCTACAATTGCCATTAACCGACCCGACATGAAGAACCAGCATGACGTCTTTAACCGCGTGATGCCGAAGGACAATATTGCTGTTATTTGCTTCTTTGAGTCGCGACTGACTGGTGCTCGCATCATCTTGGTCAACGCGCATCTGACATGGGACTCGGCGCTGGCAGATGTCAAGCTGATCCAAACGGGTATTCTCATGGAGCATGTAACCAAGTTGGCAGAGAAATATGCAAGGTGGCCTGCTGTCAAGGACAAGAAGATGATTACGTTACCGAGATCCGACGATGGCGACGACCCTCCGCCGCCGCCGCAAGCCGAACCAGGCCCCAGCCAAGAATACCGATCCAACACTGACATTCCACTTTTGGTCTGCGGTGACTTCAACTCAACGAAGGATTCTTCTGTGTGGGAACTGATGTGCCTGGGTCGCGTGCCGCCAGACCATTCCGAGCTGAACAACTTCCACTATGGCAGCTTCACTCGCGACGGTATCGAACATCCCTTTAGCTTACGGGACTCGTATGCACCCATTCAAAACACCCCGGATGAGCTGCCCTTTACCAACTACACTCCCGGTTTCGCAGACGTCATTGACTACATTTGGTATTCGGCCAACACCTTGGAGGTTGTCGAACTGCTTGGACCTCCCGACCCGACGTATATGAAACGAATCCCAGCGTTCCCCAACTGGCATTTCCCAGCTGATCACATTCAGATCATGTCTGAGTTTGTCATCAAGAGCCGAAAAGACAAGAAACAAGTGTCAGAATAATTTCTCATTTTCCTCTCCTCTTTTATTTCGTCCCCTTTTTGGTTGGCAGGGTGGGTGGTGTCGCGTGGATAGAAGGATACAAAGGGTAGGACGAAACCGCTAGTGATTGAACGAATGGAAGCCTCTTATGCCTCAAATCTGGATGTAGTTTTGGGTTTTGTAAATGGAGTCTACGGAATCATTTTCTTCACCTCTACCTATCTGTCTCTTCCCCTCATTTTCTTAATTTTCTTGTTTCGCGTGGAGTGAAAGCGGCGGTGACGGCCTAGCGAAGGGGGACGTGGCTGGCGTAGGCAGGCGACTGTAACAATGTATGTGTAACAGAGGAACAGGCGGAGGGGGGTAAGCGGCTCTGTATAGGACTGGTAGGAGTTGATGCTCTTTTTTTTGCACTATTTAGTATTGGCTTGGCCAGTGTACTATGTGAACTTTTTTTGTGTTAGGCTGCTTCTTGTTGAGTGAATTGAGAGTTTTGGTTTAGGGTAACACATATCATGAGTTGGCGCGGGTGCATGTCTTGACGCCTGTGAGGATCCGATGAGTGAGGCATCAAGTGTCGGTGAAGACTGAAATTGATGTGAATTACCGTGAAATGAATGAGTTGTCAATGCCACGCTGTTTTTTTTCAATGTTTCACTTCACCTTGTGATGGCGGAAAGTTGCTTGAATGACGGAAAGTCTAAGTCGGTATCCGCTCCGTCGGTGAAGTCTCATCTGAGAAAAGAGATGAATCCTTTCGAATATATAAAGGCTCTTTGTTTCCACTGAATACAGATGTTCTGTTCTCCAGTCATTCCTTTATTTCCTTTGTCTTTCTTACGGATAGAATTATCGATGTTGCATTTACAGATAGAAGCGTGGAGTTTTACTGACCCGCCCGAAACAACTGTTGCGTGTAAGTGCTGCTACCTCTTGACTCGGTCGTGTACTAACCCATGTAGCATAATAGACATTTTTTTCTATTTAACCGAATATTTGAGACTACAGGCGAAACTATGATTAAGCCAGCTCTTGAAGGCCTCGAGGTCAGAAGAAACGCCGAAAAACACCAGGGAGCTCGGTCTACCCTGTGGCCCCCAAACAACATGGGATTCATCCATGCCTCGCTGGCAGAAGGACTCGAGATTCGTGGTGTGCTATCTGGTCGGCAGTGGGAGTTATACCCACACATGGCTGGGCACTCCCAGAATGTAAGTGTTTGACTCGGAATCATCGCACTGCAGAGTTCAAGTCTGACTGTCTTTGACACCCGCGGAAGGCGCCTGGGTGAGCAAAAAGGGAGAGGTTTTCGAGAATTGACTTTCCAAAAATAAAGACCACCTCCCAAGATACCCAGTCAAAAATATTCGAACCATTATATCTATGAGACGGACATGGCCGATGATACTGCGGCGCAAGCGGCTAAAATATCTTGGATGGAAGGTTTGTTTAATCTACCTGAGCTAGAGAGCCTAGATGTGCTGATTGTTCCGCAGAAGGGAAGATACTCCGTGTACGAGCCATCTTCTCTCCTTGATGGATACATCATATACCCATAACAACTTCGGCATGATATGCTTAACGGACTACCATACGTCCAACGAAAATCTTTTGCCCATTGTTCGAATACATATTCTTCTGCTTCAGAACGTGGACAGTTTGTTGTCCTTGCTGTTCAATGTCGGATTACTCGAAGACAAAACATGCGTCCCAATCATCACCGGAACGGAAGCCGAGCACAGTGGATTAGCGGTGCCATCGACTTGGAAAGGGCATAATGAAATTTTGGAAGCTTTTTGTACTCACCAGCGTTGCCTTCAAAGAAAAAAAATGAGAGAATCCAACAAGAGATAAGATTTGGCACGTCTGTCCTGTTATCGTGCAGGCGGCTAGCTGATAGGCGGGGAGAAGTTGAGGATGTATGGCATGCATATGCCATAGCGTGGGTTAAGATTAAGAACCGGGGCAGGGCACTTATTATCCATGATACTGAGCCGCCGCCGTTCTGCGGATGTTATTGCGGGAACCCCTGTCGGCGTAATGACGCCCTTCAATCATCTCTCAGCCGACCCAGAAGTCCTACGGCCCCCGCGCGGCCTGCCACAAATATGGTGTTTGTTGATATAGTTGATGTCCAGGAAAAAGAGTACGGATGCCTATTTACGAAGATAAACGTGCGGTTCATCACCGAGCTTGTCTCTCGCCTCACCACCTCTGCTATCGAGGCCAGCAGTCCACAAACCTCGGTGCCTCCAGATGCCTATTTACACGATGGCAAAAGAAAAGTGCAAAATAGCATTTTTATACTACAGCGTTTATCAGAAGCACTCTGAAAAAGACCAATGCTCCCAACAGGCTGTTGCATCAGTCTTGTTCGAAATGATATCACTTCTACGCTCACTTGGGTCTCGGCTCAGCGAAAGAACTTGTTTCACGACCACCAGGACCGAATCCTACCTCTCATATATTGGTCTCACTAATTTTCGACTGGAATCAATCTCCAAGATTGGTTTACAGATGAACCTCGCGACACTATCTCGTTCGAGTTCATAAAGGTCTATGAACCATCGACCCTACCGGACGGCAGCTTATGCTACGCTGCTTACCCAGTGTCGATAACCATTACGACAGAATAACTCAGTTTCGACTATCGACAATAGTCGACAAGCATGTATTAGGGATTAGAGCAGGAAACCACGCAACGGACTCCTTCATCCGTTCGTTGTCAACCCGACTGGGGCGGCGTTAGCAGTACGCAACGGGAGTCGCCTACGACTGGCGAAATTCAAAGGCACTTTACACTGGTATAGAAAAAACTTTCGGTGTCGACTTTAACAGCCATGATAATCTACTATGCAATAGGTAAGTGCGTAAGAAACGATGACAGCTGGTTGAAAAGTCATATGGCGTCTGGCCCAGTCTCGTTTGAAACCGACCCCCATGATATAATAACTCTTGGCTAACTTTTGCCACAGCTGTTTGCCATGTAACTCTCAACGAGCTTATCCAAAGCTCATACACAGGGCTGTCGAGGACGAACTGGCGATTGAGAGACAGGCCTACAACACCTGATCTCATACTATTCTACCAACATCGGCTCGCCTACCAGAAGGATTATATGGCAGTTGAAGCACGCTATCGATTGCGGAGAGTCCCCCTTCAACGCTTATATGTTTCTGTTTCCGGGTTCGGGATGGAAGCACCTACCCTCCGACCTGGGTATGTTTGGCGTTGAAGCAAAACATCGGCCAACATCTTACATGGTCGTCGTTTAGCTAGATCAGACCACCAAACGCGAACAACTCCATGATATCAGAGTAAGCGTTGAACTCTTCATTTGCGTTCCGCAAGACACTCATGGGATTCCTCAAGTGTAGCTTTCCACAGGACAGATGACCATGATCTCGGCCGCGTTGCAGGATAAGTTTGGAGAGGCAACCACAAAAGCCCAGAATTCGTTGGCCGTTGCTCAATGACACTCGACGCATTGGTCAACGATGACGACGAAATCAACGCCCAGTAAGAAGTCTTTGACACTATCCTCGAAGATGCCTGCATCCGCATCATCAAAGAAATTAAATTATGGCAAAAGACACGGGAATTTCTCAAAACCCTGCACAACATGGCCCAACGACTGGAAGATGGCGGACCTTGTTACTGGCTGGAGCTTATGTGTTGGAAACTCACACACTCGCCTACCTAATTGAAACGGCCATCCTAGCTTGAGGCTGATCGGAGCCTATGAAACTGCGAATCCCCGACTGTTCAATATGAGGCACTGGAGTTTGCGGAACATCTCGGCCATGAACATCCTGGCGAATCCACGAGCTTATCAGAAATATTGCCGTTATCGAAAATTTACGTGCGAGATCTAAACTACAACTTCTTTCACCTGTCGTTCAATTTCGCTTCACCGGGCAATGATCTCCTACTCAACTTGAGTCCGTGATGGGCCGCATCTAGTGATGACATCGTTTCGAGACGTCCCTGCAAATTGCTTCAAGGAAAATCTGCTCGTTTATCATCTCCGCTCCGCAGGTGGCTATAGGCGATATGCTGGTTGGCAATACCAGAGAAGAATTCGACTGTCCATTTCTGGATCGCATCCATCAAGAGAATTCCGACCCAAAATGATGACCTATTTGCGATTAAGTTACTGAGACAAATTCATTGTTGGTTCGATATTTGCCTCTCGGTATACATCTTGAACTGAGTAAAGGAATCTTGCGCCAAGCCATCTCCAGCCCGGAGAGATGTGGCGAAGATCCTGGAGAAGCAATATTGAAACGACAGCAATTCTTCGTCAGTACGTTGACGATAAGAGGATGACGTATCATGAAATGATCGCCTCTGCTTCCGTAATATGCAAAGACACAATTGACCTTGGTATTTTTGCGAAGACAGAGGTGGATACTATCCTACATCACCTTTCAACACCAGTCTTTTACATTTGGCGCTTTTACATTTGAACGATACAATCGAAAATTCGGAACATTCCATACAAATCACTGGAGGGCCTGGCTATGGACCTGCGAATGCGAGTTGTTTCAGGCTCGGTGACAGATGGACGCACAACAGATACACAAACGCCAGTTTGCAAATCGTCAGTCAGACTCCAATTTTACTGGATGCGGTGAGAGGCTCTAAACATTCCGTGAACAATCCGCTGCTTGGTTTCACCTCCGTAACTGCGAAGGTTGCAGAGCGCAAAGCGCGACTGTATGCTGCGATAACACTGGACCTGGCGAACAGTGCAATCTGGCGAATGCCTATTTCATCTGGAACTTTTCCCCTTCCACATATACCTGCCTCTTCATATGCCAAGAGGAGATATCGGCTATGCGGACTACAGAGGAAGAATTGGACGAAACGGAAATGGGAATCCTCGAGCTTGTTGAACTTATGGTTGCGGCAGCACTCGCAAATATTTGCGCACAAAAGAAGGGGGTCCACAGAGCAAAGGCGGGTTACAATTACAATGGCTGTGGACATAGATGAAGGGGAATTTCGAGGTTAAGCCAATGGGACGAAGCTGAAGGATAAGCGCAAGGCAAGCTAGATCATCAACACGTACGCCGGGGACGTATCCTTGTCATCACAGGATACAGCGAGCAAAGACGCCTGCTGGAAGAAAAGCTTTCCGAGCTTCTAGAAGCTGAGGTCCCTCGCAGACTTGTTTCGCTGCGTACTATCGACGATTCTCCGAGCTGCTAGGCGGAAATTGTGATTTGCGACCTTGGTACTCTCAGACAAAGCTGGATTCCTGGGAGAGGATGAGCGCTTAGCCGTGATGACTACACGGGCACAGGTCATGACCATACTTGTGGGTGAGGAGGACATCCTTCGCGGGAAGGTTAGGCAGACACTGAAATACCTCTATGAGTACATCCTAAAGACGCGAAACGCGATCATCAAGGTTGAGGGCTGGAAGCGTTGGAACATACTCCTATGAATCACAGCTGATATCGCGCTGTTCTATGCGAGGGCCTCCATCCAGACAAATTGGCCGTACGGATTGATAGCAACTACAAAGATCGTCAATGATCCCATCAAAAGAACTCCAGTATGACTTCGCACTCGTTAATTCCGGGGAACGTTCTCCTCGCTGTTTAGCCATGGCACTTATTCACTAGACAAAATCAGAAGGGGGATCTGTTGAGACCTTGAAAGCAATGTACCGTGGATCTCACATCAGTCCAGTCGTCAAATATGGACCCCTCACTAACGAACAAATTGCATTCGCCGCACGCCATCTTGACAAACCAATCAACCCAAATGAGGAACCAAGCGTTCGAAACCCCCTCTGGGGAGACCTGGTCTGCGATGGATCAATTTTAAGACGAGACACGGGTGGACTCTCTGGTTTTCGAATGAAGGTTCCCTTTTGGAAAGCCATGAATATACGCTCGGAGCTCTTGAAAGAGCTTCGGAAGGTCGCACTGGCATTCCCTCATGACTTACTTACGTGCAAAGACTTACTGCAGGATATTTCATGTGGTATGACGCGTGGAAGAGGAGGCACGCGCAGCCGTCTGCATGGAACTCGATGAATATGTCTGAAGGCGATGGGCCGTCAGTGCGAGCCATCGGTGTGTCATACCATACGGCTCACAGAAACATCTGATATTTTCGAAAAAGATTGAAATGATAGCTTTTTGATATACTAATAGAAGAGCTTTGCGGCTGCAGAATCACAAAAGAAAATGTCCAGAATGAGAGTCATCTCAGCAGACGTGATTACAGAAAACGCTTGTGGAATCAGGAGGAATCAGCTATCAAAGAATATGCAGATAAAACAATCCTTAAGTAGCAATACGGTTATAGCTTTTTCACTCTGTATAAATTGATAGAGCTATTTTCATGTTTGTCCTTTCATTGCGTATCTGTGTTCTTTGTGGCACTTGTCTTCCAACTGATAGAGCTGTTGACACTGCTCAAGGCACATGACGATTCGACCTTTCACAGTTTCTTTTTCGTGACAGCTGCTAATTTCCATCTATGTTTACCTTGGAGATGCGTATATGCATTTAATCTAAAGAAATGTTGCCTGCTCAACTGGCACCTGCTGTGCAGCTGCCAACATGTGCCTGCCAGCCCTTCGATTGTTCCGCTGCCAGCCCTCAATACTTCCCGCCTGCTCTTCTCTCTCTCTCTCTCTCTCTCTCTCTCCCACCCTCTCTTCTTCTTCTTTCTCTCTTCTTCTTCTTTCCATCATCTTCGTTTCCACTTCCATTTCATGCCTCGCGTGTTTGACCAGAATTTTATCGCACCATATTTATTCAGGCAGTGCCTCGAAGATCTATATCGTCTTGTCCTTATCTTGAGTTCATTCTACAAAGCATCACGCTGTTCACGCGATCCCGATGACTTCCTCGTTACAAAAGCCACCGCCAAAGATTGAATGCAGAGGAAACACATACAGCAAGCTTTCTAAGAGGCAAAAATCCTACATCTACGAGGAGCTTTCAAAGAGACGCCACTCGCTGGACGTTCTCCGAAAGGAACACCATATCCTTGAGAATGAAGACCCGCCTCTCAGCATTGAAAAGAAAGCAGCCCTTGGACTCCAAGACTTTGCGGCGGCTCCCAAAAGGTGCTCTTCGGCGAAACGACGAAACGCTGTAGCTATAGCCTGTCAATGGGGCAAGGCGAAAAGTCACCAAAACGAATTACTGGCCATTTGCGCCATCGATGTTCTCACTGGCGAAGTCTTGATCAACTCGCTTGTTGCACCCTTACAGCCAATGCTGAGATGGCTTGAAAATGTGCATGGCATTACCCAAAAAAAGATCGATGCCGCAGTGGAGAAGCATCAGTGTCTCCGCGGCTGGAGAGAAGCTCGAACGAAGCTATTAGATCACATTGATGGGCAGACCATCCTTGTCGGGTATACCGTTGGCTTTGACTTGGGGTTGTTGCGTTTGTTTCATACAACAATCGTCGACTCGCAGGTGCTCGCAACATCTGCCGTCTTCCCCAATCAATGGGGAAAGAAAAAAAGACCGAAATGGCCAATGCCAAAGGTGTGCAGCGATTTTCTTGGAAAACCCATCAAACATCATGCGGTCTCTGAGAGCTGCACCGAAAGTGTGTTTGAGAAAGCACTGGTATCTAGGGAGATTGCACTGCAATGCATTCAGCGGCCTAGGGACTTTGAAGAGTGGGCGAGGCGATCGAGAATTGAGTTTTTCAACCCGTTTAACGAAAAGAGACCATACTACAAGATGAATTCGCAAAACGAAGAGAACGACAGAAAGAAAGTCAAGAAGACTGGTAATATGGATACCAACCCTGGGAAAGACAGGAGCACAGGCCCTGTTTCCGACGAGAATCGAGCGACAACCACATTCAGTCAGGGATATGAGGCTGGATACCAGGCCGCCTACCAAGCAGGGTTTCAAAGCGGATTTCAAATGGGTTACGAGCAAGGTGTTGGAAAAGCAAATCCACAAGAGAGCCAAGAAAAGATTGACAAACCAGATGAATCTCAGCACGAGAACCAGCATGAGTGCCATGAGTCAATGCATTATACCGACGATGAAGGCAGTGTTGACGATCAAATGGAGACGTTGAGCCAGGTTGGCAGTTGTGACGATGACTCTGCTCCAGTATAGGAATCTGGAGGCCTCCTTGCTCATCTAATGAAAGATGACCGCGTCAGGGAAATTGTCCAGAGAACGAATGAGATCGATGATCAGGAAGCATTTCCGGCAACGGAAGTGCAAGGGACAAAGAGCGAAGCGGTAAGCCGCGGAGCTCGGATACAAGCAAAGCTTGAAGCCCTGGAATCTCGAAACAAGGTTCCCGAGAACCAATCTCCGAAGGAGGAAGGTGGAAGTTCGTGGAAGAATATTATGGACTGGTAGCTGGAATATGTTCGTTGTTTTAGGACATTGTGACTGAGTTTTGGCGCCAAGGATTTTGGAACTGATGAGGACGCTATCTCTGCGTAATTACTTTCTAATGACCAGCTTCATGAGTGCTGGTGCAAATACGGCAAGGATGTGGCTTTTAGTTTAGTGGCATTTGTTTGATGGCTTTTGAGATGGCCATCGTGTTCTATGTAGGTATGCAGATGGGATACATCCCATGAATAGATGGCGAGATAATTGACCCTGATCCGATCCCAATATGGTAGTTGCTGATGGCGATGCATCCCTAAACTGGGCAACAAGACTTTGACAAGCATGTTGTGTCCGTCGATGTGATAAAAGGGCCGGTCATGATGTTGATGTGCGAGGTTAGGCTTATCGCACGAGATCAAGCGTTGACTCTCTACCTATAGTCTACCTATAGTCTACCTAAGGTATATTATATGATGACTTCTGACAGGCTTCTTCTAGGTATTTATGTTGCAGTTGTTCTTGATCAAACGGATCCGGCTGTTGGAGGAGGAACTACCTCTGCCTTGCACCTGCGCAGTGCTCTGAATGTTTCAACAGCACAAAAGCACGCAACGCCAAACTCCAACTTCTTCGCCTCAACCACAATCAAACACAAATATCAGCAGCCCGTGATTCTCGCGTGAGCATAGCCAGCATCGATACCGAATATTAATATTATGGAACTTGCGTCTGTCGTTTACGAAGCAATCCTAAAAACAAAAAATGCCGTTCCTCTTCAAGCAACCCAAGCTCTTGCCGACGCCTCCCGGTTCCCCATTGCCAGGGACCGGCACTTCCAGGTGCTCCATCGAAGACATGCCGCCTGAGATTGTCATCAAAATCATGGGATTTCTGCCGTCGAGAATCGAGCTCATAAGCCTTGGTGCGAGCTCACGGTATCTTGCCAAAGTGCTCAGCCTGCACAGGATCCCGATTCTCAAGGCGATACTGACCAACATACTTCACCCTTCCAACCTGGATATTTGCCTCTTGACCATGGGGGTTATACAAGTCACTCGAGAGGGAGAAGATGTCTGGCAGTGTTTGTATGCTCTTTCACAGCGCCCGACGGTGGACACAATCCGCGACACCGACACGCTCTGCAACATGGTCGACCTGGCCGCGTACATCAACTTCATGGTCGATATATACGCATATCCAAAGCATCCGAATACCTTTTGGAGACGGGCTTTGCGCAAGTACGCCAACCGATGGCCCGACGGCTGCGTCCCGGATGGCCTTGTCATTATCGACCAGTCGACGAGAGAAGACCTGCAACTTGTGGCGGCCCGCCTCTGGAACGTGCGAGACGCGGCTCTCGGATACTGCCCCAGCGCGGCACCTGCAACAGTACACTCAAAAGGGGCCATGGCACTGTTCCAGCGGGAAATGTTCTGCGCAGAGCTGAAGCTGCGGTGCGACCTGGTGACGGGGCACGAGCTTGGGATCCCCGAGTGGATGTCCGAAGAGTCGCCCGGTGACGGAGTGCAGAGCTTTCTCGAGCTGCTGTAGTGCTGCAGCGTGCATGCTATGGCGAGATGCTGGGGCCGCGACGATGGCGAGGTGTGGACAGAAATGAATCGGTCGTCTTGGGCCGAGGGCAGAGCACTGGGAATTCGCTTCTACCTCACCCTGGCCAGATACATGCCGCACTATGCCAACCGGGACGAGATCGAGGAAATTTGCACCGCCATCGATGGCTTCATAACGCCCTACCGGTATCCAGATCTAGTCAGGGACACTCGTGCATGGTTCTTTGAGTTTCAGGAGGCGGCGTGGGAAGGCTTGTGGGAGCACGCTGAAGAGTACTGCCGGCAACTCGACAATGGGCTTGTGGATGACATTGAAGGGGGAACGGATTTCTTTTGAGACTATCACTTTGAACCTTTGGAAAAAATAGAATAGCGATAAGCGATACCTTGGGGATTTTGCCGCTGAGGCAGCGAATATAATATTTGATGATATCTTGATCTGAACGCAAGCATTATGCTGTGACAAGTTTATGAGGCCATCCATGACAGTTGACACTTCCTGTCGTCCCTTTAACTAACCCATACATAGGAAATAAATAGATTTTAAAAAATGTGTATACCGGAATTAGCATCGCTGTCTTGGCTGTAAATCGATCTTGGCTCTCAGCTTAGGCGATCCGCCACCATCTGTCGCGATGGAACTCTTTCCGCTGATGCTCTTTTCGTCAAAGCTCACATGCTTGGTACTTGCTTGAGTTTTATCGACCGACACTCGCCTAGGTATGCGGCTGATATAACCGCTTTTGCTTTTGCTCGTAGGAGAAGCTGTAAGAGAAGCTGTAGGAGAAGCAGCCTTTGGAGGAAAAGCTGGAGGTGCATTTTCAGCACCAGCAGCATCGCTCCTTTTATTCCCCAAGGAAGGAATTCTACTCTCCATAACGGTGTTTTTCTTCTCCGCCGAAGTATTTTTATTCTGCGCAAACGTATTTCTACTCTTGGCGATGGCGATATTACCACCACCGACACTCCTCAATCTCGGCACGCCTCTCGCCTTGGCCTCACGAACTACACCCACGCGACACCCAGTTCTGCGACGACAAGTCGACTGGCAAACGAATTTGAGGCCTGGTCGCCAGGGCACGATGACGATGGAGCCGCGGTATTCGGGGCCGATGGAGCCGACGAGGCGGTCGGTCGCGGATTCGTAGAAGGTTACTGAGCTGGGGGAGGATGCGTCGATTTGGATGGCGAGGGCGAGGGTGTCGAAGGGGGGGCTGGTGGGTTGGTTGGGGGGGTAGATGGACCATTCTGGGGGGAGGCATTTCTTGCGAGTCTTGGAGGAGGATTGTTAGTTTGATGGGAGTTTGATGGGGAGATGAGGGATTGATGGGGAAATGGGGGGTGAGGGTACTTCTTTTTGGCATTTGAGGAGGAGGTTTTCGGTGGATGTTGATGTTGAGGGCTTGGGAGGCGGCATGGTGAGGTTCAAATTATGGTGGTTCTATTATGAAGATGGATTTCGTTTACGGTGTTGTTGATGGATGAGGGGAAGGTTGTGTTTGTTGTATTGGGAGTATGAGATGATGAGTTGGGTATCAATTATACATGTACCCAACTGGGGTTCTATCTTCTGATGCGCGTACCTGTTGATTAAGTGTCACACTATTATGATCATATTGGTTGTGAGCATAGATGCGTTGTCAGTAACACCATTATTGAGTAAGCAAGCCTTATACTCAGTGTGCCATTGTCTTGAGAGGCGAATGAGTTCGTAATTTGAACATCTATTGTAGGCGTAGGATATGGCGTTCATCTGAATGGACCCTATAATAAAGGCGTCCCAGGAGTACAATTCATGTCTCTTGCAATCGTGGGGCGCCCTGATTACCTTTATCCAGAAGTGGCAAAGTGGATATAGTTGGACATGTTTCCCCAGATTCATCACTAACCTAATTACAAGCCCAAATATTTGATAGTGAGATCCTGTTGCTACGTGATATCGGCAATCACTACGAAAGCCCCAAAGCCAAAGATGTCCTGACTTTACAAAAGAATCCGAACATTATTGACGTGGCGTCTTAGCATAGGCTGTTTGATTCGCCAGCTCATATCCATTTGATTGTCTTCCAAGAGGTCCAAGTGGCACGATATGAGTGGCCCGATTCGGATACGTGGCTGTTGTATGCACAATTTCATTGGCTATATCAAATTGCTGGAATCCTGAGTATGGACAAAGATTGAAGGTTTGTGTACGCACGATCCAATGGTATTGTATACTGAAACCATGTCAGAAATTCATTGCCGCATATCGCCTGACATATTACCGTAAATGACCCAAGATTGTTTATCGGGTATAATGTCTATGATTGGCGTAGTCATTGAACTGGGATGAATCGCAGCCTTTGGCGCATCTTGAACAATTGCCTTCTTTTTTGTAGACAAATTGATAGGTGTAAAAATATGGTTGCTGAGAGCATGTTGCCGCAGATGAAACACCCGTGCCTCAAATGGCGCTGCTCTTATTACCCTCATGAGAATGCGGAAGTGCTATCATAAACTAAAATATAGCTGCAATGTCTCCAGTCGTCAGGCCTATGTCTCTTGGGCTCAACATCCCACAAGCCAATGTGATGAAGAATTTCTTTGTCCACTCCCACATCTTCGGCAAGGTACTTGGCTGTGTCCTTCCACTGTTGAATATCCTCGTCATCTCTAAATAATCGATCTTTGGGATGTCTACTATGGCGAAGGGCCTCGATGGCACGCTCCGCCCCAACACGGTCAATCATGGCCTTGAGGATTTCCTTGCGTCCGTAGAATGCTGCAGCGGCGAGTGCACTTCCATGCTCACCTCGTTCAAACACAGCTGTGGGATCCGCACCAGCTTCAAGCAACAAGTGCTGTATTTTTACGATAGCGTCTTCCCTCTTTTTGGAATCAAATCCTGGTCGTGCAAAATGGTTTTCAAATTCTTTTGACACTGATGCTTCAAGCGCGCTGCCATAGTCTCCACCTCTCAGGCGCAAGTTCGGATCTGCACCGTTATCGAGGAGCAGCCGGACCGTTTCCACATCTGGTCCATCCTCCCCATAATACCGTACTGCTGCGGCAAGAGCACTCCCGTACCAGCCATTTTGCACAGCAGCATTCACGTTGGCTCCGGCCGTGAGCAGAATTCGTACCGATTCGACACTCGCACTAGCCGCTGCTGCGATCAAGGCGTTTCCATACCCGTAGCCGCTGTCATTCTCCCTCTCCAGGTCCACAACCCCTTGGTCAATCATGTATTGCAACATTTTGGGTTGGGACATGGCCGCTTCTTGTACAAGAGTCCTGCCATATCGACCCACACGGTTGGCATCAGCATTTGCATCCACAAGCAATTTGAAGACATCAAAATGATTGCTCTCAATTGCATTGTACAGTGCCTCAGTGTGTTTGTCGGCATCCGGGTGCATGACGTCAATCAAGTTGATCAAATGTTTGCAAACAGGCAGGGAGCCGCCATCAGCTGCCATCGCAAGTGAGTTCTCGCCCTCATAGCTTTTTTGAAGAGCCATTTCCATGGTGATTTTGCCTTGCAGCCACCAGTCGCGCAAGGTGTAGTAAAATCCATATCGACACATTGTAAACAAAGCCATGTTCGCTGGTTTTAGCTGACTGACATAAAACCCACCAACCCATTTTCGATAGCTGGCACTGCTTTCATCGGGCGACCTAAGAAAGCGCTTTAGAGCGACCACGAGATCCGCGTCGGCCTCTCCTCCCTTCATCGATCCTAGCCATTTGTCGTATCGCCCGACGTGCCGGGCCCAGTTATGTTGAACGTGATATGCAAACGTGCCATCTTTTGGAGAGCCCAGTCGGAAGTTTTCGAGAAAGCCAAGCGATACCTTTGAAGCAAATGCATCACATTTCCCATCCATCCAGCGTTTCTTCTCAAAATATTCAGCCACAGAGGCATGTGGCAGCATCCACACACCTTTTTTCTCATCAATAGTTAGGAGATCTTGGCAAAGCGATAGAATCTGCTGTTTCGTCTGCTTTTCTTTTCGCACCACTGTAGATCCTTGAACGGCGTATTGGATGGCTTCTAATAGCGTTTCTGACTCGAATGGCTTGAAGGAACAGAGCACCCACATAATGGCACGTTCAGCTAAAGCGACATCAAACTCATCCCGTCCTTTGATGGTTTCCCAGAGTTGATCGTACGCCGCCATCAAATCCGCCGGCAAGTTGTGAGTCCAATTGTGGATTGCCTCATCCGTAACAAGTTTCTCAAGGCTCTTCACCTGCAAGTAGACCCATCGGAACCTATGGCCGTATTAGCATGTCGAACTAAGGAATTAATGTAGATGGCAATAGCTCTTTGAATATAGCTTACATTCCGCAGCTCCGGGTTGCAAACACGTTTTTAATTTCTTCTTGGATATCCTCCCTTCGCTGTTTAAAAAACGAGGTTGAGTAGAGTTTCTCCCCGAGGAATCGCTCAATATCTGCTTGCTGCTTGCTGGCATCCACAGTAATGATACACCTATCCTCAAATGCTTTTAAGTATTCTCGATCCGGTCGACTAGATATGAAAATCTTGACAGGTTTTCTAGACTTTTCCATCATTTCGATAAGGATAGTGCACAAGTTATATGTCGTGATATCAGACTCGTCCAAAGCGTCGAGAATTATGGTCGTCTTTGGATAAAGATTTAAAGATTCCAGAATCAAGTCTCTGCAGTCTTTATAACCCAAGTCTCTTCCTTCTATCTTCGCCGTCCGGCATTTCTGTACGAGGCTGCTTTGAATAACGTCAGGTTCATCGTAGGCCTTGCCAGCTAGCTGACGAACAAAGCTTCTTAAGACGACGATTGGGTCTTGCATGGATGGGCCGGATCGGTTGCAATAGAAATAGGCAAACCCTTCATCATGTTGTGACGCTTCTAGCGCCTGTTTCACATAGTCGATCACTCTGGAAGTGAGATATGTTTTGCCGGTTCCAACTGGATCATTTGTGTTAGATGAACTGCCTTGGTGCACGCCAAAGAAATACGTTTTATGGAGAAAACTCACCAGTTCCTTTAAGACATAATACAGCTGAAGAAGAAGGGACATCCTGCCAAGCGCGGAAATCTCTGCTGGCCAATAACCAATCTCCAGTATGCTCTATCCTTGCTTCTGTAACAGCAGCGTGACTTTTTCCAAACATCTCCGAGCTAATAAATTGAATTAATTCATGTAACTCTCTTTCTTCTATTTTCGCTAGAAGACTGGCTACTCCTTTGTCTATGCGCGGAAGTGGCGAAGATAATTGATTAAGCTGTTTCTTCAGTGCTTCTATTCCGTCGTTCGTCTGCTTGGACGATAAGGAAGACCGTGAGTTTTCGCAGGCCTGAACCTCTACGCCGAGTTGCTGTTCCTTCTTGAATAGGTCATTGACCTTTCCAATATCGCCATCAGGCTTTAAGATTGCTTCTAGCGTCCGTCTGGCGATTCCGCTATCAATCAAGGTGTCTGAGATAGCCAACAATTCTAGAGCCGCTTTGTATACACTAAAAAGAGCATCGTGTAGATTTTCAATGGCTTCTTCACCTGTAGTCCCTGATTTGTAAAGGGTCTCGTATATCTGCCCTCTGCGTACAATCCGTGCAAACCATTGGACTGTCCCGAGAAGAGCGGCCTTATGCTCAACTTGTTTGGCTGGAATCTAGCATCAATCAGCTTCAGATCATCTACGACTTATAGGCGCCGACATTTTTTGCTCTCATAGAAAGTAGAGGAATTCGAAGAGTACATAGAGAGCTTACTTTAAGAACCGCCTTTGCAACAGCCCACGGGGCGCTGACCTCTGTTGGTGCGAAAGCGCTGGCAGCGTCACCAATCATAGTAATGAAGGCAACAGTATCGGCGACGTATTCCCGGAAAATGATTGTCTGATTTCCAATTTCGATCTTGAGTGGCTTATCATTTTGTTCGGAGAGCTTGTTGTTCTCAATAAGGCTAATAAGTTCTTCAATTTGATGTTTTTGACTTTTCTGCGTAAGGCCTGTAGAATCCAGTCCATATTTTTGGAGCCATTTCTTGGTTTCCTCACTAGCCTCACGGAATACTCGACTCCAGAGATTTGAAAGTGGAGTTGGCGGTAATTCAGTGGTTTCGGGTACATGTAATTCTGGAGGTTCCGTAGATTCTGAAGGAAGAGGCGTTGATGATTCTGATGCCTGCAAAGGTGGGGTTGCCGGAAGGTCAAGGGATGAATTGTCTACAAGAGACTTGGATGGCTTATGGCGTGAAGAAGACGCCGATGCATGAGAAGGCAATGAGACGCTTGATGATACTGGAAGTGCTTTCGAGTGAGAAGACGTACTGACTGCCGCGTGTGTGGCAATCTGACGGTCGCCTGATGCTCTAGATGAAGACCTAGCCCGTCTAACCCAGTTCAACGGATTCAACGAGTCCCTCTTTCTTTCTCTCCTTTCTGTGGCCATATTTTGGATTATTAGGTAAACGATTGCGACGAAAACTTCAATAGCGAATGAAGATAGTTCAAACGTGTATCGCCATGTCACTCAGGGATCCGTGTACGCGACAAGGGGCACATTCAAGCTCCATGGACTCTAGGACTGTGAAGCGAGGCTTCCATGGGATGAAGACGTTTAAGCATCGTAGATTGGCGCAAAAATATACAGTCGGGTATCAAGACACTCATCACAGCCCAACCCTAGGCTTGCGAAGGTAACCTCATTTGAGCACCACACCCTGTTCCAATCTACGGATTACGGCACCATCCAATGGCTGCTCGGCGCCGGGTCAGAGGTGGCGTAACCTGAGACATAAAATATATGTGCACCCGCATATGCAGGAATAGGTACTTGGTGGGAGGGATTTACGTATGCACAAATATCAAGGATCGCTCTGTTTACCTGCGTTTTTTTTGCGGCATTACCACATGTATAAAAAAGAGCTACGCAAATTGATAAGTGCATGACGAGTTGGGCACGATTCTTGCGAAATGGATACTCATTCAACAATCTGTAAAATATAAGAGGAAAAATAATGTTAAAGGTGAGCTTTGGCCGCATGGGATGTCTGTGATCAATGATCTCTCCCCTCAATTGCCAAGAGACGAGGCTGCGATGCCACTTCTGGTCTTGACGAATGAGCTGCGTCGGGCCTCTCATTGATTGCCACGTAACAACCACAGTGGAGACTTATCGGCTATTTTGTTATTTTCAGCTCATGGCAAATTACGGAAGAGACACTGGCCATTGGAGAACCCTTAGGCTCTGAGACTGCCTTTAACGGGAGGTGCTGGTTCGCAGGAGAATGACCTTGCTTCTAAGATAAGCACCTTGAGCAATAAAAGATCGATGGCACCAAATCGGCTACTAATGCGCGCTAGATCTTACAGCGATCTGAATAAATCCGGGCATGTTGATTGGTATAGTATTAGGCTGTAGTCACGATAGTGCATCTATAGACGCTTCGTTTTTACGCTGGAATCTCAGCTCATAATCCAGCGGCAAAAGAAATATAAATATTACTCCCCATTCTAAAGAACGCACTATAGACTATATTGCACAGGGAAAATTACCACGGCCCTGATCCATCGCCATATGCCCTCCTTCGCTTCTCACTCAATATATAACCAAGCATTTCCATCTTTGTAATCCAGTTCGAGGTCAAATTCCGTCCCCAAAGTCGGGACAAAAATGACAATTCATATTGCTTCTCTTAGATTAGGATTCTTACATTTGATCAATTCTGTCTGTACAAAATCTGTCAGCTTAGGAGAGAGTTTTCGTCCCAGAATTCGCCCGGCGCCACGATGATTGATGTCTCCTTTTGTCATCTTTGCTGCTACCCGTCTGTTTGCTCTCAATTTCCATTCTATAATACATATGTATAGTCCATATGGAAGGGTTGGCAAATTATCTGGCTGTAGGGCTGGCCGAGACCTAATCCGCATACGCCCCAGATAGCGGGCAATTGTACAAGTATCCATGCTAGGTATCTGTACCTACATAGGTAGCCATCACAGGCTTGGCAGCAGCAGCTACACACCAGGAGGCCTTGCCTTGAAACTTGAATCATCATGGAGGTATTTACGGAATATTCTGCGTTCACGACCTGGTTGATACACATCTTCTCCGACTAGGAATGTCATTGCTCGAGTTTTATCATGTGACTAAGCACTTTTATTTACTCGTTTGTACTCCACGGATTTCTTATCGTACAGAGTAGCTCGACTAAACACCACCCATCAATTCGAGACGCAATTTTATATGGATTGAACACCTCACAGGTGGCTAGATTTGCTTGTCCGGCTTGGTGATAACATTACCCGCACTCAACGGCATAATTTCTCTGTTCTTCTAGGCTTTGATTGCCACGACCCTCAACCACAATGCTATTGAGCGGGTCTTCAATCGTGAAGCAGCGCATATTGCGCAACCTACGATCCGCTGCGCAACAGCTACAACCTTGTGGAGTCGACCTCTCTTTGCGTCGTATCTTGACATGGACTTCGCCTGCCACAATCGACTTCGATAATTTGCATCGACAGGCTGCCAATACGTCCGAGCTACGTTTTGACAAAGAAACCGGGACCATCAAACTGCGCCAAGGGGCATATCTTGTCGAATTTAATGAGACCGTCTCTGTCCCATTGGATTGCATGGGTCAAGTGTTTGTCAGGTCGTCACTATGGCGCTCCGGCGCCACACTCACAGCAGGTGTGGTGGATGCTGGTTACGAAGGCGCTCTTGGTGCGTTGCTAGATATAAAGAATCCAGCCGGGATCATTCTTCACAAAGATGCCAAGCTAGGACAGATCGTGATGCATCGCTTGGAAGAGAAGGTTGCAGGTTATCGTGGTATTTATCGGTTTTCAGAAAGCAGTCTCGGACGCGATGGACCTAGCGAGACCTGACCATACACTGCTTACATGTAGTTTCTACCAAGGGATTCAGAACACGATGAAAGGAAGACAACTGGGTTCTCTAAGTTCTATGGATCCCTAAGACCGAGAGAGATGGTGCCCCAAAACATCCTGAACGACTTCATAAAGCTTAGACCTCCCTGTTAGGACGCTCCGCATCCTCTCATTTGAGAGATCTTCCTTGTACTTCTCGGCCAAATTATCCGAGATGATATGAAGGTACCCGAACCGGGTGCCACTTCTGACCGCTGCCTGGCCCATCATTCCCACCTCGGGGTCCACAAAGTCAACAGAACTCGGCAATGCTGCGAGCCAATTCCTCGTCTCGTGTAGGACACTTCCCAAGGTTATGTGATTCCCTGTAAGTGTACAGGCTGGAGCCAGACGGGCAACTGAATTTCCAAGGGCGTTCTCCCACTCCACAGCTTGGCCACGCACGTACGAAAGTCCTCCAGTTGCCAGCCAAGTGTTTGGCTTTATTCCCTTTTTGACGCTTCCTAGCTTGCCAAGGTAGAGGACCTCACGGACACCACACTGAGATGCAAGATAATGTACGACTTCTCCTGAGATATCGCCCCAAAACGCGGGTCGAACCCCCAAGAATGCCACTTTACGGCCATTGAATTGGCGCACCGCCCACGCAAAGCAGCCGTCCCCAGCCCAATCCACGGAACCAGTGAGTCGCTCCAGGCGATGGACCATGCCCAGAACAATAGTATCAATCCCCTTTGGGAATTCTCGAATATTTGTAGCCTTAATCGCGTTCTGCGTATCGGAGCAGGAGGCCGGTTGGAAAGACACCTTAGACGGAGGTGTCAACATGCCTCCTTGGCGCTGCTGAATGCCGAGAAAGCTGGCGATGACCTCAGCATAGTGCTCCACGTAATCGTATCCCGGAAAACACTCGATATATAAATGATTGTCGACAATTCTGGCGGTGGGTCGCTGCCAGTTGAAAGGTTTGTCTGTTTTTTCGCCCTGAAAGATGGTTGAAGGATATGATCGACTGTAGGCCCCGACTACTGTGATTCCATCGTAAGCCCGTTCGCGGACTGCCTGGTGTACCTTTATGTCGAGATATCGAGGCAAGGAAGTACCCATTGTGTGCTCTTCTACAGTAGCTTCGTTTCGAGGGTATACTTTACTATTAATAATATAGGGACGGCTGTGCCAGGGTGCTACATTAGTTTTGGCAGAGATTTTGAGAACTTGTCTGTAATGCAGACCTAGTGTTTGAAGCCCGCACATGATGTAGAGTAAAAGCCATGCGTTGACCCGTCCATTGGGGCAAAAGAGTAGGAATTTTCATCGCTATACGCGTCGCAAGTAACACAGACATTGTCTCTAGATGATTTGGTTAGCGCAATGTTATATGCAAATATTCTTAGGAAGAGGATGTATACAATCAGCTAAGATGACGACCGCTGGTTTCTGTTTCGGTATTTTATACTTCAATCACAGGTTGCATACAATTTATTTGCAATAGCACATATACTAATATTTATATATCTATATATACCCCTCTTCTAATACTTTTGCCTAGTGTGACTTTGTGTTACGTGTCTCGGAAAATATCTTCTATCATCTCAGCACCGAATAGTATTACGTGTCTTGAATTATGGCTTTTATAATGCCAGCATCGAGTATTACATGTCCTAGATGACATCTATTATAATACCAGCATCCAGTATTTGCTGTATGATCCTAGAGAGGCTTACTGGCATTCTAGTTTTCTCATGAGCGTTGTTTTGCAATCTCGAGAGGTTGAGCTGCAAAGTGTAGCTCGATCCTCAATGCCCAACATTTACCCCGACACTCAGAAGCAAGCAAATCGTTATTAGCACAGTGAATTCACATGTTTCTTCATATACACGTATTAGAAAATGTGTATTCCAAGATTTCGCTTGCCGAGCGCCGTGGAGATGCGCGCAGAGTAACACCTTTATCCATAGATAGGCATATTATGACTACGGAACATTGCGTCTACTCCCCATGAAGGCGTGATTTGTGATCATAGAAGTGGCTATGTGCCTTATCACTGGATCAAACTACAAATCATGTTTGTGCCTGCATTTACACTTTAGCACGTGCAAAATACAACCTTCCACATTTTCAGGTGTTCCTTCTGGCTCTCAAGTAATGTACGCGCACCGTTAGATAAAGTTTGGCCTGCAGCATTTGTAGCTGAAGTCGATCTCAGCCATCTCTTCGCATCTTTTTTTTTCTTCATCATTCATACTCAGCGTGCCGGGAAACGAGAGGCTCATCATGAATATCATTCAACCACTTCATCGTCTGTTCGTCAGCAGACGAGGAACCCACAAAGACGCGATATGCCCTATGCTACAACTGCCAATCGAACTCGTGTCAATGATATTAGAATATCTTCCTCTGCACAGCCAGTTACTCCTCCATCAGACTTGCAGATCCCTAAGAATCATTGTTAACCGTCATTTCCTATTAAGAAGGATTCAGCGTTTAGAACTGTCGGAGCCTCGGAATTACCTCTATTGTCACGCGCGAACTCTACCGAACCAATGGGCCTGTCACAGGTGTCTCAAACTGCATATTGTTCAGCTCTGGGAATCGAATTCACACCCCAGAAGAAATCCTTGCCGATACTTCGACCTCGACTTCGCCATGTTTGGGCACAAAAGGAGGGCAATTGAGGGCGGAGACATGGCCAGTGCCCCGATGAATTTGCAAGTCTACTTCACACTCAAACATGCCCGATTGGCCAGCCAGAACTGGAGGCAAAAGAGACATCTTCGCAAACTCCTCGCACCATTCCACGAAATGACGGATTCCCGTACTTCCTCCAGCAGCGGCGGAGTTAGGGTTAATATCACCACGGTCCCCAAGGTAGCTGACGGTAGATATCTGGTTTTCTCTACTTGGACCCTTCTCCAAAACGTACCCGTGGTCATGGAAGACGATGAAGCAATATTAGAACTTTGCAGACACACGTACCTCATGGATGTGATCTTTACGCTGAGGCTGCACTATCTTCAGAGAGATCCACCTCAACCGGAATATGTCACGGGTTATAAGACCTGTACTGTCTGCATGACAGACATTGTTGTACATGTCTCTCCATATCATGCAGTTATACATGTCTGGCAAGACTATGGACGGGAAAAGGCTCAATTTAACCCATACGAGAAGGCTAGAGTGACTGCGTGGGAAAATACCACTCCGACATGTGGAACCGTTCGAGCACTTTACAATCGTTGAACAGCGTGTGATGTCATTGGCGTTATCTTCTAAGCGTCATATAATTACCTAGCATGAATTTTACTTCCATGTTCGCCAATGATACTCTCTGTGTAGCAGGCCCAAACACTTGGCCGGACTTTGTGATTAATAGACAGGGCAAATGAACATTTTAATAGGAGATTACTATTAATATGCGCACATCTATTCTTTCAAAAATTCGCCCAGAAATTGGCTACATAGTTGTCTTTTGCTGTCAGACATTAATTGGTGCTCTACTCAAACATAGCCATTAAGTGTTAGCCACTCCCTCAACTTGACATGATCTCTCCAGAAATATCCTGCTCTACCCCTGATTCTGTCTTTGGCTACTTCCAACGTGCGAGCAAAAGCCGTGATATCTTTATCTTCAAAAAAGGTATCGATTTCTAGCAATACTGAGGCATCGGTCAAAGTCTGAAGTGTTGCGCCAACCAGGCGATCTAGAATAGTGGAATTCTTGCCAATCTTGGTCTCAAAATTGGACCAGTTGGTCTTCATCCAATTCCATTGTAATTGACGAGTTGCTGGATTGTCGGCCAGAGATGTCATCAAAAACTGCATATCACCGGGAGGCACTGTTGTTGACCCCGCAGAGTTCGAAGGCGCACTGAAGAGCAGAGGCAATACCTCCGATTCAACGAGGCCTAAATTACCTGTATGGCCAAGCGCGGTAAGGCATATTTCTTTTCCGTCTATTGTAGCTGTATTTTCCCATTCTTTGACGAGGAAAGGGACTGAATCTTCTGGATGATTCGCCACCGCTACTCGGAATATGATGGTTCGGAGATTCGGAGGGATGGGGTTGGAGAGAGGATCAGTCCTGTAGGCTGTGAACTGGCGGTTTGCTTCTGCCAAGATACTGTGAAGGTGTCAGACTGAATACTGCGTGAACAAGCGGATAGACTTCATTGCTCACCTTGGATGGCCGCTCACTCCCGCTGCGAGAAGCAGCTGGCTTCGAGTTAATGTTGTGTTATAGTCCTCGCCTACTCGACTGTCCCATCCGCACAAAGCGAGGTTGTTCTCAATGAGCCGAAGAATAAAATTATCCAGCCCTTTCTTGATTACTTCATCATGGTAAAAAATAGAGCGGACCACATTGACTGAGTCTAAAGCTTGTTTAATTACCCGATAGTGTGTCTCGTTTCCAAAAGCTTTCAAGAAATCCAACATCTCTGTTGTGCTGCTGTAGCCGACAAAAGCCATATCAGCAGTTGAGCTGATTGTAAATATCTTGTCCTCGGTGCTGAGCCGATTCAGCTGACAGGCCATGACAGAGAGGCGCTCGGGAGGATAATTGACCTTGTAAAATCCCACGGCATTGGCGTTGATCTTGTAAAATTCCTGGTTGACGTCGAAAACATCTTCTTTCTTAGTCAGAATCGTGCTCAATGCGTCTTGGCTACCAGGGACACGCTCTAGAGAAAGCGGCAGCCACCAGATAGTTGTGTCGTCCTCGGGCTTTACATCTCCCGTCGAAAGAAACCTGCTTTGTTTCAAGGTGACTTGGCTACCATTCTCCTCTATCGATACAACTGGGAAGCCCATGTTCTGAATCCACGGTCGCACAAACTCGCTCACGTCCACTTTGGAAACTTCGGATAGGGCGTGCCATAAGTCGTCCGTGACGGCATTGCGATATGCGTGTCGTCTGACGTATATCGATATGCCATCCAAAAACGTCTTTAACCCTACATGATTTGCAAGCATGCGAATAATAGACGCGCCCTTGCGGTAGCTGATGAGGTCGAAAAGCTGTGAGACGGCTGCAACATTGCCCACCTGTACCTGGATTGGATGTGACGCACGAATGGCATCTGCCTCGAATGCTGATTGCATCGCTTCATTGACAAATCGAGTCCAAAACTCCCACTCTGGATGGACGTGATCAACAGCTAGAAATCCCGTCCAGGTAGCGAACCCCTCGTTGAGCCATAGATCATCCCACCAATCCATAGTAACCAAGTCGCCGAACCACTGATGAGCGAGTTCATGAGCCACGACATACGCGATGCGATCTCGGAATCGTTCTTCGGAGCTTTGCTCATCAAATAAGATTGCGCTGACGCGATATGTGACCAGACCCCAGTTCTCCATAGCACCACTGGAAAACTCGTGAACTGCGAGAATATCTGACTTGGGAAGAGGGTAGTCGATTCCAAAGATCTCGCTGAAATAGTCGATGAACTTGGGTGCAAGTTGCAAGGCCCATTGGGTTTGGTGCTTTAATCCCCGAGTTGTGTAAACCCGAACAGGCAGCTGATGACCAGAGTATAGACGATTGGTAAAAGCTTCGGCATATTCAAAGTCGCCAATCGCCCATGCAAGTAAGTAGGTGCTCATTGTGGGAGTGCGTTCAAAGGCCACAATCACTCGGTTTTGTTTGTCGGGCACGGGGCTGATCTTCTTGACGGGCATATTACTGAGTGCAACTTGATCACTGGGTATTTCAATCGACAGATCGAAAGTGGATTTGAGATTTGGTTCATCGAAACAAGGCAGCGCCCTTCGTGCACATCCGGGTTCGAATTGGGTGCTGAGCATATAGTAACATGAATCGGCAGCAAGGGCAGAGGCAGCGGCAGGGGTAGCCACGGGTGTGTATTTAGATCGGTAGAAGCCAGTCATATCATTGCGAATATTGCCAGCAAATTCCACCGTCAACTTTGCTGTGCTGCCATTAGAGGCAACTTGGTTGAAAGCAATAGTCGATTCCTGTGCATGATCGTCATGTGTAATAGATATGGCTTCAGATGTCAGAGAGTCAAGGGAGAGGGTTGCTCTGTCAATCTCGATATCCAAGGCATTAAGAACAATTTTATCTGTAGATGAAGCGAAATGGCCATCGATCCTGTTATTTATATTAGCTCTGTAATGATTATGTTGTTTCGGTAGCAGAGGTGCAATTATGCTCTTGTCTTATACTTGAGATTCAAGTCTGGACGCCTTACTCTACAAGTCCTTTATAAGTCCATGTATTGTAATCGAGATCGGTGATAAGCACATTATAATGTGATGGCTTGAGGGACTCAGGTAATATGTCTCTAACAGCCATGGCTCAGTTTCAGAGATGATAATAGCAAAATATTCAGCAGTCAATTTGCTGCCAACAATGGCAAATTGGCGTCAGTCAGTAACAGAATTAGGGAGGAAGGCCAAGTAAAAATAAAATGTATTCTTTGCTATTTTATATTCAATTGAACAGTAGGCCAGTACATCCATTCACACATACTCTACATCTACCACTTGTGTGTTGATGTTCGATTCGTGTATAGGAAGTCTGAGTTTCGAGCCGAAGCCGAAGCCGGAGCCGAGCCGAATTTCACGTCAAAAACCTGGCATTGTCGACCATGAATCTTGAAATCCTTGACTGCGCCCTCTCACTACCATCGAATACGCCCTCTTGCTACCATATGAGCACATTTGAGCTGAATTCTGTCTGATGACTGGTTCGATAAGGATGAAAACGATGTCGTGATACAGAAGGACACCACATTTTCGCCAGGACTCGAATTTTGTCATATTTAGCTTCGGCTTGACAATACGAACATTCAGCGAATTCACGCAAGATCATTGTTATACTATTATGACTTGTGAATCAGGACATTTATGATAAAGAACTTGGTAATCGGCGCAATCACCGCGAAGAAATAGAAATGCTGTTCCCTTGCAAAAGCAAATCTATAAAACAGGCGCAAGAACCGCTCATCTTTAGGCGGTCATGTAGAAACTAATTCAACTACATACAATGTTGTCTCAACGAATTTCTCGAACATCTGCTGATCTTGATGCACCTTGGAGACACACTCCTCGGTTCCAGAAGTACGATCCAGTAGCAAGCCCAGATGGGGTCATCTCATTTGCAACTGCAGAAAATGCAAGTCTTTCGCTCAACAACAGCTTCACTAAGCTAATATTTGCACCAGGCTCTTGTTACCAATGAATTAGAGCAGTTTGCAAATTCCGCTGTGAGTATAATAGCCTCAACTTACAGCTGATAACCCAATATGATATCCTCATGCTAAGGCAGCATAGAATGTGCACATTCCAGGGGCTGCTTTTATGTATGGATACAGTACCGCAGGTGGACAACGTTTCCCAAAAGCTCTAGCAACGCACCTTAATGAGTATTTTCATCCGTTCAAACCTCTCACAGGAAATGATATATTGGCAACTGGAACTGCGACGGCACTTCACGAGATTTTGGCTTTTAGCCTGGGAGATCCAGGCGATGGCATCCTTCTCAGCCGCCCATGTTACGGACGGTTCGAGCTGGACTTTGGTAACAAAGCAGAGATGCCAATAGTTTGGGCCGATTCCAACGCGGAAAATTGCTTTAAACCAGAAGTTGTCAAGTATCTGGAGGAGAAGCTGCTTGAATCAAACGCAGCGGGAACCAAGATCAAAGCCCTCCTTATTGTGAATCCACATAACCCTCTTGGTACATACACCGCTACCGGGAGAAGAAATACGTCTACTGACACTCTAATAGGACGGTGTTATCCAAGAGAAACTCTCATTGCTCTAATGGCGTTTTGTCAGAAGTATCGCATACACTTTATCAGCGATGAGGTCTATGCTTCTACTGTCTTCGAATCAGGAGAGCCTGACACGTATCCCTTTACGTCCGTACTCTCCATTGATCCAACAGGAATTATTGATCAAGATCTTGTTCACGTCGAATATGGCATGGCCAAAGATTTTGGATCCGCTGGCTTGCGAGTGGGAGCGCTAATTACCCGCAACGCCGCCCTCCAGAAAGGATTCACAAGCATTATCCGCTTTCATAGTCCCTCTGGCATGTCAGTAGCTATAGCAAGTGCCATGCTTGAGGACAGGGGGTGGTGCAGAAAGTTTCTAGAAACGGCACAGAGCCGGATTTCCGAGGCTTTCCGGTTGACCACGACTGAGTTATCTCGTATAGGTGTGAAATACTTGCGTGGCACAAATGCTGGCCTCTTTCTTTGGATCGATTTATCTCCTTATCTTCCACCTGAGAGCTCTAGCCTCTCTAAATCCGAGCGAGAGTTTGCCCTGGCTCAAAAACTGCTTGATGGGGGAGTTTTCCTTCATCCCGGTGAAGAGCACGCTCTTGAAGCTGGCTGGTTTCGGTTGGTCTATTCACATGACCCTGTTATAGTCCAAGAAGGCCTAAAACGGTACGTTAACTCATATTTCCATCATTATGAAGCCTTTCTAACTGTCGAAGAATCCATTCTGTTCTTAATAAACTATCTTGGTAGTCTCAGAGCTGGCATTCAGTCGACTCTGGAAGAACCAATACTTATTTTGGTCTTGAATACTGTGGAATGGGCAATCTTCTCGCTTCTTGCTTGCTACACTTTGTGATCAATCATTATACCACATAGCTGCGGCATAGCGTAGATGTTGGTAGGCCGCCTAATGATGAATAGATGATGAGAAATATAATCAACAATCACTTTTCTTAACTAGTTTAATCAGTGTGTATTTGAAAAGTTTACAGAATACTGGACTTTGGAGATGAAATTTTGAGTATATCTACGGCTCAGCCATGTATCTGGATGCACTATACCAAGTTATATAACAGTCCTTTTGTACAAGAGTCCTGGTGTATCTAATACCCGCAATGCTGTTTATAAAGACGCCATACAGTTCTTCCAAAGAGATATCCCCGTAGTATTAATTACCCAATCATGACATATACTTCAATTTTAGTAAATGACCCGCCAATAAACTAACTCCGGATCGCGAGAGAGTTCCAAGCGGCCGCTTATTTCCGATTTTGGATCTCGTAGGGGTTCTTGTCTTAAGTACGGGAGCTAATATAGTGTAAACTGTGATGCTAGGAGTTCGGATTGTTGCATGGCGGCTCTAGAATTCGAATTTTATATTTTGGTCAGGGAAGCAGTCTTCGCTAACATATATGATAGTTCATATAAGAACTCTATGTAGCAATTCGTATATAGATACACTCTCCGTAAAGAGATGGTGCACAAAATTGCCACCAAGCATCTAATCGCACTTAGAACGCGAACTTTTCTCCCACAAGCTCCTCACTCTTAGCCCACAGCTTCTCTCCCTCGCTCCAACTGGTGTACCACACTTTGGTACTCTCATGAATCTGGCAGTCGCTCAAATACACACCCCTGCCTTCCCATTCTCCATCTTCGCCTTTAATCTCAGGGCCGGTCTTCGCAAGATCCCCCTCACTTGCAAGTGACCTCTTTGCCGGCAGCGTTAATGCAGGGTCTACAGCAGCTACCAAGGTTGTGCTGGCGCCCTCGCCTAGCTTCTTGAAGACCATGCCCTTCTTTTTAAAGGACTCAATTCTCGCCTTGTAGTCCTCTGCGGGAACCTCTCGGCCGAGTTCCGTGACGATTGATCCAGGGTGTACAGCGAAGCTCAGTATACCATACTTTTCATACAGGCGCTCGTTCAGACCCAGGCTAAGCAGAACGTTTGCCGTCTTGGACTGCCCATAAGCGCCCATTGAGTTATAGCTGTCAGCCTTGAGAGCCTCCACTTCAACAGGCCATAGTCGAGTAATTCCGACGTAGTCAGGTTGCTCAGCTAGTGGCAATGTCCCATTGGCTTTTTCCCAGTTGATGTCGCTAAAGCGAATAGGGCTATAGTTGGCGCCAAAGGAAGAGACGTTGACGACGCGAGTGGCCCCCTTTACGGCACCGGGCTTCTGAGCGGCCGCAATCAACTTTGGAATAATCAAGCTCGTAAAGAGAAAGTGGCCAACGTGGTTTGTCGCGAAATGCCGCTCTATGCCGTCCTCGTTGAGCTGGCGTGTGGGCACGTTCATGATGCCCGCATTGTTGACCAGGATGTCAATGGCGGGTACGTCAGTCCATCCATTTAGCGTTGAAGCGGCCGCTCTGGCACCCTTTTGCGAGTTTAGATCGAGCTCAAGCACGCGGGTCTTGGTGTTGGGATATTCTTTGGCTAGAGCATCAGCACACTCCTGCAGCTTGGCGGGGGTTCGACCGGCTAGGATGATGAGTTCGGCGTTTTGAGATGCAAAAGCTTCGGCGGTAGCGTAGCCGAGGCCCTTAAGGTTAACGCCTGTGATAAGAATAGTTTTGCCTGAGATGACTGATGGAAAAGCAGCGGCTACAGCCAGGGCCGTTGTGTGAGGGCCAAACTCCGGGTGTGTTGTTGCTGAAGGCATTTTACTCTATTGACTGGATTTTTTCCCGCTTTTGTTATACCACAGTCCTTTAGATATATCCAACCAACCAATTCTATTTTCCAGGCAAAAATTCGACAGAAAACAAGAACTCCTATGCTTTATGTTGGGGACTCTCGTCTACTTCGTTAACCAAGAGCACACCTAATGCCGCTAAGTCCGTTTCCCACGGCCCCACTGCCGGAGGACGATTCTAGCTCCCGCGGCCCGGGTCCCCGTTGCTTTTTTCTGCTATCGAATCTTGCCTTTGGAAATGATTCCAGATCATCGTAGACGAACTACGCGATATTTCCGAGAAAGTCCGTGGCTAGGAGTCGCGACCTGAGCTGTGATGGATCCGGCATAGTGAGAAAGGGATTGAAGTATTCTCTTTACGAAGATATATCAGGAGGCCGAAGTACTTGAGATTGATGAAATGGCCGACATCTACTAATTTGATCTTCAGAGGCTCAAGATATATAGTGTAGTGCATCATTGAGAATTCTTCCTTCTTATTTACTCATAACTGATTACTCAACATTGTTCAGAATCACAAACTCCGTTATGTCTTTAATCGCGCCATACACAAACGAGCACCGGGATACCAACGGCCCCGGAGATGCGCGTCCTACCGCCTTCAAGATTGTGCGTGACCAATCTCTGGACGGAAAGCTCAGCGGAAAGGTGATTCTCGTAACAGGTGGCACTTCTGGCATCGGATTCGAGACTGTACGAGCGCTGCATGCTACCGGCGCGGACATTTACTTCACTGGCCGCGACGCTAAAAAGGGTAAAGAGGCGGAAGAAGAGCTGCGGAGTGATGGCAAAGCGGGGAAGCTTGAGTATGTTGAAATGGGCTTGGATTCTCTTCGAAATGTACGGGAGTTCGCTGCCGATTTCCTGAAGCGGACATCTGGCAAGCTCAATATTTTGATCTGCAACGCTGGTGAGTTGTGACCTTAATTGCACTGAGTGCTCTCTCAAATTTCCCTTTTCTCTTTTCTTTTCTTTTTTTTTTTTTTAACCATCTAGCTGACCTTGTCTGTTCAAGGTATCCGAGGATATCCCAAAGGAAAAACTGAAGATGGGTTTGAGCTGCACTTTGGAACCAACCACTTAGGGCATTTTGCTCTCTTCCAAGCTCTCAAGGATGCCTTAGTCGCATCAAGCACACCATCATTTCGTTCTCGTGTAGTGTGTCTATCGGCATCAGGCCACCGCCAGTCCGGCATCCGGTTTGATGACATCAATTTCGACCGCGGGAATGAGTACCAACCTCTGCTTGGATACGCACAATCGAAGACGGCTAACATATACATGGCCCTTGAGATTGAGAGACGCTATGGTGCCAGCGGCGTTCATGGGCTAGCTGTTCATCCAGGAGGCATCAGCGGCACGAGACTCAACCGAATGACGCCGATATCACAACTCAATGCCCTAACTAGCGACCCGGTTATCTCAAGGAGAATGAAGAATGCGGAACAAGGCGCCGCAACAACGGTATGGGCAGCTATATCTCACGACTGGGATAACAAGGGAGGCGTGTTTCTAGAAGATTGCCAACAGAGCGAGCTATGGAATGGTGACATGACGGCTTTGGCGCCTGGACATGCGGCGCATATTCATGATGCTGAGAGTGCAGCGAAGTTGTGGGATATAAGCCTGGAAATGATCGGATCAGATACCTCTAGATGATGCTTTATGAGTAATATCTCATCATATGCGTCGGGCGTGGTGTTAATAGAGAGGAGTGATGGATTTCACAGTGGTGGAATAGTTCCGATTAGGTACATGTAGAAGAGCAGTAGGCAGATGTATATGTAATTCGCCACATACCAGAGTGCTAGCAGCAACGCAACAGATACCATAGCTGACTACCTGCATGTACATCGTCCAATGAACCCTGTCGCTATATACGAGAGGAGTGCTTAATTAAGAATTGCAACGTGACGTGGACCCTAGTCGCAGCTCCTTGGTGTGTCTCGGAGATATTCCTTTAGTCTCGCATAGTAGAAATGGTGCAGCAACATCTAATATCTGCATAACATATGGAGTGCGGAGTTAATACGTTCGTAGGGGTAAGAAAATAGTATATTGAATCAGTTGATATCAAAAGGCTGCGCACAGCCCCTATTGGATTATCTCTCTCAGTCTAACAAATGACAGCATGCATTGGAAATAAAATGTCGATCATTTGACTTTGCTCTTCCATCTCCGATAATCACCCTCGTGATTTACACAATAGTGCTGATGATCTGGCCAGGGTAGCTGATAGGGTATTCGCTGCTGAAGAGTGGCACGCGCGCCCAAATCTCGTCGAGATGGGCCGCCAGCGCCGCGTGGTACTGGTCGGCATTGTCGAAATACATAAGTGTAGCAACGCTATATGGGGCACCACTGTCCAACTGGGTAATAGTATAGCCCTTCATACCATAGGGTTTATAGAGCGAATAGACCCAAGGGAATTGCGTTTGGTTATAGTAGTCCATGTCAAAGGTTGAATCGTAAGTTGCGTTGTGAATCGAGGGGTAGACGGCCATGGCAAACCAGTCGCCCACACTGCCGGCGCATGTAGTGACCTGGGCATTGGCCGAGTGCGAGAATACTGCGATGATAGGGGCGAGACTGTTGTTTAATTTACTTGTTAGATATCATGAAGCTAGGTTTTTATGTTGTTTGATGTCTATTTATAGCAATACTTACACCGAGGCTAATGTTTGAAGCTTCATTATGGCTTAACGTTTTAGCTTGTTTTATTAAAGATGAATTGGTTCCTTAGAAAGGCAAACAACAATTGGTTCTCTTCAAGGGGATAATTGGTTCCTTTTCTGGTGAATGGTATCCTTTTCTTGAATTGCAGCGACATAAAACGTCCTTTTATGTTTTCTCAATAACCCAATTCTTACCAATCATAGGTACATTTGCATTCATGATCTTCTGATGTCTACGCAATCTTCAACACCATAGATGATAAATGCTTACGCAACCTCCAAGTCTGCGAGGTGTTCGTTAAATCCATGAAAGATGGTCGTTAAGTCCATGAAAGACCGTCGTCCACGCAATCCCCAGCTGGACATTGTGGATAGCTATCCATCTTGGTTACCTCCCTATTATCCAATAAGGAAGCTATACAACTCATCTTGCAGACATGATACGCAACCCCTGTCACATGAATAGATGTATGAACCAGTAATGAAGATAGATTACCTTACAGCGCCTTGATTTCTCCATTTGCCAGTCAAGGATCATTCGAGAGCCAATTTAAACTTGTATTCATTTACTCATTCCTACGACTCGAACTAGGTGAATAGACGTTCCAGGTTCATGCATCACATGTGGAGTCAGGGAATCAAGCTTATACGACCGTAAGCGAAAGTATATTTAACTATCACTTGATCTCACTGTCTATTCCCGATAATTACCGTCCTATCTAGATAGTGGTGTTGGTGACTTCGCCAATATAGTGAGGAGGGAATTCGCTACTAAAGAGCGGCACACGAGCAAAGATCTCATCACCGTGGGCAGCCAATGCCTCCTCAAATTGCTCAGCGGTGCTAAAGTACATGAGCGTAAGAACGCTGTACGGGGCAGTGCGTTCCAGAGTGGTGATGGTGTATCCCTTCATGCCAAACGGCTTGAAAAGTGAGTAAATCCATGGCATCTGCTGCTGGCTGTAGTAATCCATGTCAAAGGTCGAGTCGTATGTTGCATTGTGAATCTGGGGATAGACGGCCATTGAGAACCAGTCACCGACATTGCCTGGGGCACAAGAAACTTCTTGGGCGTTGACCGACTTTGAGAGTACCGAGAACGTGGTGAAGAGATTGAGTGGAATTTTTACTTGTTAGTTGTCATAGGGCTGATTTCTGAGTGTGCAGGATATCTCATTGGGCTTGATCGATCTTACAGAGAGGTCAAAGTCTGGAGCTTCATTGCGGCTTTCTGATTGAATTCTCGATTAAAATCCAATGGTTGGTTGGTTTACTCTTCCTAGAGCAAATTCAGAAAATTGTGCTAATGTATTAAGGAGATGGTTGACTGCTCTGGAGGTGAATCCTGTGATGATTTTATCTCTTGAATTACAGCGACATCAAGCGTCCTTTTATATCCTTTTTTCGAGAGTGTTTTTGCCGATCTCATATTCACATTCATAATCATCAGATGTCTACGCAGTCTACAACATCATATTGTGGGTGATACCCTTCAACTTGCAAATTAAGAATGCAGGACGAAACATGGTCGGCCGCATCGCCACGCCCCTCAGTCCACGATTCCTCCATTACGGCTGTCTCTTAAAGATCCAAATAGGAAGCTCTACTGTTCAACTTGCGAAACATCACGAAATCCTCCCGTCGCATGCATATCCAACCAAATGACAGAATGGATCAGCTTGCAGCGCAAACATTTCCCAAAGCAGCAGTTGTAAGGGGCATTTCGAGAACAACTTAGCCTTACATGTGGTTCATTCAAGCGTACGCCCGAACAACGTTAAAAGAACGTCTCCTTGCATCGGCGTTAGACTACTTCGTCCAACCATTTCCCTTCCTTACACATCCCTCTTTGGGCATCAACTCCCACTGACCACCAACTTTGCTTTAATCGCCGTAGTTTATTTCAACTTTTAATGCCAAGGATGTCGTAATTGGACGCCTCCCAGAATTAAGGATTTAGTCAGCCTTCGCCAACCCCGCGTCTGCTGTCACTCGGACTTGCTGACTGGACAGGATCGGCTTTAAAGTCAACCTTATCGCCTAGCCTCGCCCAGCGACAGCGACAGTCACCGAAAACTGCATACCAGCTGAGACAAGGCCGTGCGTTGAATCGGAGAAGCTGAAAATTTGTATGTATGGGATATGTGCGGCGACTGCGGCCAAGTCGGATATGGAGCGACTTTCGTCGCCGTGTTGGAGTCAATTTAACGTGTATAATAAGGGGCCATTTGCTCTTCATTGTCTGAATTGTAATCACTCCAACTCACTCAACAATCACAACAATCACAGCAATCACAACCTCTTCTACACTAATAAACAAGACAATTCAATCACACCCAGTTCTTTATTCAAATCCTAAAATAGACTCTAATTCCACACACACAATAACAATGTCTGCCCCGTCCGAACAGACCCTGGTCGTCACCGGCGCCAATGGTTTCGTCGCCCTTCACATCATCAAGCAAGCCCTGGATCGCGGTTACAATGTCCGAGGAACCGTTCGATCCGTCAGTTCAGCAGGAAAAGTCCGCTCCCTCTTTGCCGACTACGGCAACCAGTTCACAGTCTCCATTGTCCCCGAGCTGAACAACAAGGAACTCTATGAGCCTGCCTTTGTCGGCACTTCAAAGCCTGTCACGGGCGTCATCAATGTTGCTGCTCCCTTCTCCCTGAAAGTCGATGACCCTGTTACTGGGCTGCTGGATCCGGCTGTTAAGTGCGCTGTTAGCATGCTTGAAGCAACTCGTGCATATGGACCTAATGTCCGTCGCGTTGTCAACACATCGTCCTTTGCTTGTATTCTCGATCTCACCCAGGGCTACCGTCCCGGATACACATACACAGAGAATGACTGGAACCCAATGACACATGATGAAGCTGCCAAGGCCGACAATGCCACTGCATACTGTGCTTCCAAAGCTCTTGCCGAGAGGGCCATGTGGGATTGGGTTGAGGCCCAGAAGCCCTCATTCTCTCTGACATCTATCAACCCTCCTTGGGTCTTTGGTCCTCATCTTAGCCCCATCACTGATCTTTCACACCTCAACGAATCCTCTGAGGCACTGTGGCGTCTTGTTGGTGCAAAGGACGTCCCTCCAGTCGACTTCGGCGGCTTCGTTGATGTTCGTCTCGTCGCCACAGCCCATCTCGAGGCCTTTGAGCGTCCCGAGGCTGCCGGCGAGCGCTTCATCTGCGGCCAGCACTTTGACTACCAGAGCGCGGTGGATTCCCTCCGTGAAACTCTACCAGAGCTGCAGAGCCGCTTGCCCCTGGGAACACCCGGTGCCGGTAAGACGCAGGCCATCTACCAGCTCGACGGAAGCAAGGCAGAGCGGGTTCTGGGAATCAAGTACATTCCCTTGGAGGTTACCATGAAGGATTCTTTTGCACAGTTTTTGCAAGCGGAGGCGTAAAAGATGCTTGGTCAAGCATGGATCCATAATTTGATAGAATAGCGCTGGGTTTGACGGAGAATTAGGCTCCTTCTTTTATCATTAATACGAAATATTGAAATGTTACTATTTACGTGTATCAGCGGAGCAGAGTGATCTATCACCTATCTATCCGAGGGAGATGTACGAAGTATATACTCTAATGCATAACTTTACAAGTGTGATGGATCTCTAATGCAGCAAAATGTCGTATCCATCCTTGGTGATCCGCACCTCCTCCATCCCGAACCCATACTTGCGTCGTATGAGTTCAAAGATGATCAGCCCGGCACTTGTGCTCGGTACTTGTCGAATCGTATTCCACCAGAATCCTCGATATAGCCACTTGCCCAGCTTCAGGCCTTCTGCTGACGCCTCGGCTGTACACACCGCCCAAGTCTCTTGGTATGCGTGGTAGTATGCTCGGAGCATCTTCCATCTTCGATGCGGTTGATCAGGGTTGGCGGCACGAGATGCGCGTAGGCGGGCAGCCTTTGCGTCCAGGTCTTCTAAATGGTCCCAGTGCTTGACCTGGAAATGCGTGAGAGGATGGAGAAGAAGCTGCTGGGCGAAAGAGGCGCTTATGCCTGCAGCAAGTAGAAACATGGGCTCTATAGCATAATGGGGTCGAATAAGCTGAATACCGCCTTCTTTGGGTCGATCAGTGGGACGCTTTGTCGCAAGAAGATCTACAATATCCTCCTCCAGACCCCCATAGTACCACGTTACAAAGCGATAGTATGATTGCGCCTTGATATACTCAAATGTGCTGAAAAAGATTGCACATCCGACGCTGTCTTTTACAAACGACACCCCCCATCCCGCAAATATGCCTCGAAGCCCAATTTCTCTGAGCTTTTCGGCACTAAACGTCCACATGCTTCGAGGCCGGCCGCTGCCGTCATTGGGCATCATGTCACGATGATCATAGCGTGCCTGCAATGCGTCCAACGGCGCTGCCAGGACGCTCTGCAGCCCGCCTGCGAGGAATCCAGCCATGAATGTAGCCTGAGGAGGCGGCGGAGGATAGACTCTCTTGGTAGCCTTGGAGCTTTCCTCGTGCAGACGGCCCAGGATCTGCAGATATCCCGTGTACAGCACCGCGTTGACGCCAATGTTAGCGATCAACGGCGGCATGATCTGGTGCGGCACAATGCCCCAGCCTTCATGTCGGATTGCCGACGTCAAAACGCCAGGAGTTGTGCTCCGCATCCACAGCCATGTCTGTCGGAGTGCCGCGACCAACCTCGACGGCGATGCATCTTCCGCAACAGCCTGCATCAGCTTCTTCGTCTGCTGGTGGTGAATCGTCCGGGCATACGCTAGATAGTCGACTCGGGTGCGGAAGAAGGACTTTGCCGGAGCACGGAAGTAAAAGGCAACGACCTGTGCACTGAGAGCCCGCACTCCGGCCGCCGAAGCTGCTGTCGCGGCATTGTTTCGAGGATGGCGATCAGGCAGCTCGACTCCCGGCGGGAGGACGGGGAGAACGCCGGTGGTCGAGTCGGGGAGAGGGGCCAGGATGGGAGCTTCAGAGCGGCCGGAGATCATGGCTCTTGCGGCTCGTTCGGCTCATCGTGGGAGAGATTCGGTCGGGTTTAGGAGATGCGCAGCGTGGGCATGAGAGGTCTTGTAGAGAGAGAGTCTGGAGCTGGGCCTGGAAGAGTCTGGCGGCTGACGTCGGATCTTGCTGACTCAGCTCCAGCGTTATCATTATTTCGACTCCAGCGATCTCTCTCCTCTCTCCCCCAAGCTAAATGAAGCTACATGTATTTAAAGTAAGTGACTACATATCCAGCATCGCATGATTCAACTGTAATAGCGATGAAAGAAAATACTAGAAAAAAGTAACCATACTTGAAGATGGCGATAGTAGCGGAACATCGAAGATAGTAATCATGGAAGAGATCAGAGGCATCGGGTAGATAAACAGTGGTTTCTCTACATATGTATCTATATGGTGTTTAATGTTGTAATCGCTGTGGTGTGGTTACATGTAGCTACCCGCTCAAAGAATGTTTACGACTCTCTGTCCTGGCGGTTGGAAAAACTCGGAATGATCCCCGCGTTTCTAAACCCCTGCGAATCGATCTGCCCCTCACTTTCCAATGAGGAGATGCTATCTCGTCATTACACGTACTGGTCAATAACCCACACTGTTACTGACATCTTCACAACTGTCTCCATCGCGGCAGTCTCATGTCAAGATGACGCAGCGAAGGATCCCCTTCATTGATGAGAAACCAATTGCTCCAGCTCCCGGTGTGTTAGAGACACGGCAAGAACCGGATCTCATCAAGCCATGGAAGCTCCCTCCTCAAAGGACATACATCTTCAAGAATGCAAATGTTGTCGATACATCAAACGGGAAAATCATCCACAACCAAGTTATCAAACTATCAGGAGGCCTGATCAAAATAATTGGCAATGAGCATGCGCAATTATTCCCCAACGACGCTATTGTGGTGGACTTGGCTGGCAAATATCTCAGTCCCGGGCTGATTGACTGTCATGCCCATCTGTCTTCTGTACCTGGAGAAGAAGGTCTCACGGCGAGTATAGTTCATCCCGATATGGCTGTTTCACACTTTCGTCAGCCTTATATGGCGGCGCAGGTGCTGTATCGAGGGTTTACTACAATGAGAGACACGGGTGGCGCAACGCTGGCTCTGAAGGAGGCAATTGCAGACGATGTGTTTCCTGGACCTCGACTTTTCATTGCCAACAAAGCTCTCTCGCAGACAGGCGGCCACGGAGATTCAAGATCCGCCCATGAAGCGTGTTGCGGTACCACGAATTGTCTTTCCACTATTGTTGATGGCGTGCCTGCCGCGATACATGCTACTCGAGAGCAGATCCGCATGGGAGCAGATTTCATCAAGATTATGACTAGCGGAGGTGTTGCTTCGCCGACAGATAGATTAGACCATATTCAGTTTACAGCTGCTGAGATCAGGGCGATTACCGAGGTCGCGGAAACGTACAACACGTACGTGACCGCTCATGCTTACACTCCTCGGTCAATCAGACATGCTGTGGACAATGGTGTCAAGGGAATTGAGCATGGCAATCTCATTGACAAAGAAACGGCAGAATATATGGCCAAGAACAATGTCTGGTTCACTCCTACACTTGTCACCTACCATGCCATGGGCTCTGACAAATACGCTGGGTTTCTACCACCAGCAAACCGTGAAAAGAACCGCCAAGTTCTGGAGCAAGGTCTCCAATCTCTGCGTCTGGCAGACGAAGCAGGGGTTACTATTTGCCATGGATCAGATCTTTTGGGGCCGCTGTGGATAGAGCAGAGCAAAGAATTCGGCATTCGGTCGCAGGCTTTAAGTGCCGTAAAGATTCTCCAGGGGGCCACCGTTAATGCTGCAAAGATGTTGGGACAGGAGAATTTCTTGGGTCAGATTAAAGACGGGTTTGCCGCTGATGTATTGGTGCTGAATAGGAACCCACTGGAAGACATTTCGATTTTGGATGAGCCAGAGAAGTACATTCTTGCAGTGGTGAAGAATGGGCGAGTGTATAAGAGCCGGTGGACGAAGCTGTCGGAAGACGTTGCTCCGGTTCGGACGATGGTTGAGTGATTTCAGGAACAGCTCACTTGTAATGGATTACATGAATAGGATATAAGCATACAGCTTTCTTGTTAAATACGCATTCCTTACCCAGGGATTCGCTGTCCAACACCTCAATGAGCACAGTACATGGAGTTAACTTGTCTTGGAGGGATGCAGAGGAAATGTCTTGACCTACACAATGATATTAATCTCTTCGCCAGACTCCCAAAGAGAATCCATCTTACTTGTCCAACCCTTTGTAAAGATACGACACGCGCCATTCAAAATGCCATGGAAACCGACAAGCAAAAAGAGCAAAAAAGAGCAAAAAGCATGCCCCCACTCAGATTTGAACTAAGGACCTCTGCATTACGAGTGCAGCGCTCTACCCCTGAGCTATAAGGGCTGACTTCTTATCGATAAAGGGTATAGATAATGACTTATAAGCAGAGCATCACAAATAGAAGTCCTTTCCGTTGACCAAAGAGAGCGTTTCCATGAAATCGATGAACATTGCACGTTCTTCCCATCATTCGCACCTGTACTTCTCATGTTGCCAGATGAAATAGAGCCATCTTATTCCTGAAAGCAAAATAACATATAAGTAGAGGAAAGAAGACGAAAGTACCAAAAATTTTGGTAGATAACACCATCCAATTTTGCGAGTTACAGCCCACACAAACTACTCTGAGTCCATAGATTTGGGGTGTAACCACGAATAAAGAGATGGCGCCAACAAAATTAACTATCCACAGTAACAATAACTGGCATTTACTTTGAGACAAACAGGGTGAAAGGTGCGGATATTAGCTCGGCCATTGGGCAACTGGTATGACTCACCAATTAAACATTAACTCCGCACTCCGTACGTTCAGGCAGAATATATAGACACCAGCCACCCAAGTTTAAGTTACATGACTGAATTTCCATAGAGAAACCATCATGTACAGCGAAACCATAATTTTAATCGGCCCAGAAGGGTCTGGCAAGTCTACTGTTGGAAGACTCCTGGCCAAAACGCTATCGAAAGAGTTGTACAGTCTTGACCGGCATCGCGACGAACTCTATGCACCGTACGACTACGATAAAGACCTTGCCGCGAAAATTTATGAGGAAAAGGGATTATGGCCGTTTTACCAACACTGGAAAACATTTGAATACAAGGCTGTCACACATATCTTGCAAAATGCCCGCCAAGAGGGCGATGAGTTTTATGGCAAGATTCTCGACTTCGGAGCTGGACATTCGGTGTTTGAGGATCCCCAAGAGCTGGAAAATGTCGAGGCATTGATTCAACCGTACGAAAATGTCATTTTAGTAATCCCATGTGACGATGCGGAAGAAGTAGTGAAGATAACAGAGGCAAGGAGAGGCCATGAACTTGGCCTCAACAAGCACTTTGTGGAGCATCCGAGCAACAATAGGCTTGCAAAACACATTATCTATACAAAAGACAAGACGGCTGAGGAATGTGCTGAAAGAGCGCTCAAGATTATCAGAAGAGAAAATGCAGCGTGTCTACCAGCCCTCACAACTACAGACGCTAATCCAGCAAAAACGGCTTAGAAGATTGGGATAAACAAGTCCCTCGGACGGTGGCAGGATTGATCAGGATTTGAAATAGCTTGATGATTGAACGAAATAATACATTTTATTAACTAGATATTATCTATAAGTGCTCTTGTGATGACGGCTGTGCGAAGAGGCAATCCATATTGAGGAATAACTAGTATTTGCTAATCGACCCTCGAAAGACGGGCACGCAAGTTCGGGAGTATGGCCACAAAAACACAATTTCTTAGAAGGTAACTGACCATGTAACAAATCCTTTGAAGTTAATATCATGGTGCACTCAAGAAGCCGCTTCGGGTTTCTTCGGTTCGCGAAGCATACACGTATGTGTGTAAGTTTCTCCATCACTAGTCCCAGGCAGTTCGACAGTAATCTCTTCCATAACTTGAAAGCCAAACTTCTTGTATAATGGAACGGCCATTGGAGAACCAGTCACCCAGCAAGCAAGACCTTCTCGATCAGCTAAGTCTGTGACCCAGCCCATCAGCAAGCTCCCCGCACCACGTCGTTGCGCCTTGGGATGTGTGCCAATGAGCTTCAAAACTGGAAGAATAGAGACTTAGTTTCAAGATCCAAAACAATTTGGTAGTAAAAGATAACACATACTAATTGCAGGCCGATTGCCCAAATCCCGTAATTGTGCCCTCGCAGCTCTACTACTAAAATCAGACCCAGAAGGAACCTCAGTCTGGGGTTTCGGGGCCTGCGGACGTTTGCTAATCATATCCTCTGGAGCATCTACTTATATTAGTCGACGAAATTGTGAGCTCAAAGTAGTATATGGCACAAACCAGTTGGAGTAAATCGATTGGGATCAATATCGGTGTTCTGAAACCCAATTTTGACCCAACCAACCAACTCCCCTGTCTCAGTGTCGACGACCTTTTTGTAAATATTAAGAGCTTCGCTATAATTTTTGGGCCAGCGGCGTATAAGGCCTGCTACCCGCTCATCAAATGTCTCGTGTGCGAAGGAGGCTCTAGAATAAGGGTCGCTGTTGAACGAGGTGGCATATGTGTTGGCATATGCCGCGGCATCTCCAAATCTCATATCCTCAAGCTGGAGCGGCATTGTGGTGTTGATAGCAGATGCTATTCGATCTTATTCGCTAGTGGCTTCGTAGGATTTTGGTCTTGCACGAGCACGCAAGGGTATAACTAAAGTATTCTTGAACGTTCTATGCGATCTAATGAACACACATCAAGTCTATGGGATATTTCTGACTTTCTAATTGTTAACAAAACCCTCATATACTGATTTTGTGCTTTCTTGATACCTACCGTGAACAAAGAGCAGTGGATTCTCCGCTTTCGATGCAAGAGAGGTGGCCACGCACTCAACCAACGTAACTGCAAGTCCCTGCAGCAATCCCCTCATGCTATTCCGTCCTTGGTTCGGCCCTTAATTTAGCCATGGTCCCATTTATACAAAGGACAGCAAACTTTTGAGAGTCGGGGTAGTAGGTACTGTGTTCTCGTAATCAGAATATTGAGTACCTGTAACATTTGATGCAATTCCATTGAAGTTGAGTGCGATAGCTGCCATCACCCATGTTCTCTCCCTAAAAGCTATAGAATTCATAGCTTAAATAGTAAAATATCGATGAGCAAACGTGAGGTGCCGTCCCTCATCGAATGCATGAGCAGCAGAATTACCACTAATAATGCCAATGGGAAAAAAGAGACAGGGTTCCAGCCAATGATGTCCTTCACATGCGTATTGGTCTTGTGCAAAGGAACATATATGAGTGAGCGCGTCGTCTATAAAAGATGTAAGTGGAACTCTACGCTCTCCACGAATGTTCCCATCATCATACAGGTAGCTTTGACTCTGGACTACCTGGGTATGTGCCCTACCATCCCAGCCCCTTTTCTTTCACTCTCTAGGGTAATGGATATGCACAAAGGCTTTTCTATCGAATATAATGGTAAGTCTTACTACAATAGCTGAGAAGCCAAAGATCATACCGTAATTCATTATAGGGCTCAAGTTTGTTTTGACCAATCTATGTAGCATTTTCTTAGCTTGGACTCAAAGCGCCACTACCTAGTTTTATTATTACTATTATTATGAATCTTATGTCTTGGTTTCGATCAGATGTTACACCGCACATTTACCTTCCCGCCCCGTAGGCTACCATAGTGAAGGGAGAACCGAGACACGGGAAAGGATGGTCGGAAACAAGACCAATAAATAACTCAACAGATTAAGATGACGAGCATCGCCAGCCGGGCTAGTCTACCGTGGCTGGCAGCACATTTGAAACATGCATGAATGACCTTATTTTGGGGATGGTTGCCTTGTACGTACGGATCAGGTTGCTTGATATTGAGTGCCCCAGGTCATAGAGAATGAGAACCCCTGGAGTGGGCGACTACCAGGCCTGAACAGTTCGCCGTCTACGTAAGTAATTTGACATGTGTCATCTAACGTTCCAACTTGTATTAAGAGAGCCGAATGCGAAAAATAATGGCTATAACGCTATAAGATCGACAGAGACAGCCTCTAGGGAATATGAGGCCAGTCCACTTTAAAGTGAGGCGCTGAGGAAGCTGACGTTGGGTGACACAAATATTGCTGCAAGGGTATCGACTCTGCTATTCCGTGCTCAATACGGAGTAGTCTGTTTCATATTAGTCGTCATATTATTTGCCGGATGTCACCATCGCCAGAGCGGTTCAATCTGTGTATTGGAGACTTGCTTGAACTGTTATACCCGCACGTGTAAATGTCGCTACGAAATTGGCTTTCTATCTCGCTCTGTTAACTGTAATAGCGTGCGTTATTAGTCCCCACGCTCGAAAGAGGTATATATCGGCTCATCTTTCGTAAGTAGGATGGTCTTGTGGGCGGAGAAACAGCTTTAACGCCGCTGTGGTCAAATTACGCGCTTTGTAAATAATAAACTTCTACGCGCTAGCGCTTGGATTTATCCCAAGTGATTTTTCACATCTACCCCTTAGCGCTTAGGCGGCAATACCTAATGGCCAATAAGTGTGACTCGTAATAGATCAAGCTGCGGGCCGATCCAAAATGGGCCGGTAACTTGTAGAGATTAAGCGCTGTCGATACTGCAGACCAGCGAAGGATTCCCATCCATACGCGGCATACATTACGCATTCATATATATAAAGAAGAAGACGTTTATTATAGCGAGGCGGTACCGATTATGTTGTTTCCCTGTATGCTTTTTGCCAGCTTTAGCTGTCGGGTCAGCTCTGTCTAATTCATCGCCAGTCTGCCTTCGCATCCACACTTTTTGAAAGGCTTTTTCGTTGTTTTATACCCTATCCTACCCAAATACTACCGATTTCTATAAAACGGGCATAAAACACCACAAAAAATGACCAATGTTTCCAGACCTCCTCCACGAGACCGTAGCGGCTTCAAAATTGCAATTATATGTGTACTGAAAGCAGAGTTTGATGCAGTTGAGGGTCTCTTCGATCAATTTTGGGAGCCTGATCACAATTACGGCAAAGCTGAGAAAGACCCAATCGTTTACCGCACGGGTAGAATTGGTGCGCATGACGTCGTTCTTGTTTTTCTACCAGGCAAGGGCAATATCCATTCAGCCAACGTTGCATCAAGTCTACGATCTAGTTTCAACAGCATCAGGCTCTGTCTGGTGGTTGGCACCTGTGGTGGTTCACCTTTGACAGTGGAAGATGAGCAAGAAATAATATTAGGAGACGTGATAATCAGCGCTGGGGTTGTCTATGCCGATTTTGGACAAGAATTCTGCGATGAACTTGTCATGGACGATAATCTGCAACACTCATTAGGCCGGCCTAACTTGGAGATCAGGGCATTCTTGAATAAACTGTCTAGTATGCGTTCTAATAGCCAATTGCGGAGTGATACTCTCGCATATCTCTCTCAGCTGCTTCAGAAGAAAAATTACGAGACATATCAGTATCCAGGCGCAGATAAGGACAAGCTGTACGAGAAAACATACAGGCACCAGCACCATATACCGACACAGTGTTCGATTTGCTCAAAAATTGCGGATCTTCGCGACCCGGTTTGCAATCATTCAAGAGCATTAACCTGCGACGAACTTCTTTGTGATGATAATATGCTTGTTCGGCGCAAGCGGCTCCACGATGGCGATGTCATGTCTAATAATAGTCAATTACATATAGTTGAGCCATTGATACATCTTGGCCTTGTTGCTTCATCAGACCAGACAGTGAGAAGTGCAATTCTCCGACAGAAACTCTTCAATGAAAAGGGAGTTATAGCGTTTGAGATGGAGGGAGCCGGGGTATGGGACACTTTTCCTACTATTGTCATCAAAGGGGTCTGCAATTACGCAGATAGTCACAAAACCAGGGGCTGGCAGAAGTATGCGTCTGCAACCGCTGCTGCGTGTCTGAAGGCTCTCCTGAGGCAATGGAGTGTTGTAGATCAGCCTCGAATTGTTCAAAGTGAGCTAGGTCAGTCTGGTTTTTGTGCTTACTGCTTGAATCAGGCTAACTCGGGACGATTAGATGTGTCTTTGAAGCATCTTCAAATGTTTCGAACTCAGAACTACGAAGATCAGAAATTCCGAATTCCCCGTATACCTCAGGGTGCTTTCCAAGCATTTTTTCAGCTTCCGTCGTACCTCAGCTGGTTTTCATCCAATGAGAGTGGTGTGTTATGTGTCTCTGATCCTGGCAAAGGGAAATCTCTACTGGCCAGGAAATTGGTAGATGATTTCTACAAACAGGGTTACTCTACTTGCTACTTTTTCTTCAAAAGGGGAGGGGACGATAACCAGGACAGCGCAGCAGCAGCCTTGTGTGCAATTTTACATCAGCTCTTCTGCAAGCACCGTGAGCTTCTTGAATACGCCAACAAATACATCGAAGAGAACGGATCCAAGTTGTGTACCCTTTTTCGACCTCTATGGGACATACTCACCCAAATCGCATGCCAGTCGAGAATCGGAACTGTCATATGTGTAATTGATGAAATCGACGAGTGCAAAGATTCTGACAGATCAATACTTACTGAAGCACTAGAAGATTTTCACATCAGTAGCAGAAACAAGCCTCAAACTGGGTCTATATTTAAATTCCTGGTCACGCGCCGGTCAATAAGTCAACAACCGCATAGCCCAGCCAAGAATACCCCTGAGGTTAGCTTGATACCCTCCTGATATTCATTTAGATGACGAGGATAGTCGAAAAATAGATCAGAACTTATATGAGGCACCAAATAAATCATGAGGGCCCAAATTACTGTAAATCAGAACTTTAAAAGCAAGATATGAAGCCCTAAAAGCAAGATATGAAGCCCTTTATGTTGAGGGAGATTGATGCAGTTCTAACAATAAGAGTTTCGTAGCGATACCCTGGCAACGACTACAAGAGCATAGCATCGTATAATTTCCACACTGGCTGCCGTTTTTTCACAACGATTGGCAAATTTATGTATAAGATAGCACCGACATCACTATTTCTACCAAGACCAGCTGCAATCGGGCTCACTACGTTATATATCGAGAATTACACCAAGCTGGGAAATATTAGTGGATGCTGAGAAGGCTTTTCAGAGTCACCACGAAGAGCTCAGCAAGCTTAGTATTGCCAGCGTGAAATGCTCGGAGGAGAGATGATACAATATCCTAAACACAGCACCATCCAAGGAACAGCTAATATTTATGCAATATGAACATTTCCCTCCTATTCATCCTTATTGTCGCTAGAGTAGCTTAAAGGCGTTAGTTGATCATTTTCATTATCAGTACAAGGTTTATGAACTTTCTACGGAGGCAAGATGACTCCAAATAAGATATATTTGAGTTAGTATAATGAATTTTTTACCGGTTCGCATGGTTATGAAGCTTACCATATTTTTATTGAGTGACATGGACTGCATAAGTCATACAAGTATGTGTAACACCATTATGAATTTTTCACTACTTGTGCACGTAATAAACGTGGGATGGTTGATTGGACATCATCCCCTAATAGTATACCGTTATTGTCTCAGATGATATAAGAAGTTGTGCATGTGACCATTGCATCATCTAAGTCGACGAATCAGAAGTTTATTTAATCTCCTACAAAATGAGACTGTCTCACCAGCGACTATGCAGGGCGCATTTCGGTAGAATCCTATCCCGTGTATTACACTTATCAAGTGGTAGCTTATGAACATTCGTGGCGGTCTAGAATTCAATTACTACTTCCCTTGAACACGAATCCTCCAAATATATCAAGCCACTAGGTAGGGCTACGACGCTATGTTAGGCAGTCATCATTATTGCGGCAAGGGAGTTAAGTGTTACCTGTCACTGTACGACGCTATTAGGCAGGCATCGGCTTTGATTGTATCCAACTCTTACACAATGTCTTAGGCGTCATTCGTTATTCATATGGCATCGTTTCCGGAACCATATGGGCCGCTTCTACCTATAAAGACACATATAAAGACCCTCTAATTCTAACTGCAATCCTCTACCTTCAAATCAAACCATACTTCAGCAAGCACAAGCACAAGCACAAACGATATCAAAATGTCATCAATCAGCACTAACAAGATCTACGTTCTAAAGAACAGCTTCACGGCCGCAGCCAAGATACTTTCTCTGGCAGGAAATGGCAACTCTCTCGCCATGGTAGATGCACATAACGTTACTTCCAACGGGCTCTGGTTCCTTACCCCAACGACCTCAGCTCGCTACTATCGCCTTCACACTCTTGCCAATGGCGTGAAGCAGGCACTTGACGTCGTCAATGACAATGGAGTAAATAGCGTCAACCTCCACTTGGCTAATACTGGAGAATACAGTGGCCAATATTGGAGATTCGATGAATGGCACACAAGCCCAGCCTATCCGTACCGGCTGAGTAACAGCTTCACTGGGCCAAATGCGCACCTGGATGTATACTCGGACACATTTGTGGCTCATCTGGCCGGCAGCGATTACTCTGGGCAGCACTGGGCGCTAGTTCCTGCGGACACTGTCATTGTCACCAGGTCTTAAAGAGGGCGCGCATTATCGCGAAGCTTCTCCTAGTAAGATCTTCACTCTTGACTATGATGATTGGCCGTTTACTGACTCAAACTACAGACCACTGTTACTCGGGCTTGGAGGGCACATCAAATCTTCGCTGTGCCAATGCTGTAGCGTCTTGGTTCAATATATCAGAAGTGGAAGAATTATTACGAAGTTTTATATATTTAATACATAAATGAATGTCCAATCCACAGAGTAACTTCTTTTTGATCATGTAGAAAAAGCTCCCAAGGTCTATCATCGCTTACAAGAAGTAGACGCAACACACCGCCGTACCTAACCTATATTCCCAGTGCACCACTGAGAAGCACCAAATGCAATACGTAAAGATAATGGCTTCGAAAGCATATATGGGACGCAACTTGGTACAAATTCCAAGAGAACAGCAAGTTACGGCAAGGAAGACTCAGGGGTCTCTTCACCGTCTTGGCTATTTTTTTCATCTAATCCATCACCGAAAGGTAACTCCTGAGATAATTGTCTGTTTAACTTTGCTGCTGCTCGTAACCGACGTTTTGCATATACACCTGGCTTAGGCCTGACCATTTTTGAAGGATTCGGAGTCGTCAGTGGTTTCTCAGTTTTGGCCGGAAGGGCGCTTTCGGAATGTGCAATTGCGTCAAGGACACGGAATAACCTTTCATTCTCAGCCGCGACACTCTCAAGTACCATTTTCCCGTCGCGAACTGCAATCATGATCAAGGCTTTGAGAGTAAAATGAGCTTTGTTTCCAGCGACATGGAGTTTTGTGTAACGAATATCGAATTCCTTAAGAAGATTCATTAGGCTACATCGATGCGACAGCTGTAGAGGGTGCTGTGCAGCCTTGACCGTATCAAGTATGTAACAAGCTCTATCTGCAATTTTTCGATCGATATTGTTAAAGAATTTCGTATTCTTTTCTATCCCATGGGCCACCAGCACATAATCGCGGCCCTGGGTAAGCAAAGAAAATCTCCTAGGAAGATCAGAGAGTTCTATAAAATCTGTCTTTCTAAAATGGAATGACTTGGCCGCACGCTTGCATTGTTTTGAGTCTGTGTTAATAAATTGATAGGACCTGATGGCGTCGCCAGGATCTTGCATCATCAGGCATCGAGTGTCGAAAATGGATATGCCAATGTGAAAACTCTGTCCAGGCAAAATCTTTTCATAGCCTTCTCCAGTATTGACATTAATAGAGACAAATAAAACATCTTTTATGGAAGTATCATCTATGTAATATCCAATTTGAGGGAGATCGTCTGCCAGGCACAGTTGCGAGGTCTCGAGGCGATATCCCAGGATTTGTCTGAGAGCGAGATTCTCCTCTCGCAGAATGCCGGTATGCTGTTCCGCAGCCGAAGTCATGTTTTGGGGAGTGTGTATAAAAGGTGGAAGGAACTTAGTATTTCCAGTATAGATGTTCTATGTCTGACAGAAGGTGGCTCGATAAGCTGCTAGAAATGGTTTACAAAGGATCATGTCCGCCCCTTGGATAAAATGATGAACTCGATTAGAATTCGGGTTCCACTAACTTAGAAAGCCATAAACCATGGGATTTGCAATCCATAACAAATAGAGTTACCGATAAAAAGCAACACACAGCTTAAGACTCCTTAGGCCAGAATAAACTCAACCACGGCGGACTCATAAAGTAAAAATATGACTTCAGTTGTTTAAACTTTGAGCCCTTCCTCAGTAATCTTCTTCTTCCATTGCCTCTCCATCTCGGCCAGATATTCTGCTGCTGCTATATCTTCAAAGTTCGGTATGGGGGCATTAAACGCGGGAACAACCCTTGTGCCTTTAGAGGTTGCCTCCAATATTGTCCCATCTCCATATTGCGGATTCTCCAGCAGTTCCAACATAGCATCTGCAATATCCTCTGCGCTGGTGGCTAACTCTGCCTTAAACAACTTCATTATTTCTGGATCATCGGTGAACAGTGGTGTCTATACCGTCAAATGTCGTCAGTCAAAGGCCATTGTCCATCATTCCAAGTCACTTCTACATACATTGACAGCCCCTGGCGCAATAGCCGCAGTACGAATGCCAACCGTATCCCGTAAATGGCCGAGACTTCGAACAAAGCCGTGAACGCCATGTTTACTGGCGTAATACAGAGGCGTTCCGATGCCGTAGAGATAGCCAGCCATGCTTCCGACAACGAGCAGCGACCCGGGAATTCGACGAGAGGTCCAATGCGCAATGGCGAGCTGGCTGAGTCGAATCGGATGTGTCAAGTTGACATCGAGCACAGCGTAATGACCCGGATCGCCATTCGCGTCGTCTCGAGACAAGCTATCTGGATTTGTCGCCGACTTTGGCGGGTTCCAGAAGGAACTCCATTTGGGATCGAAGATTCCGGCACCTGGCACGACAATGTCAACCTGCGGAAACGTAGCCTCGGCCGCTCGGGTTAATTCTGATAGCTGAGGCCACGATCTCACATCTGTCTTCTTGAATAAGGCAACAGGCCGGGAAGCTGATGGTAGCTTCGATAGCTCATGCGGATATTGCTTCAGAAGTTCTTGAGCTTCTGGACGTAGGCCCAAGTCACCAATCAAGACAGAGCATCCGCGAGAGAGGAGTTTCTTTGCGAATGCGAGGTTGATTCCTATAGAGCAGTCAGCCTAGGCTATGTCGCACAAACAAGATGTTATACCTGAACCGCCACCGGTGATAAGGGCATGTTTGCCTACGACAGAGAGTGCCATCTTATCGCTCAGGTGTACGAGATCGAAATGGTGGTGATAGGTATTGGTAGGTTACATGCTTCGGTTCCCCGCTTGGACTCGGAGCCTGATTTACACACGTATATATTCTTCTTGGAACAAATGTCTTGTGTTACATCGAATGCGCACGTGCTTAGGATCGCCCATTACGAGGGAAATCCAAAAACCTGCAATTGAAGGTCATTCTTCACTTTGCGCTGTACCCGAGAATTGATACTGCAATAGATGCACTCCTCGGCGCGAGACCCAATGCCGACTCTATCGTCTTTGCTTCTTCTATCTCAACTGCTACCGTAGTAAACCGCACGTATAATGGTAGACCTTACAGTATTAATTCTTCCTAGATCTCCTCGAGCAAGGTAATCATTACCATTCTCATAGACTTCAATACCTTGCCCTATTAAAGTCTACATCTCAATGTAACCGGCCGATAGAGAAGTAAAAGAGACATTGAATCAACACCATCCGACATGCAATTTTGAAGCATCTTGTATATCGAATATGTTCTAATTTAGACATAATATGCATATCCTATCCATTGCGCCATGTAATCCGCCATTTTTATCATCACTTGCATCTCAAAATCACCGCAATTCCACACAATCATGCTGCCTCATCTCGTCCATCGAGCCACTTGCTCATATACGGACCATCCAGCCAGTAGCCAAGTTTCTTGTAATAGCTTCTTACACCAACACCCGAAATAACGCTGATCTTGTCGCTTCCGTGCTCCTCCCTGGCTATCCTCTCAGCCTCTTCCATCAGCAGAGTGCCAAAACCTTGGTGCTGGAACTTGCGGGGATCACGCGCGTGAATGGGCACAGCAGTACCGTAAACGTGAAGCTCACGGATCATGCTGGTTGGCTGGCCGGTAAGCTCCTCTCGGTAGGTATACTTTTCGGTACATTTGCGGAGTCGGAGGAGAGCGACCAGGATATCTTGCTTGGGGTCTTCGTAGGCGAGGAATGTCTCCCATCCACCATTGGCAACATAGTCTCGGCGGACCAGTTCAATCTGGTTTGGTCTGATCTTGTGCTTGACCTCGTTGACTCCGACTTCTCTCGTCCTCACGTCTCGACATGTTGTACCAAAGTCCTTCATTCGGGCCAAGGCCAACTCTCGCAGGTTTCCGTTTTCGACACCAGAGGTGACCAATGGCATGGGGATATCTCTCTGAACACGGTAGATTCGTGTCCATGGGGGAATAAGTGCAAGAATACGGGCCACTAGATCGATCAGTTGGTTGGGGGTATAATTTTGGTATCTTCCAGTCCGCCACAGCTCATATAGACCTGTTCCTCGAATAACCAGCGTAGGGTAGATTTTCAGACCATCTGTTCTGAATGCAGGGTTTTCAAAGTATTCTCTGAATTGGTCAATGTCACGCTCCATTCCCACGTTGGGTAGATCCGGCATCATGTGGCTGACCACCTTGTAGCCAGCGTCCTTGGCGAGACAGAACGTCTCTGCAACTGCCGCCACTGTGTGACCTCGGTTGGTATCTCGCGCAACATCTTCGTAAAGCGACTGAACTCCAATCTCCAATCTCGTGCAGCCGTATCTCAACATGTCCGTAAGATGGGGCTGGAGGCAGTAGTCTGGTCGTGTCTCGATGGTGATGCCCACGCATTTGATGTTGCTCATCTCGCCGGCTTCAACTGCCTCGTCGACCTTGGATGTCTGGTATCCGCTGAGAGCATTGTGCAGCTGGGCGATGAAATCCTCTCGGTATGACTCAGGCAAGGACATAAACGTTCCTCCCATGATGATGTATTCCACCTTGTCGACAGAGTGTCCCAGTGACTTGAGCTGGTCTACTCGGCCTCGCGCCTGCTCGAAAGGGTCGTATCGTGCGCGGATGGCTCGCATTGAAGTCGGCTCGTATCCAGTATATGATTGTGTGCTGTACTCGAAATCGGAATCGGGTCCTCCAGGGCAGTAGACGCAAATATTGCCTGTGTATGCGATGTGCGGGCATCGATGCGGTTTACACATGACGGCGACGACGGCAATACCAGATGAAGTTCCTATTTTCAACTTAGTCTCTTGACTCCATCATCAGTTCGTTGCATCTTATTTAGTCTTACGGATGGGCTTTGCGATTAGTCGAGGGAGGATGTATTTCTTGTAGTGTTCGGGGATTGCGGCAATGATGGCCGTCAGCGGAGGAATATTAGCCAGCTTGTGCTTCTTTGCCAGCTTCGCGCGCAGCGCATTAAGGTTGATGTCTCGTCCTTGACGGCCATTCTTAGTAGCCTCGTGGTCCTCGATCAGGGCGTTGGCAAGATCTGCGCAGCACCGCAGGAAGCGCTCGCTCTCAGGCGCAAGCTCGACGCTCTTCTTCTGCGACGTCGCGACCGCCGTCATCGTGGCTGTGGCCATTGTGTCGTGTGTCGTGTGTCGTATGTCGTATGCGCTGCCTGTGCGCTCGTTCAGACGATATTGGTATTCGATGTGAATTTATTGGCTGGAGTCAGATTTGATGCCCCTCGTTGGTGTTTGATAAGAACTTTTGGCAAGACTATCGCCTCGGTGGGGCCGTTTTGATATCAAGCCAAAACATTAGCGTTTGCCGTTGGCGTTACGGAATAGCGCCACAGTAATAAACGGAATACCTGTTCATATGCAGCAAACGGAGTACCGTAATGCCCCTCACCGTAACCAATTTTTTTGTTTTTTCCTTCCTTTTGGTGACAGAAAATACTGCACGCTCGGAAAAAGCCAACTGCCGGGCGCCCGGCAGCACCCGAAATTCAGAGCTGCCAGAGCCGGTAATTTGCTGCCGTACCGACGATATTCCCTTTCTGCAAGCTTGCAGCTCAAAGTCAATTCGCTCTCCCCATCTCGCAGCGTTGCACCCGCGGCGCTCCTCCAGATTTCTTTTTTTCTCTCCTTGAACCTCTCCTCTCTTCTCCCCTCTTCCCCCTCCACAGCCATGCAGGCCATCCCCAGAACCACCGCGCGCTCGGCGCTGCGCAACGCTGCCCGCCGTGGCTACAGCTCGGCCAGCTCGCCGTACTCCAAGACGATCGAGAACCTGCGCATCAACAGCGAGACCAAGGTCATCTTCCAGGGCTTCACCGGAAAGCAGGGAACGTACGTCTTGAACAACCGGCTGCTGCGGAGGGCATCTCGCGGGGGAATAAAGGTGCAATGACATGCTAACGAGGGAATGCGCAGTTTCCACGCCTCGCAAGCCATTGAGTACGGTACGATAAAGCCTCGGAATACTGCTGCGCACAAACGCTGGCCGCGAATACTTACACCGCTTTGCCTCTAGGAACCAAGGTTGTTGGTGGAACAAACCCCAAGAAGGCTGGCCAGACACATCTCGACCTGCCCGTCTTCAAGAACGTCTCCGAGGCCGTCAAGGAGACTGGAGCTACCGCCACTGCGCTTTTCGTCCCGTATGCGACTTGACCCCCCTGATTCCAAGATGCAATGGCATACTGACCTGCGACCCCCCTAAAGCCCTCCTCTGGCCGCCGCCGGTATCGAAGAGGCTCTCGAGGCCGAGATCCCCCTTGCCGTCTGCATCACCGAGGGAATTCCTCAACATGGTCAGAATTTAGCCCCACCATAGATTTCCTCTATCTCAAAAAACCCCCCTTCGTATAGCTAACCTTGCCGGTCTCGAATCCCAGACATGGTCCGCATCACCCAGATGCTCAAGACCCAGTCCAAGACCCGCCTCGTCGGTCCCAACTGCCCCGGCATCATCGCCCCCGGCCAGTGCAAGATCGGCATCATGCCCGGCTTCATCCACAAGCGCGGCCGCATCGGCATCGTCTCCCGTTCCGGCACTCTGACCTACGAGGCCGTCAACCAGACCACCCAGGCCGGCCTTGGCCAGTCCCTGGTCGTCGGCATCGGCGGTGACCCCTTCAGCGGCACCAACTTCATCGACTGCCTCAAGGTCTTCATCGAGGACGAGGAGACCGACGGTATCATCATGATTGGCGAGATTGGTGGTTCCGCCGAGGAGGACGCCGCTGAGTTCCTCAAGCAGGCCAACAACGTCAACGGCGGCAAGCCCGTCGTCAGCTTCATCGCCGGTATCTCCGCTCCCCCCGGCCGCCGTATGGGCCACGCCGGTGCCATCGTCTCCGGTGGCAAGGGTGGTGCTGACTCCAAGATCCTGGCTCTGGAGAACGCTGGTGTCATTGTTGAGCGCTCCCCCGCTGGTCTGGGCAAGGCTCTGTACAACGAGTTCGTCCGCCGCGACCTGCTGTAAATCAAGTCTCGTTCTTTGATGTTTTTTTTACAAGGAAACAAAAAAAAGAGGCAACAAGAGTGGACTTGGGGAGCTTGCATCATTTAATACAGATAAATTAAATTTATAAAAAAAAAAAAATCATCACATGGAGGGAGTGGTGGCTGTTTCAAAAATGGCTGGTGATGGCTTTCTGGAGCATGTGGATAGGAGGGAAACGGAAGAATACGTCCTTGTCAGGGTGACGGGCTACTTCTTTGTTTGTTTTCGCTTAATTCTGTTGTTTCGTAGGTACGTGATAGATTCGGTGTCATGGGAGGGCAATGTGCCTTTTCGCTATTCTTGATCTATGGATAAACATGGGCGTGTTTTCCTTCTGTGATTCTTGCTGCCTTTTTCCCCTTGGTAAGAACGAGCTCTGGCCTTGACATGTCGACCTGCAATGACATCCAAGAGTCAGTCTCTTCAGACAGGCGCTACAAATGGCATTCGCTAGCCAAGAGATAAAAAGACAAACGCTATATTGAGTGTAATATGCTGCCTAGCTCCGACCTTCATAACTCCACAGTCGTTGTATCCCCGATAGTATGCGCCTCCGGAGCACCAATAGTCCCCAGGAACCCCATCTGTCCTGATCCCCTAGACGACTCTTCAGACGTCAAGTCGGTCACAGCCATTCGGCTCTCGTAAGCAACCGTCCCGCCAATCCCGAGTCTACTAATTCCAGGAACAGGATACCGAAGCAGAACGAAGCAAAAGAACAAGTTTCCCCCTGAAAGAAAAAAAACCAAAACCCAGAAAAAAATATTCAACCCTCACTCCATGCAAACTCCAATTCATTTCCTCCATTCGCTGACGGGGAGGGGCAGATTGGTGACTCTTTAATTCCCGTCGTTGGCTTTAAGGCTGCTCACCAAGCAGTCGAGTGGTTACATCCGACATGCGAGATGGGGGTAGGTTCTCATGGAATTTATCGATGCGGAAAAACTCGAGAGTTGCCACCACATTGTCGAGGTCAAATCCCATGGCCGTAAACTGCTCGACCAGGACTGGCTTGTATCCATGATATCTGCGCCTCACTGTTAGCCGTTTTGTCTTCCTTTGGAAAGCATCCATCAGTATCTGGGGCATACCGGCTCGCATCGACAGCAGTTGTTGGTCTGGCCAGGCTTCTGAATCTAGTGACGTCAAGATTTCGCTGTCGCGGCGCACCGGCGTGCCGAACCGACCACTCGTGAGCCATCTGAACAAAGGAGTCGGGATCGTCGAGCAGCATACGCGCGACTTCTCCGTCTTGTGGGTCTGAAGGGTTTGGGTTTTCGAGAAGCATTCTGACTGAGAGAAGAGCCGTCTTAATCGTTTGGACAGGGGACCAGTTCTTGTTGAGGGTATCGAGACAAATGACGCCCTAGAAGAAAGCGAACCGTGAGTAAAGATTTTCCTGCCGGGCCCAGAAAATCGACCAAGTGTGGGAGACATACTGTCTGACTGCTGACATTTGGATGCCAGATCCTCGTCTCAAACTTCATCTTGGGGGGCTTGAAGGGGTAGTCATTGGGAAGCTGAATGTGAATAACGAATTTGCCACCGGCGTACGGTGTATTTCCAGGGCCAAAGAACCAGCCCTTGAGGGCAGACAACGAGCCCTCTTGTTCCAGGGCAGCGTGAATGCCGGATGTGTCCTTGTCCTCGGTGAGATCCTGCAGCTCCTTCATGATACGGCGGTCCCTGCTAGACATGATGCCCGGAGTTGTCGTGGCCGACGCTATTGTGGACGTATGAGGGGGTTGTGTGACTTGGAGCGAAAGTATGGGTTCGAAGTATACTCGAGTGGCAGAGCGAGCGTTGAAGCGACCTGACGATAATTACCGCTTGTTGAGGCTGGAGGGAGGGAGTCGAGTCTGACGATGGTAGAGGAGGTCGAGAATGGAGGCTTTAGGTTTAGGCTGGATGGGCAGAGAAGTCGCCTAGCACTGGCTACCAGCTTGTGTGCCAGGAGCAATCGATTGAGGAGGGGCGCTGCGGCTATCGACGTCAGGCCAGTTTTAGCGCGGCAGCTATCGGCTCGGGTGCCTATAATCCTCCATATAATCGGTGCGACTCAACGGATGCCGTGAGTGGCATCTCAGCGCTGGAGCATTCCGAGCAGAAAGCACCAGTGTTTGCTCGTCATCAGGCAAAAGTATCCATTAGAAGCAAGCAAAACCTCATGGATTCGCCCCAGCGGCGTGCAGGGGAACCGCCTCACTGCGCCGCATCACCACAAAGGGACCGGAACTCAACCGGTCACTTGTACTGCCCAGTACTCTTGCGCGAGGTGGGTAATGGCTGGCGGTGCCGGTATCCATATTGAGGCGGTAATCGCATCAGCGGCCGTGCTCGTGAGCAGACTCGAGTGGCTTTTTTGGGTTTTGAATCAGGCACGCATGGCCCAGAATATGCTGTTTCGTTGGGGGTAAAAACAAGTGTTGCCAGAATGCAGTGGTAGGTCAATTCAGCAGACAGCGTAGCATGGGCGAGTCATCTTTTTCCATTCAAAAGAATGTAGTAACACGGAGCTTTTCATCCAGGCATGATGCAGGTCGCTACATATCTGGCCAGCGGATAAATGGCAGCCAAGCTTGCTGCTTATGTGATCCCTGGCCAGCCATCCATGCATGCATCTTGCTGCACTGCTTCATCATTTGGCCAAGCATGCATTATCGAGACGAACAAGCTCGGATTGAATCTAATCCGCTTGAGGGCTAGCATCAGCGATGACGGGATGCATCGAAACAGAAGCCCGATGGAAGAAGCTGACAATTCCCAGCGGCCATCTTCATGCTCTCCCCTCACGTGACGCCATTCAAGCTGAACGCACGTGACCCGCCTGGAGCTGTCGTGTCTCTCTGGCGCCTAGCCCAAAGGCATGGGTGCTTGTGCAGCATCAGCCTAGCGAGTGCCGACTCGCCTCTCCATCATTACCATCGTCAATTCAGCCTCTTCTCCAGCGTTGCCCGATTGTAGAGGAGTGCTACTTGGAGGGAGAGGAAAGCTCAACCAAAACATTCAAACAGAAGCTGTCCAGAGCTTGACCAGCCAAGATGGTGAGCTGCACTGTGTCTTTGTTGATCTAGTTACGGTGCATCTGTGCTGACATTTGCTTCTCCAGGGTCAAGGACAATCTGGTATGGGTGGTGAGGGGGGACGGAACGAGAAGGACAAGAAGGTATAGCTATTCCCTCTTCCTGCTGTCAACACAGAGCAGCACAGCTAAACGCCCGCTACAGAAGGACAAGCCCAAGTACGAACCCCCGCCGAGGCCAACAACCCGGGTCGGCCGCAAGAAGAGAAAGGCTGGCGGTACTAGTGCTGCTGCCAAGCTCCCTGCCGTCTATCCCACGAGCCGATGCAAGCTTCGACTGCTCCGAATGCAGAGAATCCACGACCACCTGCTCCTCGAGGAAGAATACGTCGAGAACCAGGAGCGGCTGCGCAAGGCCAAGGCTGCCAAGGAGGGTCAGACTGCTGGTCCCGACGTCGATGTCGATAGGTTAGCCGACGAGCGGGGCCGCGTTGATGACATGAGAGGAAGCCCAATGAGTGTTGGTACATTGGAGGAGCTCATTGATGACGACCATGCCATTGTGAGCAGCACAACGGGACCTGAGTACTACGTCAGCATCATGAGCTTTGTCGACAAGGACCTTCTCGAGCCTGGTGCTAGCGTTCTGCTGCACCACAAGAGCGTTAGCATTGTTGGAGTCTTGACCGATGACACAGACCCCATCGTCAGCGTCATGAAGCTCGACAAGGCTCCAACAGAGTCCTACGCTGATATTGGTGGTTTGGAGCAGCAGATTCAAGAGGTGCGAGAGTCAGTGGAGCTGCCACTGCTTCACCCCGAACTGTATGAGGAGATGGGCATCAAGCCCCCCAAGGGTGTCATCTTATACGGTGCTCCCGGTACCGGAAAGACCCTTTTGGCAAAGGCAGTTGCCAATCAGACATCCGCTACTTTCCTGCGTATTGTGGGTAGCGAGCTGATTCAGAAGTATCTGGGAGATGGTCCCAGGTTGGTGCGACAGTTGTTCCAGGTTTGTCAACCTCTCTCCTTGCACCGAGGTGACTCGGATTTTCAAACGCTATATGATGCTAACGTGGGAAAACTAAATAGGTTGCTGGTGAAAATGCACCCTCTATTGTTTTCATTGATGAAATCGACGCCATTGGTACGAAACGATACGACTCTACGTCAGGAGGAGAGCGTGAAGTTCAGCGAACTATGCTGGAACTTCTCAACCAGCTTGACGGTTTCGACGACCGTGGTGACGTCAAGGTCATCATGGCAACCAACAAGATCGATACGCTGGACCCTGCGCTTATCCGACCCGGCCGAATCGATCGAAAGATCCTGTTTGAGAACCCCGATCAGAACACGAAGCGCAAGATCTTCACCCTACACACCTCCAAGATGAACCTGAACGATGACGTGGATCTGGATGAGTTCATTTCTCAAAAGGACGACCTGTCCGGTGCCGATATCAAGGCCATCTGCTCAGAGGCTGGTATGATGGCTCTACGAGAGCGACGTATGCGGGTGCAAATGGCAGATTTCAGATCTGCTCGAGAGCGGGTATTGCGTACCAAGCAGGAGGGTGAGCCGGAGGGTCTGTATCTGTAATATGTGGCATGCATGTGCAGCATTGGTTGGTGGTTCTTTGGGAAGCTGGGGATGGCCGTGACCTGAATCTTTTATAGAAGCATAGGAAATTGCCAGGCCACGGGGAGAAGTATTCAGCCACCAGTTGATGCGAGCTGTAAATCGAGAGCGAACGTTAATGATCCAGTAAAGTGTGTCTATGAATGAATCAACTGTCTGAATACCCTCCGTGTGTAAACATGTCCTCCGTAGTATGGGGTCCATACCTTATATCCTATGGTTGGGTCGATAGGCTGTTACAGATGGCTTTACTCTCAACCCCTGGTTCAAGCACTTTGTAACATGTTGTATTTTCTGCATGTCCCAAGTAAACTACCCTGTATAATAGCAATAACGGACAAAACCGCACTCTTCTCTTCTTTCTGCGGTTTGGGCATATCCACCACCATTTCAGCATTCAAATGCTCATCCCGCTTAATTTCCCCCTTGATATATCGCCTTAATCTCTTGTCCACGTACCAGATACTTGCACGTGGTGACATCAGCCAATACCAGCGCACACGTCACCTCACCCCCTTCATTCTACTCATTTCAACTCCATACAAACCGAAAACAAGCCAAAACAAACAAACATCCACATTCCCGCTTCTTCTTTCAACTCTGCATACTCATCATCGCCATCGCCATCTTTCTTTCCCATCTCCACCTCCGCATTTTCTTCCTGCAGCCGCAACCGCAGCCGCTCGCTAGTCGCCCCCACCATCCCGCCAACCGATCGCATCCCGTCTTATTCATATCATGTCATCTCATCTCATCTGAGGACACCCTTGATATCCCACCGCTACCAACAGCAAAAGCTGTACTGTTCTGCTCCAAAGCAATGGGCACCGCAATAGAGACAACACAAGGCCGCGATGCCGACGCTGATGCTGGGAACAAGAGGCATCCCACAGCACTGCTGTCCTCTGCTTACTCGTATGCTCAGGGCTCTTTCAACTCCCTGATTTCGCCCTCTTCTCGCCAACGCGCATACGACGCGGCATATTCCTTTGCCTCCAAGCAACCCATACTCTTCGTGCGTGCCCCTCTACGTAGTAAAAAAACAAATGAGAGCTACTGGCGGTTTACTAACACAGACATGCATACATTCCACAGACCTTCACAGCTTTCCAGGTCCTCTTTTCCCTGCTACCCCTTCTGCTATTCTTCTCCTTTGCACTGTCAACCATTCTCCTCGCCCTCTCCGCCGCCTTTGCCTTTGCGTTTTTCTGGATCGGCATCGCGTGTCTTTTCTTGATCCCGACTCTATTCATCACGGCATCTCTCGCAATATTGTGCTGGGGAACTTCAGTTGGGAGCTTTGTTGTTGCTAGAAGATTGTTCCACTATGCGCCAACAACAGCCGTTCAACATGCCAGGGATGGCACACAATCACCGAAAAGTGAGGACACTCTGGTTGGAGCCGAAGTGGTGGTGCCAAATGGGGTGGAGGTCAAGAAGGAGGATCGATTTGAGGAGGCCAAGAGTGCAGAGTGATGGACTAAGTGGGAGAATCACCAGGGTCGTGCTTTTTACACGTGTAATATTATACTTGCGCAGGTGGCACTTGGAACAGATTAGAACTGCCTTCTATATCTAAACGTTTGCTACTAGATGAAATTGTGTTAAAAGGACTAGCTATTCAGCATCCTGTATCCAATATTTAATACTAATAATAACAGATAGTAGAGGAATATAACGATGGTAATGGTGTAATAGTAGCAATACTTGAAGAATAAACCGCGTTGCCTAGTACTCTATTGGGTAAATAAAGGCAACTAGTAACCCCAGCCGTATACGTTGTGAAGCTACTTTTACTCAAGACAAATAACCTATGCTATTTGACATGTGATACCTACCTAATACTTGTAAGACCGCTCAAGAAATAATATGCCCCGTGACAATGATTGACAGGAGAAGGCATCAGCTGGCACTACCCTAGGAAGGGAAAGCTGCCAAAGGCCGGCAAAATGGCTAAATAGGTATTCCGTTCATTAGACCTTGGAATACTGGCAGCATTCACCGCCTTCAGCAGCCAGAAGAAGAAGACTCGATTCTCATTATTACTTTACGGCGGCTTTTTATTCCTCCAATGATTTATCAACGTGATCTCGACCTAAGCCAATGGTGTTGCTATGCCATTCCCGGTAATATCCATCCCAGATTCGCCTTGCAGCACCCTTATCGCTATGCTTGTCTTGGCCTAGTCGAGAGATGGGCAAAACGGCTATAGTAGTATGTACTCTGATATCCAGGAACAGCACAGCCTGCGCCCAGATATCAATAATGGGGTCAAAAATTCGCCAAAACAAATCAAACCCATAGGAATAATGCCTCGTTCCACCTAGAAAGATGAATCAAACGTGATAACAGCAGATCGCGTCCTCAGCGAGTTAGAAGACTGCAGATGGCAGACGGTAAAGTATCTCCAGAATGACGTCGCCAGCTGCAGCTATGGATCCTCGAGCTCGGAATTGCCCCTTTGAAGCGGGCTGTATGAATTTATTGATTGCATCCATGCGATACAGGATGCTGACAGTAGAGGTACCTGTTTACGCGTAGAATTGCAGCGCTCCATCAAGGTACCGAGAATAACCCCGCCATGTACCCCGCCAATCCCGCCATAGAGTAGGGGCCTTTTTCTTACGCCAGGACCCCTCCAAAAGGTCGAGTCGGGGTTCTGATTCCGCATCCTCAACCTCAGCCATCGCCAGATCTCACGGCCATTGATCAAGTCGAAATGGAGTACGATACCAAGACGCGTACGGAAAAATTCCATCTATTTCTCCCGTTGTCTTGACCAACTAATGGCTAACTTGCGATGCAGCAAAGGCAGTCACCAACGACCCCAAGTCCTTTGCCAGCGACTCGGTTCGCATGCGATGGCCCATCATCCTCGTGAGCGATCCATCCTTCGACGCATTTCCGATAACGTACTTCTACTAACAACTTTCTCCATTCAACAGACTAGTGCTGTGGATGACGTCTACAAGGCCATTTCTGCCACGGATGACCCCGAGAAGCAAGCTGAGGGCAAGAAGATTGTCGAGCAGCTGGGCAACCTCAAGTATGAGATGCTGCACGACCGACAGCTCACGTATGCATCCCAGTCCCTGCCTTTCTACAGCAATACATCCAAGACTAACTATAATGCTATGCAGTCCTCTAGTCGAAGACGGATTCTCAGATGAGACGGCCGCCTACAACAAGGAGCTGGAGCAACTGGGCAACCCAACCTGGTTCCAAGTCCCTTGGCTGTTCTCCGAGTGCTACATGTACCGGTATGTCGCAAACTTACAACATCATCTCATTGCGAAATATACCATACTGAGCCTTTGTACAGACGTGTCAACACCTTCTTCACCACGACCCAGCACTGGAAAAACTACGACCTCTTTGCCCGCCAGAAGATCGACACCTTCCGAACTTCTCGCAATGGCGTCGTGGAGCTTGCTGCCAGATATGCAGACATCGTTTCAAAAATCCGTGCTGACAAGAACATTACCCATGACGCTGAGGCTGAAAAGATTCTCTTCATAGAGATGTGCGAGGTCTGCCTGTGGGGTAATGCGACCGATTTGTCGCTGCTCACCACCATGACCTACGAGGATATCCAGAGGCTGCAGGGCAGCGAAGCTAGAAAGGCAGCAGAGCAGCATATCCTTGTCAACAAAATCCCCCAAGCTTATGATCTGCTCAAGAAGGCTCAGGCCGAGGGCAAGAAGGAGCGTCGCGTAGACTTTGTTCTGGACAACTCCGGCTTCGAGCTCTACGTCGATCTGGTGCTGGCCGGTTATCTTCTCAACACTGGCCTTGCCACTCACGTTGTGCTTCGCCCCAAGTCAATCCCCTGGTTCGTCTCTGACGTTCTCCCCGCAGACTTTGCGGCCCTCCTCAGTGCTCTCGCCAGCCCTAAGCAGTTCTTCGAAGCTCCGACGGAGGAGGAGAAGGTCTCTGACAAGACTCCCGTGCCTCTGTCAGAGAAGGAGATTCAGAATCTTCTCTTCGTCTTCCAGGACTGGGCGAACTGGCATGCTGAGGGCCAGTTGACCATCCGACCCAACAGATACTGGACCTCTGGCGCTTCTTTCTGGCGACTTCCCCATGAGGCCCCTGAGCTGCACGAAGATCTGAAGCAGGCCGAGCTTGTCATTTTCAAGGGTGACTTGAACTACCGGAAGCTGACTGCTGATGTAAGTGACTCGATTACAATGTATTTTACCATTTCATTGACTGACATTTCCTAGGCTTGCTGGGACCCTACCACTCCTTTTACAGAGGCCCTCGGTCCCTTGGGTGCTGGCTCTGGCGTCAACGTCATGTCTCTGCGAACCTGCAAGGCTGACGTTGTTGTCGATCTTCCCGCTGGTAAGGATGAAGAGCTGAGAGCCCTTGAGGGCGGCGGCGGCGATAGTGGTGCCAGAAAATGGGCTTGGAGTGGCAAGTGGGCGGTTGTGTCTTTGTCTGAGGGCAAATAAAATAGGAATGATCATAGCGATGTTTTTTCAAAGAATTTCTTAAAAACAAAAAACTGGAAAGATGGACTCATAGATGTATAGAGAATATAGCGTTCAAGAATGAGGAAAAGTTAGATTACTTACTGCCTATGTCTTCAAAGAGTGTAAAAACACACGTAGGTATGGATACCAGTGAGAACCATGTACTAAAATGTTCAGCTACCTAGACGAAAGAAACATACAAAGTACAATTTTCAAATATTATTCAGTTAAAACAGCTCCCCAGTCCATCAGAAAAAAATCTCCATCCTCTTGCCTACCATTCTCCAATCCTCCTCCTAGTGTCCATTTCCTTGTCGCACTTAGCTTTACCAAATCCTTCGGCCCCTGAAACCGTATGATGGCGGCAGATCATACGACGGGGTGTCGTAAGATGGAGGGCCATACGAGGGTGGAGTGGGAAGAGGGTAGTTAGTAGACGAAGTCGACGTAGTCGAGATAGTTCCGGTGCTTGAGAGTGATTTGTTCGTGGTTGTTGTAAGGAAGGTGGTTGAAGTGGGAGAAGAGGATGTGGCTGAGGGTTGGGTGACGGCGTCGGCGGAGGATTCGTATGAGATGGTGGAGCTGGATGTTGAAGTTGAAGATGATGAAACTGAAGAAGAAGAAAGTGTAGTGGATGTGGTGCTGGATGGGACGGAATAATGTGTGCTGCTCGTCACTGTTGATGTAGTTCCTGCAGTAGTAGAAGAATCGACGGTGATGCTTGAAGTAGGAATAACATATGAACTGGTGCTGAGAGATGCTGACTGAGAAGAATATCCTGTTCCGGTGATAGTTGCGGTTGTTGTGGTGTTGGTGAGGGTATAGATGCGGGATGTGCCTGTGGAAGAGTCGCTGCAAGAAGTGTGTGTGGAGGTGTGGCTGGTGTGAGTAGTTGTCGCGGGTAAAGCTGATGAGTCGGTGGATTCGACTTGGGTGGATGAGGACGAGGATGAGGATGAAGACAAAGATGAGAATGAAGATGAAGTTGAGGATGAGGGGGTTCCAGATGGTGTGGTTGTGTATCTTGTCGAAATGATTGAGGTAGAGGGCTGCTTGCTGGAATTTGTGGATGTTTCTGAAGATGATCCACTAGTGACTGTGGAAGAAGTACTAGCTGTAGACTCTGTCGAAGATGCTGTAGAAGTACTGCTTGAAGTCGTAGATGTTTCTGAAGATGATCCAGTGGTGCCCGTAGACGAGGTCTTATATGTAGACTCTGTTGATGAAGCGGTGGAAGATTGGCCACTTGAATTAGAAGATGTTCCTGATGATGATTGGCTGGTGGCAGTGGAAGTAGGCTTGGAAGTTGACTCTGTTGAGGATGCGGTGGAAGTCTTCTCAGTAGACTCTGACCCGGTAGAGTAAACCGTTTTGGTGAAAGTCTCGGCTGTGGACTCGGTGGTATTTGATGGGGTGTGAGTGTAGCTTTGAGAGTGCGAGCTTCCTGGAACGGTCACAGTCTGCGTGATAGTCGACTTAAGTGTTGTCAAAGTTGTGCTGTCAGAAGCAGCCACCGTGGTACTTTCAGATATAGCTGCAGAGGTGCTTTCAGATTTAGTTACTGTTGTGCTGGCAGATGTTGATGATGGGGATTCGCGAGCCTGTGTGCTAGTGGGAAACTTGAAAGTAGTTCCTCGGCTGGAAACAGAAGTTGACGAAGTGGAAGAAGTACCAGAAGAAACACCAGAAGAAGTAGTACTAGAAGAAGTACCAGAAGACACGGATGACGAAGAGGAAGTGCTAGAGGAAGAGGAAGAATCTGTGCTCCCTCTCACAGTGAGAGATCCGCAGCTGTAACCTTGAGAGCAGCTTGATGTGGTGGTTCCAGGGAGTTGGCTTGAGTCGGCGGTGATGGTGGAAGTCGCAGTAGTGGTGGAAGATGAGGTGCTGCTCTTCACAGATTGGGACGTCTCTGTTGCAGTTGTAGTAGTAGATGTGCTGGTGCTATAGGTACTTGAAGTTGTCGATGGAACGGAATACGTCGATTGAGAAGAGCTTGATCCAGACGAGGTAGAGCCTGTAGTGAACGTAGCAGTGGAGGTAGGCTTGGATGTCGTCTCAGTGCCAGTCTCCGTCGTGGTAGAGGTAGACAGGGTCATTGAAGTGGTTGAGGTGCAACTGGTTACAGTTGAATAGCATGAGGAGGCACACGCTGTGACAGTCTCCGTCTTTGTCGTTGTGACAGTAACGGTTTGATCCGTCGCAGCAACAAGACTGGCTCTGCTCTTGTGTTAGTGTGTCTTGTTCACTTTCCACGAAGCAGAGGCCAAGCTTACCCGATTCCCAGCAATGTTAAGATAACTGATTTGTTCACCATGGTGAAGACTTTTTCAGCGAGTGAATTGGTAACGAGGGTAGTAGAACGAGTGACTGTAAACGAGGGACTGTGCTTCGGTCTTTGCTTTTGCTGTGAGGAAGAAGAGTCTTGATCTCACATCCACCGAAAAGTCCTACCTTTTATACGTGTAAAAGCTCAAATGAAACATGAAAAGGCCTCCAATATCGGCCTTGATTGAACAAAAAGTTCTTCCCGTTCGAGTCCGTATTGCGGCTGCGTGCTCCCGTATCCCGACGGATTCGCACCGCACCTTCATTTCCGTTACACGTTACTCGAACTGACTCAACAGCTTTTATCGTCATCATGAGTACAATGTATTTTATCTCTAACATATTGCATGCCTAACATCTCTGTTTAACCTTGCTATAAGCTTTGGTTGGGCAATTACAGCTGCCGTGAATCCAGAGCTATTGTTTCAATCAGGGACATGCCGATCGGTCACACAAAATGCCACGAGCCGTCTGGCTACACAAGATGAGAGACACTTTCAGCTGCCGTGGACCGTAGACCCTATTGTATCTGCCCTCTATAGATAGCATCTCGGTTCTTTCTCTGGTAATTCGTACGCGTTTCTTTAACCATGGCAAAGTTAAAGCTCAATACGACCATGGATCAGTAAGATGAATGGACGAGGGCTCCACTACTCTATCGGGAACCTTGGCGAAGTATATGCATGTTTCCATATTTTGCTTGTGATATATACCTGGGTACCTGCATAAATGTCGTGGCCCGGATCTCCAAGTACGTTCAGATACTAGTCCGAGTCCTTAACCGAGTCAAGGTCAAAAGTGGACCGGCTACCTGCGTATGGAGTAACTCAAAGTTTTCGGACCTGCTGTAACAATATACAAGAAGAATACTTATAAGTAGTTTTATATTTGTTGAGGACGAAATACCTTTTGCCTTGCAGATGATCGAAGTACCGTCCTATCCCGTACATCCTGTAATGGATATATTGATGCAGTACACAGCACCTTTCGCCAATAATGCAGCCCTCGGCATTACGATCTCCTTTGTTTCAAACGCCAATAGCTGGTATGGGTAAACACATTGAAAATGGTCTAAGACACGTGCGCAGTTCCTTGGTGGCGCAGTAAATCGTCACCGCCTAGAGTCGCAACGAAGCAAAAAGTCATTGCAGAACGGCTCCCTCTCATGGTTATAGTCGTACCTGTTCAACTCGATTTGATACAATAGCGATGTGCCAGCTGAAGAGACAACTTTTCGTATATGGCCCTCCTTAAGGAATAGTCTGATCAGGAGATATTTCAAGCTCACCACATATAGAGACGAGATATAATCTGTGCCTGAAGATTACCATACTTGTGCGTTGGTCTCACAGCATCGTGTCGTACAGACGAGATGGAAAATGGACTACGATCTGAGTTGGCTACACATGCTGAGCAGAAGTGACGGCATCAATTTATTTAACAATGTTCAAGTTTCCTACCAGGGCCGTACAGCCGATTCGTATCATAATGCTAAGTATATGTACTCTGTTACGCCATCTTACAGCGAAGCTTTGAGAATCTCAAAGGCGTCATCACGGTCTCCCTGGAAACGCTGCTCAGCAGTACTCCAGTTGATGACCTTCCAGATGTTCTCCACATATGCGGCTTTGCCGTTGAGATACTATGAAACGAAGGTTAGCCAATCATGGACCAACAGCAACAGCTTAGCGAAATGAAGCTCACCTGTAGGTAGTATGCATGCTCCCACATGTCGATACCCAAGATCGGGACTTCTCCGCCAACGACGGGATCCTGGTCCTTTGTAGTCACAATTCGCAAGGTATTGCCATCTTTGACCAGCCAGCCCCAACCACTTCCTTGAAGGCCAAGCAGGGCTTTTCCCATTGCCTCTTTGAATTTATCCAAGCTGCCCCATGTCTTAGCGATTTCGGCGGTCAAAGTAGGGGCGCTGGCGGGATTTGCATCGGCGGATGAGGAGGGCGACAGGTTCTTCCAGAATAGAGAGTGGTTGATGTGGCCGCCGCCGTTGAACTTGATGGCAGCCTGCAGAGCAATCTGTGAAGGGATGTCGTTGGCGGTGATGGCGGTGGAATAGGTCTTGAGGGCGTTATTCAGGTTGGTAACATAGGCCTGGTGATGCTTGCTGTGGTGAAGCTCCATGATCTGAGCGGAGATGCTCGGCTCAAGGGCCTTGGGCAGAAAGCAGTTAGCAGGATGTAGCACCTTGATGGACCAGCAGGCTCACATCGTAGGCATATGGCAATGCCGGCAGTGAGAAAGTGCCAATAGACATTGTGGGCTCGAATGAGTCGGTGAGAGGCTCTTGAATCTTGACACTGGCAAATTCGGGCTTCGAAGGATCTGGAGACGAAGAGTAGCAACCAAGAGGCAGCAGGGAGAGAGCTGTGAGGAGAATGACTCGAGACGCCATTTTCTTTTTAACACGGCCTAGGAGGGGTCAGCTTGATCAACAATGCTGCAGCCGAATTACTAATGCAGCAAGCATGAATAGAACCAGTCGTCATCGTCATCAGTGTGGGTGGTTCTCTATCAGGGTTCTCGTTCAAGACACGGGATGTGTGTTGGAGATTCGTGAGCATTCCCGCTCAAACTTGCTCATCTGGGGTTACCGTTTGGGGAAAGGAGGCGAGAAATGCGGCGCCATGATTGGGCCACTGGGTCCCTTTCAAGTGGCTTACAAGCTGTTTGTTTTCAGCGGCGCTGTGTTTCCGGGACCAGCAATAGATGAGACGAGCAGCTATGAAACAAGCTCATATGCCGCTTTGTCACGTAGACCATCTAGTACCGTACAGTGCAGGGAGTGGTGTTTGCATATAAAGCCATCAGTTGCGTCTTGAAAGGAACCAAACTCACTAGCCCTCTTCACCACCGTTTCGTCGTTATCGAAAAGCAAACAGCCACCAGTGTATCAAAGAAATCAATCATGTGTGGTCCTGAAATCACCAACAAGCCTCGTGGGGGTGCACTTGCTGCCCTCAGTTCTCCAGATGATGCCGGCCGGCTAAGAACCATTTGCGGCGACCTCGCCTTTCATACTCCAGGTCGTCCGGAGAGCAATGAGGCGACTCATGCGAGACTGACACCAGATGCCGCGTACGACGCAAGAACACTATCAAATCTCCATGTTGTTATTCAGTGCGTGCTCACTTGAGACCCCGACGGGTTTGACGCGACTAACTTTGCCACACAGTTCCAGCGGTGACATGACGAGAACAGCAGAAGATTGCGGCACGTTTCAGCAGTTTCAATTTCCCACGACAACAGAATCATTCGACAAGACTTTTATTGAACTCCCGCTCGACAAACCGCTGTCACTCGAAGTCGGCAATGAGGGAATCATCGGTCGGCGAGTATCGCTGTATTCTCGCTCTGCCCCCAGCCGAGTCGTAGCCGAGGGCATCGTGGGATTCAACTTCCTCAACATGGCCCATCCATCTCTCTAGACCATGCATCAATACAGAGAGTTGCCAGACATGTCAGAGCCATCAAGGTTCTGATGGAGACACCTGCTAAGGCACTTGGTGCAGGGCGGGCACTTGCACCTTGATGGACAGCCGGGATAAACCAGGGTGTAGAGCGTGGCTCAGGCCGTTTATTATTACGTGCCCCGGGAAACGATGTGTTCAAAGAGAGAAATTGAATGCAAGTTTCTTACCTAATACGAGAAGGATATCGATGGCGATGGGATTTGGGTTTTTGACAGGAGTCTGGAGTACAGGAATGGGATTGAATCCGGGACCCGCAACGTGGCTTTACAATTACGTTAGAACAGGCGATTCTAACAGGCGGAATTCGGCAGCTTGAGCACTAACAGTCAATTAAAAATCAGATTTGAAACTTTTCTCAGGCCGGATGGAGTTGCTAGTAAATATGAATTAATTGTAATATTAAGATGAGATGAGATGAGATGAGAAGGACAATGGCGTATTTGGTTGTATAAGCGAAGGATCACGACTCCGAGTGCCCGAGTGGCGAGCCGGAGGTTCTCATGTCCGAAGTCCCTTGTATAGAAAAAGTACTAGAGCTGGCGTCATCCTGCACCTTTACAAGACGTATGCATAATCAATTTTCATCATTGTCAACGTCACGCTCTGAGCCTGAGATGTGCTGATATGAGATGCGACTACGTAGAATATATGTATATTTGATCTATGAAGAAACAAAGAGATAAATGCTGGTTACTTGTATTGCTCTCTATTGCAAAAGTCTCAATGACGGAGTTAGGAGCTAAATTATCCGAGCCACTCATTACGTGATCCATCAAAGGAATAGAGCTGCATATGGTACGACAACTTCAGACATCAAAGTCTTAATCCTCCACATATTCTTTCTCTTATTGAAATGCATCATGTCAACTCCAGCAAAGCCTCAAAACGTCTGTCGAGGATGCAGATCAAGAAAGAAGAGATGCGACGTGAGATTCACATACAACAGTAGCAACTGTCTTACTAATCCATGATAATAGGGTAGTCGACCGTCTTGCTCGTCTTGTTCCACGAGGGGTGAGATCTGTTACTATGAAAGAAGTAATAGGGCCAATGTTCCTCATGGTCAAGTATTGGGTCATACAAATGGAAATGCATTCCGCAATTCCGCCCCCCAAATCTGGAACTCCTGGCCGATGGACGAGATAGACGCGTTGCTGGGACTTGAAGCCAATGAGGTTGTTCCGCCACTTGCAGATCCGCCACTTGCAGACTCATTTGAGTGGATGCTGTCTAACAATGATCCTCTGGCAATTGATGTGAATACTTCTGGCCCGAGAGAACAAAGCCTCGCTGTAACTCAGCATACCGAATTGCCAACACCACCTGCGTCAGAACCGAAGCTACCGGAGCTACCAGAGCTGTCCGACGTATTGCAATTAGTCGATCTGTTCTTTGAGAAATTCCACCGCTATTTTCCCATCTTCCATAAGCAATCCATAGTGTCCGCCATCAAGTCCCATGGGATAGAGGGCATACCGCCGGTTTTGCTTTATTCTATTATCGCTGTTGCTGCTGGTGCCCATCCCAACCGCCGGTTCCGGCAAGCACAGGAAATCTGGTACGAAGAAGCAAAATGTCTAGTTTCGAGAGAGATTCGACTACCGGACCATGTGCTTCAGACATTGCAAGCCGCCGTCTTAGTGGTCTACCTTGGATTAGCATTCGTCGATTATTCATCTTCTTTCGTGATGCTCGGTGAAGCTTGGAGGAAGACTGTTGCTATTGGCTTTGCTGACGGTCTGCGAAACATGATTGTGAAAACACTCGGAACCCAAGAAAAAGCGTCGTGGATAGAGCAGGAAGAGATTATAAGGCTCTCATGGATGCTTTTCATTATGGATCGGGGAATGTGCTTCCCGATTGGAATAATGCACGCAATTGATGATCGGAGGATGAAGATTGAGTTTCCAATGTCGGAACATGATTTCCAGACTACCGAAGTGCCCGCATCCCGTTGCCCGAAAAATCGATTTACCTATAACATGGACAACTTGATTGCAGCCATGCGAGAGAAGAGCTTACAAGGCACGGCAACCCAGCTACAGTATCTTATCCTGGGATACGCACTCTTAGGGCGCATAAGCGAAGGGCTCGACTGTGCAGAAGACGACGAGGGCGAACGTAAGGAGCGAATAGAAGTTCTTTGTGAACAGCTTGTTAGGGTTCGATTGATGCTTCCCCGCTCCGCCACAGAGCTCTCAATGGCCAACTATGATGAATTCATAGAGGTAATTTGGCTCAATGTCATCTTGAATGCATGTACAATTCTCTTGCATCACCGACCTCTCCGCGAAGGAGAATCCCTAGACGATGTGGGAACAGAGATGGCTAAAAACTGGCCGCTTTGTGTTGCAGCTGCAAGAAACACAATATCCGTCCTTCGAGATGCCTCTCGAGTATCTGTCGACTTTGTGAGCAACGCACATTTTCCGTGTCTGCTGTTCACCAGCTGCAGGATACTTATAATAGAATACTTCTGCCCCTCAAGAAGTGGCAACGAAACAAAAACAGCAGATGGCGCTAGTTTGCCTCCGGCTCGTGATCCAAAGCTACGCGAGGATCTGGATGTTATTGCTATGACATTTTTTAGAATGAAAGAAGAGTGGCAAGGGCTGGGGCAGAAATTCAGTAAGGGAATGTACTTTTACCTGCACCAAGGTGAAGATTTCGCGCGCAAGTCAAAGGCCGGTGGCGCGCGGAGCCTGCTCGGAGTATGCGACACTTGGACCATAATTCCGGATGACTATGAGCTTACTATTCCAACTTGAATAGAAATGAATATGGTTTGTTAATAACAAATATTTGGGAAAGCTATCGCGTATCTATGGCTTAATGAGATTCTGTAGTATACAATACCCTTTCACACACCACCACTCTCGCTTCCCGATTCCCTTAGGCAAACCCGACCGGGCTCTTGCTGTCACCAACAAGGCGACCTCCATGAGTTCCAATAATTGCTGCAGTGGCAAAAGTATCCTTCATCGAATAAACATAAGCCTCTGCAACTTCTTGAGGCGAAGCAATCGTGCCCGTAATGGCTTCCTTCCTGAAGCTATCTAGCACTGCCTCCCTGTGTTCCTTCGGAATCATGTCAAACAGCTCCGTTTCAACAGCACCGAGCTGCACACAGTTGCATCTCACGGGACGAATATCGACGGCAAGTCCACGGGCAAGAGCTTCGGTGGCGCCTCCGCTTGCAGCGATGATGGACCAATTGGGCAGCGGGCGCCAGGTGTTTGTTCCGCCAGTTAAGGTAAATGAGCTTTGCACGCTCTGGTTAATGTACTTTTCCAAGTGCTTTGCAATGATAATGGCACCATTGTTGCGAACTTGAGAGAGGGCGTTGATATCCTTGACGGTGATCTCCTTAAGACTTGTGGTGTTGAGGGCATCTCCAGCAGTGTGGACTACATGGTCCAGCTTCCCATCTTTGGTAGCAAATTCCAAGAGTTGAACAACACTTTCATCAATCGTATCGGGGTTTCCAAGATCGCACGTCTTGGAGGAGAGCAGCTTGTCCGCATCTCCGAGGTTGGCTGCCTTGATGTGCTCGCTGAGCCGGGAGACGGCCTTGTCCAACTTGGCTTGGTTGGAGCTGCTGATGATGACCTGGGCTCCGTGCTCGAGAGCTGCTTCTGCAACGCAAAAGCCTACACCGGAAGAGCCTCCAATGACAAGGACACGCTTGCCTTGGAGCTTGTTGACGTATTTGAGGGCAGACATGGTGGTATTAATGGCGATAGTGAATTGATGTGGAGTTTTTCTGTAAGAGTAGTGTATGTATTCAAGAAATTGACTTTGCTGCTTGAAATAAAAGCTACACCTCAGCTGGATCAGCTCTTCTATATATACTTTTCTAACACGCAAGCACTCATATTGAATTCCTATATCATCTCCAATGTCCAGCCACATGCATTTGGTGGAGCATCATGTCGGCGCCTCTATCTTAGCGGCGGCGACGGACCGCTAGCGTCGCCGCTCTGATCAGATCCACTCGATTGGATGCTGACTGAAGTAGAGGATTAGAAATAGAGGGCTATATGAATATGTAGATGGTCGATAGAGTTGTGATGGAGGCGGTGGTTACAGAAGCTGGGAAATACCCGTCCTATCCAGGAGAAACAGCGAGTTTGATGGGCTAATATCGCGTTGAAAACCTGTTCGTCGTAGGCGTGTTAACACACAGCATTGCAAAGAGTAGATAAATATCATGGTTCTTTGCTCATCTCTTGGGGATTTACACATGCGAGCATCAATCGCGAAAAACAAGGCTAGCTGATTGAGACGAACCAAATACTACAAGCTATTTTGATATCAACCTCTGTTAACTTACCAGAAGATGGATGACGGTAAGAACTGAATTGAATGTTACATTGATGAGGAGGGGTTCCGTTCTCCATTATTCTGCCTATTACTAGGCACCCTGTACTGATTACCCGCTCAAATGAATCCTACTGCGCTTTGATGCGGGTACAAATACATGTTTACGCGTACTAACCATGAGCTCCTTTAGGGCGAACTGCTGCATGTGCTTCGTGCATGTGGTTCGCACAGTCGAGGCTCTGTGTTACTTGAAAGTGAGGCTGGGCAAGCATTATTTAACACCCAATTCTTGAAAATTTAATTCATGAACGCAACAACTTACTGTTCTAATTATGGGGTCTGTTTTGGACGACCAACACCAAGCCCTGTGACAGATATTACATCAACTCCCGTCTTCCGCCCTCCCTTGAATACCGCTAACCAACCCTGTCCCCAGCTGAATAAGGAGGCCTCACTGACCGAGCCACCACGGCACGGACAAATTCTATTCTGGCATATCCTTCATCATTAACATTTGACACTCATGGGTAGAAGAACCTAATACGGCTGCCGACGCTGCTGATAACCCGAGACTTAGCATTCATGGTGTATGCACGCGAAATCGTCTCGCTTCTTGGCCCCCGCACTATTGGTAAGCCAAGACGTGAGATTGCTCGCAAGTGCCGCGTGGACTGGTGAAGCAGCTTTGCTGTCGCGACTTCTCATTCGCCGACTAGTAAAGTCGGGCCTTCGAGCTTTGGATTGGGATGTCCAGTTACAATACCGCAGAATATACGGTAGGATGGATTTGTGCTCTCCCTCTCGAACGCGCTGCGGCAGAGGCGATGCTGGACTGCAGACATGGGGATGCCAATAGTAGCCAGTACACACTTGGCCGTATCGGCAATCATAACGTTGTTATTGCGTGTCTGCCGGCAGGCTTAACTGGAACCAATGCTGCTGCCACTGTCGCGGCTAAGCTGATGTCAAAGTATACGTCGATCCGATTTGGTCTCTTGGTAGGCATTGGAGGCGGGGTTCCAAGCAGAGAATCTGATATACGGCTTGGAGATGTAGTGGTCAGTCAACCACGTAACGGTTATGGCGGAGTGGTCCAGTATGATTTTGGGAAAACTCGACCAGGAGAATTCGAAACGACAGGTTTTCTCAATACACCACCAATGGTGCTCTTGGATGCCCTTTCAAAGATACAAGCGGATCACCTTTCTGGAAATAGCAAGTTCTTGCAGTATTTACACAGGGTCACTCGCCAACTTGGGATCACGCCTGAGAACTCCAACACTGACATGTTATTTGAGTCGAGCTATGAGCATGTGGAAGGGTCAGCGTGCGAGAATTGCAACACCGAACAACTGATCAAGAGAAGCCCCCCAAACCGAGACGTTGCTATTCACTACGGTACGGTGGCTTCTGGAAATCAGGTGATAAGAGATGGCATAACTAGAGACAAATTAAGCGCGAAGCTCGGAGGGGTCCTTTGTTTCGAGATGGAAGCAGCGGGACTGATGAACAGTTTCCCATGTCTAGTCATCCGAGGTATTTGCGACTATGCGGATTCACACAAGAACAAGATCTGGCAGCCTTATGCTGCGGCAGCTGCAGCTTCTTATGCTAGAGAAGTCCTGGCAGCCGTGCGGGAAGCTCAACTACCTATAGCTCGCATAGTCGATGATACTACAAAGACGGTATGATGAGACATAATTCTCAAGACGAGAGAGGATCTGAGGCTGACTTGAGTTCTTATTCATAGGAAATACTTCGAGCTGAGATCGATTCCAACATTGATACAGTGAAGTTGAGTTGGTTTCTTTCGATTTTGCCTGCGATAGATCAAGGAGAATACAATCTCGATAATTCATCACCGGTTTGTGAAAAGTCAGAGTATTACTGGATTTTCAGAAATGCAGATTATAAAAAATGGGACACCGGTGACTCTTCTCGAATTCTTTGGCTAACTGGGCCGCCTGAGTGTAACATACGCCAAGCGGCATCCTACATCCTACGTCAACAGATGGAGAAGTCCTCAACGACACCGCGGTTTGCCTTGTACTACTTCTGCTCCGCAGCCTCGGTCAAAGGATCATCTATCGCAATCTTCATTAGAGCCCTTGCCTATCAAATTGTCTCGGCTTCACCGCAGGCTAAGCAGATGTCAATCATCCGCAAATTCCTGCGGACCATTTTGAGTAATACATTCAACCGATTGTCTGCAGCTTCAATACGACGGTTTTCTTTAAACGACCCCGATTCCAATATAAAGAATTTACTTGAGGCCCCGGACGACAGCCTATGGGCAGCGCTATGGGCCATCATGCCTACAGAACAGGGTACAGAATTGTCGATTGTTGTCGACGGAATTGAGCATATTCGCGACCGGAGAGGAAAATTCATCCGGAAAATTCGCGCATTTGCAGAAGATTTACAAAGAACTTCCAAGGTGAAAATTCTGCTCACTAGCGGCCTAGAATCTGATACTGCACAAATATTTAATGGGTTGCCTCATATCGAATATGACAAGGAAAGAAAAGGTTTGGTTGCAAGTCTTGTTCTTATACATCATGGAATCCACTCTAATAAACCACAGAATGTCTCTCTAGTCTTTGCTTCGTTAGCACACGCTTTGAAAAGATCATCAAGGCATCTAAAGGCACTTTTGAGTGGCTCTGGAACCATGAAGAATACAAAGCATGGTCGAAGCCAGGCATCTCCCAAGTGCTACTAATCCAAGGAAAGCCAGGAAGTGGGAAAAGCACACTTACTCGGTATTTTAACGAACATATATTGGAACGAGAACCAGATGCAAATTCAGCCATCATAGCCAGATTCTTTTACAGCTATAGAGAGGACATTCTTCAAAGAAGTCACTACAACATGCTTCGGTCCATACTCCATGATATTTTATATCAGGATCAAGCTTTCTTTTATCACTTTCAATCGGAATATCGTCTTCAGCCTCGTAGTGAAACTGGTGTCGACTGGGAGTATGAATCGTTAAAACGGATTCTCAAGTCTTTACGCGACTATCCTCTGCAGCGACCGCTCTATTTAATTATTGACGCAGTGGATGAATCTGAGCACGACGATAGGCGCAATATTCTCAAAACTCTCTTTCAGCTTTGTGCTGAGATGAAACATGGCATCATGAAAGTATTCATAACGAGCCGGCCGGTGGAGCAGCTGGATGTCCATCAAAAAAACATCAATAACATAATACAGCTTCACGAGGAGACAGTAGAAGATATTTCCCGGTTCGCGCGTTCTATGCTGGACGACCTGCATATTTCGCGTCTTCTTGCTAAAGCCACAGAGTACATCATTAACAACGCACATGGGGTGTTTCTCTGGGTGAAACTTGTTGGAGATCGACTAAAGTCTTCTATAGAAGTCGGCGACTCGGAGGACACCATTTTTCAATGTCTCCAACAGCTTCCAACCGAATTGGACGATTTCTACAAGCTGATGTTTGAGAGCTTGAGTGAGAATAAGCCATTCATCTCAGAGTCAAGATCAATGTTCCAAATCGTTCTCTGGGCGGTAAGGCCACTTACGGTGAACGAGCTACTGCACGCTTTGGGGATCTTGCGTACTGCGGATATTGAATTTGAGCTTTCCGATGATGTATTTGAGGCACGAATTCCAACCAGGACACGCATTACTTATTGCGGAGGGAACTTCTTAGAAGTGAAGCAACCTAATGGTGCCTACCTCGCAAACACCCAGTCCGGCACTTCGTACCCTCGAACTCACAAGTCTAAGGGGAATGAAATTGTTCAGGCGATGCATCAAACTGTGCCCGAGTTTTTCCTTAGCTCCGGAGGATGCGTCGCAAACTCAGATTTGAGAATGAGTGATGACAAGGATGCTCATATTTTCATGTCTACAATCTGCATTCGGTATCTCATGCTCTGTGTCGCATGCACTACTTTGACAGAGACGCTACCTGCCACTGAATCGTGGATTTCGGAGCACTTTTACGAGTATGCCAAATACTTGGATAAAAGACCGTTCGCAGTTTACGCTCTGTGTTTCCTTAAGCATCATATGAGTCGCTGCCACCAAGATACAAGGGTTTCGTACCTTGCCATTCGGCTAGTCAACAGCCTGACCAGCAACCCATCTCTATACTTATTAGAAGGCTGGGTCCTGCTAAATTTAGGTACCGGCGTCCAAGATTCAGAAGACGTTGTTCACGAAAAGAGAGCAATGGAATTCAAGGCTCAAGTCTTACATGCTGCCGTTTGGAATGGCTTTACTGTGGCAGTTGAGATATTGCTGACAGCCGGGACTTATATAAACTCAAGGTGCGAGAAAGATCGCACATTTCTGTCATTGGCAGCCGAACAAGGGCATGAATCTGTGGTAGAGCTACTACTCTCTCGTAATGGCATTGAGGCCGATTCGAAAGATCTGGATGGACGGACGCCACTGTCATGGGCTGCAGAAAAAGGCCACAAGGCTGTTGCCAAAATGTTGCTCGCCCGCAACGACGTCGTGCCTGATTCCAAAGACCTGGATGAGCGGACGCCGCTATCATGGGCTGCTGAACAAGGACATGAATCCATGGTAGAAATGTTGCTTGATTGCAACAACGTTAACGCTGATTCTATGGATAAGCAGCAACGGACAGCGCTCTCGCGAGCAGCAGAAAAGGGACACGAGGCAATTGCCAACATGTTGATCCGCTACAATGTTATGGCTAACTCGAGAGACGAACATGGGCGGACACCGCTGTGGTTTGCAGCAGATCAAGGGCACGGTGCGCTGTTAGAGGCATTGCTTGCTTTAAACAACGGGGAAGCCGATCAAGGCGATAGATATGGACGGACAGCACTGTCGCGAGCAGCTGGTCAAGGACGCGAGACTATCGTGAAACTTTTACTCAGCCGCAACATTGCCGAAGCAGACTCGAAAGACCAATACAACCGGACACCTTTATCATGGGCGGCTCGGTCAGGGCATGAAAGCATTGTGAAATTGCTACTTGAACGCAGGGATGTCGAGCCAGACTCGAAAGACGGGGACGGCAGGACGCCATTATCATGGGCGGCGTGGCATGGGCAAGACAACATAGTGAAGCTACTACTTGACCGTAACGATACTGGGGTCTCATCGGAAAAGAAAGATCGACGAAGGTTGTTTCTATTAAAAATCACACGGCATTACAAAGCCGCCAAGGAGCGCTTAGCTGGCCGCAATGAGGTCGAGGTTGATTCGAAAGACGATTATGGGCAAACACCGCTATCGCGGGCTGCTGAACAAGGACATCTAGCTGTGATAAAGCTGTTGCTTGACCGCAGAGATGTCGAAATTAATTCAAGAGATATAAAAGGGTGGACACCACTATCTTGGGCAGCCGATCAAGGGCACTACGATGTGGTGAAGTTACTTCTTGATTGTAAGAAGATTGAAGTCGACTCCAGAGATACAGATAGACGAACACCGCTGTCCCGAGCGGCTGAACAAGGGCGAAAGGCGGTGGTAGAGTTACTGCTTTCCCGTGATGAGATTGATGTTAATTCGAGAGACGAGGATGGATGGACACCATTATTCTGGGCAGCCAGAAACGGGCATAAGGCGGTGATATATCTTCTGCTTGCACATGCAAACATTAATACTGACATAATAGATGGCTCTGGACGGACGCCGTTATCGTTGGCAGCCAGGAGTGGACATAAGGAGGTAGAACGTCTGTTGAGCTCATATCCTATCATTTGATAGACGTTGTACACAAGACTTGGTCAATATAAACGAATGCAATAACATTTCACAAAATATCAATTCCACTTTTGGGAACCAACAGCATCATCATTATTTACTTATTTCTTTAGTAAGAATGTGACAGCACTCCGTAATGCAAAGTATACTTCTGCAGGCGGTCCATATTGTCAGACAAAAGCTCATAAGTTTCTAAGAGAATACTGTAATGACAAGCGATCTTCAAGGTATACAGGCAGGTCGATACGATAAATGTTAAAGCTAAACGGTTAGAGTTTATGAGAAGAACGTAACCACTATATGTGTCATCACTATAACTAGGACACAAGCTAGTATATCGTTTTGCGATGAATATTTTAGATTCATTGACAAGATAAGGAGTTATTTTCATTGGTATTTTGCCCTTGATAATAACTCTCCCTAAATTGCTTGGCCGTTGTACAAGGGTTTACGGCCATTGCTCGTAATTAAATCTGACAGCCCGGCACCCATACCCTTGACACTGTAAGATACGTCAACGCAGCAAAGTTCCATATCTAAAGCAACAATGATATCCTTGGTTTGTCCTGTCCAGTTATCCGGGCGAAAGGGTTGCCAATGAAACCTCATTTGTGAAGTTCGTTTCGCTGCATAATTAAATGGCATCGCCACTATATCACGCTTTGCTGAAGTTGAAGACGTCAGTTCTTTCCATGTCACACCCCGGTAGCTGTCAGGTCAACAATTAAGAATATACTTATCTACTAAGGGGTTAACTAAAGAGCTCTGATGACACTGGCCCTGACCTTTCTTGTCTTATTTCCCAATATTCCGTATTGCCGACCCGTGTTGTAAGCCAGCCCGCTCGCCAATTCAAGGAATATCTGATACGAATCATTCAATTCCTTGCCATTTGAAGGATTACTCGTACTTGCCTGATTACAAAACAGACTAGGCATCAAGGCTTAGAGAGCGCTAAAATGAGCTTGGCAACGTGGCGTGCAGCAGCAACATACCGCGGTGGTGAGCTATTGTGAATCCTTCAATTGGAGCTTGTTTATGAGCGATTGATGCGTTTACATGATTTGCCATGGCGGGCGCAAAGGATGAGACAATGGAGAGCTATTAGCCCACAGGATTTTACTTACCGACGTACAAGTACTAGATGCCAGCAGCTGCAGTGACTGGCATTCGTTGGTTTCGTGACCATCAACTATCCTGTTCTTGGTCTAAACACGATTCTTCAGTACCATCGTGGCATAAAATCAAGCCCCCTAAGCACTAATCAAGGGTGAACGAAATTAAGTTCAGCGCTCTCTTCAAGCTATAAGCTGACGACAACCAAGGGAGCTCTTGTATATAGTTAGGCGATAGGAATGCATTATGGTTCAATTTTTTGACATACTGTTTCACCCATTTCTAGCAGAATCGTTGTTGTGACATATCTGGAATAGCGACATCATGAGCGTCAAGACGAAATCCTTCAGTGAAAGGATCATTCCTATTTCTGCGAAAGACCAATGGCGGCCCATTGACAACATTCGCTCCTTGGTTTTTATTGTCGTCCGCGATATTCTCGATGGCGAATTTATGAAATCGTCCCTGGATAAATTGATCAGGACGCATGTCCCTCTCCTTGGAGCACAAATAAAGCCCAGCGGAGCCGATGGCTTGCTTCAGTATCATCTCATCACTCCCTTCCCCGAGGATAAAGAGATATTCAGCTGGTCTACCAGCAATGTCGCTTCAACGCTCGAAGATGCCAATCTCGTGCCGGAGCATAACCCGCAAAGAGGCATCACGATATTTCCGGATGTGACTGTCATGGAACCATGCTGGATACCGTCTGACTGGCCCGTTAGACGCGACCAGGACAAGCCAGACACGCCGCTGTTGCTCGTTCATCTCACATACTACACAAATGCCACCATCGTTACTCTCAATCTACCACACTGTGTGAGCGATCAGATCGGTTATGGCAGCGTTATCAATTCTTGGATAGACGTTATGAAGGGCAAAGAACCCCTTCCTTTTATCGAACTACCCGAGGACAGCCTGGACGGCGACAAAGACATCTCCATCAAGGAACTTCACAAAAAATACGAGTTTCGGTTGAGAACAAAGAGAGAAAGAGCAGAGGTGCTGATAGGAATCGTCCCGGAGCTGGTTGTCCGCTCCAAAGAGACGAGATGTACCCTCTTTTTACCTGTGGGATTAGTCAATGGGCTGCGGGATAAATGGAGGATAGAGTTGAAGGGAAAGTATGGCGCTGACGCGGCGAATATTACGAATGGAGATGTGGTTGTTGGGATTATCGCCAAGGTATGTGATGCCCATTCTTGTTGCAAAATACATAAGTGGATGCTAATACTGTTTTTCTGTAATCCAGTTCGCCAACTTGCATCGGAAAAAGCCCAAGAAGCAAGTCATCACAGGCCCAGCAAGCGGTGAGTTTTCCTCAGTCTCACGACGCATATACGATATACCCTCTTCTCTACCAATGCCCAACTAACACCATTCGCCAGTTCGCGGATACCATCCTCTGCTCCCCAAAACCTCCCACTACCTACACAACGCCACCGTCTTCACAGTCAGTCGCACAGCAATCAGCCGCTCCAAGCCCCCAGTCTCCGAAATCGCCTACGGAAACCGTCTTGCCGTGCTAGAAGCCCTCAAGCCGGAGAAAATCGAACGCGGTCTGGCGGTGGCGCGGGAGCTCCTCCGAAGGCACATGCCGATGCACATCTGTGAGCCGTGGGAGTTCAGCTACAGCACGACGAATTGGTGCAACGCATGGCATGGCATCGACTTCTCCGTGGCCAGCGCTAAGAAGACTGGGGAAGCTGCTGAAAAGAAGGATAGCGATGAGAGCAGCAGGGATGATGCGAAGACGATTGATGGGGCTGCTTCGGCGCCTCTTATTTTTGGACATTCGCTGGAACGAAACCATCCTAATCGATGTAAGTGGTTCATATCTTTATTCTTTCTTGTTAACACGGTTCCCTTTCTAACATCATTTGCGTCTGTAGTAAGCGCTGCGATCATGTCCAAGGGTGAGGGAGGATACTGGGTCGACTTTGCGGCGCCGAATAAAGGCATGGCGGCCATACGGGCGCTTTTGGAGAGAGACCCCAACCTGGAGACGATATGATGTTGTTTGTGCTGGCGCCTTTGGTCCTTGATATACCCAGATTGTTTTGGTTGAAGAGACAGTTGAGTGAGGAGGATTGGGAGAAGAGAGATGTTTATTTGCGAATTTCACTTACAGCAGGAATACGAAGCCATAGACACTGAATAATTACCTGTCAATACATTCATATAATACGTAATGGCTTGGTGAACCTATCGTTCATTCTGCGATGATCTTGTAAGACATTCTTCACCAAAGTGCACGGCGCAAGTAAAACAATAGTTGGGGATGAACTTGATGCATATGATATATAGCAAGGGATATAATATGACCATCCAAACGGCCGTAACCAGTGGCTCCTCTCTGAATATAGCTACCATCAGAGATGAAAAAAAGAATAAATAAAAACATGTTGCAACTCCAACTCCGGCCAAATGCAGTCCGACTTATGCGGGTATAAAATTCAAGCCATGCTCCAATGCTTCCCACTTGCCATGAAACCAATGACGAAAGAAATGCCAACGCCTAGAACCCATGCACGCACGCTCTGCTCTGTTTACCAGCTGTCGCTAAACATCATCATCTGCGAACACTCCTCCAGCCTATCTAAGCCCTTCTTGATGGACTTTGTCATTGCATCTATCCTCTCAAACGCAAACATGTCAAAGTGGTGACCATCCACGTCCAACACGTCGCAGAACATCTCCTCATCGTAATCGCCCCAGCCGAGCAAGTCATCTTCTCGGTTCAAGTCCAGACCCACGATGCGGCCGTCCTTTGTCGGCACGTATTCTTTAGCACGCAGGAGAACCACCCGCGGCCGTCGGTTGTAGAGTCTGCCGGGCCACTCGGGAAGACGCCATTGTCGGACCATGCGCACCGCTTCGGCCATGCACCGCCTGGAAAGGATCTGGTTCTGTGTCAAGCCGTCTCGATCTGTTGAAGCCTCATCTGACGACGTGTCTTCTTCGCTAGAGCCTTCGTCATCGACCTTGAGGCCACGGATCTTGATTTTGGGGGCTTCGATGTCGGGAAACCGCTTCACCGGGGGTCCGGCTGTGGGAACGAGAGGGACGTAGCCTGTGGACTTGCCCGGATAGATGCTGTCGATCATGAGGATGCCAGACACTCGCACGACGTCGTCATCGGCCAGCTGTCGCGCAACCTCCATGCTGAGAAGTCCGCCCAAGCTCCAGCCGCCAAGCATGATGCTGATTGTGCCGTCGTGATTCCTTCGCTGGGCGGGAAATCCCTTTTCTAGTACCGTGTCCCGGATCCATTTCGCGTAGATGCGGCCCATCTCGGGGATGCCGCCCTCGAAGACCTCGCCGGTGTAGAAGTAGGGGTTGTGGATGCCATAGATGTATCGGCCGAGGATCTCCAGGCAGTGGTAGGCAAAGGTGGTGCCGCCGCCGTCGTGGATCAGAAAGACGGGCGTGTTGTAGGAGGGCTTGTTTGGCCGAGCCCAGTCCTCGGGCTGAATCAGCTCTGGATTGGCGCCGCGCATTGTGGATAGCTATCGATAAGCCCAAGATGGATCAATGTTTTTGTTGAGACGCGCCAATGAGGTGAAGATCTCGGCGATGCGTAGACGACACAGGAGGAGGAGAAGAGGGCCAGCGAAGATGATGGTGATGGTAGATGAGGGAAGAGGTAGTGATGGCAATAGAGTAGAGTAGTCAAATCAAATTAAACCCAGCGCGAGAATGTCGAATGACTGAAAACGGCCCAGTTCCGGCTCCCCAGGGTCGAGCAATTAGCCTCGCTTATCAGTGGATCTCCGGCCAGGCGGTTGTTGGGGTGAAAACGTTGGTATGCAGGCGAGGCTTAATCTCAACGGTTTTGCTGCTTCACAACGCCAAGCTGCTGTTTGCGGGGGAAAAGAAAACCACCTGATGGCTGAATCAATCACCCGAAGCCGAACGATCAGAAAGCAGCTCTCATTCGGCGATTTTTAAATTTAATCTGAGCAACACAGCGAATATGAAACGGCTACAGTAAGTCGGCGACTTTAGCCAAGGGAGTTTAGACGAAGTCAATAGACGAGGCTCGATGCGTTTTTGTTGGGTCCACCGAGACGTCACCCCGATAATGGCTCTTGTCCTACATGCGGGGGATCGCGGAGGGAGATGCGAGACGAGAATATGGCGAGCTAAGTAGAGGAAGGGAATGCAAACGGAAGGCAAGCGTTGCTGGACCGATATTTTAACCTTGCGGCCGACGGATTTTGCTCAATCTCTGACAGAGCAGCACGGAATATTACACAATGCCGCACAGGACCTCTCCAGAGATCTGGCTGACGGGGACTGAAATGGCCGTGTTCAACTGCCTGGTATGGATTCTGGACGAGTAACCCTTGTGCGAATCGATTCGAGTTTCAAAGGGCCTTGCGCGGATCTAAGCACCAATGGCCCTCCGTGCGTCTGCAAGTACTCCGTAGAAGTGAATCATCTTCGGAGTCCGAAAGAGAACAATGATCTCGGAGAATGGCTGAATCCTGAAGAAACAATTGGCCCCGTGACATTCCATCGCACTTTCACACACATGACCAGCTTATGCCCGATCCAAGACTGCGCAATTGACAACTCATCCCCCCCATCTCTTCACATTGCTCCTCTCCGTATAACCTGTACGTGCCGTACCTGTACCTGTATGAGCTCGGCACAAATAAGGTATTGCCACTGGTATGCGATTCACCCAACAAAAAAAATCCTGAGCCTCCAGCCATGTGGGCCCCTGATCTCCGCCGAGATTTCGCACCCGCTGCTAAGTTTGCTTACTGTCCAGTGGATTACTCGTACATGGGCGGAGGCTCGCCAAAAGCGCACTCCGCGGCTCCGGGCCCGAGCTGTGCTGTGCCGCACTGTAATCGTTTGTCTGTGGTTCCGTACAACGCTGCCCTAGAGCTAGGATGGAACAAGGATTTCCGATTCTGTAGTTGCAAAGAAGCCAAAGTTTCCATCCTTCCGAAGTCCGCCCCAGGGACCGGCCACTCCGGGGCGCAGGGCGCGCTGTGAGTGGTCAGCTTGGTTTGGGATTGCTCCTTTGGAATGGGTGTCATGGATCTGCCTCACATGTGTGCAAGGGATGGACCGTCCAGTAGTATCCAATGCAAGGTGAGTAAAGCGGAAGCAGTAGTCAAGCACTGTCGTAGTAGCAGCATGAACTTGCAGATACATGAACTGACAGCTACTACCGTGCCTGTTGCTGGTGGCGCACACGCGATGGCGTCCATTCTCCATCCCACAGTCCTCTCTCTCCCACATGTCGATATCCGTGCTTCATTTCGACTCATCCTCGTACCCATACAGATACGCAAGGTCCAGGTGAGCCCGGCAGTCGCGCTGATATTATGCCCATAGCAGCATCACCTCCGTCATCACTGCCGTGAGGAGCCGCCTGCACCTGGTTCCGCCAGATAACCGTGCAGCCTCCACAGTAAGAGATGCAGCTTCATCACACTCGTGCTTGGCCACTGCTTCAGCACGAATATTTCTCCATCTCGAAACAGTTGAGCCGAATCTCTTAACCGCTGCACCTCCCGCTCGCCAAGTAGCCAATGCAGATTATGCACAACCATCTTCTTTCCGTATTGAGCCCCCTCGATATCCAGTGTTGCGTATTGATCTGCCACATCCTTCTTCTTCTCCGGCAGCCATAGAACACAGCCCCGCAATCTGACGCTTTCCACATCTTTCCAATTGGCACAGGGTTCGATGAATTTGTGCTTGGGCTCGTGTAACCGGTTGCCGCGAGTAGCTAGCGCATCTGTTGCCTGTTGACGCATCATCTGCAGGAGCACATCTCCCATATCCTCCCTCCAGACGGCAGTCTTACTGTCCGGGGCAATAGCCATGCCACTTCGGGCCGCAAGCAGCATTGCGAGATATTTCTTGTTCGGGCCACCAACCATATCAACCAGCAGCTTGCGGTTTAGCATGTAGCTTGTTATGGGTGCTCTCCGCTGCCGCCGGACGTCCTTCTCCGAATCTATTGCGTTATCCTTTCGGCCTGCCACAGGGGCTGACATGGGCTCCGGTGCAGGGGCCTCTCCATCATGTCCGTTACCAATAGTATTGGCTTGTGCCTCGTCTAATCGTTTCATGGGCTGGACATGCTCAAAAGATAACGGGCCGGGAGCCCACCAGGGTGCGCCGGATGTCGGGTGCTTTATAAGCTCAAAGTCTTGTAGGAAGTAGCGGGGTAAGCTGGTTGCGCTGCTTGGACATCTTCGTATTGGTGTAGCAAGAGCCTGCGCTACTCTGAATCAGCTTCTTCCTCGTCCTCCTCTCATGGGAACAAACTTGCCATACCAAATGGATTGTTTGCCAGCTTCCGTCGAAACCTGCCGAGTGGCGGACCAGGAGCGGCCTTTGCAGTCTTCCGCCTGGCCTGCATCCATGCTGGATCGAATATCGGCGAGATGGGAAGATCTCCAGCTGCCGTCGAGATGGTCTTGGCCTCAGGGTTAACCTTTAATGACTCGCCGTCTGCATCGCGTCCAAGGCCGGCTTCGACTTTCTGTAAGAGGGCCTCTCTCGTCAGGGAGGCTTTATCGTATGAGTGCCATCGTTGAGCCTGGCGAAGCCCCAGTGTCCCAAAGCTATTTGGGCGGAGCACCGTGCATCGTTTCATCGCCTGTCGACCGAATTCCAAAGATTCATGTCTCTTGTGTGTAGTGCAGCTTGTGCATGCGATCAATTTTTGAGTGACACGCGATAACGATAAGCTCGGTTGAGATAAGATATTGTGGAGAACAGGCTATAGCATCATGACATACCTCGTACCTTTGTAGCTACTTTCGTCATTCACCAGCTTCTCTCTGTCATACATCAGCTCCCTTCCGAAATGCTACGATCCAGATTGCTACCAGGCCTGCGGGCGATCCCTATTCGACATGCAAGATCGTTTGGATTCTCCAGCTCCGCCAGCACCTCTCCGTCAATGAACATCCCTATGCCGTATATCGAAGAGACTTCGGTAAGCGGCGGCATACGCGCTGTTGCCGTGAACATGGGCTAAAAGGGAACAGGCAACTGGCAGGAAAACATGTACGCTCGCTTTCGGACTATCAATTAAGTGATCAATGTACTTACATTTTCGAGGGGACATCTTTTCAAAGCTCCTACAGGTATGTCTATGCCCACGATCACGAGACTTGGACGTGCAGCTTCTAACCAACCCAGCAACGAATAATATGTCTAAACGGCGAAATCGATGACTATATGTCAGCCTCCATAGTAGCACAGCTTCTTTGGTTGGAATCAGACTCTCCCGATAAACCCATTACGATGTACATCAACTCACCGGGTGGCTCTGTCACGTCAGGTGCGTTTCTCCCCTCTCCACGACACGGCTACAAAGATTCACAACAGCTCTAGGCATGGCGATATACGACACGATGACTTATATCAAATCTCCCGTCGCGACCGTGTGTATTGGAGGTGCTGCGTCCATGGCAGCTATCCTACTAGCTGGTGGCGAGGCAGGCAAACGCTGCGCTCTTCCACATAGCTCCATCATGATCCACCAGCCATTGGGCGGTACTCGAGGGCAGGCTTCAGACATTTTGATTTACGCGAACCAAATACAAAAGATACGGGAGCAGTCCAACCAAATTATGCGATACCACTTGAATAAGGCGAAGGGATTTGACAAGTATAGCCTGGAGGAGATTAACGATCTCATGGAGAGGGACAAATACCTAAGTGTCACGGAAGCACTGGAGCTAGGAGTTATTGACGAGGTATTCACAACGAGAAAGGATAAAGAGCCTCAGCCAAAGAAGGAAGAGGAGGAGACAAAGTATTAATGACACAGACCCAGCAATGCGTTTTGCGCTGAATTGCAGGCAAAGGATATGAGCGCCGTAGGTGTGTCTCCGAAGAAGTGCAAGCATATTCGTGCCCTGTATTCCCAATAAGTTAAAAGCGAGGCTATCTAAATCTCAAGGATAGGGCTTGAGCTTTGGCTGTATGTAAGAATGAATCCAATGGAGATGCTGTTGGGTGATCCAGCACTCGTGTAAGATGGATACCAATGGTTAGTCATGCATTGATTACGTTAGATACTCGATCGTGTTGGAAAATAAACACGTCTTTCTGGAAAACTGCTAGTAATGAATTCTGCCCTATCTAGGTAATTATTATTTGAAATCACCTTCTGGACAGCTACTTGTACCTACTACTCTATTCTCGAGATATTCTAGGCTGCCGATATCGGCTCGTCGCAAGCTGTGCATCTCCACTGGCAACTTGCTTCAAGTGGGACAGCTTCGCCAGGGAATTTGCTTCTCTTGGCTTCACATGGGAATCCTTTTGTCGCAAGATGCAGTAGCTGAAATCACTACTGAAGCTCACTAACCCAGCCTTGCATATGTCATTGTAGAGCCAACAAAGCTTTGGCCCTCGTAAAGCAGTCCAGCATATTACTACATGAATCTCGATTCTCATGTCAGTCAGACAGATGCAGCCCTGCAGGGAATCTGGCCATGTTGCCTCTAGCAGGGGGTCTGGCCGCTACAAGGCCGCTGCAGCCAATCAGACACCTCCAATTAGCTGCTCTCTCGCAGCTTCAGTGCCAGAGCGGGGCAATAATTTTTCCCGCTGCGATCTCTTAGTGGGAGCTTCCCGCAAGCAGCTCTCGGGATCACAGGGAAGATCACAGGGACAAACCCCAAAATCGGAGACTCACGTCAGCCATTGCGGTCCGACTAGTTTGGGCATTGACTTCTGAAGAGTCATTCGGGCTGCACTTGGACTTGCTTCGATCCTCAGCAGCACTCAAGCTTGGAGATTGGCGAGAGACACTGGGATTTTGCTTCATCAATTGATTGATAGGTACGTCAGTGTGGGCTGTCCAAGGCATCCGAGATCTGCAGTACAGGATATTTTTTTTCTTCTGCGGCGCTGGCTGGGAGAACATCATCCCTTGCTTCCTTCAATTCACCGGAGCCATCTTGGTGCAATTGCTTGGTTTTTTTCTCTTTTTCCAGCGTGGAATGCGACGTGGCTCGTTCGCCCAGCAGTGATCTAATTCTTGCTCCGATAATAGGACCCAATCTTCCACCAGCACATCGTCACGATGCTCTCCCGAAAGCTGCTCAAGGCGCCGTCAAGGGCCTTGAACGTCCTTTCAAGAGCTGGCACTCTCTCCTCAAGAAATCAGACGTAAGTAAAATCCAGAAACAGGGACAATGCAACTACCAAGCACACCTGCTGACAACCAGCGCCGCAGCCGCCTGCTGTCAACTTCATCAGCCCGATATGCGGACGAGAAGCTCAACAAGGTCTCCGCGACCATCACACAGCCCAAGTCCCAGGGTGCATCCCAGGCCATGCTTTACGCCACTGGTCTCACAGACGCCGACCTGAACAAGGCGCAGGTCGGTATCTCCTCCGTCTGGTACGAGGGAAACCCTTGCAACATGCACCTGATGGATCTTGCCGGTCTTGTCAGGGAGTCTGTGGCCAAGGCTGGCCTTGTTCCCTACAGATTCAACACCATTGGTGTCAGTGATGGTATCTCCATGGGCACCACCGGCATGCGGTACTCGCTGCAGAGCAGAGAAATCATTGCCGACAGTATCGAGACCGTCATGAACGGACAATGGTACGACGCCAATGTCAGCTTGCCCGGTTGTGACAAGAACATGCCCGGTGTCGTCATTGCCATGGGCCGTGTCAACAGACCTAGCATCATGGTTTACGGTGGCACCATCCAGCCCGGATGCACAAAGGCCGGCGAGTCCATTGACATTGTCTCTGCATTCCAAGCTTACGGCCAGTACATCTCTGGCGAAATCACCGAAGATCAGCGATACGACATCATCCGACACGCGTGTCCCGGAAGCGGTGCTTGCGGTGGCATGTACACGGCCAACACCATGGCGACGGCTATCGAAACCATGGGTCTGACCCTGCCTGGAAGCAGCAGCAGCCCTGCTGAGGACCCCAGAAAGAAGGCTGAGTGCGAGAATGTCGGCGCTGCCATCCGGAACCTCCTGAAGGAGGACATCCGCCCTCGCGACATCCTCACCCGACAGGCCTTTGAGAACGCCATGATTGTCACTACCATTCTTGGTGGAAGCACCAACGCTGTGCTTCACTTGATTGCCATTGCTGACTCCGTCGGTGTCAAGTTGACCATTGATGACTTCCAGGCTGTCTCTGACCGCATCCCCTTCCTTGCGGATCTGAAGCCGTCCGGCAAGTACGTCATGGCTGATATGCACAAGATTGGTGGTACTCCAGGCCTACTCAAGTATCTCCTCAAGGAGGGCCTCATTGACGGCTCTGGCATCACTGTTACCGGAAAGACTATGAAGGAGAACGTTGAGAGTGCACCCGATTTCCCTGCCGACCAGGACATCATTCGACCTTTCAATAAGCCCATCAAGCCCACCGGCCACATCCAGATTCTGCGTGGTTCTTTGGCTCCTGGTGGCTGCGTTGGCAAGATCACTGGCAAGGAGGGTCTCCGATTTGTTGGCAAGGCTCGTTGCTACGATGCTGAGTCTGACTTCATTGCCAGCTTGGAGCGTGGTGAGATCAAGAAGGGTGAGAAGACCGTCGTCATTATCCGTTACGATGGCCCCAAGGGTGGCCCCGGTATGCCCGAGATGTTAAAGCCTTCTTCAGCCATCATGGGTGCTGGACTGGGCAAGGACGTTGCGCTCTTGACTGACGGTCGTTTCTCCGGTGGCTCTCACGGCTTCATCATCGGACACATTGTTCCTGAGGCCATGGAGGGTGGCCCCATTGCCCTCGTCAAGGATGGCGACGAGATCACCATTGATGCCGATCAGCGAATCATTGACCTGGAGATTTCAGAGGCGGAGATGGAGAAGCGGAGAAAGGAGTGGAAGCCTCCCGCACCCAGATACACCAAGGGAACGCTGGCCAAATACGCCAAGCTGGTTAGCGACGCCAGCACCGGTTGTGTCACGGATGGCCCGATTGCTTAAATTGGGGGACGCAGCAAAGGAAGAGAAAAAAGGAAGGGTGTGCTTAGTATGATGCTTCGTTATTTTGAGTATGCATGAGGAGTTTTTGTTTGGATATCCGATGGATTGGCTTGAGAGGGCCGAGAACATTTTCCTTTATATATGTTAAGATTCAGAAGAAATTCTCATAAAACGGTGACGCATGTGTAACCCAATATTGATTGATGGGCGTCGTCTTGTGGCAAAACGAAATCTGGTTCTTGCTATGCTGCATCCTACATTACAACGCATTCAAAGCTACAAAGCTACAATGTATAATACCTCAATAACCTACATACACCAGTCAAACAGATTCGAGTCTTAAATCATACCTATTTTCCAGTCCACGCCCGAACAAATGCAGCCTTGTCTTTCATTGTCAAACCCACTCTCTTGACTCTGCTCAGCCTCGCCAGTGCCTCTCCTATCCAATCCAGCAGCTTCTGTTCTTCACTATTGATGCCAGTGCTTGCTCCGCCCCTATACGTCAAATCGCTAGATCCAGCGATGGAGCCGTTGTTGCCAGACTTTGCGGCAGCCTTGTTGGTTTGTCCCTCGGCGATGCGCACACGGATGCAGGTCGTTGGTCGAGAAAGCAGAATCCACAAGAAGCGTAGCCATTGCCCGGGAATGGGTGTCGTAATTTCGGAGGGGGTATAGCGAATGCTTACGGGGAAGATGTGCATGTCTGCTGGAGTTTGGAGAATGCTGGGGCTAAATGGCAAGATGGCCTTGCCGTTGGTGGTGCCGCATTCAGGGAATACGGCGATGACACGGTTTGGATACTGCTTAACCAGGTCTTTCAAGTCCACCAAGTCGGCGGTTTCAGCGGGTTCCGTAGTGACTGGCGCAAGCGCCTTCATCACAGCTGACAGCAGTCCTATCCTCCTGACTCTGCGTTCCCCCGGATATGAGACGGTAAAGACAGGGTCGAATATAGCCGCCAGATAGATGGCATCAACCGGGCTCGTAAAGTTGGCGGCTATAATGGATCCCGGATGGGGGACCCTTTCGCGGGGCTGCTCGGACAAGGTGCCACGCTTGACACCATCGAGCTGGAGGTCAATCCACCAGATTCCCGGAATGGCCATGAGGCCCCATAGTGCGATTTTGCGGACGAAGACGGGGAGGGGCAGCGGGTGGAAGACTAGGAAGTAGCCGAGCGCGTAGGTGAGGAACAAGGGGAGGCGGACGAGGAAGAGGAGGACGTGGGTTAGCGTCGAGATGGCCGAGCTGGTGGACGAGACGGGGAGGAAGGGCGCGATGCCGGTTGCTTTGCGTATAAGTGAGTACCAAGCAGATAGAAGAGCGAGAGATGAGTAAGGAAGTGCTTACCTCTGTCGCGAAACTGGCTGTATTTCTCCATCTTGAGCACAGCTAAATCTTTGGTTCACCTCCTCCGCGTATCCGTCAACTGCTATGTGGGGGGAAAAGCGACTTTGTTCGAATATCGAAAGATCGAATAGACAACGTGGCGCTACCGAGACATTGAAGACAGCCAAGCTGAAGAGGATGGAGCTCTTCTCCCCTCTTCGCTTAACAAAGAAAAAACGACTGTGAGAATCGTCAAGGAGGGGGAGGAGAGAAGAAGGTAGGTGGAATATCTACCTTGGTAGTAGAGATGCGGTTTTGTGTGAGACAATGGGGGAAGCTATGGGAAGAGGTCTCCATAACTTTGGGGATGACTTTTGGAAAGTTTGGAGGTGGGATTACATCAGCAGCGCTGCTTTTAGAGCTTTGTGTGTATGATGGTGGGGTTTGTTTCGCGTGTAGAGGTGCTATGTGATGACGGATTGGCAGCGATATATACTAACATACACGTATGGAATGACCACTGTGGTCTTATTATTAAGATCAAATGTATAGAGAGGAGTTTTTGAACCATTGATGCCATCTCTATGGCATCGTGATTAACAGAGGCTTGAGTACCCACACAGAAGCCGTGCCAGGATACTCACCATCCATCACCACATACGACTCTCTCCTTGTCTGTTGATGAAGTATCATGATCAGTTGCAATTGATACAAATCCCATTGGCTTCCCCCGGTGCTGCCGCATAGATATTATAAATCCAGACAAGATGTATCAACTGGCATGTGATTGTCGTGTATCTCTTCAAAGCGGCAGTGACACTAAACCTCTTTTGACACTCCAAGCTTCTCTATCTACATGCGACTCTAAGCTCGGCGGGCCAGAGACGTCATTGCAGTTGACATGTGAAATAAGCAGATTTATGACAGGTGATGAGCTGTCAATCGGTGTGTAAAGGAGGCATTATACAGACCCAAACCTTGGAGTATACTCTGCGTGGTGTGGTATAAGAGGTATTAGTATGGACGCCATCAGTGGCATTACCGAGTGTCCTTCCAACGCTGGCGGGCTCAAGCCCTAGGCTTTGATCTTCGCTTGCAACGGACCAGCGGCGACTAATGTGAACTATTATTGTATTCTTCCATATTGCCACCACGGTTGAATGGCACCAGCTTAGAATTCAGTAGCGTGAGGAAAGGTGTAAGAGTGACTGCGCCCCAAATCTCCAATAGTCAAGCCACAGCGCCTCAGCCACTGTTGCCCGGCCAACACGTCCTGCAGTAGTAAAACAATGGTCCGTGCTCTTGACGCTTCTCCACACCGATAACAGCAAATCAAGCATCAAGCCACTCCATTCAAATAATCTTGCGTCAACAACCGAGCCAGGGGACTGCAGTACCGCAGAGACCTTCCATTTCGATTCTACGCTCCTATCTCCATCATTGTTTGAACATCCTCACCTGCTGTGCAGTGATATCAGTTGCCGGGGCGCGTGCTCCATCGTTTCGACGCGACCCCCAACGTTCGGTTTCTTTGTTGATATTTTTTCCCTTATTGTTACAATGGACGCTACCGAGAACCAGGTTCGCCCTCCCGCAGAATCAATGCACCACCAATGTGTAGCAAAGAGTCAGAGACTGACTGCAATGCTCTCATAGACCGCGCGACCCTCCAAGATCAGTCGCTTACCAGGCCCGACGGCGCATGCCGGAGGACTGACGGAATGGAGCGAGTCACAACAGAATGCTCGAACCCAGTCGTCCATCCCCGCGCCGCCTAAGACGAGGGGCCTGAAGCGCGAGATCCCCCAGTCCGGTACGAAAGCAGCGATACATACTATAAACATTCTTTCAATATGCTGACGTTTGCCAGCGCCCCAATCCGAGGCCAAGCGCAGACCCCTCTCTGAACGTGCACTCGACTATCCTTCAAAAACTCCCACATCGGGCCTTCAGATACCACGATCCGCCGTCAAAGGCCAATCCTTGGCCAACATCTCACAAGTAAGAATCCTTCAAGGGTCAAAGGTAAAAGTTCCTGTGGTTCGATGGCTGACAGGTAATGATAGCTTAAACTGCCGCGACCGGCGTCTACAATCCCTTCAGTAAGCAACAGCTTCGCAAAGGCCTTTGGTCCAGATCGAAACGGCGCCGCGGAGAAATCATCAGTTCCCAAACCAATCACACGACCCAATCATGCGAGATCGAAAAGTCAAGTAGCACGGCCCCGGACGGCACAGGGATTTCGGGATGAGGAAGAGAATGATGCGACGGATAGTAAGGGTATGGTCCTCAACGAGCATCTCACCAGCATTGCTTTCAGCACGCTTTCCCACCGCAAGATCAGAAATACAAAATCTTCATCGTCATTGTCCTCTACCAGAGACAGCTCTCTGTCAACAAGATTTACCAACCTTTGTCTCGAGGACAATGGCTCTCTCCACAACACAAGTCAAGTGACAACCTCACCTCCAGACACTGCATCTGCTTTTAGCAACGTCACTATCCACCGCCCTGGCAATGAAAAGAGAAGCAACAAGCAGCCACCGTCCGCTTTGGTAGCTGTGCAGGGAACCTAGGGAGGTCCCTCTAAGATGCCAACGGATAAGCAAGTCAAACGGCCGGTGGAAAAGGCTCAAGGATGCATTGCTCATTTCAAACCAAATTCTCCCACCAAATCCCCCATCAAGTCACCCATGCGCTATAACAGTTTCTTAACTAAGGATTCTAACCTCACTGGGTTTGTAGCCTTTGATGCCGATGAACGAGTCCGCATTACGGAGTTGCACTTTCAAGAATTAAAGAAGACCGTAACGGACGCCATGGTGCACACGACACAACAGGAGAAAACATACATGGCCAATGCCCTGGAATTGGTCAATAAAAAGGGTAAGAACTGAGTGAGCTTCCTAGGTTGCTACGATGCTAACTTCTTGTGTCTCAGCCTCGGAGTTGGAAAGCTACAAGGCAAGATTAGAAAGCGACAAGTCAAAATTGGAGAGCACAGCCGAGTTCCTGACGAAGCGAGGTATGGACAGATTGAGCTCTTGCGGAGTTGGTTACAGCTAACATGTTTTTCTCCAGTCTCGGAGTTGGAAAGCGACAAGTCAAGACTAGAAGATAAGACTGAAGTCTTGAAATCAGATCTCGATGCCTCTAAAGAAGAAAGTCGGAGATTGCAGCACGATTTAGAGAAGCTTGAATGGGACCACTCTCGACAAATTGACGATCTTACTAGAAAGCACAAAGCCGAATTGGACGATCTTTCGCGGCAACACCGGACAGCAATGGACGATCTGAGCCGGGAACTCGAACGGCTAAAAACACAAGAGGCGAATGATCATAAGCAACAGATTGACGCATTAAATCGACGGCATCAGCAAGAATTACGAGATGAGCAGCAGAAACGAGAACAAGAGCTTCAAAACCTACGAAGCAAAATGGGAAATGAGCAACAGGAAGCGGAGATTGTTCTGCAGAAAAAAGATCGAGAGGTGCGGAACATGCGTTCAGAGGCGGAAGGTGTACGATCAGATCTCCAGCGGGAGAAGGCGCTTACCGGCAGTTTGCAAACGAGCATCTCCGAGCTCTCAGCATCCAACACGACACTGGAAGCGAAAATCAACTCTCTCCGATCCCAAGTCGAATTTCTCGAATCCGACACCAAGGCGCAATCCGATGCATTCGCCGCCATGGAGGACAGGCTTCAAGATGCTCTGAGATTTGCCGAAGAAGCACGACAGAAGCTCATGAAGGAAGAAACAGAGCGTCGCGTGCTCTTCAACAAGTATCAAGAGCTCAAGGGCAATATCCGCGTCATGTGTCGAGTTCGACCACCTCTTGGAAACAGCGAGGGCCAGGTGGCGCAGCTTGCCTATCCCGACGACAAGACCTCCGCCGAGATCCTGGTTGCTGGGCCTGAGGAGAAGACCAGCCTTGGAGTTGTTCAGAGGAAGAGCTATCCGTTCGAATTTGATCGAGTGTTTACACCCGAGATACAAAACAATGAAATCTTTGACGAAATATCTCAGCTGGTACAAAGCGCTCTGGACGGCTACAATGTGTGTATTTTCTGCTACGGCCAAACAGGGTCAGGAAAGACGTATACCATGTCATCACCGGATGGCATGATTCCGCGAGCTACACACATGATATACGACACAGTAACTAAGCTAAAGGAGAAGTCGTGGGATTATACCTTGGAGGGATCATTCGTCGAGGTTTACAATGAAGAACTAAACGATTTGTTAACACCCAACGAGCGCACTGCCGACGGGCGACTAACAAGGAAACTCGAAATCCGACATGATGAAATTCGAAAGCAGACGACCATTATAGGCTGCAAATCGGTTCAGCTAAACTCCGCCGACACTGTGGAATTGATGCTGGAAGAGGCACAGAAGAATCGGTCCGTAGCGGCCACAAAGGCCAACGAGCGGTCCTCTCGGTCTCACAGCATTTTCATCCTCAAACTCATTGGCGAAAATTCAGCAACGGGCGAACGATGTGAGGGCACTCTCAACTTGGTTGATCTAGCTGGATCTGAACGCCTGAAGCATTCGCAAGTCGAGGGCGAAAGGATGAAGGAGACACAGAATATCAACAAGAGCTTGAGTTGCCTGGGAGATGTGATTGAAGCTCTAGGAAGAGGATCAGGCCATATTCCGTATCGAAACTCCAAGCTCACACACCTGCTGCAATACAGCCTGGGCGGAAACAGCAAAACACTCATGTTCGTCATGGTATCACCATTGGAGACTCATCTGAAGGAGACCCTAACCAGCTTGAGATTTGCCACAAAGGTGAGGACTAGATCCGCAATCTCAACCAGTAGAATGTTTTGGCTAACCATGCTTTAGGTGCACAATACGCATATTGGCACAGCAAAAGCAACCAAGAAGATCAAAGGAGATTTATAAGGAGAGCCGCTCAGGTGAGGGAAATGGGTTTCATACAGCGAAGGGGGGTTATGGTGTTTTGGCCTTGCGTGTTTGCATCTTGCCTTGTGGGAGTTTACATCTATTCCTTGGTCTGGTGGGCGTGATTTCAACGGCTTATGACGGCTGGTAACGAACTGATATCCTATGGAAAAGTAGATATGTTTTAAGGGCATTGGAGTTTACGGAAAATATGGTTGATGAAAATTTGCGCCTTTATATATAAGCTCTTGATGCTCAAATGTTGGAATTATATAAGCAATCCTCGTTAAGAGGTCCATGTCAGTGTCCTCCTAACAGCAAGCCATGCCGCTAGACGGAGATTTATCAAGCAGCAATTGGCGAGTAGAGGGGCCATTTCTATGACAGGTGAGCATCAAGCCATTCCTTCACTTTATCTCACTGCTACTGGTGAAGGCGAAGGGCTTGACGTGAGAATGTCGGTGCCGTGATGTCATCCTTGCTTGGCCAAGTTGATGCTTAAAAGCAGTGTGAGGGGAAGGCCACTTTCGAGAATGAATCTATACTGGAGGGCAAATTCCTACAGAAAGAATCGAAGAATCGAATGTGCAAAAAAATGCCTACTCATCGAGATCGCAAGAACCCCAGCTCTGGCACCAAGGTCCGTCTCACTGAATTCAGTACCAGGCATCATTGGCATCGTTGCATATCAGAGCTAACAAATAGGTCAAGGTCAATCTGGGTCGAGATGCTCCGGTCAATCTCGAAGCAGCTGGGTTAGCTGCATCGGGATCACTCGCCGCAGAATCAATCCAAAAGGGCGGCGAATTTGCGCAGAACCGCACCGCCCAGCCCGAGGCCATGTCAGGTTCTAACCTGGAAAGCCAGTCCGGATCTGCGGGCGAAGCGCCGAGAAACGTGACAAAGCATCATGGCAAGGGTACAAAGGGATCACAGGGGAAAGCAATGAAAGAAGGTGTTGGTGAGGAGTCTGGAAAGTGGGAGGATGGGCTCGAGAGGGCTCTGAGGTCGGAGCCGGGGAGTGAGGACGACCCAAGCAGATTGGCGGAAGCGCAGATGATGCAAAGGCAGAGTTTGGGGGCTCTGGGGGCTAAGCCGAGGCAGAGCGGTTTGAAGGGGGAGACCATGTACGATGCGTTGGACAACGAGGTTTCTTTGTGAGACGAGCTGTGGCATCTTTGTATAGCATCAACTTGGAAGCTCGGTATGGACAGAGTACCCGTACATTACGTGATGCGTCTGCTGCGCCATATGACTTGCGTGTGTTGTCACTGCCCCTACTTGACTACGAGTACAAATACAAAAAGTATTGTCCTTGCTTTATTTAATATGGAGCCTTGCATCCAGCATTCTGTTTTAACTTGCTGCCTGCGCCGCGGGTTTCGTGTTAGTTCCCGCCACTTCTTACATGGCAGAGGCCCAGAGTTGAAACGGGCGGCTAGGCACCAGCATTTCTCGCTGCCGGGCTTTCCATATACAAGGCGGTGCGGATCGTTGTCTCTTCCAGACGGTATATAGCAGAGTAAATGCGCCTTGTTGCTCCGAGCATCGCTATTTATGCATGAGAGAGTAGCGCTTTCGATGATGACGAACATTTTGTAAGAGCGACGCGATGGGGGATGCACATGAGGGGAAATAGCTGATGGTGTATGTCTAGATGGCTTCGTCATTTTTTCGATCGATTTCATTCCAGGATATTCACGTTTCGGGAGAATCATCATTCTGAAGACGGGCATCATCACATCAAGGCGTATAGTCGTCATCGCGAAGACATGCCCGTCATTCCGGAGGAGAAGTCATCGCTACGACCGCCACGGCCATCGGAGGTTGATTCAGAGAGACATGGCAGCACAGATGACTCGAAACAAAGAGAAGGCCGGAGAGATGCAGCCAGAAACACAGATGTACCGTCTGAGCAGGATATTAATGACGAGGAGATGGAGCACCAGCGATATGGAGAGGCGCAACCGCAGCTTGTGCCCACCGACATGATCGAGACGATGATCTCAGCACAGGGGCGGAAGAAGGACAGCCTCAGCGACGCGTGAGACGCCATACACACGAAGTTTTAATCCCGACATCACCGAGACTGAATTATGGGAGAAACCAGCAGAAGTATTACTGCGGAGGACATGTTTAGAAGAATTGATACCAAGATAGTAATGTTGATATTGCCATTGCCAGATTTGGCAGAACCGGTATAGGGTAGCTTGGGTAGGACAGGAAAACTCAGATGTGGTGACGACCCACTAAGGCGAGGGTGACGTCAAGCTGCTTCAAGGTTTTTCTAGCATGTGCGAACAAGAGACTGTATAGATATTTGGCAGTGGAATAGACGATGGATTTGGAGGCAGAAATGGAAGAAAAAAATACTAAAAAAAAAACTGTGGGTGACGGTACCCCGAATATCCCCCAGATGTCCACCCGTGACAAGCAATTGGCCTCGGATCAGATCTCAGATGCGCAGAACAAAGCGAGACTCACCGTAATCTTGTACATAGTTTATGCCTTAGTTTGATGCCTGACTGTGGCTCCCCCCTTATCTACCTTAACGCCAAAATTTTGATACCAAGCCCCACCATACAAAAAAAAAAAAAATTCACCCCGCCCAACGAATAATTTCAAGGCAGCAAATCGCCCAGTCGGATTATTCCAGCCAGTAATCCATCACTCGGATTTTTCCTTTTCTTCTTGCATTCTTCAAAAAAAGTAGTGTTCGGCTGTCGTTGAATACTACGCCTGGGAAAATTGGGACTTGCTTTTTTTCTTTTTTTCTTTTTCTTCTTTTTCTTTTCTATCTCGACAACTCCCCCCCGGTCTTTCTCTTCCGTTTCCTCTCATCCCGCCTTTCTACGTGGAATAAACACTCTCTAGACCGTCACAATGCCTCCCTCATCTTCCAAGGAGAAGAGACTCGCGAAGAAGGCCGAGAAGGCCGCCGCCGGAGGCAAGGACAAGAAGGGAGCCAAGGTCGGCAAGAAGGACGAGCCTGAGCTCGATGTTCATGGAAACCCCGTCCAGGATACCGATGGCCCCGCCACCACCGATGACAAGCTGGACGAGGTGAAGCGTCTGGCCGACCAGATGGACCAGCACGGCATTTCCGACCGCGTCACGACCGGTGTGCTGTCCTCGACCCAGCAGAGCAAGGACGTCAAGATCACCAGTACCTCGCTTGTGTTCCACGGCCGAGTCCTCATCACCGATTCCACTCTCGAGCTGTCCTTCGCCCGCCGATATGGTCTCCTCGGTGAGAACGGCTGCGGAAAGTCTACTCTGCTCAAGGCCATCGCCGCTCGAGAATACCCCATTCCCAGCCACGTCGACATCTACCTGCTGAACGAAGGTGCTCCTCCCAGTGAACTCGGCGCCCTGGAATGGGTCGTCAAGGAAGCTGAGAACGAAATGGAGCGTCTCGACAAGATGGCCGAGCAGCTGCTCGAGGACGAGGGCCCTGAAAGCCCTGTCCTGATTGACCTCTACGACGTATGTTTCCCCGTATTCCTATTCAAATTGTCATCAAATCGAGTACTAACAGTTTATGGCAGCACATGGACAAGATGGATCCCTCAACATTCGCCACCCGTGCTTCCCTGATTTTGACCGGTCTTGGTTTCAACAAGAAGACCATCCACAAGAAGACCAAGGATATGTCTGGTGGATGGAGAATGCGTGTTGCTCTGGCCAAGGCTCTGTTCGTCAAGCCCTCGCTTCTCCTGCTCGACGACCCCACTGCTCACTTGGATCTCGAGGCCTGCGTGTGGCTGGAAGAGTACCTCAAGAAGTGGGACCGAACGCTTGTCCTGGTTTCTCACTCCATGGATTTCCTCAACGGAGTGTGCACCAACATGATTGACATGCGTGAGAAGGCCCTGCAGTACTATGGTGGTAACTACGACTCCTACGCCAAGACTCGTGAGGAAAACGAGACAAACCAGATGAAGGCCTACACCAAGCAGCAGGAAGAAATTGCCCACATCAAGAAGTTCATTGCCAGTGCCGGTACCTACGCCAACTTGGTCCGACAGGCCAAGTCCCGCCAGAAGATTCTGGACAAGATGGAGGCCGACGGCTTCATCCAGCCCGTCGTTGCTGACAGGGTCTTTACCTTCCGTTTCGCTGATGTCGAGAAGCTGCCCCCTCCCGTCCTGTCCTTTGACAACGTCACCTTCTCCTACTCTGGCAACCCCGAGGACGACCTGTACCGCAACATTGACCTCGGTTTCGACATGGACTCCCGTACCGCTCTGGTCGGCCCCAACGGTGTTGGCAAGTCAACGCTGCTGCGCTTGATGACTGGCAAGCTCTCCCCCACTGGCGGAGCGGTCACCCGTCACACTCACTTGAAGCTTGGTCTGTACTCCCAGCACAGCGCTGAGCAGCTCGACCTGACCAAGTCTGCCCTGGACTTTGTCCGTGACAAGTACAAGGAGAAGTCCCAGGACTACCAGTACTGGCGTCAGCAGCTCGGCCGCTACGGTCTCACTGGTGACTCCCAGACCGCCCTGATGGGCACTCTGTCCGAGGGTCAGAAGAGCCGTATCGTCTTTGCCCTGCTTGCCATTGACGGCCCCAACATGCTGCTGCTTGACGAGCCTACCAACGGTCTTGATATCCCCACCATTGACAGTCTGGCTGAGGCCATCAACGCCTTTAGCGGAGGTGTGATTGTTGTGTCCCACGACTTCAGGTAAGTCTTTTTACTCGTTGCTTTGCTAGTTTAATGATTTTCCAAGTGATGCTAACCAAAACTCTCTCTGCAGATTGCTGGACAAGATTGCCAAGCAGATTTTGGTGTGCGAGAACCAGACCATCCGATCATGGGACGGCAGCATTGGCGAGTACAAGAACTACCTTCGCAAGAAGATGATCACGGCCGGTGCTGTGTAATGGAGCGAATGCATGAGACGCAAAAATTTAAAAGTGCATATTGACATGGCAATTGAAATTCTTATAGAACGGATGATGAATGACAGGGAATTGGACGGCGGCTACATGGGATAAGGATGTCACACGCGGCAAAAAAGGCCATCAGGGAAGGTGGCGCGTTGAAAAAAAGCCAAAAGCCGCGCAGAGAGTGCGCATGAGCACGGCCGCGATACCCTAGAGATGCGGGATGCATGCATTCATGATCGATGTTTTTGTTTTTTTCAATTTTACGGGATAGACTTGGTAGTATCATTTGAGAATTTTCTTGGGGTTAGTTACTACTAGGTTTGAATGATATGGAGGGCATTAGACAGAATGAAATGAAGCCAGGATCTTGTTAATACTTGTTGTGTTTGTTGGTGTAATTACCTGGTTGATCGGCGGGTGACTCAGTCGGCGAGAGGATACTAAATGACTGCGACTTTTTTTTGAAGATACTTTTTTTTTGGCGGAGTAAAGCGCCCTTTATGTGACACTATGGTGGCTTTATCGAAAATTCCATCCCCATCTACTTGTACCTCTGAGCCTTGGGACTAATTTGGCTCAAAGACGAGTCTACGGGCACATTCAGTATATATATATTGAGCTCTTGGCAACAACTTATCTACGCAGCTTATTCACTACTTCGACACTCACGACCAGATTTGGATATGGCCTCAATTACAATACGGCCCGCATCGCCGGCGGATGCTCCCGCCATCGCCGACGTCCACTACCGCGCCCAAGACAAATATCACGGCTTCTACGGGGCGTTTTTCGTGCACAAACCGCACGACATTATGATGCAGAATACGGCGCGGGCGGTGCAGAAGCCGGAGAATGTATACTTGGTTGCTGTGGACGGGGTGTCGGGGAAAGTAGTTGGGTTTGTGCGATATGCTGTGCAGGGGGAGAAGAAAGAGGAGAAGGAAGCAGAAGTTGTTGCTGCTGAGAAGGAGGAAGCCGGGCCGTCGCTTTTTAGTGTCAAGGAGCATGTGAAGGGGTTGTGGGAGGAGTTTGATAAGAAGCAGGTTGCGATGGATGCGTGTTATGAGAAGGCTGCTGACGGGAAGAAGCATATCTGTAGGTGTTTTTCTCTGTTTTTGTATTTTGCCCTTTTTAGGAGGGTATTGGCTGACCTTGAGCTTAGATGTGAATCACTTGATGATAGATCCTAATCACCAGCGCAAAGGCATTGGCGGGAAACTCCTCGCCGCAGTGCTGGAGAGGAGCGATAAAGAGGGTGTGCCGACGTTTTTGATGTCGTCTGCGGAGTCTCGCGGGTTGTATGGCAGGATGGGGTTCGAGATTCTGGGGACGTGGAGGGTTGATAATGGGGATTGGGCGCGACGGCTGGTGGAGGTGGAGAAGGGGCTGGGGATTGCTGGGAATGAAGGGCTGGAGGAGGAGTTTAGGGGAGTTGGGGAGATTGAGGATGTCATGGTTCGGCGGGTGAGGGAGTGATTTAGGTTGTTGTGGTGGTGTTCTTGGTGTTGATAGTTGTGTTGATATGAAGCATGTATGTAAATAGAACAATACTGTTAATGGCCAAGTTATAGGTAGCCATGGAATGTTTCTACATCAAGTCGCTGGTAAAAAAAAAAAAAAAAAGTCATTGTAAAAGGGCGTGGTGACATTTGGACCCCAAATAAATGAAGGCATCACAAAGACCTTGCTAGTTGACAACAAGCTGATACCGTATCATCAAGGCGGGCACTGTGTGCTCGGCACGGAGCTTAGAAAACGAACCGGGCTGAAGAAAGACGCTATCGCCGAACGGCCCGAGTCTCAGTGCATGCACATGAACAGGACGGAGAGGGAAAAAAAAAAATCTGAGACTTGTGTCTTCCATCACGCAGGTCTGCTTCTCCACAGTTTTTTGGGGGGAAGGATTGACGCCATTGGGGGGAGGAATGGGATGGAGATTGGCTGGGCAGTTTGTGAGTGGTGGCTTTGTGCCTTGCTCGATGCTATTCAGAGAGGGTGAGGGTGAGCGGGAGTGTCAGCCCCAAGAGATTTGATGCTACACACGGGCTGAGAAGGATTTTGTATGACTGCATGGAGTTTCTGTTGCGCTGCGCTGTGCTATGCTGTGCTATGCTGTGCTGTGACAGAAACTGGGGGACTGGCCTGGGCTGCTTATCTGGTCGCATTGAGGCTCTGGAAGCATCTCATCTCCCTGCCAAGAGACGAGGCAATCAGTCAGATTGCAAACAGAGTAGCGCGCGCTGCAAGGCGTGAGACTAGCGAATTGAAGTATGGGGAACGGCAGGGCCCCTGGGGTGATGCAGAATGCAGGAGAAGAAAAAGAAAGAAGGAAAAAAAAAAAAAAACAGGGATGATGGGATGGGGCGGTTGTTTTTGTCTTTCGTCGTCGTTTTGCATGTTTCAAATGCTGGAGAGGTTGTTGATGATGATGATGATGACGACGACGATGATGATAACGACGATGCTATTTATGAGTACTGCGATTGAAGAAACATCTTGCCGCCGACTGCGTGGGATGCATTGGTTTCGGATTCATCACATCTTGTTAATTCCGTGGCTTATACCGTAGCCAGGGGACGCAGCCCACAGCTTGTCGTTGCTGCATCTGGGCTGCATGATTGGCTGAGACAGGGCAGCTGTCGATGCATCGTGGGATGGACCATGACAGAGGCGTTGGATTCATCTCATGGCGATGAGACGTGATGCGGCTAAATGAAGTGTAAGTGAGAATAACCCCCGTCTCCAGGAGGTTCGATATCGCAGCGAGTCGGTGGCTTTTTGCTTCCTCTCCGGTGGCGCTGGTTGGGCCAATCTCCCTAAAAACAAAGAAGTGGAGGTGAGCTACTAGCCCGCAGCCTGTGCCGTAATCTGGATAGTACTTTGGTTGCAGCTGCATGGGTAAGAGGAAGAAAATGCTTTGTAGATCCGGATCTCCAGAACGGCCCAGGGCGGACAGACCGGCTCCAGACTCGTTTGAGCCAACGCATCAGTCAGTCCACCATCACCACGGGTCTCGTCTCGCCTTGCGACTCCGCCTGGCTGGTCCCTCCCTTTTCGTACTGTAGCTTTTGGTGATTCCCCGGTCGCTCGTTGTGATTTTTGCCACTGCCATCTCGCGCGGACCTGTCTTTGTTGCAGCCAGAACGTGAAGCCATCGCCATCGCCAGCAGCATCGTCGACGGGCATCAGCTTGACCTGGCTTGGGGTTTGCCGATAAACAACCCAGCCAGCCATTACCTGTTCGCGCGCTCTCTCTTGTTTTACATTATTTGAAAATTTCCCTTTTCTCTTCTTTTAAAACAATAATATATCTTTGTATATCCCAGCTCGCCTGCGAAAAAGCGCAAAGCTACTCAAGCAAAGCAGAGCAAAGCCAAAAAAAAAAAAAAAAAAAAAAGGCAAAAAGCACTCGCTGCTGGTCCAGACTCTGCGCAGCCTTCGTCATCGCCATCATATCATTCTTTAGCGAGGCTTTTCCTGCCAGCCCAGCTCTAGCCGACTTTGTCATCCACCCATCCCATCCAACGCGACTCTTTGTCTTTTGCACCTCTCCTTCTAGTTCTCACCATTCCCTGCCATTGTCGACAGATGCCCTGTGGCCGCGAGCGCGTGTAAAATCACAGACACATGGGCTCGTGTGTCTCGTACTACTAGATTTCTCTTGCTTCGGGCTGCTCTTGACTGCAACTCCCGGCCGGCAATCCCTTCGCCCTCAGCCTTGTCCGCGATGGACTCGAGCTTCCGATCGACGGTGATGCACCGGCGCGGCGACGACGAGCGAGATCGAGAGCGGGAGCGAGACCGAGATCGAGAGATGGACAGAGACCGCAGCCAGCGCGACGTGATGAACCCCAGCTCGCGGCACTCCACCTTCAGCCTGCGGTCTCCCTCGACGCACACGCAGGCCGAGTTCCATCCGCCTCTGCCCTACGCATCCAGCGACGCAAACCCGCATCACCAATCGCCGCCGCGCCATAGCCATAGCCATAGCCATAGCCAGAGTCACGGCCAGAGTCACGGCCAGAGTCACGGCCAGAGCCACAGCCAAAGCCGCAGCCCGTACATGCCCTCGTCGACGCCGGCGTCTTCGGCTTCCGCCCACCCGCTGCCTGCTGTGCTCGCGCCGTCGCCGGGCCATCACCAGCTTCAACAGCAGCAGCAGCAGCAGCATCAACCGCAGGGCCCCTCTGCGTCGCCGCTGCATCCCCCGGGCGCCTACTATCCTCCTCCGCCGCGAGCTGTCTCGGCGGTGCCTATCGCAGCATCGCCACGAGCATCCTCGGCCTCAGCATCAGCCTCCAGCGCGGCCGCTGACCTTCATCCCGGCGGCAGAGTCTACGATCCAACAACCGACACGACCAAGGAGCGCCCCATCGCCGCCTCGAGGCAACACGCGCCCCAAGTGGCCACGCCAAAGGTAAGCACCTCAACCTTCTAAAAGTCCACTTTCACTTTTCGGCCTTAAACCCACGCGCATTGCTTCGTTCAATTGAGCCGTACCTTTGTATTTTTTTTTTCCCACCAACGTCGATGCATCATCTCTCCTCCCGCCCCCCCAAAATTGCCAACCCCAATTCACCAACCCTTGCAACGCCGGCACCATCGCCATCCCTGATTTCTCAACGCGTCTTCTAACGTGATTTTCCTCTCGCTCTTCCCTCTCCTCTAGCCGTACCACCCTCGCGAGCCGTACCAGTACCCGCAGCCAATTGACCAGCAACACCAGTCGTCTTACCGCAACGGCGACAATTATTCATCGCCTCGGGCCAGGGCGTCGTCCTTCAACCGCCGGCCGACCAGCCCGCTCTCTCTCTCGCACTCCCACCCAAACCTCGCAACCGGCTCTCACAGTCCCCCCAGCCGTCATTCGCACATGACTTCGCCCGTCTCGAGGCATGCGCCCGCGACAACGCATTCTTCTACAAACGGCACCTCTCTGCCGCCCATGATGAAGACTGAGTTGGCAGCCCCGTCACCGCCGAAGCCGGCTTCCGTAAGTACAAACTTCTTTTTTTTTTTTTTATTCCTCTGCAAACGAGAGAGGGAATAATAAAATAAAATAAAAATCCCCAGAGTCTATGCAATTCAATCACTACTCGGCCTTATTTTATTTCCCTCTCCCTCCACTATCAATATCTTCTCTCGCCATTTTCTACCTCTCGCTTTTCCTGCTCTATCATGCCACCTTTTCCCTCAAGCAATCTCGAAGATTGACTGATCCATCACTCGATAATAACTCATCGTGCTAACGGTACACTCCCAGAGCCGAGCTGCCGACCCAATGTCCTTTTCCAACATCCTCTCCAACAACTCCGAGCCCGCTCCTAAGCCCGTGGCCAAGGCACCAACACCCAAGAAAGAGCCCACGCTGGCACCTCCCGTATTTGAGCTCAGAGAGCCCGACAACGACGGCGATACTGAAATGGAGAAGGAGGTCGATACTGAGCCTGAGCCCGTCCCAGTCAAGAGGGCCGAAATCGTCATCAAGAAGAAGATTGCCAAGAAACCTGCCAAGGGCCGTGCATCCGAGATTAGAGGAGACGATGGCCCCAAAAAGAACCGTCGCACGTCCATCAAGAAGGAGTCTCCCACTCCTCGACCGCCCTCAAAGCGACAGGCCAACGGCCAGCCCAAACAGAAGACGTGGTCAAGCGAAATGGAAAGGTCAATCCAGAATCACGAGGCGCTGCTCGACAAGCAGGCCGAGTCTCTTGATGACACTGAGTTCAGCGACCGAGCTTACAAAGAAGGAGCTTTCAAACGCCAGCGTACCATGGCTGACCTCGACTCTGACAGAGCCTATGCCAGGCGCGAACAGTTTGTCAAGTCTACTGGAAAGAGGCTCGCCGAGCACTCGGATCTAGGAAAACGCCGATACGATGACGTATTTTACGACGAGGCCCTCCACGAAGTCCGTGAACAAGAACTCTATGCTGAAAAGGAGCGCAAGAAGGACATGCAGCGAAAGCGACGACGCGAAAAGTCAATGGCCGTTACCATTGAACAGAAGGAGGCTGCCCTCGCTCGAGCCGAAGCTGCTGAAGACGAGGAAGAGCGCCAGAAGCATTTGCGTGACGCTGAGAGGGCCAACAAGAAGGCTCAGCAAACTAAACTCATTCTACAAAAGGGTATCAAGGGCCCTGCCCGCAATGTCGAGCTCAACCTTGAAGGCGGTACCATGTCCAGCTTCCTGGCGTCCGATGCTGAGACCCCTAAGAAGGGCAAGGGTCGCGGGGGAACACGGCCCAAAAAGTCTAAGGAGCAGAAGCAGGCCGAGAAAGATTCTGCAGAGGCTGCCCAGGCCGCCTTGGATGCTGGCGAAGAGCTGCCACCCAAGGAAGAGGGCCGGGTTCGCATCAAGATCAAGGGCAAGTCCAAGGGCGATGGAGAAAAGGCTACCAAGGAAAAGGCTGAATCTACCAAAGATAAGGAAAAGGTCGATGATGTGCCGGATCTCGAGAAGAAGTTCATCTCCAAGGGCTACAACCAGATTTACGATCAGATTTGGCGTGACATGGCCCGCAAAGACGTCAGCAAAACGTTTAAACTCGCCGTCGACTCTTATGCCACCAGAGGCTCCAATCTCAAAAAGACTGCCATTCTGGCATCCAAGGAGGCCAAGCGCTGGCAGCTACGAACCAACAAGGGCACCAAGGATCTTCAGGCCCGTGCGAAGCGTGTTATGCGTGACATGATGGGCTTCTGGAAGCGAAACGAGCGTGAAGAGCGTGACCTGCGCAAGGCTGCTGAGAAACAGGAGATTGAGAATGCTCGAAAGGAAGAAGCCGATCGCGAAGCTGCTCGCCAAAAGAGGAAGCTCAACTTTCTCATCTCCCAGACCGAGCTGTACTCGCACTTTATCGGCAAGAAGATCAAGACGGACGAGGTCGAACGCAGCACGGACAACCCCGACATTGCCCCCGATACGAACCAGATTTCTCAGAACAAGCTGTCCATACAGGAGCCCACCGGGCCCTTGGGCTCCAAGGTTACCGACTTTGAAAACCTTGACTTTGACAATGAGGATGAGTCTGTCCTGCAGGCAGCCGCCATGGCCAATGCTCAAAACGCCATTGCCGAAGCTCAGAAGAAGGCTCGCGATTTCAACAACAAGGGCCTGGACATGGACGACGAAGGCGAGATGAACTTTCAAAACCCAACGGGCCTCGGCGACGTCGAGATCGAGCAGCCCAAGCTCATCAATGCTCAGCTCAAGGAGTACCAGCTCAAGGGTCTCAATTGGCTCGTCAACCTTTACGAACAAGGCATCAACGGTATCCTGGCAGATGAAATGGGTCTCGGCAAGACTGTCCAGTCCATCTCCGTCATGGCCTACCTGGCCGAAAAGCACGACATTTGGGGTCCGTTTTTGGTTGTGGCGCCCGCCTCTACCCTGCACAATTGGCAGCAGGAAATTGCAAAGTTCGTCCCCGAGTTCAAGATTCTCCCCTACTGGGGAAGTGCTGGCGATCGAAAGGTGCTGAGAAAGTTCTGGGACCGGAAACACACCACCTACCGAAAGGATGCGCCCTTCCACGTCTGTGTCACCTCATACCAGCTTGTCGTATCCGACGTGGCCTACTTCCAGAAAATGCGATGGCAGTACATGATTCTCGATGAGGCACAAGCCATCAAGAGCTCGTCCAGTTCCCGTTGGAAGTGCTTGCTCGGCTTCCACTGCCGAAACCGCCTGCTGCTCACCGGTACCCCTATCCAGAACAACATGCAGGAGCTGTGGGCCTTGCTGCATTTCATCATGCCGTCCCTGTTTGACTCCCACGACGAATTCAGTGAATGGTTCTCCAAGGACATTGAATCTCACGCTCAGAGTAATACGAAACTTAACGAGGACCAGCTGAAGCGTCTTCACATGATTCTGAAGCCGTTTATGCTTCGTCGTGTGAAGAAGCATGTGCAAAAGGAACTGGGTGACAAGATCGAGATGGATGTTTTCTGCAACCTCACCTACAGACAGAGAGCCTACTACAGCAACCTACGCAACCAGATCAACATTATGGACCTCGTCGAAAAGGCCACCATGGGCGACGACCAGGACTCGGGTACCCTGATGAACTTGGTAATGCAGTTCAGAAAGGTTTGCAACCACCCCGACTTATTCGAACGCGCCGAAGTGACTGCCCCCTATTCCTTTGGATACTTTGCCGAGACCGCCTCGTTTGTCAGGGAGGGCAGCACCGTCTCCGTGGGATACTCTAGCAGAAGCTTGGTAGACTACGAGCTGCCGGCTCTCATCTGGACTGAAGGCGGCCGACTTGACAAGGCTGGGCAGGATAACCAGACGGCAGGCTGGCGCAATAAGGCCTTGAACCACATGATGAACATCTGGACACCGGAGAACATCCAAGCCAGCGCGGATGGTGACAAAGCCTTCTCTTGGCTGCGCTTTGCCGATACATCTGCCAGCGACGTCTACAAGGCCACGCACGCCGGTTTATTCGATCGCGCCGTGGGCGAGCTCGAGAAGCGAGATAGACTGGGTCCCATGAGCATCGCATATGACGAGGAAGACGAAAACTTTACGCCTGCTCATTGCTTGTTCAAGATTCGGGAGCGCCGCAATCGGCAGCCTCTGGCAGAGATTACCAGCGAGGGTATCCTGAACAGCTTGATGAACGTTGCCAAGGTGGCCTACCGAGACTCTGGCCTCAGCCGGCTGGAGCCTGCAGCAAGACCTCGTGCATCGGCTCCCCCTGTCCAAGTCTCGTGCAACAACCCCGGCGCCGTCGCCGAGTGCCAGAACGTCATGTTCAACACTCACATTCGCAAAACGCTTTATGGACCCACAATCTACGACGAGCGTGCTCTGGTCGAGAAGAAGGTGCCGATGGAGCTGTATCCCATCAACCAGATTTTCCCCAAGCCGGATCACGACAAGAAGCGGTTTACCAACATCGCCGTTCCTTCCATGCAGCGCTTTGTCACCGACAGTGGCAAGTTGGCCAAGCTGGACGAGCTTCTCTTCAAGCTCAAGGCCGACGGCCATCGTGTGCTGCTGTACTTCCAGATGACTCGCATGATCGACATGATGGAGGAGTACCTCACATTCCGCAACTACAAGTACTGCCGACTGGATGGTTCAACCAAGCTGGAGGACCGTCGCGACACCGTGCACGACTTCCAGACTCGGCCAGAGATTTTCATCTTCCTGCTGTCCACTCGTGCGGGTGGTCTTGGTATCAACCTCACGTCTGCGGATACAGTCATTTTCTACGACTCTGATTGGAATCCCACCATTGATTCGCAGGCCATGGACCGAGCACACAGACTGGGTCAGACCAGGCAGGTCACCGTCTACCGACTCATCACCCGCGGTACCATTGAAGAGCGGATCCGCAAGCGTGCTCTTCAGAAGGAAGAAGTCCAGCGCGTCGTTATCCAGGGTGGAGGTGCTAGCGTCGACTTCTCTGGCCGCCGCGCTCCGGAGAACCGTAACCGCGATATTGCCATGTGGCTGGCTGATGACGAGCAAGCCGAGATGATTGAGCGTCGTGAGAAGGAACTCCTTGAATCTGGAGAATACGAGAAGCAGAAGAAGAAGGGTGGCAAGCGGAAGAGGACGGATGCCCCCGCCAGCCTGGATGACATGTATCATGAAGGTAAGCACACAGACACGCACTCTATATGCCATGGACTGATCTAACCTACTTCTCTAGGCGAGGGCAACTTTGATGATGGAAGCAAACCTGGTGCGTCTGGCACTGCCACCCCAGCTGAAAGCGAGCCAAAGGGCAAGAAGGGCAGAGGAAAAGGGATTGGCAAGCGGGCAAAGACGGCTAAGCAACGCCTTGCCATTGCCGACGGTATGATCGACACCTAATCGGAGCGGATTCGACAAGGACTCTTTTTCCCTTTTCAGGTCAAATCTGCATATAATGAGTGGCATTTGTGAAACAAACAACCTCGCGGTTTGTATCAGTAATACTTTTTTTTTTTTGAGCTTTTCGTTTATTCTTTCTGTTTGTTTCGTTCTTCTTTCAAGGGTTGGCACTGGATGGAAATGGGGGACTTTTTAGGAGTGCATGGCGCAGAAACAAAAAAAGCCAAACTTCTGCTTGAAGGCTAGTTTTTTTGTGAGGAGTGAAATGAAGCTTATTACGCGATAGGGATTTGCTAGAGGGGAGGATACAAAAGTAGTAGGCGAGGGGCGGGTGGTTTTCGTGATGAGAATGTGGAAAGGACAATGCTTTGATGTATTACTAGTTTTGGTACCTAGAGAGGGGATATATACATGCATGGATGGACTTGGCCGTCTAGCTTGATGTTTTTTGTACATGCTTTTGGTGATGTTTGAAGTGATGTGTGTTTTGAGGTGAGTGATGTTGAGAGGGGAGGAGGGTGACTGAGCGTACCGGTTATGATACTTGGTTATTTCATTTCCATCATAAAGTTGTGGCACCCTTGTCCTTTTTCGTAACAGGAGAGAGAAGCTGATGTGCAACTAGGTAACAATCAGTATATTACTGACTGCTTCAGTCAAGGAACTTGTTATCCAATCACCGACGGAAGCAATTGTTTACCTCTGGCGATGCCCCACATTCCTATCATGGGTTGTCGTGTAAGTCAAAGTCACAGAAAATGCAAAAGAAGAGTTCCATCTCCCGTTGACACAAATTATATTGTCTCACTAGGTTCTTTTCTAGACGAGCCATACAACTCTTTTATGAGACATGAAGATGATCCTTTCCTCCCCTTTTCTCTTCCCACTTTCCCACCGCTCTGATAAATCCACCCACACATCAGAGCCATCGCATCTTCATTGTCCTTGAAAAAAAGACAGTCCACTTAATCAAGACCATCTATCGAAGCTACCCGTCCCACCACTTAAAGCGGTCAACCCCCCCCTTCCCGGAAACAAATCCGTGACGAAGAGGTTTACCCCCCCTCCCCCGGCCCCTTAAAAGACTGAGGGAGAAAAACGAGGGAGACGGTGCCGGAGCCCTTGGAGGAGGGATTTAGGCAATGCCGTACTTGTCGAAGAGACCCTGGAGGCAGTCGTTGAGGGGCGCGTAGCACTCCTCGATCGACTTGTGGCCCTCGTTCTTGCACTTTGCGACGGCGCTGTAGCAGCCGGTGATTTCCTGGGCGTAGTCGCCGCGGTAGCGCTTCTCGTGGGTGTTGCCGGTGCACTGTTTATACGTTTAGTGTTAGTAAATACCAGTAATTATATACGTGTATCGTGATATAGTATCAAAAGGCGTATGTTAAGCGGTGGTGTTATAATAACTTACAGCATTGAATTCAAGATCGCAAGTCTCTGGGCAAAAACTACCCCACCACTTCAAATACCCATTGCATTGCTTATAGCATTCTTTATAAGCGGCTTTGCAGCTATCAGCGGGCTGGGTTTCAACTGGGAGGCTCTCGACGGAGCGCTTCTCGGTGGTCTTGCCGGTGCACTGTTTATTTAGGACGGCGTTAGTAAAAGAATAATACACATATAGGTTTCCCCCCTCTCTTCTTCTTTTTGTAATTATACGTGATTTTTAAATCGATGTTTCATAGGGTATATTTTACAACTTACAGCATTGTATTCGTAATAGCACAGCTTCGGGCAAATGAACTTCAAAGTAAAAGCAACATTGCTGCATCTGTCCCTGCACTTTTGGTGAGCATCTTCGCAGCTATCAGCTACCTGGGTTTGAGTTGGCTGGGTTTGAGCTGGCTGAGTCTCGGTTGGAAGGCTCTCGACAGGAACGGGGTAGGTTTCAACTGCATCGTCGCGCTCTTCGATGAAACGCTTCTCGGGGTTGTTGCCAGTACACTGTTTGCAAGTTTGGTGTTAGTAATAAGCATATGTACTAAATCAGGATATCTTCTTTTTACACGGGGTTATGTATATTATTCAAGGGGCATATTCGTAGTATTATGACTTACGATGTCCAACTGGCGAGAGCAAAGTGGCAGGCAATAGCTCCACCTGGCCTCCCAGGGCCACCAGTTGCAGGCTGTTTTGCAGCTGTCGTGAGCTGCTTGGCAGCTTTCAGCTCCCTCACTTTGGGAGGTTGCATCTCCGGCTTCGAGGGATCGCTTGTCAAAGCCCCACCCGTTGTGGTTGCACTGTTTGTAACTTCAGTATTAGTGAAGAGGACATGAAAGTACCTTTTTTGTAATTGCCTATATAGGATGATAAAGGATGATTTTAAGGGTGGCATTGTGACTTACCCAAAGCGATGAGCCGGCACAATTTTCCAAGCAATAGCCTGACCACCACATAGATATTCCGGGGCAGACCTCACTGCAGTTGGATATCTTATTTTGGCATCTTGTGTCTCGGACTTCGACCGCCGGGACCGCCTGGGGAAGGGCGGAAGCCAGGGGCAGGAGAGCGAAGAGGGCTGAAGACCGCATTTCGGATGATTGTTGTTATTGTTGAGGTTGAGGGGGAGGATGGTTGATGAGATGAGGGTAGAAATAGTCTTGTATTTATAGGCAAGATGAGCGTAAGGAGTATTGAGAGCACTGGGCTGTTTGTGGTAATCTTGAGCGAAGGAGCCAAAGCCGTCGCTTGAGGATGCGTGAATCGGGGTCTGTGGATGTTCTAGATGGAGAGAGCTTGGGGAAGGACTGTATAGTGGTTTAAGCGTTTGCGGATCAGGGGTGTTGGATGGATATCTTGTCCTTCTCAACAAGTCTATTGATAAGGTTAGCTTCTAATGTCTTTTAGTTGAGATATAGTTTGGCGGTATGGCTTATACGGGCATTCGAGATCGTGGTGGAGTGGGCATAGAACGCAAGTCTTAATTTTGGATATTAATTTGTAGATTATTCTTCTCTGTTGTCATGTAGAAATTCCAACTACAATGAGGCACCCTCAAAGGGACATGTACGTGATGGCTGAATCGGCAGTTTACTGCTGTAGTTGCGGGTCTAATAGAGAGATAAAGGCCTATATTGTAAGAACTTGACAAGAGGTCGTTAGATAAGTAGTAGTTGTAAGTACAAACATTGTGATATCGTTGCCTTAATCGGTATCGATCTAGGCATAGATCCTAGTTGAGCGGTGCTTTGGTTACCTAACATCTATCAATACCTACCTATGTGATACTATATCCGATGTAAAGGACAGAAATAGATTGGCTGTATTGCTATTGTTCATGGACATCTTCCTCACCAAAGCTCCTCTTCTTGACCTCAGCAACAACGAATTGAACCACGTGCAGTACATGACCCTCACTGGTGAAACTACTAGCTTTATTCATGTGGATGCGTCAATACGCTCATCCCAAGTCTTACTATTATGCCTAAACGCAATGACTTGCGCATTGACGCTTTTCTGCACCGATATGGGGCATTTTGTTCGGACGTCGAACTGAATGTCGGCATCGCTGTGATTGGACTGCCCCTCCCCCACATGGTTGATATAGTGCGCGAGGGCAGGTGGTGATCCCTGCAACAGCTCGGAGACTTAGTCAACGATGCTGAGATTTATTACTGTTTGCAAACTGGCTTCTGAGGCATTTTGTAGACACAGTGGCGCAGCCTATGTTCTATCGGGAATAATGTCATAGCGTCTATTTCACTACGAAAAATCATCGGAAGAAGAAGAAGGAAGAGGAGGTTCTTGCCGACAAACATATTGATTGGTCTCGGAGGACCACAGGTGATGAGGAGGACATATAATTTATACAAGATAATAGATTCTTGGCGGATAGTCGTACGTATTTGCCTAGGTACTCTTCACTCACCATTACTCTTTCACCATTCCTTGCTGTGTTCGATTGAGGACTTGAGATGAGACAGTGCGCACAAGACAATTTCCTCCTAAGTATGTATTTATCTATCTAACTATCTAACTACCTAGCTATCTAGCTGGAATATATGATTCCAGGTTTACAAATCAAATCAGCAAATGGCTGCTTGCCTGAGCAGCTCAACAAAAAGTGCCTATCTAGTTTCAATGCCAACTCACCTAGACCGGAAGCCTGCTTCCGTGCCAGCTCACACCTCGTAGTCTTCCGTGCAAAGTCAGAAGACTCCAGAGCGTAAGCCTCAACACTTCAATCCTATTCCCAAGCTTGCAAAAACCAGACTACTCACACACACCTCCACGAGCCCAAATACCTCATCACCTACAGACAACCGTACCTTCACTAGCCCAACTGCCTCCCTAGACAAACACGTGGACCTTCACACGCCCAACCGCCTCCCCAATACATGGACACACATGTACCTCCACACATCCAAACTGCCTCCCCAGCTGTGTCACCAACCTCATGCCTTACGGAATGATTACAGTTCCCTTCCCGAGAGGCCCCTCATGCTGCGCGATGTTCTTCAGCTCCGGCAAAGTGAACGGCTCGGTACCACTCAAGCTGCCTACCCTCCCCAGCAGCTTCTCTAGATGTCGAAACGACGCAGCAGGAGCATATCCAGGCCCCTGATGTCCTGCCAACTTGGTCACCACGAACGTGAGGCCTCGCTCCTCGTGCACTGTCCCCAAAACACCCGTCCCTGCCGGCATATTGGCAGCGTAGCCCGTCTGTTGTTCGGCTTGGGGATCGAAACCGTAAAGTGGTACGTAAAACGGATCCTGGGGCTTGCACTGGAAGCCCAATTCACCACCCCATGTCATGTTTTGGATGCCAAGTAGGACTCCATCCGTGGGAAAGAGCCCGTCGAGGTCGCCGTGGGCAATAATGACATTCTGGGTGGTGTCAATGACGTGTGGCAGACGCTTTTGGTTTGATGGCATGGAGATGGAGCCGTCGGTATTATTGGGAGTGTTGAAGACGGGGCCGTTGCATTTCGTCCATGCCATTGAAGGGGGAGCATGGATGGCCTTCTTGACGTCGGTACGGTTAAAATACGGGTCACGGTCGTCGACTGGATCAAAGACCATGGGACAGTGGTCGAAGATGTTGTATACGCTTAAGCAGGGGTTTGCTATGGCAGCACTTTCGACTAGAATTTTGAACAACGATCCGCAAGTCATGTTGTTGACAGCAGTCCCATCGGGCAAAAGGTTCGTGCCGGGGTAGATGGTAGGCTGTGTGCCTGACGGAGGAAAAGTGAGATACCTGTCATAGAATTCGGTGTAGCCACAACCATCTGAAATACTATGGATGAGAGACATGGAATTATCGTCGAGGGCAAAAACGTCTTTGTGGCGGGAGAGGTATGACAGATGGGGGACGCCGACTTGGACGTTTCCATCAGTTATTGATGCGTCGTAGATTAGCAGGCCAGACAAATTGAAATAATCCGTGTCGTTGGCATCAATAAAGTGGCTCGAGATGTAAGGACCGTAAAAACCGCCATACGACTCGGCTGCGATGTTGACTCGCCAGCCGTGCAATCCGAAGAGGTCGACGAAGTTGCGCCAGAAACCCATGAATTGAATAGCGAGCTCGTCCTCATTGGTGATGCTGGGTTCACCTTGGGAAAACCCAGTGCCAATAGGCTGCTCGATCCAGACGACATTGGTGAGGAGATGCCAGCTCCAGGGGTTGCGCTGGGGTTTGGGATTGCCGGGTTGCCAGAGAAATGGACCGTTTTCGAGGAGCAAGCCGAGAAGAGACGAGCAGCCGGGCTGTTTTTTTGTTTGGGTCAGTCAGCAAAGAAATACACGAGTATCTGTAGAGGGGTATGCACATACACCTCCGTTGAGCCAAATGGTGATTTCCTTGTCCTTCTTGTGCTCTTCATTGACGGTCGGGAAGAACCAGAAGAACATGTTGTCTTTTTCGTCGGTCTTGTTGCTGATTGGCAGGAGGCCCGAGTACGACTCGCCTACATCGAAATCGACTCCCGGAATTCCAGTTCCATTGACGGCAAACTCTGTGCAAATGTCAGTGTGGGACCAGAAGAAAAGGGGCTACTATAGCGCTGGCCAGGACTTACTCTCGGTGGCAGAGTTGAGGAATCCTGACGTTGGCTCATAGTGACAGGCGTCACCAATCGAGCTTCTGTCGACGAGAAGCTTGGAGTTCGCGGAATCGTGGGGGTGGTAGCGGAGGGCTTCGACGAGATTCTCGGAGGTAGGTCCGGCCGGTTCAGCCAAGAGGCTGTTGGCGGCCGCCAAGAGGCGGAACGCCCAGTGATGAGGTCTCATAATGAGAAATGTAGATGCAGTGAATGAGATGCTTGTTCAAAGTAATAGTAAGGTGTGTCTGTGAATTTGAGTGATGTTTATGGATCTGAAGAAGGGCTTCTCCGATCTTCTTATATACATAACAGGTGTGTTGATTTCCTGGATGCTTATACCTGTCCGCATCGTGAACGTGTAAGTTTTCCTTTGAATCCTCTTCAGTTGTTTGTAAATGCTGATGCTGCCGGTTCCCGTCTTCCAAATGCCACTCAGACGTCGGCAAGGCCGAGTCAGAGCATCGTCGGTGTATGCAGGTGCCCTTGGAGCTTGCTAAAACAGGGCTTTGCTCAGTATCTTTCCGTGAGGCTAATCATGGGTGAAAACTCAGCCGCACATCTTAGTACACGCTTGTTTACATGTTTGTGTTTACTTTGCTTAGGCAGCCATTTGAGGTGATGCCGGTAACCGATATCGCTGAGATCGGGGAAAGGCATCGTCTTTGCCTTATTTTGGCACATTTGATAGTCAAAGGATTCCGTATCCGAAAGGATTCCGCATCCGAAAGGATTTGCCGTCGACCAGCCTCATTTTCATGCCGGAGATGAGAAGACGGATACATGCATGACGGGGCTTGTTGTTGTGGATAGAGCTGAAGGAGCCGTGTACATGTTTCTTGGATACGAGTTTACAGAGCTTCCTCATGAGGGCGATGATGGGAAGCGCCAAGGGACAATTGCGCGAGAGTGCACCATTAATAGTATGTTAAGATGAGAAATTCAAAGTGTATCCTGGTATTAATGAAGAGATGTCTGGCATGTGTTCGTTTTTAGCGATATCGAGGTTTAACGCCGCGGATGTTAATCCAAGAGCGCAATACACTAACACGAGTCACAACTCCATTTCCAATACTCAGTAAGCCAGCCAGAACAGTGGTTGATGCCTGATTAGAGTAGGGTAATGTCTATCGCGAGATGCCGTATAGGCCATTTGCTCTCAGGCACAGACATTGTCGCATTGGATCCACATGGACAAACATTGCTTGCCCTTGGTCTCCTTTGAGCCATATTCTATCATCCCGATCAGCTTCGGCCACAGTCAAGGACTACACGCCATTGGACAGACAAAAGTTTCTTTTTACCCCTTTTTCCTCTCAGAAAACTCTATTAGCATGATGCAAGTAGCCAGAGAGATATTTACAGGGCGGCGGACGTGGCATCAATTGCTGGGCGATTAGTAGTCGCAGTTTGCTCCGGATTTTTTGTCAATAACATTCAGCTATCCGTCAATAAATGTTTGCGGTCTATTTTCTGAAATTAAGGATCTCTCTATGGAGCCGATTCTGTGACGTCGAGACATTTCTGCCTATTTTCAGGAGAGTTTGTCTTGACGACAAGCACAGCTGCGCTTGAGGCCCTGATCACTCCGAACCCCCTGAGCATTTTCTTTTCTACTCTTTAGCATGCGTCAACATGACGAAGTAGTAGAGGAGGGGGTTTCTGACTTGATTGTATCATTGGTCCATTTTCAACGGTCAGTGCGTCAGACACTAGGCTTGGTACATGGAGACAATGTCCGGGCTCAGGACCACATGTATGTATTGTGTTTTGTCGCCTCTGAAGACATATCTCAGCAGTGTAGATATTATACAACCTTGAATAACGAAGCATTCATAATAACTGCCTGCCTCGTTTCCCTTGAATAAAAATGTGCACATGATCAGGCTGTTTCGTCATGGTCGTGAAGGCGCCAGGTATCAACACTCAACGGGCACAATTCGTTGCATCCACTATGTATGTAATTAATGTCCAATTCATGCAAGACAGAAACATATGCATTCATCTGCCATGTATGTATGTAAGTCTCTCTCAGTCCATTTATGTAAGTCTTGTTTTCTATGCTGTGCCATGTAAACGTTTACGCTTCATCAGCAGATGCGTCTTGACCCACCGCGATAAGACTTGTAGTAGCAGAGACTGTTGATTAGTCAAACTTTTGGTAGATGAAGTGCATTATCAGATGGACAGATTGGCCAATTACTGATCAAATATGATGATGAGCTGTGGTCCCAATTGCCCAATGGCTGGCGGCCGTGGTTATTGCTTTTGCAGCTCGCTTGACGGAGAGCGGGTACGTTGTCTGCATCAAGGGGACTTGGTCTAGGCTATGTTAGTGCTGAGATGAAGAAGATGAAGATGAAGATGAAGATGGAGCTGTGTTGATAGTATAAATCACTGTAAGATATTATCTTCATAATTGCTGATAATGACCTACATGTATATACCACTTATATCTGCTCAATGGTTTTACTGGTACATATCAGGTACACTGATTGCTACCCGATTCCAGCCCAACCCTCACTTTCACCTGCCTACCCTACAGCACACTCCCATTTTGCCTGATCGGGCCCTAAAAGACGGTCCGTTTTTTAGTGCACGTGTTGGTTGCTCCCTTCCGGCAGGTACAGGATACCTCGACACGCACCTGCAGCGCCCGCAAACCGCAGGTCCGCACTACCCCGCCGCTTTCACCGCCTGGGATTCGCCGGGCATCATCACAAGCAGCCAGCCTCGACGTCCTTGTCCCTTGTCTTGTCCTATCGCCAATCCACCTTGAACCTCCCCGCCTCTGCCCGGACCCTCCCCGCGCCTCAGACGAGCTGCGAGGCATTTGCTCCGGATTTGCATTTCACCTCTGCAGTCGAGTCGACACAGCGTCGAGCCAGACATGACTCGGCCAGAGCCATGGATTTCGTGAGCAGCCCATCATGACAATAAGGGGGATCGCCCCCGCGGGAAGAAGAGAAGAGAGAAGAAAAGAAGTGATCGTGCGTGGGATCCGAGTCTAACGCATCCTTGTCTGTGCAGTGGTCGCGCTTGTTAAGCCCCCTCTCCTCCGGGAGCTCTCGTCAGGACCAGGCAAAGGACCCTGCCAAGCGTCTTCATCGCTTCGAGAAGGAATACGCCGGCCTGCTGGTGAGTTGTTTGATGTCTTTTACTCTTTTACTGTGCTCTACTCTACTCTGCTGTTGCTGTCTGTTGGGTTGGACGTGGGCGCTAACAACAACCATGACGCCTCCCTAGTCCATCTGGCGCAAATCTACCAACCTGTCCCAAGACATCGACGCCGCCGAAACCGTCGAGATCAGGCTTCAAGAGCTCACCAACATCCTCAGTGACGAGAGTCGCCGTCCGCTGCCGCATCCCTGCATCCAGTATGCCTCCATCAAGCAGATATACGTGCCCATCGGCAAGATTGCCACCTCGTCCTACAATGAGTGGATCATAAAGGAGGCCGTCCTCTTCTTTGCGACTCTCATCGAGAGTGAGGAGGAGGCATTTGTTGAAAACCACACCTTTTCTGCAAGCCTGACAAATCTGCTGGTGCGCATTACCGGTGTCAACAGCGCTCGTCTCGGGCTGGATACCGAGTCGCGCGTTGTTGAGCTGGCTTTCAACATCACCACCAAGATCCGTCTGGACCCCGAGATCCTCCCTGCTTGGTTTAAGACGCAGCAGGATGTCAACCGTCCGAGTGACAGGGCCGCTAGTGTCCGTGACAAGTTCGCTGGCCGAACTAAGAGGGCCGACTTTCCTCTCTTTTACATCCTGATGGACTACATCCACCACGAGGGCAAAGTCGGCGACTTTGCGCGCACAGGTCTCTTATACATCATTGAAGCCGCGTCGAGCTCCGAATCCTTGGAGCAATGGATTGTCGAGAGCGATCTGTCCACTCTCATGGCCACCGGGTTGGGAGCCTTGTACAGTCAGCTAAGTCGGAAGCTCGTCATAGATCACCTGCCGAATAACCTGCCGCCTATCCTCGCCCTCTCCGACTACCAACACCCTACATCCAACTACGAAATCGTGAGCTCCTGCTCGGGCGAGTTCCAGTCCCACCTCGAGACCTTTTTATCCCACCTCTTGTTTTGGCAGGATGTCTTGAATCATTGCAAATCAGTCGAAGTCAAGTCGACATTGTTAGAGCACTTTCAAGTTATTTTCTTACAGCAGCTCCTGTAAGTGCCAATGCCCCCCTGATGTTTGCATGTGCGGTGCGTGTGTTCCTGCGCTGACGACTTACCATTCTAGATACCCATCATTGCTTGAGTCTTCCGATATAGACGGAGGCTCGTCCGTGGCTGTTTTGACCTACCTTCGCCGCATCATCGAATCCCTGGATCACCCCGACATGATCAACCTCATTCTTCACTACCTGTTAGCCTTGCCCGAAACCGTCAACTCGCATAGCCCTCCTTCAGAGACTGCCATAAGCGCTGCTCGGCAGCGGAAATCCATGGACCTCGCTACCATGATGGCGGAGAAGCCCGACACGACCGCTACCCCTCTCCTCTTCAACCTGGTTGATCTTATCCTTGCCTGTCTCCGATCGCGCAACCAGCAGACCATCTATGTGACTCTTCAGCTGGTATCGGCAATTGTCAAAAGGCACCATCGATACGCAGTCCTCACCCTCCTCCGCACCGACATGTTTCCGAGTAACAATATTAACCGGACTGTGGGTGCTCACGAGCAAGAGATTGAATACTTGATGGCTCTAGCAGAGACCATTGGTGGCCGAGACGACTTTAACGAGACTTACGAGAGCATTTTGAAGGATACCATGGCTCGGCTTGAGAGCCACCCATGCTCCCTCAGACTTGTCGCCCCTAGACTATCGCAGCACAACCACAAGCTGCCTACAATTCCAGACAGTCTTCCAGGAGCGCCCAAAGATGTTCGAGAGCACACGCTTCGCCATGACGATCTTTTGCTTAATGCCATCCTTGACCTGATGGAAAACTTCTTCATGAATCCTGTGGAGACAAATCTGTCAGTCACTGATACCATCGTTGACATGGCGATATGTGGCTACATGAGCATTGAAGGGTGGCTGGCCCGAAACCCCAACAGCTACACCTATGTCGAGGACGAGCGGCTGTCAAAGTCTGACGAAAAGAAAGAAACCAAATCTCAACAGGATGGAGAGGGCGAGGAAGAGACAGAAACGGAGATGGGAGCAGACGCCGAGACTGAGATTGGTAATCGGTCGCTGGCTGACGAGCTCGGATCGCAAGATGACGGTTACTCGGTTGGCGGCTTCTCTACGTTCTCAGACGACACAGAGGCGGATCGTTTGGAATCAATGGAAAAGTGTAGGCGTCGGCCCAAGTGGACTCAGGATTCCCTCCCCAGAATCCTCGTCGTGCTCAAGCGTCTCTGCGATCAAGTCGAGGCGTTTAAGCAGACGGTACCCCGGTTTGACGAGCTTCTCCAGCAGCGACGGGAAGCCTTCCAGACTGCTGATTCAATCCTGGATAACCCCCCACCCCCTGTTCAGAAGACCCCGCCACCGCGACCAAGCTCCAGCCTTGACGAAGTGATCCGGTCTGTGTCTCCATCGCGTCCAACAGGACTCGAGGGTTTCGCTCAGCGGCTGCTTTCCGAGCTCGGGACCCCAAGCCGTTCTGTGACCCCTAGAGGACGCAAGAATAGTACTCGGACATCCGGCGCTTCAACACCATACAACGTTTCGGACCTACTCTCTCCCAGCCTCATGCCTAATACCTCCAAGCCACTGCCTGACCCCAACAGGATTGCTCTTAGCCGGAGCCTGTCGCCAGTAAGTGCTCAGAGTGAAGCCGGTGGGCAATACCGAAACAGTCGGCAGGGCTCGGTAGTCGCCCAGCCGGCAGATTTTGCAGCCGTGGATCAAAGCATCCTAGCCCGACGGGTAGCCCTGCCGGGCAGCGATCAAGTCAAGCCGATACCGCTAGACTTGGAGGGAAAACCAACGCACGAGGCTCCCGAGTCTCTATTCTCGGGAGACGAGCTGGCTAGCCTTGACGGATATGACAGCAGTGCGGACCGCAGCGAGGTTGCCACTGAGCCAACCGTGGTGACGGAAACGACTGACAACGCCGAGCCAACCAGTCCGACGGGCGAGAACATGGTGTCGGTATCGCATGTTATTACCAATGTGCTTATTTACCAAGCGTTCCTGATGGAGCTGGCCAGTTTGATGCAGGTCCGAGCCGGGTTGTTCAACGAGGTTCGCTTTGTTTGATTATGCTGAGTAAGGAATGACACTTCCTTTGAGATAGAAATTTTTTCCCCCTTCGGAGAATAAAAAAAGTTTTCACGGGAAGTTACTCGGGGCAGCGTGATTGTCCACGGTGCCATGTTATTCTCCAGGATGGATGTGTGGGTTGATGGGTGTCGTTGTAGTAGCAGCATTGCATACTGTATACCTAAGCTGCATGCGCCGGAAGAAGGCATGCATCTTTTTTGAGGGGCAGAATGGTTTTTGAGGGGGGTGGGAAACTGACAGAATCCCCTTTTACCTTGCTTTTTCATTTGTTCGTCCATTGTTGCTTGATCCCTCATACCCTGACCACCACCACCCCCTGGTCAATTTATGGATGTGGAGTTGCCATTCAGCCGACGGGTTTTATTGCAGATGAGTTCACGACATGACGTGTGTATGCCTTGTTACATGTATGTGTGTATGTATGTATGTAGGCAGGAGAGTACAGTAGATGCCGTATGCCGGCTTGGCCACTCAAGGGCCATGGAAACAGACTGACGGGCATTTTGCTACGAGTTGTTGGCGGCACTGTGTGATTGTCAGGACGGGCTGCAGATGGACTGCATGGCCAGCCCGATTAGCGAGCCGGTGAGGATCACAGGTATATGTAGTACATAGTTGTGCTTACGCAAGGTTCCGTGCCGAGCTTGTAGGTGAACGGATGTGCTGTTCCGGTGTGCGGGTTTCCGGGCCGGAGACGGATGTGATGGAGGAAGGATGGAGGATCCGGAATCCGGAGGTTCTGGTCTGGGAGGCAAGGATGGCGTGGTGGATTTGGATTAGTCAACTGGGTATATTTGCGGTTTAATTCCTTGTCTGCCCTTGCCTGGGTATATAAGCTTATGTGAACGTATATCTATGTGGTTTCCCTTTTCACTCTGGTTGGGTGTATTGATGTTGAGCGGGCGTTGAGGCATAATATTGCAGCAGTCTTTTTCCATTTGGTCGGAGAGATGATTCTATCTATTGAGAGATTGCCTGCATCGGAAGAAAGATGCGATACGATACGATACAATAGCTTCGCTTCTTTCCTTGCTGGGCTTCATTGTTGATGGCACGGCCACCTGGACTCTCGAGATTCCGGAAGAACATACCAATGTAGGCGGAGGCCACCTCAACTAGCATCTTTGGAAATGGCGATTACCAAGATCCACGGCTATTCCGTCTATAGCTTTCGTGGTTACTTTGCCGTGGAAGTCAAGTTTGTCAATGACACTGGGTTGTACCGCGCCATTGTCCCCCTCCGGTTGTTCTGCCGGCTATTTACGACCTTTACCTCGCGGCAAACAAGCATAATCGTCACCTGACGGAACCAAAAATTTGGACGAAATGAGAGGGGGGAAAGGTCAGCTCATTATTAACCGATTTGATTTCGAAAGAGGACTTGCAATTTACGAGATTCGGGGTCGCATGTTGATGCAACGGGATCTGACGCCGCTCTTGCATATCACGAACATGCCTACGATAGGATCTTGGAGAGTTAAAGGGGCATAGCTGTGCGCGCATCGATCGAGTTGGTCTTTATGTTTCCATAAAAGGGAGCCGTGACGCAAAGGTTATTCCCTTTGTTTATGAGCTCTGGTTCAATGGAGGGAGAGAAGTACTAGGATGTGTAAGAGGGTGAGGATTTACTGCATCCTCTTCTGAAGCTGTGTCTCAGATAGCAGCTCGCTCTCGAAAACGCCCGCCGCAAAAGTTTACTTCACTACGGAGTACTTTGTAGGCACATGTGCATAATACTTCTCCCTGTCACTAACCAGAAGAGAAGTAACAAGAAGCCCTGCAGAAGAAAGACGTCGTGAGTGAGACGGACGGACGGGCGGTTGAGACACGCGCAGGTGAGACAGTCTAATTGAGACAAGACAAGATGAGACAAGACAAGACACTTTGAGGCGAGACATTGGCAGACTGCATGACAGAGTTACCTACCTAGTATTATGCCTTTCTAGGGATCCTTGAGGGATCCTTGAAAGATCCTCGAGGGATGGAGCCGGCAAAAGCTTAATTGCGCATCTGACAGGACATATTGTGAGGATCATCTTGCAAGCGGGCGTTGCCGAGATTGGAGCAGGTCACCAGCAATTGTCGCTTCAGTTCAGTTGCACGTCTTGAATCTTTAAGCTCATCTGACAGCGCATAAAATACGGGGTTTAGCGTGGATCAGCCTGGGTCACGCTGCTCTCACGTGCTGTTGGCTGGTACCTGAGCCTGTAGCGGTGCCTGTAGCTGTTGCTTGCAACCTCTAACTGCAATGGGCAGTCGCCGAATCTCTTCGTATTGCATTGCGCAATCCTTCTTCGTATTGTCAAGACAAGAGCCGTCCAAGCGCCCTCGTTCGCTGCATCGCCACCGGCTTGCGTCGTATCGCAGCGGCTATTTTCGATCACAGAGTACGAGTACAGCACTAACGAGAGGCAATAGAGAAGAAGAAGAAGGGAAAGAAAAAAGAAAAACAAAAAAGAAATGGGACGGCACTATGCACTCCGGAAAATTTGCAGCAAGCCAAGCGCCTCTCCGTTCCTGAGCGATATCTATCCGCTCCATTAGCCGGCAAACACTCGCAATTTTACCAGCATCTGCGCTTTAAGCTATTGGGCACGTCAGCTTATGGTGCGGCGCAGCAGCCAATCACGGCGGCCCGAGTGGCCTCGTTGAAGCGTTCTAGACGCGGGCATGAAGCTGTTGCGACGACTAGACGTGGGATCCACCGCGCGGGGGGGGCATCCAGAGAGGGAAGCAGACAGCAGAATCAGGCACGAGGACAAAAGGCTTAAATACAGAGTTATGTTTTAGCCAGATTGTCCTTGTGTCTGGAGGTGGAGGGCCGGGCGAGATACGAGTACAGGGACAATCCAATCCTGCAGATGCTGCAACTCTACGGAGTAACATCACTCATGGCTTCTCCCAGCCAGACCAGCCCAAGCAGCCGTGCCGTCTTGAGACAGACATGTCAAAAAGCACAGCCCGGCTCCATCTGTGCCAGCGCTAGCACGATGCTCTAAGACAGCTTAATCTCACGGATTGTTCCCTACTTGACAAGGAGCAGCTGAAAGGAGTATGTAAAGCCGTATTGGGTCCGTCTTGGTTCGTTGGTGACCTTAGCTCCGGCCGGGGGTTTCTTCTTTTCGTGCTGGTCATTTCTTTCCTCCTCTCTCTCTCTGTCTCCTTCACCTTCGCCGCCGTCTCTCTTGTCCTCGTCATCGTGAGCCCTTTTCACCTTGTCGTGTCGCTGAGTCGCGTGGTTGTCAACACCGGGAGACTCAACTCAACAGCGACCCTCTGTCAGCATGCTTCTCCACGAAAAGGCAGACCCGTTCTCGCCACTCAGGCAGATCCTGCACCATGTCTCGCAGCGCCGCTACCGAAACTACGCCGCCGTCGGCATCGCCCTCGTCCTGCTCTCCATGGTCTGGCTGAGCGGCAGCTTGACGCTTCACTCGAGCAGGCAAAAGTGGCACGACGACTTCGCCAACACCCGCGTGCCTGAGTGGGCCAGCCGGGCCAGCAAGGCCAACGACAGCCGTCTAATTCCAGCCAATATCTGGCAGATAGTCTTGCCCAAGACTCAACCGTTTCTGGGCGATCCGAACCACGTTCATGTGGACGTCAGACAGCTTGAACACACGGCTTCATGGATAGCCATGAACCCAGATTGGCAATAGTACGTTTATACAGCAGTTTCATCCTCTTCTGCAGGCGTCCCATTGTATCTTCTAGTTGCTAATCTTGACTGGTTAATCCCTGCAGCACTCTGGTTGGCCAGAAGGGTGGTGACGAGTTCGTCGACAGCAGCTTCGCCCACAACCCCAAGATCGCCGAGGTCTACCACAACATCTCCAACGTGGGCCAGAAGTCGGACCTCCTGCGATACCTGCTGCTGGGCGTCCACGGCGGCGTCTACACAGACACCGACACTCTCGCTCTCAAGCCAGTCGACGCCTGGGTCCCGGAAGCCCTCCGAAATAAAGCCCGTCTAATAGTGGGGATTGAGTTTGATCGCCGTGACGGCGGTCCGTGGGCCGACATCCCCCACTGGCTCCAGTTCTGCCAGTGGACCATTGCTGCTGCTCCTGGCCATCCAGTCTTTAACAAGATGGTTGACCGTGTGCTGCATTCTCTCGACGACTTGTCGGCTCTCCACGGACTGCCCATCAGCCAGCTGAAGCCCGAGAGCTTCGAGGTTATGAACTCGACAGGGCCGGCCGCCTGGACCGACGTCGTCTTTGAGCAGTTGCAGGAGTACAACCCTCAGCTCACCGACACGAAGGATCTATCCTTTATGTCGGAGCCTACCCTCATCGGCGATATTTTGATCCTGCCCATCGACGGCTTCGGCATGGGCCAGGACCACTCAGCCAGTACCAACGACGGAAGCATCCCCCCGACTGCCATGATGAGACACATGTTCCATGGCTCTTGGAGAGGAGAGTAATGGGACGGATACGGATTTGTATAAATAATGGGATTGTATTTTATTTTACGAGGAAGCGTTTTTGGCTATGGATATGATATACGTTACAAAGCATCTTGTGTCGAAAGGGTTTTGTTTATGAGCTTTGGCACTTGGGTTACGGCCTCTGGGCGATTTGTATTGCTTCTTCATTTGCACATATTAGGGACATAACGGATACTGTTATTTTGATCAATGCGTGTTGTTATTTTTTTGATGGTACGAGTTGCTGTGGTTGGGGTGGGTGTTACTTCTTGGTGTAATTCTAGTGGTCTGTGTACGTTATGTGTATGATAGATTGACAAGAAGAGTCTGATGGAAAAGGATGTGTGTTTGAGAAGTATTTGTCATGCAGAGTCACTTACACGCGCGATGCCAAGACGGATATATCCTAATTTCGGTTGTGAGGTGTCTTCTAATCAACATCTATCGTAATCTGCCAATATATCAAACTTATGGTTGCCCATATATTAAATAGAGGAGCCCATTGTGTAACTATTCAAACTCGTAGAAAGACAGAAGGATATGGCAAAGGTTGTTAGCAACCTCGGGTACGTCAAAAGGACTCTTTTTTCGTATTAGTCCCAGAGTGGAGTCTTTTCGTAAGACGCTGCTGAATATTCCTACCCTTTTTTGTGGCTCTTTTTCTTAGTATGTAATATCTCTCCCCCTTTCACCTTTCGCTTTTCTCTCTCTCTCTTGCTAATTAGTTGTATTTGAATCTTTGCGCTATTCGCTATTGTTGGGAAAAGATAGAGGCGTACGATTTCTGAGAAGAGACTCGTTGTTGTGTTTGTCCATCAGTTGTATCAAAACGTAAAGCCATGTTACACTACACAGAATGATACACCACGCTTTATCCTTGGCTATCGAGCACAAGTTGATTTATAAAAATAAGAGACTTTCCGTTAATGATTTTATGAACTGTAATATCATATATATCTGTCACAGCCATAAATCCATCAACTTCTTTTAAAGCAAGATCTCAAGAAGATTAAACGAGAAGTTCGTCTTGAAGAGTGAGTCCTTAGAATACAATACAGTAATCGAAGTATCCTTTCTGATTACCCTGCGTTTCAAAGCTGTTATGTTAAAACATGCAAGATCTAGTCAACAAATGGATGCTAGCTAGACTACTTAGTACCCGTGGCTTGCAAAAGAAACTATATAAAGGGGACCTTTGTCTCCCATTTCTTCAAGAGATCAGAGACAAACACACTCTTTTACATATATCTAACTGTTAGTCTCATGTTGCACAACATTTATTCCATTTCCCCGTATTTCGTTACTCTTCTTTGTCAATATCATGTCTGGCAGGTATGCGTCGTGCATCCAAATCTCTCAAGCACTCCATCGCCGTCTTTCCCACAGGATTTAGAATGTAGAGCACACATGATAGCTACAAGTCAAAATTATGTATGCTGTGTATTCAATCAAACGGTATCATATTTTGTCACATCTTTAACAAATGTTATAATACTGTAAATGGTAAGAGATAGACACACCTGATAATCAACCTCAAGCTCAAAATTGCAGACTATGATATAAAGCTTTCGCATATGGTAATCAAAGGGTCGTCATCTAAAGGACATCCTCTCCGTAGATAACAGCTCTGAGTCTGGATTCTCAACTACTGTAAAATGGCTGGAGTGTTTCCCACGTATTCATCGTGCATCTTTCGTATTGTCGCCCAATGGATACCTCCCAAATGTCCGGACATTGCAGGAATAATGATCACGCCATGAATCAAATATCCCATCAAGCAGTTGCTCGCATTCCATAAACACGGAGCAACACCATCCGCAGCTTACCAGACTACCCATTCCAAACTCTCTCGACGTGCAACTCCAAAATATCCATCTAGGTTCACTCCTCCCCCTTTCCAAGCATAACTCCACGAATCAGCCTGTGCCCGTAACATCCGCGGAGCCCAACCGCTCCCAAATCACAAATCACAAATCAAAACGGCGATAGTATTACAATCTCGGTCTTTCTCACGCTCTCATCGTGGTTCCCTGGACCGATTCAAGGGTGGCCTTTTGCAAATCTGCAAGGATTTGACCTTGTGACCTCTTGATCCCCTGAATCATGCTTCGCGATGACTGGACGCAACCTTCTTTCTTGTGCTTGAATGCCCGTATACGGTGTCATGATACCATCAGTACGCAGGTAATTCTGCCGAGAATGATGAAAGTATTGCATTCCGTGGACTCATTTTCAAAAGTTCGACCGTGATATCCACAGCTAGCAGTTCACGCCGGATGGACTCTACGGCAGCATTCATATCGGCCTATTTACGGGGGCCAAGCTGCAAGCCACGGCTGTCTTCATTTTATTCGACAACATTCAGTACTCACCGCTGGGGCGTGCATGAATATCGACCTCCCGTGAGGCCTCATTTCTGGTCATCTGCCACTGCGCATCTTCCCTTGAGCCACCGGGCCGAAGGAAGACGAAACCACAGCACAAAAAGTCCAGATAAGAGACTCCACTGTACGATAACCTCATCTGCGTTCCCCCACGAGGGACCTCCTAATGGGTATTTCCCTATATCCAAACATAGCAACAATGTTACGAGATAACTGGTAGACTTCTCGGCCCGAACCCCATACGCCCGCAATTTTCGATCAATGCAACCGAGAAGCGCCCGAAGGCAGCAAAGAATGTTCAAGCACCGTATCAATCGCTTCTACTGACATCTCTAGAAGAGACATCGTGTAATCGGCTTCTAGAACATATCAAAATCTCTTCCTAGCCCCCCACGGAGAGACTTGAGGGCTGAAGCTGATGTTGGAGAGTGTGGAGCACCCTCTTGACCGGCGACACGAGATTCGGTACCGAATAAGCCCGTGATGACGGACCAGTGCTTTTGAATGTCGCATTGTTGGTAATCTGACATGTGCCTCCCGCTGCCGACTCGGCGTATCTTGGCTCGGCGAGATAGCTTGCTGTGGGGAGCGCACGAGTTTATGCCATATTAATTCCGGCGAGGCTGACGAGATGGGATTCAAGAAACCCGAGACGCAAATCTATCCACAATCGCCGAAAATTGCACAGGTTTTTTTCTCCACATCTCAATCGTAAAGAACTATACTGAAGGTGCATTTGAGAGTAAAGATATAGCATGGATGGATCTGTATGAGATCGGGTCTGCCAAGTCGCAGGCGACGCACATTATTACTAACAATTGTCGGCTCATGCTTGACCGGGGTGCGAGGCGCTAGCAAATCAAAACAGCTTCAAGCAAGCAATAAATTGGATGAAACTCGGGAACGCAAAGTCTCGGATTAGACAATGGGATCTACTATTGTTTCCCACGTGCTGTGGTACTTTGTTCTTCTCCGTTTCCCCTCCGGAATGTATACGGAATACGCGTACACGTACCTGGAGAGAGTTTGTGCAAGTGAGTAAAGGATGAACAGAAAAGTAAAATTCTTTGGGAACCCACCAAAGCCACATGGCAGCCAAGAGTGGGCTTGAGCTGGAGCATTGATTCCCTGACCTGGTTTGCTGGTGTTGGTCGAGACAGGGCAGGGCCGATTGTGGTGTCAATCCTTCGCCGCCCAGCCGACTTGGCCGTGGAGCCTGTGGCGTTTTTCACCGAGAGTAGGGCCCTTTTTACGTAGGCGTGACCAAAGCACCGAGCAGGAAGCCGGTCAAGCTTCGAGGCCCGGTGCCGGTCAAGGAAGCGCCGTGCCGAAGATCAGCGGCTTTTCGTATCGTGTTTACGGCGTCACTCTAGCGGTATGGATGGATGGATGGTGCATCGCTGGCGCTACTCGATCGGGCCAGGTCAGCCAACGTCATGCCGTAGCTTGCCGCTTGCAACAATGCCCAAACAGGACGTGAATGGGACTGGTGGCTTGGAGTGGCGCCTTATACCTCCGAGACGAAATCAACGGCGTCGCAGCCATTGTTCTTCGGGCATCGATATCAACGGGATGTGAGACTGGATTTGGGTTTGGCGATCCGACAAGATCTGGTACTGTATTGTCGAGATCCTTTGAGGTAACAACGAGCGGGGAAGCCAGATGTCCATGCTGCGAGATCCGTTGCTCTAACGAATACTGTGTACTGCACTCCGTAGATGGGTGTTGATGTAAAGAAATCTGTTGGTTCTGTCTAGCGCAGGCATCCATCCATTCGGTCCCATGGTACGATACCGGTATGCCCAAGCCAATGCTTCCATGGCTTCTGATGAGCGGAGACGGCATGAAGGGAAGGGTCACAAGATGGCCACCAATTGGCCGTGTTTCCAATCACGGGTTGATTTGACCACGCGGTTTTAAGGCTCGGATGCAAGCTTAAGGGCGCGATACAACGTTGTACAGTACGTTTTCTGCATCCTCAAGTCGAGCTTGAGCCGTCTGTCGATGCGAAGCACCAGTGGCTAAGCAAAGCTCACATTCACACACTAACGTTGGTGGTTTCTGGTGGCAGACGAGCTTTTCTTGGGTTTTCCGTCTGTCTGATGTTGACTAAACACATGCCACCGTGCCATTTCCATTCTTGTGCGGTCAGCAGCTGCGTGCGGAAAGGCAGACGGAAACAGCTTCGGAAAACCAAATTCATACACAGCAGAACTGAAGGGAGAAAAAGAGACAAAAGCAGCAGTGGGGAAGCTCCATGGAGACCTGATCCGCTCCAATGGAAATGGGCCGGGGAGCCAGGATGCGGTTAGCCCTTTCTCGTGTCCACACAAGCTTGGGGCTAACAAGCCGCTGTTGTTTGATGATCATTTCAACACGAATAATCAGGATTGGGCTGCGGCGGCTCTCGCCCGTACTGGTAAACCGACGGCCATTTCGAGCTGTAGACAAGCATACAAGCACTGTGCATGAATTCAGGACTGCGAGAGGCCCAATGAGAGGCCCTGGCATGGCTCGCTAGGGGTGTGCAGCTCTCTCAGGATTAGAGCCCGCGGACTTTTAACTCTATAGAGAAGCAATATAGCTGTGGCGGGTCCCATTGGCTGATCGGAGACTTGCTGATGCCCATGCAGACGGAGGCATTTAGGCGAGGTGAGGCGCGAGGGATTCAATTCATAGCCGTCGGCTGGTGACATTCTTACTTACGATTTGACTCAAGGCTGTTTGTTGACAGGTCGAGGCTGGCGTTAAGACGACGTCATGCAGATAAAGTCCGAGGAGCGAGAGGCAAGGCAAACCTTACTGCAGACAGTTGAGGTTGGCTGCTTAGCCATATCAGGTGATGAATTGGGGTCCAAAGAGCGGTGCAGAGAAGCAGTCACTTTGCAGGCGTTGGTTGCCAACAATCACCGATGAAACGATGCAGCAACACTCAAAGGCATTCCTAGATTTGGGGAAGATGCAGAGCTTGGGCCGCCGCTGGCACCGTGTTGGACGAACTGTATGTGTAGGATCCCAAGCCATGTGCGAGGTCTCCATCCATCAGATTGACGGGGTTGCTGCTTACCCATACTGTACAATCTTGTGTTGCATCGGACCATCGTGGTGGAGAAGAAGAGCTGAGTTGGAGGGAAGAAGCTGTCCTGTTCCCCTGATGACTGGCTGGTGTGAGGGGTCAGAAAAGGGAAAAGAGACATTCAGAGAGAGAGAGAGAGGGAGAAAAGAGACAGCGGGAGCGGATCGGCAAGCGGCCAGGCGGAGCGGAGAGCGAGAGGCTCAAATCAAACCAGCCAACGCGGAGCTGGCTTGGTGGTGTGACGAGCAACGGTCAAAAGTGAGGTTATACAGGATCAGAAGTGGAACTCGGTCCATGTCCAGCAAATGAGGCCTGGCGAGAGAGACGAGACAGAGAGAAGCCTGGTCATGTGCATGTGCAGTTTTTGGAGCGATACTGTGCGAGATTGCACGTGAATACTGTGGGAAGAGGCCCGTATTTTGCAAAAGCCGATCACTGCCGTTCTGAGTCGGTGATGGACAGCGAGCTCCAGGTTCGCCGTATTGGCTGCGGGGCTGGGCCTGGGGTTTTGTCTTTTTGTGACGAGAAAACCCGATTCTGCAATGCAATTGCTGGTTCCTGTTTTTTTTTTTCTGGGGTTTCACGAGACACGCCCTAAAAAGGGCCTGGATGTGCGGAGTACAAACAACTTGTACAGTAACTTGTATAATATGGCTTATAGCCTATCAACTCGCCTTACGCAAGCAACCAAGACTGGTCGATGCCAATACCGACTGACTGCCGCTCCCTCTGCATTGCCGTGCCAAAGCCGGCGGAGGATAATTTCAACCAGGCGACGTCATTTGGCCAAAGCCGGGGAAGTGGAGAGCCACAGCGCCTCTTCAGTGGCGCCGAGGCCTAAAGGCCCTGGCCGCGAGCCGCTGAGAGTCGGGAGCTAGCACACAAGCGGACAAGGGCGTCTCTGCTAGCACGAACCTCCGTCTTTCAACATACGAGGACGGGCATGTACTGTACGATGTGTGCATGAGTAATATTGGCCAATGCCTGCTTTCAATGTTGCGGCGAAGGAGCTGCTAAGGCACTACAGGTGTGTGTTATATGCTCGTACTAGAAACAGACGAGTGTTAGTGCTGGCACGGTGCTAGCGGGACATACCTAGGGTCAAGGGATGTGATCGGACGCTCATCGTGCATCGAAACGACAGGACAAGGGCTGAGTCAAAAAAGCGCCCCCAAAACAACAAGAAACAAACACCATCAATGGCAAGGTCCTACAGTGCTGTACTCTGGATGCCACACACCTATACTCACATACACACACACACCAGTTCAGCATGCCAATATTTGCAAGCAGTGGCAGATGAGCCCTTGGAGGCGTCGGCAACTCGCTGCCGACACCAAATGCAGCCGCCGCCAAAAGGAGGCCCGACGCAAGCCTCTACTCGCTCAATCGCCATCGCTCGGCAGCTTCTAGTGGCCATCTAGACGACTCCCAATCTCACGCCCCTCCGACGGCCAGACTCTCGGCGACATGCAACCCCCCAGATGACTCCGGGAGACGAAGAGGGACAAGAGGCTGCGAGCCCAATGGGCCAGCCGGCGATCCTCGAGCAAGGGGCTTCACTCGGGGCCCGGCTAGCACAGGTTAGCTGCCTTGCAACCAGCGTGAGCCGGGGTGCCGTATTTTTGCATTTACGTGTAGAAACTCGAGAAACATGCATGATACGCGTGAGCTGGGGGTCCGAGGATGCAAATGGCAAGATTCGGCCGTGTGACAGCGGGTGGTGTTACCGGGCCCTGGGTCGATGGATGTAGGAGCAAGTACCACTTGTGCGAGCTGGCGAGGGTATATCGCACCACGTTTAGGCGGAGCTGATGGATTGCTTTTTTTTTTTTTTTTTTTTTCGTTCTTTTTTCTTCTTTTGCTAGTCGAGAGACGAGGCTGTTGTTGTACGTAACACGGCCATCAAGTCCAATGTTGCAGAAGAGGCGAAGCTTGGTTGCATGTATCAATTGAGTTTTGGCCATGCATCATACATGTACTCGTACATGTACCTACCAGGCAAGGTAGCACTCGATGTGATGTGCACCTGAGTCCTGAGGCACCCAATTGTTCTGGTACTCGTACTGTACAGTAGTACCTAAGAGAATCACCACCTTGCATGTACATGTAATTCCTCTTCCAATCATCCGCCTCATTCCTACCTGTACTGGACTTTTGCTTCGACCGCCCCTCCACAACACCCACTAATGCTCATCAATCCCAATGTCCAACGCCTCTTCCCCAGCCCCCGATCCCTGGACCTGGAGATACAGACAAACTCGGAGGGGTGGTGGGGGAGCAGCCTTTGCCTACTAGGTTAGAGGCTGTATGCCTTCTTGGGGGTCAGGGGGGTCCAAGGTACAAAGTGCCGGATGGGGCAGTACTCGGAGCGGTACCTCGGGCCTGGCTGCTGATACTCTGCCAGCTCCATCGTCTCCTCATCCCGCATGCGACTTACACGCGCTTCCTGGCCCGCGGTGCTTGTACTTGTGCCTCAGCGCATCCCGGAAGCGTCAGTACCTACTACTCCTCCCGCAAGAGCCACGGATGGGCGTGCCATGTACTCGATACCCCGGATCCTGGAGCCCCGTGGCTTGCCCCGAGCAACTCTCCTGCGCGCCCATGGAGAATCCCAGAAAGCTTCCAGCAGGCTAAAAAAGGTTGGGCGAGACCGGGGTATGAGTAACAAGTAGCATGGAAAGCATTGCATCGTCTCGTTGTGCTCTGCCCACGGGCCACGGGCCACATGCCTGGCAAGCCTAGGAAGCCTGGGAAGCTGCCACAGACAGCTGCCCGCAGCATCGACTGGCAGCTGCTCGCACAATTCCGGCGTAACGGCCAGCTGGAGCTGCAGCTGCAGAGTATATATAGGTCCTCCCCCTTCCCTCTCGCTCTCTTCTTCTTCTCTGGCTCCCGTCTCAGTCACCACGATTCATGGTCAAGGTCCTTTATACAAACCATCACGAGTGAGCCATGGCTATCGGCAACATCTACGTGATTGCCGCCGTGTCCGTCGTCGGCGGCGCGCTCTTCGGCTTCGACATTTCGTCTGTGTCGGCCCAGCTGGCCGAGCAGTCGTATCTCTGCTACTTCAACCAGGATGAGAATCCCCCAACCACGGCCGACGGCCACTGTGGTGGTCCGCGATCTCTCGTCCAGGGCGGTATCACCGCCTCCATGGCTGCCGGCTCCTGGCTGGGAGCTCTGATCTCGGGTCCTCTGTCTGATCGACTGGGCCGAAAGTACTCCATCATGGTTGGATGTGTCATCTGGTGAGCAGAAACCCAAGAGAAAAAAAAAAGGAGACGAGACAATGTTTCACCTGCTAACCGCCATCCCTAGGGTCGTTGGTTCCACCCTCTCCTGTGCCTCCCAGAACATTGGTATGCTCATTGTCGCCCGTATCATCAACGGTCTCTCCGTCGGTATCGAATCTGCTCAGGTCCCTGTCTACATTGCCGAAATCTCCCCTCCCTCCAAGCGTGGTCGATTTATTGGTATGCAGCAATGGGCCATCACTTGGGGCATTCTCATCATGTACTACATCTCCTACGGTTGCTCCTTTATTGGCGATGATAACCCCGTCAGCTACAACACTGCCGCTTGGCGTATCCCATGGGGTCTCCAGATGGTCCCCGCTTTCTTCCTCTTCTTCATGATGATGCTCCTTCCCGAGTCTCCTCGTTGGCTCGCCCGCAAGGACCGCTGGGAGGACTGCCGAGCTGTGCTCACTCTCGTCCACGGCAAGGGTGATCCTAACCACCCCTTTGTCGCCTACGAACTGCAGGACATCAAGGATATGTGCGAGTTTGAGCGACAACACGCCGATGTTACCTACCTCGACTTGTTCAAGCCTCGAATGCTCAACCGTACCCTGATTGGTCTCTTCACTCAGATCTGGTCACAGCTGACTGGCATGAACGTCATGAGTAAGTACCTATTCCAGAGCAGCAGGCTCTTGTAGAGCGACGTTGGACTAATTTGCTTCTCACCTCAGTGTACTACATTGCCAACATCTTCTCCATGGCTGGCTACAGTGGCAACGCCAACCTGCTCGCCTCGTCTATCCAATACATCATCAACGTCCTCATGACCGTTCCTGCCCTGCTCTGGGTCGACAAATGGGGTCGCCGTCCCACGCTTCTCGTCGGTTCCGTCCTCATGGCTCTTTGGATGTACGCCAACGCCGGTATTCTTGCCACCTACGGTGAAGTTGTTCCCGGCGGTATCGACCACGTTGCCGCCCAGTCGATGCGTGTCACAGGTGCCCCTGCCAAGGGCCTCATCGCCTGCACCTATCTCTTTGTGGCCTCCTTTGCTCCCACCTGGGGCCCTGTCTCCTGGACCTACCCTCCAGAGCTGTTCCCTCTCCGTCTCCGTGGCAAGGGTGTCGCCATGGCCACCTCTGGAAACTGGGCCTTCAACACTGCTCTGGGTCTCTTTACTCCCGTGGCCTTTGCCAACATCAAGTGGAAGTCGTACCTCATCTTCGCCGTCTTCAACACCGTCGCCTTCTTCCACGTCTTCTTCGTCTTCCCCGAGACTGCCGGAAAGACCCTGGAAGAGACTGAGGCCATGTTTGAGGATCCCAATGGCATTCCCTACATGGGAACTCCTGCCTGGAAGACCAAGGTCGCAACCAGCCTCACCTCCCGTGCCGAGCGTGGTGATATTGAGGCCAAGATTGCCCATGATACCGAGAAGCCTCCGATCCACACCCACGAGGAGGAGACTACTGCTTAGTAGATGGGATATTTAATAAGCCATCTTGATGATGATGATAATCTTGCGTTGGGGGTGAGCTTTAGTTGATACCCTGTTGTGGAGGTGTGGCCTTGCGCCAGAAGGAAGTTTATGATGCAAATGTTTAATAGTCGTACTATACCAATACCATCACATGTTGCATTACCTTAATTTTGCCCTTGGTGTCTTCAAATTTGATATGCCTAACTCTTGAGTGATGGTAAAGTGCTGGTTTTGCACTTGAGTCTGACGGCTAGGCCGGTTAATTCCAATGGGGGCTGTTTAGGAGGGAAGATCCGGTCTAGATTTTGCCAATAAACTCTCCAAATTCGGCTAAAGAGCACACTCATACTCTCAATTTGTATATTTGTATTAATGGGCATACATGCGTATTTTCACGCTTGAATCTCGCCGAGTTCCCTTGAAATTTATTGTTCGATTTCTCTGCTCAGCAGCTTTGATCCTGAATAGCATTCGAAATGTTTCGTGACCTCTGCTATTAAAAGACCCTGAACTGCCGCGGCTTTGTTGTTTGTATCAAGAGTAGGATAAAAATACACCGCTTCTCCACCAAAAAAAAGATGCCATTTATGAACAATATATCCTAACATTCCAAGAAATGTCATCTCTTTAGAAGGGAACTGGGGATTTACAAACCCAATTATGAGCTTGCATGATTTGTATCTGGGTACTCCAGTCGCTTAAATTAAATGAGTAATTGAAAGGATAGATAATAATAAGATTCAACTTCAAGAGGCGGGTGCTGTTATGTCGTTTGATTCGTTAGGTGAATTCTCGCTGGAATGTTCATGTGTGGCACGGCGCCACCTGGCGGTTAGACTGGGCGACAACTCGATTAACACGAATTGGGACGGTTGATGGGATTTTATTGGATGGAATGCGCCACTGAATACTTGGAGACAGTATGAGATTATGTAGTTGATGACTATTCTCGTCGGTCTTTCTTTGTTACGACTGATGAAACATAATGCAATCGAAAGAGTCAAAGACAAATTTGTTGGCGTTTCCTTGTTAATATGAAGTACATGCACCTAGAATCTGACATCTGTACCGGCGAAAAGATAATGAGTAGCCCTTGAAACTCATTTGCATATATGCTAAGATGCTAGATCTATTCATAAGCGGTATACTGTCTGTCTGTCTGTCTGTCTGTCTGTCTGTTTCTATTCTAGGAGTCATAAACGCCGTTCCATGCCATGCCATATAAACATCATGCTTCAAAACCATCACGAAACATTTCAATGTGCATATAAACATATCCCTTCACTCATCAAAGCACATCAATCCCTCCTCAATCATCGTCCACCTGCAACAAAGCCGTCATCCCAGCCCACCCATCGGCGGATAATGTCGTCGACGGTCCTGACGCCGTCTCGTGTGGCCTCGACTTCAAACCACTCCTTGTGCTCTCGTCCACAGGCCTCACAGGCGCCAAGGTCGGCGCGAAGGCCCATGCCGCCGAGTTCAAGGTGAATGAGGCGTTCTACCTTTTTGACGTGGGGTGTAGGGTGGGGAGAGGCAGCGGAGGCTGGAGAAGGAGCCCTTCCCCTAGTATGAGACGAGGCGGATGTAGCATCAAAGGATGAAGGATTGGATGAAGACATGTAAGGGTAGAAGCGGAGCAGGGTAATCGAGTGGCCGCACTGGCGGGACCATTGGTTCATGCGGCGCTGGACGTTGGCGGCACGGCCGATTTTGAGGAGCATCGTCTTTGGCTTCGGGTCCCTGCTGTTCTTGTTTTGGTTTGCGAATGCAGAAACAACGTCACTGGGGCTTCTGCTGCGGTTGCCGCCGCCACGAGGGGGAGGAGCGAGGAGATCGCGCGCGGCATCGACGGGTGCTGGCTCAGCGGCTGATTCAGGAGTGAGCCAGAACATGTAGATGTAGCCAGGTTCGTCGGCGTCGGAGGGCGGCTTAGCGACCTCGGTCATGAGGGCAGAGGTTGTGGTGACATCGAGAGAGTCTGGGATGAGAGACTTGAGGTGGCCAGCTGTCGGGGCCGAAGAGCTGGTAGGGCGAGAGTATCCCTGATGATGCGAGGGACGGACGGACGAGGTGGAGGGTCGAGGATGTTGCACGGGATGAGGCTGCGGCCTGGGCTGAGCAGGTCGAGGAGGCTCGTCAAAGTCTTCTTCCGGCACGCTGAAGCAGAAGCAAAAAGTGGTCGACTTTGGCTTGGGTCTGCCGCCGTAGGGCTTCTCGGAATCGTACCGGCCAGGCTGCGAGTTCAAGTCCACCAGCCCAAGCCTGTCGGCGAGGGTATCCAGACTCGAGCGGTTCTCAGCAATGACGCCGCCGTAGGGAGACGGGCGTGGGGCCGAGCTCGACTTGCGCGAGCGGCCGGCCTGGTCTTTGTGCTGCCAGCAGTACGAGCCCTCGCCGTCGTCGTCGCTGGGCGCCAGATTCTTGCCGTTCTTGCGCGGCGGGTTGCCTTTGGGACTGACGGGACGGCGGCATGGTTTTCCATCCCCGGTTATGCCCTTGCATGTCTTTTCTGGATTGAGGGAGTCTGTCCTACCGAGCATCGACTCGGGCGTGGTGCCGGAGAAGGCAGGCATCGTGGAAGAGCTGAAGTTCGACAGATGAAGAAGGAGATTGGAGTGAGTCGGGATCGCGTGTCGCTGTTGTCGAGGAGAGAAGTCTGTGCCCGCCGTTAAATACAAAGCATCAGCTGCTGCTTGCCGCTAGCTTTGCAAAATCAGAAGCAGAATCAGAATCAGAATCAGCACCAGCACCAGCAGGGCCACGTCGGTTCGTCTTTGCTGTCCCTCGCCCAGGGCATCAACGCATTTAAGCTATCAGGGGTCCGTTCGCCTCGTGGTTTGCGCTGATTCACCACGGCCGTGTCCGTCTCCAGCGTCAGTCATGGTAGCGACGACCCCCTGGCAAGCGCCGTCAAACCCTCATCACTTGGCGCCGAATGGTTGGGCGGCACGAGGGCCTTGGGAACCTTGCAGCAGCATCACGGTCAGTCTCGTGTCCAGCGGTGGCTGGGGGTGGATTCGCATTCGCCTCGGTGGATTCGGTTGGGCAAGCCGGGGTTTGCGAGCTATCGCGGCCCAGGCCGACAATTGCGCTGGCGCTGTTAGGCCGCTAATACTCGCATGTACTTGTACGGCCGTATTGTATGCGTGCATCTCCATCTGCAGCTTGAGTCAATCAATCAGGACGAGGATCCATGCGTTGGGCTGAGCACGAGGCCAAGCTGGTTTGCACCGCCATCGTCAAGCACGCTGCACCGCCACAGTTTGCGGCCTCACGAATCAACACCCGCATGCTGCTGAAGATGTCCGCCTTATCAGATGATGCATCGTTCATCGTTGCGACACTCCCCTTGCATCGATCATCATGCGTCAGGTAGAGAATCACCAATTAGACTGAATCTGGGGTAACACAGCAGCACGTACAGAAAGCACGGAGCATCGCCATGTCCGTCTGCGCCAAAGCAGTGACTACCCTACCCTGTAACTGTTCATTTTGACAAGATGTACACATTCCAATCTCTAAGTTGTCCATCTATCCTAGTCGAGCTTTTATTAATCTATGGGTATCGGGTCATCATAAATTGCTCACTTGTTTGTACATTCCCAGCCAAATTCAGTATCAATCTATTGTACCCGTAGTTAAACTCGTACTACGTGCATATTCAATATACCCACACTATCATCGTCATTAGTAAAGTTAAAAAGATTCATACAAAAAACAAGCTTTTATAACTCGATACTATTAGAAACTATTAAAAACAAGCTTTTTGAATAAAGATGCTTACTGTAATATGTGATCCCGGGAGAATGGATCTCTAAATGTACGTGTATGTTGACAATAGACCCCCAACTTACGAGAGGCGCACCAGCACAAAGCTAATGTAACTGAATGGTCCAATGACTCTGTGACAAATTCATCGAATTACTGCCAAAAATAGTCATGAAAGTTTTACCAGATCTCGATTATACTTCAATTTCGTATATATTCTATCCTTTAATGCAGGTCAAGTTGCGTAAATCATAAACTCATGTACATCCGTCTTTTATCAACCAACCATACTCCATAGCATGACTTAATATCCTGGCCGCATACCCCCATTTCCTCCTTGCATGCCGGGATGGGGATAACCACCTTGCATTCCTCCTGAATTTGGCGAAGACCAACCTTGACCACCGTATGGTCCTGGACTCGGCATTGGAGATTGGCCTCCCATGTTCATGTGCTGCTGAGGAGGAAAGCCTTGGTACTGGCCGTGGCCTTGCATAGAATATTGAGGGTTGGGCATCATTTGGGGCGGATAACCGCCGCCGGGCATCATTTGAGGCGCATAGCCCATAGGCATCATTTGAGGAGGATAGCCGCCAGGACCGGCAGGATAGCCATTAGCCATCGGATATGCAATAGCAGCTTGATTTGGTGCTGCAGCCCTAGCTTGGGTTGCCGCCATTGGGTTGATTGCGCCGACAGTCTGGGGGATAGCAGTGACAGCCTTTCCCAAGACTGATTCAGCGCCGCCCACAGTCTTTCCGAGGACGTCGGCAGTATCATGTGTGATGGATCCCAGGAGGCCACCGTCCAGCGTCTTGGTGACTATTGCGCCAGTGTTGTCAACAACTTTCTCAAGGACGCTGAAGAGACTCATTTTTCTTATTGTTGAGAGAATTCAAAGATTGGACTTTGTTTGTCTTTTTGAGGCTAGTAGAGGAAAGGAGAGGTAGCTTTAGTTGGCCTAAAGATAACGAGCTGAGCCTATGATGAATTCCCGGGAGTGAGGTTATGATATGCAATTATTTTTCTTTCGGGGGAACAGAGATCTCTATATAGGAATTTGAAGAGAGAATCTTCCTTGATTCACCTTTAGATCTTAACCTCTTCAATAGATAATGAGGGTCTTTACGTTTATCCACGTTAGCGAGGCTTTGTGCCCAAGAATATGTCATGATGCCTAAGAGAAGCGAGGAAGCTCTCATACTGCCCAATGGCCTCTAGGATATAATATCACTGACGTGTCTTGAACTGACGTGTCTTGCCTTGAAGTGTCCTGCGCTGACATGCCTTGCACTGACGTGTCTTATACTGATAAATGGCGGGATAGAGCCTGGCCCTATGCGCGATGATGCCTGTAATCCATAACTCTCAATATTCACCGAACGGAAGTTTGTGTGGACCATATTTCAGGACAACCTAAAGTCACTGCATGTATTACACTCTTCATGTTATCTATTGCGGGGTGATATCAGACTCTATTGGCTATATGGAGCCGCCCGGATACGGTGCATGCGTAAGTGATTGGCTAATCTATGGTTGCTCACCGAATGGAATTTTGACTGGTCAATGTTTGATGAAACCCAATGACAACAGTACCTTAATTAGGCAGCTCGGCATAATGTCAACAAAAAAAGGCAAAGCTTGTATTTCAGCCTCAGAATCCACATTTTGGGAATCTAATATTGTTAACCGCAATGTAGCATGAATTTCACTACATGTATGTTAGTTAGGCTGTTGAAACGAACATGTCAACAAAGACGAAGCAGAAGAAAAGAAGCCACCTTCAGAGTCGCCCAAGTCTACGCCAATCCACCCTCTCTTTTAGTGGCAGCGCTGCCCAAGGGTTATACTGATTCTTTGGGCACCTTATACCGAAGATGACCTTTTCCATTTATCTAGTAGTAGCTTTGTACTTTGTAATGATGGTGGCAGCTGTTGGACTGCGGCTCCTACAAGTTTTCTATTTTAACCTTCATGTCCCCCCGACGCCCCTTCAAACTGGGAACAATGTTCAGCAAGTTGGAACAAGAGCCCATTGTCATCTCTTCATAGTACTCAGTTTTTTTACCCCGAATTGCCCATTTCCAACAAGCGTCCTTGAAATACATCAGCCATGATCAAGAAGCCTTCTATTCGCCTCACCCACAGAGAATACACTATTGGGTGGATATGTGCATTGCCAAAAGAAGCCGAGGCAGCAAGCTTCATGCTAGACGTGGAGCACCTGCCCCTTTCAAATCCGAGAGCTGATACAAATGCGTACTGGCTTGGAGCCATTGGCGATCACAATGTTGCCATTGCTTGCTTACCGTCAGGCAGCTATGGTAACAACAGTTCGGCGACGGTCGCAGCTCGAATGATATCTACATTTCCTAACATTAAAGTGGGTTTGATGGTAGGAATTGGAGGTGGCGTCCCCCCAAATGTTCGGCTCGGCGATGTAGTCGTCAGTCAGTCTATGAATGGGCATCCTGCAGTTGTTCAGTGGGATATGGGTAAGACAGAGGAAGGAGGCAAATTCAAGCGAACAGGCTCTTTGAACAATCCGCCCACAGCCGTGATGACGGCACTGAGTAAGTTCAGGGCTACTTCAATAAGCTCTCGCCAGAAGATTCTCGATTGTTTGGATGGATTGAAAACTCGGTCTGATGTACCGAAAACCTTTCTCAAGTCTGATTCGATGAAAGATCCGCTGAGTGTCACTCAAGGTGCCGAAGGTAACGGGCAAGACTTGAGAGAAGATATGCAGATTCACTACGGCCTAATTGCATCAGGCAACCAAGTGATTAAGGATACTGCAACTCGAGATAGACTCAACGCCGACTTCAATGGAAACGTGCTTTGCGTTGAGATGGAAGCGGCCGGATTGATGAATGAATTTCCGTGTCTTGTCATCCGGGGCATTTGCGACTATGCAGATGAGCATAAAAATAAGGTCTGGCAAGAGTATGCAGCGGCCGTTGCTGCGGCCTATGCAAAATCACTCCTCTCTGTTCTCCCAGTGAGTGAGATGGATGGGCTGAAATCCATTAAAATTGAAGGCAAGTTGGTTCTCCAAACGGTTGCAGCAATGAGTTTGACTAATTTGACATAGATGTTGTCTCATCCACCTTTCTTGAGGACGTAAAAAAGAGGTTTTGGGGTGATAAAAAAGAGGATGCTACTCAACCCGGTATGTTTCAATTTACCAGAATGACATAAAACGCGCACTGACCACCATACGCTCGTAATAGTTGCTTCCGAGAAGACTTTGGAGAAGGAGATGAGTGAAAATCAGAATGGCCAGACGTTACCATCCCAACCAGAAACGCCTACAAATGGTGACACTGGAGCTCCATTAAGGGACACACACCAGCAGCAAAATCCTGTGAGACAACCGACACAGCCAGATCACCCAACATCATCACCTCAAGTCCGCGATATTGAATTCGGAATGCGAGACATTAATATCAACTACCACCAAATGCCGTCGCCTCCAGCAGGACAGAATGGAGGCAACAATTCAGAGCAGGAGAAAGACAGCAAACCACCGTCATCTCAATATGAATTTAAGCAGCAAAGGAATAATACATCTGCATTTGGAAATAGTTGTACGTCTCAGGCCCCTGGAGATCATAGTAACCTAACCAATCCCCAAGCTGAAGGGCCACATTATGGAGGGAGCCATTCGCAGACACCACGTTCTCTTGACGGACGTTTTAATGGAAATGTCACTGATCAAAGCGCTTTTGGAGGCGGCCTTCAAGAACAAAACGCTAGAAATCTTCCGACACAGCCAGCTGAATGGTCTGGAAACGGTACCTATGCTCCCAGGACTCCTGGCCCGCGAGATAACCCTTACCAGACGCCACCATACCAATCACCGGTCAACAAGAATAACATTAATACTCCAGATCAGTATAATGGCGGTTATAATGGCAATACCCAGGAGCAAAACGGCATGAATCCTCAGACACCACCATCTACATGGTCTGGAAATGGTGGCTATGCTCCTGGCCCACGCGATAACTCTTACTATACGCCCCCGTATCAGTCACCGGTCTACAATAACAACAACAATACTCCCGGTCAGTATAGTGGAAACTATGCAGGCAACCTCCAAGACCAAAACGGAAGTAATCCTCAGACATTGCCTCCATGGCCAGGGAACGGTGGCTACAATCCTGAGACCACTGGCCCCCACTATAACTATCACCAGACGCCCCCATACCAATCACCAGCTTACAGTAATACGCCCGGTCAACACCTTGGATACGGTAATGAAGTTGCGCCGACGGTTCATTGCAGCTACCCCCAGACTTCGCCAACTCAGGGGTTCAGTGGCAATGGTTATCAGAATAACCTTGGCGATTACTACAATGCTTACGGTGGGTGGCCTGGAATCAATGGAGCTGCAACGGGAGCCAATGCGCCATACAATGCTTTCCCAGGCCCCAAGCTGAATGACCCGCAAACAAGCCAAGCTCTGTTTCAGGCAGTCAGGAGAGGGGATTTACCCGCTGTTGAGCAGCTTCTGAGAAGCTCAGCTGATCCAGAGGTGAAAAACACATTTGGGTATACGCCGCTATGGATAGCCGTGCAAACTGAACAGCTGGCTCTCATTCGGCTGCTCCTGCAGTATGGTGCTGACAGGACAGCAATGAATACCTACGGAGAGACGATATTGGCTTGGGCAACCAAAAGAAATAAGAAGGTTATTATTGAGACACTATCTTCTATGTAAAGAGAATTGTGTATATGAAGAGAATTATTTTATGAAATCTCAGTTATTATGATCTATTCCATTCAACGATCGCTTTCAACTGTACAGCAGGGCGCTGGTACAGGAGACAAATGCGTTATTCTGTGGCCTGCTGGAGGACAAAGCTTCTCGGCGTCTCAGACGCGGCAAACATTTGGTATTGCTACTTGTAGTTATTATTAAAAGCCACTGGGCGGATGGGTCCGGTATCCCGCCGTAACAATATTGTGATTGGGTGGCTTCAACCACAAACGGCAAATGGCAAACAACAAGCCAGCAAATAAAGAACAATCATTTTTGCCTTGATATCTTTGCATCCACTTCAACGGATAGATGAAACCTTCTACATATCCCTTCATTGTATGATGAGGTGGCCTGGAACCCAGCCACAGCTCAGCTTTTCGTCAAAGGCAAGAATTGTTGCCTCTCCTTTGAAGCTGCAGCCAGCCTAGACTAGAATCCTCCCGGCCTACATTGCAAGTTTGAACAAAGACTTTCATTGTTACAACCAGGCAGCACTTTAGCATAACTGGGGACCACGGGTAAATGCTTCTTTTTGGCGGTAGTGGTAGCATATAAGCCTCATTTACTGAGGTTTCCCCTCGGCTTTGATCCAGCCTATCTTTTCAGTAACCAACATCTGCTATTGTCTTTTCCATCCCGAACACGCACTGCTGCTCCTCTCACAAGAGAACCGATAATCGCCACAGTTGCCTTACCATATCTTTTTTTCGCAGTCGTCTTGACTTGCTGTTTCGACTACTTTGCCAACCTGAACCGCGCCTTCACATCCCCAGCCACCGCTCCAACCCATCTCCCTCGATCGAACGCCGCGTTACAAGGCCTCCGGCATTATACTTCATTGCTAAAATGATGCTCGTTACGGACTACCTCAAGTACGCGTTCGTATTGTCGTGGTATGGATGCCGCTTGGCTGGATACATCGTCTTCGACATCTGGCTGTGGCATAGGTTTCATGCTTTCAACCTTCTACATCAATACGTGGATGAGCGATATGGCAAAGCGGCTTTCGCTTTCTCCATTGTCTTTACTATCTCCTATGGAAACTACGTCCTCTTCCTCATTTCCCGCTTGTCCAATGCGGCAAAGGACGCAAGATCGTGGCGACGTATCAGGCAAGGCTTCTCCCTCATTGAACTCGTCACCTCTACCGTTTTCCTCGTTCGATACTTCCTGTGGCTCGAACAGTTTCAGGCCAATGGAGAAGCTAAAAATGTCAGATACTGCATTGCATGCATTTCTGTTACGGCAGTTGGCATTTCTTGTCAGCTGTTATGCTTCTTCTTTGGCCTGGAGCTGTTCGACATTGCCAGCCAGATTCGTCAAAGATGGTACAATCGCAGGAATACCAGGTTTCACATGTGGGACCAAGTGATGGAGTTGCAAGAAGCTCCAGAGCGGGAAGGGTATGCATGTAGGGACATGGAGGTCATTGAGAGGAGCATTGAGAGGAGCATGGAGAGGAGCATTGAGAGGGACATTGAGAGGGGTGCTGAAGTGGGCGTTGAGAGGGGCATTTGGATGGGCGTTGAGAGGGGGATTGGGATGGGCTTTGAGAGGGGGATTGGGATGGGCGTTGAGACTCGCATTGAGGGGGGCATTGGGATGGACCGAGTGATTAATTCACAGCCGTTGTAAAATGACGTTGTAAGCAGCGTTAAGAATGATTGTCAAGGACACCGAGAGGAATGGTGAGAAGAGTTGTATACGCTGGCATTAGATTGATAGACTGGGCCGGATAGATTGATAGACTGGGCTGGATAACTGGCTGAGAAGATTGCTGGACAACTCCTCATAGCAGGCGGTAGTAATTTTACATGTTTTTTCTCCTTTGAAGCTACAGCAAAATCAATCTGAATCATCTTGGCCAATGAAAGCAGGTTTGAACAAAGACCTTTGTCATTGCAAACAGGCAGCCGTAGGCGCTCAAATTTGGGCCAACACTATCCCTGCTTGCAAAGGCAAATTTAAACAAAGACTTATATTAGTACAAACAGACAGTCTGCAAACACACGTAATGCCATCGGCTATGCGCTGCTTTACCAGCAGTGGCAATATAAATTTCTTGTTACCCTCTACTTTGTTCCAGCATCTCTCTTCTGCAATAAACGCCTCCTATCACTTCTTTAATCACCAACAAGCATTTGTCCCCCTTAGCCATCAAGAAAAGAGTTTCTATCACCGCTACTCTCTCTCATTTTGTGCTACCATTTAGCCACTTCTTTATCCGCAGTTGTCCGCTACTTTGTCAGTCAAGGTCGCATTTCGCATCTCAACCAAAACCAACTCATCATAGGCCTTGTCACAAGCCCTCTGGTATTACGTTTCGCTCCTCTAAGATGTGGAAATGCATAATCCTTTCGATATTCATAATATTTTATTCTTTCATCAACGCCCTCTTTCTTGTGGGGTATGGATTCATCGAAGCTTGGCTGTGGACGCTTCCCAACGCATTCGACACAACCGAAGATCGAGCATACATCAAACTTGCTCTTTCTCATTTTCTCATCAAGTCTATCGGTCATGTCATCATTTTGCCCATACCACTAGTCATATTGGCTACAAAGATTGCATGCAATAAGATTTTTGAATGGCCAACTCTCAAGTTTAAGGGTTGCGTGGCTACCATTGGGGCTTTGGCGGCCCTCATTTGCGCGTGCGTCATTGCTAACCTTGTGAGCCTTGTCATTGTTATTGACGACGCCGTGCTCTTGGCTCGCTTTTCCAAATGGCTTCCACACTTTAAGGCCAGCGGCGAATCGAGAAATTTTGGATTTTGCGTCGCATGCATCGTTCTTTTTGCAATTGATCTTTGGTGTGTAGCCTGGGCCGTCATGGCATCGAGTGCCTATTGTTTTGTTCTATGCATAGTGGCGTGTGTGAATGGCAAGAAGATTCTTGATGTGTTCAAAAGTAAATGGGAAGAGGTGCGGGATTCTGACGTGGTAACTCGCCTTCGCCAGTCGTTGGGTCCAGATAAACAGAGTGTGGGAGCTTGCCCTCACCAATCGTTGGGTCCGGGTGAACAGAGTGTTGGACAGGACATTGAGATGCAAGGAGAAGTTCGTTGACCGTCGTCTGTGGCAGTATTCGGTTGGTCTCAAGCACGCTGAGGATTTCATGGATGTTTAGTGAGAAGGATACACTAGAATAGAATAGATACGGTCGGTTGTCTAATTGAGTAACTAATATGCGCCTTTCATGGTAACGGTAATGCCTATGTGACATGCCATATTTATGATATACCATTGAGTGTAGAAAAACCAGACATGCGGTATCGTACATGAAGAAAGATGAACCCATCATCGCCGTTACAACTCTAGAATAGAGCCTCCTGCAACATGCTCAGATCATCAGCCTAGGAGAGTAACAGAAGCGCTTGTGAAATTTTGCCACCAAGTTACATTGAATTTTGAGGTAAGCAAGTGTGTTGGCATAGTCACGAAATAATTACCAACTATTTTAATAAAAAAAAAATCCCAACTTACACTAATATATAAGTTTATAGTTAATTATGTTAATATATTTATCTTTAAAATAAAAAAAACTAATGTACATGTAGCTTTTTTATAAATAGTTAGTTTTTATTTCTAAAAATACATAATTAATACTTAACCTTACATGTACTTTAATACGTTAGGACCTTGGGGTGCAATTTCAAAGATAGTTAACATCCAATGCTGACCTACCTTACCAAGCGAGCATCAGAAAAATAGAGACGGCAAAATCAATACGTGCTTACACTGGAGCAATATGCGCCTAGTTTCTCCAGCGCCGTGCCCTTGAGCGCATACTGCATCGGAAACTGAATGTCGATTTTCAGCGGGCTCATCTCTTTTCTCGTCAAGTGGTCCGACTTGACGTGACTTGGTTGAGCTTTTAGTACGAAACCTTGCTTCAACCACAAGCCAGTTGTATTAAACTCAGCATTTTTCTTTTGGGTTTTTCTTCTGGGTTTCAGGATTTTCCAAAGATTCATCATTTGCATTCCTGTCATCATTTCGTGTACGTGATTCTTGATACGACTACCTAACATATACGCACAAGTCTCGCCCATTCGGTGCCAAAGCCCCTAAGACACACGGACCACAATTGGCTGATCAAAATGGCCAATGTCCTTGCCCTTGTCATTCCGAATTGACTCGTTGATGGAAACAGGGTGCATCTGCGCAAATGCAGTCTCCGCCGTGACGCTGACCTCTACCCACGCGTTGGGGGGAAGCACCAACGTCTTGCCGCTGACCGTGGCGATGGTGATTTCCCAAGAGGCAGCGCCCTCTTTTTCGCCCGTCTTGTTCACCGTGGTCGCGAGCTGAGGTACGTCGTCGGAGCGGCTGATCTTGACGATGCCCTTCTTGGGCGGCGGGTTGGAATCTGACCGTGATCCCGAGCCAGTCAGTCTGTCCTTGAGCTTGCTTAGGTATCCGTGGCTCTCGGCGCCTGCAGTGGTCTTGTCAGTGTCCTTGTCTTTCTCTTTCTCTTTCTCTCTCTCTGTTTCTTTCTCGGATGGAGGTGCGGGAGGCTTGTTCTCCTGGTACTCGTAGTCAGAAGTCGTGAAGATGCAGTCCTTGACCTTGCCCGAGCGGAAGCCCAATGTGATGGCTGCAAAGCGCACGGCCTCCGTGGTATTGTTGACGCCGCGGATGGTCAAGGTCTGATCGGGCTGGAGAGCCCGGATAGGGCTTGTTGACCACGACAGGCTGTGACTAGAGATGAGGGGTTGCGACGTCTTGATTTTTGGCTTCACTTCGACAAATTTCGGCGGCTGCCCGCTTTCCACTCTGGGGACCTTGATTACCCAGTCCTTATGTTTCAACCTATGCGTGATTGTTAGAACAAAGCTGATCTCTTTCTAAGCTGGAGCGGACCGGAAGCTTACTTCGCATATCGGACCTTGGCGTTGAGATCTCCATATCGACCAATGACGGCATCCTCGAAAATCAGGGTGCCGCTGCCCGGATATGTGAACCGGCCTGCCGCCTTGAGATGTTTTCGGATGTTGCCAATTATGCGGTCGAGCTCTCTGGTCATGCGGGTGGTAATGTCCTCGGTCAACACTGCCGTATGATCTAGCGTTTTCATGTTGTAGGGGTTATGCTCTGCCGTTACTTGGACATACGAGGATTTGCCGGGAGGCGGCGGATCGACGACAATGTTCAGGTGTGAAACCAAATTGGTATCATTCTCAGGAACAATACGCATCTTGATACTCCACTCTACCGTATACTTGTCGCTATTTTCTTGTGTCAGCGATCCATGTGGGATGGAACAGAGACGGCCATCGTGCATGTGAATGAAGGAATGAATGAATGGTCTTTGGAGTGCTTACTAGTTGTAGCTGGTTGGGTTGTCCCAAGCGTCCTCGGTGTGCGTCCACTCCTCGAATTCATCAACAATAGTCGTGCCACTTAAAGTGAGCTCGGCATTGCCAGTGTCCCACCTCAGTGTGGTATTCATGGTGTCTATCAATCAGATCAGCGCAACTCTATGGAGCCACAAGTTGGAGCTATATTGACTTACCTTTGGTCTTCGCCCGGCCCCAGTGGCTCTTGCCCGGCTTCTTCTCAACTCGGAGTGGTTGCTCATTCACCTTGTTCCACTGGTACGAAATGACCTTGTGGGCATTCTTGGGATCATAGATGGGGGTATAGTCGTACTTGGAGTCATTTACACTCGGATAATTAGGATCGTAGCCAATGACCCAAGGCAGGTAGAGCGGCCAGTTGTCAGTAGGCTTCTTCACCTCCCAGTAAAATTTGTAGTGGTAGACGTCAATAGCCTGGTTCAGGGATCGGAACTCAGGCAAGAGATATTTGCCAAAGAAGATCTGGTGGTTGAGGAGGAAAGTGGCGTTCACGGCTGGGTTGTTAGGGCTGGGCTGCGTCGCGAAGTTGCCGGACCATAGGAGGCGGGGTTCACTGGGCTTCACGCCCCCCCCTTGGACCATCTCGAGGTACAGCAGACAGTTGCAGTCTCCAGCACCCCCGAAACCTGTTTGGCCGTTCTCTGCACCATTGGGCTCGCTCTTGTACTGATGGACCTGGTGAAGAACGTCCCTGGGAACTGGGAGTTTCCGTCAGCGACTTGTTCCGTTGCCTGCTTGTATACAACCCTTACCGTATGATGGCATCACGGAATCAACTGTGAACATGTTAGCACTGGAAAGTTTCTCCATTCACATATGCGCTTACCTGTTGGCGGCTTGAATGACAGACCCAGCGAGTTGTGTGCGTCGCGCTCAAACGAATCGGCCCATTCGCCCAACCAGAGGGCCAGGCGGCGTGCTGTGCTTACGTTGTCCTCATCGGACTTCCACTCCCAGTACGGCACTGGTTTCCCTTCAGAGTCGAGGCCGGCCACTGAGCGTTCGTTGTCGAGGCTATTCCTATTTTGAAGTTGAGCAAAGCATCCTGACGCCGCCACAGGGGCCAAGGGAAGGTGTCGACGACTCACCAGTTTGCGCTGGACAGCTTCATATACAAGCGCTCAACAGTATAATCACCGGGATGGTCAAATCTCTCTCGGATTCGCTGGCGCTTCTCCTCGGCCCTCTTCCTCTTCTTTGGGTCCGTGATGGTGCTTGGGTCCGGCAAGGCTTCTGGCACCACGGGGACTCGGACAGCAAAGGTCCAGTGCTTGAGGTCTTCAATCTCAGTCTTACCATCGGCGCTCTTGAGAGAGCCATCGTCAAAGCTACGTGGCCAACAAGGTTAGCGGCTCTGTATCACTTCCTAGAGCAGAACAATGGGACGAAAAGAAGACGTACCGCACCAGCAGCAGCACCTCGTTCAAGTTGGCCGATGGTTCATCGGCGCCAGGGATGAGCACCTTTGGAGCCTGTAATGTGCCCTCAAAGGTACCAATCGCGGGATCCTTGAAGTAAAGTTTGCTCAATTCGCCCTTGTAAAGGTCAAAAAGAGCCTCGAAATGGTCATTGATCAGTCCCTGTGATACGGCAAGCACCTGATCGTAAGCTCCGTCGTCGGTGCGAGTTGTGGTCTCGAGGCGAGACACGTAGTCCCAAAGGTCGGCCATGATATGGTGATGAAAAAGCGAGGGCGGCTTTAGAATGGGCAAGATGGTTCACGCAACGTTTAAAGAGTCTGGCTGGGTCCAGCATGGGCATGGAGGTAACTCTCCGACGACCAGGCTGCTTTTATATGTCGAGGTTGACTCGTTGAACTGAATACGGGACATTTTCTGGTATGAGCATGAGGTGAGGTAGAGACCTCTTCGCTGTACTTTGTCTACCCAATTCAACCTAACGTAGGAATGCATCTTGCAGCGAAACGGAGCTGGCAGGGGGATGATGCCTCGATGGTAAGGGGGAGGTACATGCGCACAAAGCTCACTTTTGTTCTTTGTTTGTACCTTTCCTGCTCCTTACACCTCGTTGCTGCGCCCAAAAGCTCAATCCCCTCTTCCTATCTTCAGTTTTGGGCCTCAACCCGATGATCTTCATGGTCCAGATCGTGTGGGGAGTATCACGAGTATTGATTGTGGCGAGCTGAATGCGTTGTTGGCTGTCTCTGGACCAATAAAAGCCTGAGACATGCGTTGAGACATGCGTTGAGACATGCGTTGACTATAGAGCGACATGGGTAAGGTAGTTTTTCAGCTGGTGACGAACGCGGCTCAGTTACGAAACTGCCTAGTTGAATTGTTGAGCTGCATGTACCTACCGAGTAAACTGAGGCCCGCATCTGCATCTCAACTACCGAAGCGGGCCTCTACATTTCAGCGACAAACCGTCTTGGATGTCCGCGGCATCTCGCGAGCTGCTTGGCTAGATGCCGTTGGCTTGGGATGACCAAGACCCGCACGGGGATGACTCCGGACCGTCCCACACGGCAGGGAATGTAACCCACTTCTGCACGTTGCATCACATCTTCACCAGGAGTCGACGTTGGTAAAGACACAACCTAGTAGTATGAGCAAACGACGGGCTAAGAGCTGAGCCATGCATCTCAACCACTCGACATCACCACAGCGGGGAGCCAGCATTCATCCTGACATCCAGGTGTTTGGCTGGTCTGGCCCAACCCGTTACCTTCCGCCCACTTCCCATGGGCCATCGTGGCCTGCACATACTAAGTCTTGATGATCCCGTTCTTTCAGATTCCTCCAGTCAACGTAGGTTGTCTTTGCCTTTCATCATAATACCTCACAATGGACGAGTTCTATCAATCCCTGAGAGTCAGCGATACCATCATCGCCAGCATCAGACAGCGTGTCAGAGCTGGGAAGAATCTGCTCGATGCTCTACGACTCGCACAGGCAGAGCAAGAAGTCGATGAAACTAGTCGTCAGCGACTGCTGCTTGCTGCCGACATTCTGGACATTTGCGGGAAACAGAACAATCTTTGTCTCTTGCTGCTCAAAGACGGGGCAATCAAGAGTCTGAACGATGTCGCTCTCAAGTACTACTCTACCAAGGACAAAGTTCCGGGTGCTGATGCCGTTCGCGCTGAACTTCTATTCCGCGTCCCTACAGCAGTACTTAGCGCCGTCGTGGACAATGACATTCTGGCATTGGACTCCATTGTTCGGGACTCTGTATCTCGTGTCTTGAAGCTAGCTATCGACGAGCAGTTTGACGTCCGCTCCGGCACTCTGGGGCTGTTCATGGCTCGGCCCGCTTGTCAAGATGAGCTATCTAAGCTATCCGCCCAAGATGCACAGGCCGTACGAACAACACTCGAGTCCCTGTATCGCCTCCATCCCTTGGTTGTTGATGCCGAGCACTTGGGGGCCTTGATTGGCACTCGTTACACATCCGCCCGCGTCATTGCTTCCAGCGATCGGGACGAGTTCATCCAGCTGCTTGAAGGGCGAGGCTTGAGCTTCGCAACGGCCGCGAGGATTCACCTCGAAGCCGAGCGCATCGACCGGCGAAACGATGCCTTCTGGGCTGACATTGTCCGAACACGGCGCGAAGTCCCCGTCCTTGCCATCAGCGGCTTGAACCAGGCTCAACCGCCGCCATCCTCGGATGACCAGGATACCAACTTGACCACCTTGTTCAATGACCTCGACAGCGTTGCTGCTGAGAACAGCACTTCTGTTTTGGGCCCAGCATCCTATCTGGTGGACCTTTTGAAGATGCTCAGCACTGTCAACTTGTCGATCAAAACTGTTGAACCATGGACCATCAAAGACGCTTTGAGTGCGCTGGATGTGTTTCTTCACAGACGACCCGACATTGCTACCACAAAGCTTTCCAAAGTCGACACAGAGACTCCCATGGCATATCAGGATCTGGCCATCGAGGTCATGGAGCAGTACCTCAGTCGCAGCCTGAGCACGGAGGGTGGCCAAAAGGTCGACGTGTACGCAGCCGTCAGCCAGCAGCTGGCTCCAATGACCGCATTTCCATATAGTTATGCCATCCTTACTACCCGCGAGCTCTTGCAGGCTAGAGGATACTCGCGCTACGAGCTCCTACGGCGTTTCCAGTCCGACCAAGACCTGGTTCGTCGCGCGTTTCCAGGTAGCCCAGCATGCGAGAGGACTTATGCGGCGGCGGCCGAAAACCTTCACGAACGACGGCTTGCTGCCGAGTCACTCAAGCTACAGCCTCTCGACTTCCAGGCCATCACTCAGGAGGCACTCCACAGTCCCAACTTCGTCCGGTTGCTCCAGGGTTATAACAGGGAGATGGCATCGAAGACCTACAGGGAAGTAGCAGGGTTGCGGCATGCTGGCGAGTATTGGGGCTATGAGGCAGACCCAGTCGTGGATGAGGATGGTGAGCACGACGAGACCAGTTCTGCCAGGACAGCCACCTGGAAGATGGTGGACTCTGCTTCCGGGACTAGCTTGCGGCTAATCAAGGAACAATTGCTCATTCGTTCCGGTCTGTCACCCTCGGAATTGAACATGGTCCTGAAGACACGCTACATTGGCAAGCGTTTGGTGGTGACGCTGGCCAGCGGCGACGAGTTCAGTGACCGCCTTCAGGACATGCGACTCCAGGAATCACCTCTGATCGGCGACGTCGAGGGCGTTGGAAGGCTCTCCGAGAGGACATGTCTCGACCTCCAGGCGTTCATCCGACTCTATCATCGGCTGGGCTGGTCTATCGAGGCGACTGATGCGGCCATTGCTGCTCTGGCTCGTCGGGCTCAGATCTACGAGAAGGACGCTTATCGACATCATGTTCTGGATGGCGGGTTTATCGAGCGCCTAGCAGCAGCAAATCGGCTGTCGACTCAAACGAATGTACCACTGACGGAGCTTTTGCCGTTATGGGGGCCCATGGATGCGCAATTTCCATCCTCGCTCTACACTGTGCTATTCTTGCGTCCCGGCCTCGTTCAGCAATATCCATCACTGAATCTGGTCGATGGAGAAACCCTGGTCAGCGCAACATTTGGCCAGAACATGGGTGCTCTCCTCCAAGCACTCCGTCTTACTCAAGCTGACCTGCTCGTGCTGATGAAAATCGTTGGTTTCGGACCGGATACGCACTGGAGCTTGGGAAATATTGCGCAGCTGTACAGCCACCAGCTGCTGAGCAGGCTTCTGAATCTTCCAATTTCGCGATATTCCGAGTGGTGGAGTCACTGTGAGCAAGTGGCCAACCCGTTTATGGATCCACAAAGCACCTTGGTGGCACTGGATCTATGGCTGAGCCTGCCCGAAGAGATCCCATCTGTGGAAGCAGCGCTCAACTTGCTTGTCCCTGTCGAGAGCGACCACAAGTCAAGTGTCAAGGATCTGGCCTTGATTTCACAGATGGTGCAAGGCATGGCTGAGGTCGAATCGCAATACGCCCCTTTTGTGGCGGACAATATTTCCAGTATCGAGGAGGCCCAGCTTTTCACGAGCGAGGCATTGCTAGCTCTGTGCTCTCGTGTTTTGGGCCCGATCATCTCAAGGACGGCTGTGGAGGTTATAGAAGGTTTGTTGACTCTTTCTCTTGCATCTCTCAAAGTCTGCTCTAACACGGTTCTTGCTCCAATCAGGTCATTTCACTTCTGATAATGGCCTTCTTCGGATCTTCAGCGAGCAATTCAAGTTGAAAGAAGTAGAGATTAGTAGGGAGCTTCTCAAGCCTCTTGAATCAAAAGTCTCGGACTTCCAGAAGCAGGAAGATGAAGTCAGGTCCCGTCGAAAGAAGGCCATTCGCTGGATGATTCCGGAGCTGAAGCGTCGGGGAATGGAAGCCGCAGTGCAAGCCGCGCTGGCCGCTAGATTCCCAGATGTGAAGCCCCAATTACTCCAAGTGTTCTTCTCAGCCAAGACTCCTTCAGGTAAAAGTTACCAAGAAATTTTGACCGAAGTATGGGATAACTCTCGGGCCTGGTTACGCAGTGCAGAGCCCATTGCAGAGGGAACTTACTTCTTCCCACCAGCAACTACTGAGTACGCTTTCATCAGCAGTTCAAGCGGAGGAAAGCTGATCGTTGATGACGAAGCTGTCGAGTTCCTGTCCGGGGCCCCAAAACTTATTACTCGTCCTAAATCTCTGAATCAGGGCCAGCCGTCGCTTCTGGAGTTCTCTCAAGGGCTCTCCCTACAGACACTAAGCTTTTCTACATCTAAAGGTGAAGCAAGCTTCAATGAGACGTCGGTGTTCTCGGCGTCACGAGCCAAAATTATCTCCCACCATCTGTCATGTTTAGAACGATGCCTGAACATAGCCGAAACTTTGAAACTGGGTCCTGAGGAAGTGAACTTCTATCGACAGCGCGGGGTGGACTTGTTTGATCTGAAGCTCAATGATATGCGAACTCTTCTGGACTTTCTCCGCATCCGCAAACAGTTTGGAGCCTCTGGTACATCTCTTGTTGGCTATTGTCAATACCTTCAGCGAGCTTCGAGACGCATTGCTGATCAAGCGGGTGACCACGACCAAGCCAAGGCAGAAGAAGACAAAGCAGAGGTGGAAAAGGCATGGGCCGAACTCGTCGCAGAAACCCGCCAGGTAACAAAGCTCACAGCCGAGAACATTTCTATCTTCTTTAACTTGCAATGGCCTTCGACGTCAGCCTCAGAGGCGGCCATGAATTTGTTGGCTCGGAACCTATCGCCTCTCCAGAAACTGGCCGATTGTTGTGAAATGTCAAGTACGCTGGCCGTTTCCATCTCGACGCTCCACCAATGGTCCCAGGTTTCTCACCTGCCTACGAAGCCTGAGGACTTTGACTCGATCGGACAACTCAAGGCTTCGCTGTCATCGGGAAACGCGACGAATGCGCTGACCTGCGCCAGAGAATCTCTCGCTTCGACACAGCAGCGGGTTTTGCAGGAGGCCTTGCTACGATTGCCAGAATTCAAGGCCAAGAAGATCACCACACCCGATGATTTGTCGGCTGAATTGCTTATCGACGTCAAGATGGGCCCAGCGATGCAGACGTCACGCATCGCCCAGGCCATTGCCAGCGTTCAGCTCTTCGTGCAGCGCAGCCACCTCGGCCTGGAAAAGTTATACGGCCTCCCCACCACCGCAGTCAAGCGGCCGCTGTGGAGTTGGATGAGCAAGTACACGCTCTGGCAGGCGAACCGGAAGGTGTTTCTCTATCCCGAAAACTGGGCGGACCCGTCGTTGCGAGACGACAAGACGCCTGCATTTGAGGAGCTGGAGAGCAAGATGCTACAGATGAATCTTAACAAAGACCTGATCAGCCAGCTTCTTCGGGAATACGTCTATGCCGTCCACGAGGTGGCTGATCTTGATGTCCAAAGCTATCTGTGGGAGGCGACCCGAGGATTCCGTGGAAACTACCATTTCTTCGCCCGAACGCGTACGGCGCCCTTCGACTTCTACTATCGTCGCTTGGAAGTAACCGGCGCCTCGGCGGCATCCGTTCGATGGAATTGGCTGCCATGGAGCAAGATGGAAGTCGAAATCCCTACCCACGAGGTTGATGCAGACCACAAACCACTTAAACGACCCGGCAGCTACCTCCTACCGGCTCTCTTTAAGAACCGGCTGTTTCTTTTCATCCCGCAGATCACGCGCCAGACGAAGCCAGCTGCACCACCGACAAAGCCCATGATGGAGGCAGCACAAGACGCCTCCGGGTCGAAGCCTCCCGAGCAGTACTGGGAGGTCAAAATGGCCTGGGTTGAGATGCGCAACGGCAAGTGGTCGCCCAAATACGTCACTGCGACCGGCATCAACGTCGAGCCGACTACACCAGAAACTGCACCAGCAACTGCATCTGGCCCAGCGTTGCCCTCTATCGCATCGTTTCGATTCCGCCTTGAGACACGTAACTCTGGGCAGAGCCTAGCCATCAATGTCGACAAGTGGAAACTAGAGACCGATACCCCGGCAGTGAAAGGGTCCTTTCAGAAGCAAGGCAGCTTCGAGATGCAAGGGCTGCTGCTACGACTGGTGGAAACATCGTCGAGGTCCGCTGTTGGCTCGTCCATTGCTGGTAGCGTTGCCTTCTCTCGGATCTCGCACAAAGAAACCACCAAGAACGTGGAACAGCTGCGCAAAACCGTCCAAAACTACGCCGTGGGAATTGACCCCAAGTCGAAGCAGAAATCGCTGCTGACCGTTCCGAACCCCAAGAGCGTAGTCGACGACAAGTATGAACTCACGTGGCTACTGACTTATGATGATTCGCAGTTCAATGGAACCTCAGGTCTTGTAGTAGAACGGTCCACGTCGACTCAAGTCGAGTCCTTCTTTGGGTATCCGGACATGACCGCGGAAGGGGAAATCGACACCACCAACAAGACCACTGTCACGACACACCCCCTCACTCACGAAGCCTCGCTGAGCCTGGTCGAGGAGATTGCCGACAAGGAAGGCTACGAGTGCATTTTCGAAGCCATGGAGACACTGCCCAAAGACAAACAGAAACTGGCGTTTGGTTACGATAGCAACACGTACAGCGAACTGGCTACTCCTAGCTCAGTCTACAACTGGGAGCTGGGTTTCCATACTGCTGCCCTGCTCATGGAAAGGTTGCTGGCTACCCAGCAGTTTGATCTCGCTATCGAGGTCTCGCGCCTCGTATTCGACCCCGTCCGAGACGATGTCAACCTTAAGCAAACCGAGTTTAGCTCCAACGCCGAGCCACCGAAGCCTTTATCCCGACTAGACAAGTGTTGGCGATTCATCCCATTCAAGTCTTCGAAGCTACGGTTAGCTGGCTCCGTCAGGGACACCATCCAAAGGCTCGCCCCTGGAGAAGCCAAATCCAGCGACATCACCGACTGGGAGGCGAATCCATTCTCGCCACATGCCGTTGCCCGTAACCGACCGGCCGTGTACATGAAGCGATTTGTTATGAAGTGTATTGAGATTTTGATCGCCAGTGGGGATCAGTATTTCCGCCAGAATTCTTTAGAAGCAGTTCCGTTGGCTACCCAGCGCTACGTTGAGGCTTCCGCGTTGTTTGGGCCCGCCCCTATCGCGATTGATCCGCCCACTAAACCTGTCACTCGGAGTTATGACGAGATCCGACACCTGGTGAACGACTTTGCTACTGCATCAGTAGACATGGAACTCGAGTTCCCGCACTTCATCAATCCCATCATGAGGGGTGGTGGTACTAGACTAGGTCGGGAGCAGCAACCCGATCTTCGCAATGGCACCCTCGGCTTCGTACGGTCCACGTATTTCGGTGTCCCGGCCAACCCGCAGATGCAAGCCCTCCGTGATCTCATAGACGACCGGCTCTATAAGATCCGAAATGGACTGGATATTAATGGCAACCCCCGTCGTCTCCCATTATTTGACCCACCCCTAGATCCTGGTCAGCTCGTTGCCGCGCTGAGCTCCGGCGCAGGCCTCTCGAGCTTTGCACAAGGGCTAGATGGAGGGCCTATGCCTAACTACCGTGCCAGATACCTGCTGCAAAAGGCGTTGGATCTCTGCGGAGAATTGCGCGGTTTCTCTGACTCGTACTTGTCCATCAGGGAGCGACAGGACGCTGAGGCAATGGCCAATTTACGTGCAAAACAGGAGACTGGAGCCTTGGCCCTCATGGGCGAGGTCAAGCGACTCCAAGTTCAGGAGGCATCGATGGCTATTGACGCCCTCGAGGAGACCCGGAAGTCACACGTCTCCAGGCTGCAGTATTATCTTGCCCTTCTAGGGGAACCAACAGACCATGTGCCGACATCTAAGACCGAATGGGTGGACTTTGACTTTGGTATAGTTCAGCCTAACAAAGACGAGCTGCGGATGAGTCAGGAGGAGTGGCTGGAATGGACCTTGACAGACCAGGCAAGACACTCGAATAATGTAGCGACTTGCATCGAGCAGAACGCAGGTATTCTCATGGCTTTGCCCAGCTTGACCGTTCAGATTGAGCCGATGGGTGTTGGAACATCGTCTCAGCTTGATGCCTCAATTATTGCTAGGGGTATGATGGCTGGAGCTGGGGTCATCAGGGCCGGGGCCCAGGCTTCAACTGACATGGCGTTCCGAGTATCTCGCAAGGGTCAACTGGTCCGCCAACTACAAGAGCGCAAACTACAGGCCAACATGGCGGGTCGCGACATCCAGGGTATCGACAAGCAGATCGCCAGCCAGAAGAAGCGGATCGAGATCACCCAGGCAGAGCTGCGCGCACACCAACAGCAGGCGGCCGATGCAGCGGATACTGAAGCGTGGCTGCGCTCCAAGTATACGTCTGAGAAGTTATATTCGTGGCTCGAGGTGCAAACCCGCAAGCTGGCTTACCAGGTTTACCTTTCAGCGCTCGACATGGCTAAGACGGCGGAGCGCGCCACGATGTTTGAGTATGGACCGAGAGCTCAATCATTTCTGTCAAACGCCTACTGGGATGAGTCCCGGGACGGGTTGTTATCGGCACAGCAGCTCACGGCAGCGTTGCATCGCATGGAAAAGTTCTACATCGAGAATACAGCGCACGACTACGAGCTTACCAAGACTATCTCCCTGCGGCAAACCTCTCCTTTGGCCCTTATCGACCTTCGCACAAAGGGCGTCGCCGACTTTGAGATCCCAGAGGTGCTCTTCGACCATGACTTTCCCGGCCACTATTGCCGACGCATCAAGTCCATCTCGGTCACCATCCCCAGCATTATCGGTCCCTACACAGGCGTCAACTGCACTCTGAGACTGCTTGAACACCGATACCGCCTCAAAGCCGGGACATCTTCAACGGGAAGCTACTACCTCGCAGATACCTCCAATGACGAGCGCTTCCACACGGATTCCATCCCCATCACGTCCATTGCCCTCAGCACGTGCAACCATGACAGTGGCGCCTTTGAGCTCAACTTCAACGGCGACCGGTACGTCCCATTTGAGGGCGCAGGGGTCATCAGCAGGTGGAAGCTTGAACTGCCAGGGCCGTTTCCACAATTTGACTATCACACCATCAGCGACGTGCTCTTTACGGTGCAGTACACTGCCCTTGAGGGCGGGGCCATGTGGAAGCAGCAGGCTTCAGACGCGGTGCGCAAGTTCCGAAGTGAGCTGAAGGAGGATCTCGGGCACGAGGGTGCGCTCTTGTTGGTTGATCTGCGTGCTGATTTCCCCAATGAGTGGCGTCAATTTTCGGCGCAGATAACCGCGGCAAAGACGCAAGAGGAAAGGAGGAAGGCTGTGGTGATGAATCTCAGTCGGATACCGCATATGTTGCCTTTCTGGAGCGCAGGACAGGGCGTGACGGTGCAGAAGGTATGGGTGGCGTTACAGCCGGGTAAGGATGGATGGGAGGAGGAGAAGGGAGAGATGAAGGCTTTTGGGGCAGAAATGGTGAATGATGCGGTTAAGTCTGGGAAGGAGTTGAAAGTGATGGGGGTTGGAGAGCCACTAGTGAAAGAGATAAGAGAGGCAGTCTTGGAAGTGAGGGTTACTCCAGAGAAGGTGAAAGGGGTAGTACCGAAAGGCTGGTGGCTAGTTGTGCAGTATACACAGGGGGCATCGTAGAGGATATATTCTAGATGATAGAAGTATTTATCTAGACTTGGTGTTAGATATTAGGGCTATGGTGAAGGAGAAATTTAGTGACGACCATCGCTTCCGATGGAGGGATAGAAGAGAAGATTGGGAACATAGCATGAGAAAAGAAGGGATTGTCTATTAACCCCCTTTGCAATTGGAGGAGCGGTCTAAATCAGAAAAATGCCATATCTCCTTTCAAGCAACAGAAAATTTGGACCAGTCGTTACAACCCACAAAGGCAAGTTTAAACAAAGACTTTTCTTTCAGACCAGCGAATATGCAGCGCTTAAATACAATCGAAAGTGTTGCATACAACATTTACAAACAGCAAAGGCCCACGAAAAGAAAACCACTATATAAATACTCTTTCGCAGCCTCTTCCTTCTGTATTTTCATCTCATTTCTCTCTTTAACACTCGACACTTAATCTCCTACGCCTGCTACTGCCTCTTTCATCCAGAACACTCCTGTCTGCCCCCCGGCAGTAATGAAAGAATTTTGACTATCATTATTGAACTCTCTATTTGGTTCATTACTTTCCAATACTTTTTCTCATAACAGCGCTTCAATTTTCACCTAATACTAAATTTCTCATCGAATGCCATCATAAAGACATTTTAAAGGCTCCTTTTATCGAATAAACATGGAGAGCGAACGCTTTGATCTTTTATTCCAGCTGGCCAGTTGCCTAATACATGCCCATTTCACAGCCGTATACATTCTCTTCGACATCCAACTAGGGCAGATGAAAATCTATATTGAACACCAAAACCGATTCCCAGCTCAATCTTGTGGCTTCTTGGCCGTTTTCCTTTATATTCTCGTGACTCTCAACCATGCGCACGAACTTGGCCGGGGATTTTGTTGCTTCTTCAATAACTGGCGCAAACGGCCTTCAGAAAGTGGAACGGCGTACTGGTACTATATCAACGGTGGCTCCGACATGTTTCAGCTGGTCAAACTTATCATCTGGTTGCCGCTTTTTATCGTCACTTCCGTTGCTATGGTAGCCTGGATTGATGAATTTCGGGTCAACGGTGAAGTTAAGAATATAAACTACTGCATTGCATGTATTACTGTTATGGCAATTGATGTTGTTTGGGCAACGGTGACCCTCATTAGGCGAATTATTCTGACCTATAAACGGGGTGCATTATGATTATGTATTGCACACAAGTTGAGGAGGCCGTTGAGAAGAAAAAAATGATAAGGGCAATGGGCCACCTACGTGATAGACATAGGGTCGTTAATAGGTTTAATTCAATCTACTCCTATAATTTCATCGAACCTCGTATCTTCCTCGTAGATATGATTTGTACATAATTGGGAGAACTATTGAGAAACGGGAAAGTATACGCTGGGAGTCGCTATAATATGGGAAAAGCTGGGCTGAAGAGGAAGTGACTTGATATAAACGGATCTGTGAGAGCTAAATTCCCAAACCATTGGCATCAATGAACAGTATTGCCGTACTTTATTGGATTGTTGATACTACAATTGATCAGGGAGAGATATGTACATGTAATTAGTGCATACTATCTGTTGGTTGTTGAAATACGGCATTACAAAATACAGGAATATGATTATATCGATATACTCTTTCGCTTTACGCCGAAACTCGCTATCGCCAATATTCGGACAGTTGATAACAACGGTTTTGAATCAAAATGGGTGCAAAGTCGTACAGCACCAACATCTACAGATACTAGCCAAAAGTGTGTACACATTTATACATACGCCAATATCCAAACATTAGAATTCTTCATAATCAACTTAATTCATCAGTTTTCGATCTAGATAAATAGCTTCCATCAAGCACTCCTTAGATGAGAGTAGCGCACCGTTCAAACCACAAATGCCGATCACGTTCCGCCCCTAGCTCTCAATCTTTAAATAGCCGGCCCAAAAATCTTAATTTCTAGGTCCACTCTACCAAACGTGGCATTTCTATAGCGAGACCAAATCACGTTCGTGGGCTTAGAAGCTAGGTCAATGAACCGGTCAAACGCCTGTGAGCAAATGGACGTGTTGGTTGTGCCAGAGTGGCGATGGCCTGTCTCCATCAGGCCCTAGACTTCTGGTCGGGTATTTCCATCAGCGGAGAACTGGGACAAAGAACGGCGAGAGGCAGGGTCGAGCGCTTGGGATCTTGATGATAGTACCCAGTTATAATTCGCTGTCGGGCAGAAGCGAAGTCGGGCAGACGAAACCAATGATTGAGCCATTTTGAGCCTACTGAATGTTTTCTAGACAACTTAGTGTATGTTGTAGTTGGGTACTTGTATCAACGCATGCCTAAAGCTTTAGAAAACATTTGTAAGGTACGGTCTAAGCGAGAAAGGTGTCATTGATCTCTTTGAAGCAACAGCCAACCTAGACCAGTCATCCCATCCATCAAGGCAAGTTTGAACAAAGAGCTTGAAACCCGCAAAAGGGCGGCGCTTAATTAAGAATAAAAATATCGTTTATATTCTTTGTTGATGAAAAATGCTTCTTATAAATACTACTGCTGGTCTCGTCCTTCTACGCAAGGTTACGTTCAAATTCTCTTCTTCTCACCACTGGACTCTCAACACTCTACTTTGCTACTACCTCTTTTCTCTTGATAATTCTAGAACACCTTCTTTCTCTTTCGCTTTCCTCCATCTTTTACCATCATTGAGCTCTCCTCCATTCACTGCTAACCACTGCTTCACCAACCAAAACGACATTTACACTTCCATCGAACACTTCGACGTCACCATGCAATCCAGCGCTGTGAACAAAGCTCAAGCATCGCTAAAGATGCGGGTGAAAACACTGGGCTTCTGCTTTATCCAGGTGCTCAGATGCATATTGCATCTCGCCTTCATTCTAGAATACATCTTCACCGAAATCTGGCTGTGGCAATTATTTTACGACTTTGGCCATCGCAACCTAACCACAGACCGAGACAGCGCCGCGATTGCCTTTATCATTTTCCTCATCGCATCTCTCTGCCATTGTCTCGGACTCGCTATGGGCATGTTGAACTTGTACGGTTGGTCTATAGCGCCTTCTTTAGAATGTGAGGGGATGAAAATGGGCATGTCTCCTGTGGATTCGGCCGTTCATTTGATGGTTCTTTTCTGTATTTCGGGATTTTATACTTTTGTCTACTGTTCGGTATCATGGTGGCTTCCGACCTTTCAGGCCAACGGAGAAGCAGAGAACACCAGATACTGTATTGCATGCATCCGTATCATGGCATTTGAGGCCTTATGGGCAGCTGTAAAATTTGGAATTGCGATTTTTGTCGAGCGAAATGAATCGCAAAGCACGGATTACACAAGCGTTGAGAAGGACATTGAGAAGGATTTGATGGAAGTGGAAAGGAATACTACTGAGAGGCCTGCTGAAAAGTGTGCGTCTGCAGACGAGAAACCGACCTCTGTCTAAGGAAAATCCTTGTTGAAGCACCAAGACCGACTGTGCAACAGATGTAGAGGGACTAGCCCTTAACTCCAGCAATTTAATTGAAATCGTGCAATATATGAAGCAATACTCTGATGGAGAAATAGTATATCACATGAATGACTCTTGGCTTAGATTATAATTTGTCGGAAGTGATACTATAGATCAAGAATAAATATGATGCCAGCAGTATCATCTAGGTCCTTCCTTGGGCCCCGTAGATTCTGAAACCAAGAGCGGCCTCTCTTATTTGTCTCCCCCGCATTTTCTCCGATTGAATTGTTCAGACTCTTCCCGAGTACGAGAGTATGCTTCTGGGATTCGGGACAAGAAGCGACCTGTTGGACGCAAGTCGATTACAATAACCCGGGCTGGTATGATGCTGCAGTAATGCGTGGGTGATTCGCATAACTGGATTAGTAATAGCGATTGAAGAGATTCACCATATTAAGTTTTCGGAGCTCTTCGGATCTAGCGCAAGCCTCGTTTTGGTTTGGGGCTGAATGGGGCTGTAGAATCGGCTCGCTGTTGGCTTCATGTACATGTATGTATTGCCGCATTTAATATTCGGCCACTGTACAATATAAAGGTTGAGCTTTCTGCACCGCCATCACAGAAGCAATATATGTCGATTATTTTACGGTACTAAACTGCATCATTGTTTCATCAAGTCTTTTTACAGCACTGTAACGCGGCACCTTTGCCCCATACCGCAGACAGTCGATACCCCTCACCTGCTTTGCTTCTCCTACTGCACCTTGCCAAAGCATTCGCTAAACCACCAGTCGTTATGGCTCGACAACAAAAGGACGACCAGATTCTGGAGCTAGCTCGAACCCTTCGAGAAGCTCCATGGTGCGAGGAATATGAGAAAATGGTCTCAGGCATGCTGTGCGTATCCCATTCAGCTCCCCGCATCTGGCGCACTGCTCAACCCATCCTCCTTCTGCCCACCAGCATCTGAGAAGATGAGGAGACTAGACAACTTTCTGGGTCACTGCAGATAGAACTTGATTAACACATTAGACGTGATTCTAGGTATAATCCCCTGCACCCTTTGCTAATGGAAGGCCGACACAAAGCAAGATGCTTGGCGTACAATTACAACAACTTGAACCCCTCATCTGCGCCTTTCGATAAACTGATAGAGACTCAACAAGAGATGCTAAAGGGCATCCTTGGCAAGGTCGGGCCCGGTACCTTCATCGAACCCCCTTTTACGCCAGACTATGGCTGCAATATCATCATGGGCGAAAACTGCTTTATGAATTTCGGGTCTGTCCCGCCTCGCCACCTTTGTCCATAAGGCTACAAGCTAACTGTGCTGTTATCTAGCCTGACTATCCTGGATACCAGCTTGGTCATCATCGGAGACCGCGTTCAGATGGGACCTAATGTGCAGATATACACTGCTGGCCACGAGACCTCTGTGCTGTCCCGCATCAAGTTTGTGGAATTTGGTCTGCCCATCAGAATCGAGGATGATTGCTGGATCGGAGGAAATGTTGTGATCCTCCCCGGAGTGACCATAGGCCGTGGGTGCACCGTGGGAGCTGGCTCCGTCGTCACAAAGAGCCTTCCTGCGTATTCTGTGGCACTAGGGACACCAGCCAAGGTGGTCAAGACATTGCCCTCCGTGGAGGAAGAGCTGGCAGACCCAAATAACCCTTTCCGGAACATGCCAGACAGGGAGGATTAGCCGAGCATTATATACCTAGGTAGGGGTGTCTCCTCGCCATTGAATATATGTATGCATATGAATTGACTCTCACCCGCTCTTGTTAATCATTGTTATTTGCGCAGAGTTCCACACACTACTATCGTAGTTGTTGTGTCAAGTCGTCATTACTATGCAAACTCTACCATTGACGTACCCCATTATAATTACCAGCATAACGCCATTTGGCGTTGGAGCTCAATCTCTGCCATTGAGCATGATTACCCAGCATCCAACTCTCTTGAACTGAAAGCACTGGTTCAATACTGTTCAGTGTCAGAGAGGTGGCACAGAGTTGAGGTAAATGTATTTCAATGGGCAGTTCGTACTTTTTAAGGTACCTTGGCAAGCCTACCAATGATAGCATGGGCCGGAATGATGGTTACCAGAATATGTTACGCCTCTATGTATAACGTAATGTTCCCGTATGCTCATAGATCTAACTCGCTTCATCGAGTATGTACAAGTAGAGATGCTTTGTTTTTACTTGCTATAACCATTTTTAAGAGAAAAAGAAAGGGAATGAAAAAAGAAAGTATTACATGCTCATTTTGCGCTCCAAATCGGTGTACACTTTGCCAGTTGGTGAGCATTGAACACCCTCATGCAACCACATATAAACATGGCCTGAAAGTACTTTGCAGATTCCTGTGTTCAATCAAGTCGGCTTGCTTATGATGAACACCTCCAGAACTTTTACTCAACTAAACAATTGAAGGTGAATTGCAAACTCATGCTGTCTTATCATGGGATCGAATGACTCTCTGCGGTGGAGCGTCAAGTCTGCAAGACACGACCCTCATTTCCGCGGGCAAGGACTTCACTACAATGGGAATTGCCTCTGCCTCGTCATTCATCTATCAAATTTAAGCTCTCCAGGCTTCGCTTCCCAGTTCGAGCCAACTATAGCGTATCAGCTACTCCTCGTCGAACAACCACTCAGCCGCCTCTTCCATCACCCGCCGCGAATAAACTAGCAAGCTAGTAGCATTGAATCCATTGACATTCTGGTTACATTAAACCATAACATTTACTCTCCCGTTTGCTTCTCCACACCATCAGACCCATTCATATGCAGCCACAATAGCTGTCAACGTATCACTGGAGCAACAACTCCTGAGGCTTTCCCCCAAGCCCCCAAACTCTCTTATCAACCAGCACCAAAGCCTGTGTAATCACCCAAACCTCCCCGAGAACCAGCACTGCAGCTACAAACAAGTCTATAGCTGCACGTTACTCCACTGTTGCTGTAAACAAAGTCTCCGGGCCAATGAGGTTGTCCCCTGCCCTTTTATTCACTCGCTAGTGTGCCCACGGCAGCCTGTGCCTATTTTGCTTTCCCTCTCTTCCCTCTCCACTGCTTTTCTCTTCTTCTTCTTCTTCTTCTTCTTCACCATCTTCTCTTAGAATGGTCACAACCATCATGAGTTTCTCCATACACATTGAAGCTACACACCTCACACACATCCTTGCGTCTTTCACTCCACCATCTCTCCTCCTTTCTCCTCTCTTCCAACCATCACATCAAACTCCAGTCCTCTTCTCAACCGCGAGATCAACATAGGAAGAATGGTGACAGCCAAGAGTGCCCAATACAGCCCGACATCCCACCTTTCTCGTGGGTTTCTTTGAACTTTCTTCCCTCCTTGACCGCCTACTCATCCTAATTCCAGGCTGACCCAACTCCACCTCCAAGCATCTCACTCTCACTGATGCTGACGCCACTTATCGCAGCGGCAAACATGCCCGGTTTTGGTGCTGGTACTAGACTAGCAAAAAAAAGGATTCCCTCATGTTTTGCCGCTTGCGTGGCCTGTTGGAAGCTTCCCTAAGAAGATGGCATTTTCGTGCTGGTACAAGACTGGCAGAAAACAGCCTCATTCACGCTTCGTCTTCATGACCCGTCTGTATTCGGTAAAACGATCAAAGATGGATGGCTTGGTCTTGGTGCTGGTACGAGACTAGCAAAAGGCCAGTGCCATCCATGCTTTGTTGTCTACATGGTTTGTCGGAGTTGGCCCCCCAGCCGATGCTGAGAATGCAGGGTGGGATGGTCTTTGTGCAGGTACTAGACTTGCAAAAGACAAGCCCATTCATGCTTTGTTGTCTACATTGTTTCTGTTTCTGTTCTTTGGAGCCTTCTATGATGACGGGGATGGATGTGTTATTCCTTGTGCTCGTTGGCCTTCGGGTGCCCCTGGTCTTGGTGCCGGTACAAGACTGGCACAAGACCAGGTGGTGTGTTGGTGAGAGGGTGGGGTAAGTTTGAAATGCTGCTTTCTTGTTCAGCCGTGCTCTTTACTGACTGGGAAACGCAGGTGAGAAGGGCCACATTGACGGCGGGCTGCGTTTTCTCATGGACTGGGTTTTCGTACAGGGCTTTCATACAGGGCTTTCATACAGGGAGAGTATATGAATCGGGGCTTGGTAGAAGTCGTTCACTGTCTCTGGCCTCGCATCTGCAGAAGATCGAATCGCTCTAGGAGGAAGGATAGGCTACGAATGTCTCAAGCATCTGGATCAACATGAAGAGGGAGGAGAGTGGAGGATATACAACGAGAAACAACAGCACACACCAGTTGAAGAAATAATAGTATCTGTTACTCCAGTAGGATGTGCCTTGAATAGTATCCTGAAATGTCTCCCGCTACGGTCCATCCTTACGTACGGCCTTTGTGTCTGGATAGAGAGCAGCCAGATCAACATACCACTGCACCTGAGAGAGCATCATTGGATCTTCCCAGATCTGCTGCAAATTTTGCGCCGGTTGTCATTATCAACGAATTTCTTAAGCATTCTATGAACCAGGGTAAGAAAAAAACAAGCGAATAATTCCACCCCAAACAGCAAACACCTAAACATCCCCTCCATGAACCAACTTCCCCCTAACATACACCTGCGCAATATTCCGATCATCCCCCGTCATGACAAACTTCTCCAGCATCCTCTCCGCCGAATCACTCTCTTCATCCAACGGTACATTGACCCCATCTCTATCATCCCGCATGTCAATCACCAAAGCGTCAAACTCCATCCCAACAGCAAATCCACCAACCCGATCGTCAAAGCCTACCACTTTGGCGCCTCCCTTTGTAGCCATGTAAAACACTTCTTCTAAACTCAATGTTTCTCCTCCATTGCCTTCTTTGCTAACGCTTTCATCCTTCTCAGACTCGAATTTCGGATACAGGGCTTCTCTCGCATATGAAGTAATCAGAGCATGCCTCATCGCATTCAACATGCTCGAACTATATCCACCCCCCGAATCCGTGCCCAAACCGACATTAATACCCCTTCTAAGAAACTCCTTGACAGGAGCAGCCATGAAGCCTCCCCCGACGGTCATGTTCGCAGTAGGACAGTGAGCGACGCCACACCCCAAGTCCTGAAGCTTGTGTATCTCATACGACGTCATGATGGTGCAGTGCGCAAGAATACTTCGCGGCGTAAGAAGTCCAAAGGACGAGTACAAATCAGCCTCGTTAGTGAACTCCGGAAAGAGAGACAAGGTTGCGTTGATTTCCTGCGCGGCTTCGTTGAAATGCGTCTGGATGGCCAGAGAAGGGTCCTCGCGTGCCATTTCGCCCAGAGATTGAAGGAGCGGTGCCGTACACGATATTGCGAAACGAGGTGTCAAGACGGGCTTGACGAGAGAACCCTCCGGATCAATGGTTCGAATGTGCTGAATGCACGATCTCGTCGCGGAGATAGACTCTTCAGCAGAGGCCTCGCAGTAAAACGACGGTGAGTTTCGATCCATGTTGCATTTCCCAATAAGCGCCCTCTGACCTCCCTTCAAGCACGTAGATGCTAACACACGAGTTGCTTCCCCATGCAGAGAGCCATAGTACGACGCCGTCGTGACGCCCTGTCTAAGCATCCCCCGGACGAGCTTCTCGTAAACATTTTCCGCATAGGAAGCATCCGCAAACTTGGCTTCGTTGGGAAAAGTTATGCCATCGAGCCAGTCCAAGATGTGCATTCCCTGGCCCAGGCCTCGCTGCATCCATTGCGGGGCATGGTTGTGCGTGTCGACGAAGCCTGGGATGAGGAATTGGCCTGGGGAGAGTTTGGTGAGAGGAATTTGCTCGATATTTTGTTCCGCGAGGATATTGTGGATGTTGGAGAAGGGGATGTTGGGCTGGAGAGTGAGGATTGTGCCGGAAGAGGAGACGGTGATAAGGGCATCGGGGATGATTTGGAGTAGAGTGGGGGAGAGGGAATGGATGAGCGTTGCGTGAATTGCTTTGGCGGGTTCAGCCATGATGAATTTATGATAATTTCGAGAGGGATTCTAGTAGTATTGGAACGTTGTTGATGGTTAGGTATTTTCGGTGTGAAGATGTAGATAAGGGAGATGACGTTGAGATCAAATGCCAGAAGACGCCGGAGCGGGGCCATGATCCTTTGATCAAGCTGCCATTTCAAGGCGGGGGCTGACTTCAATGTTGTGTACTTGTACAACAGCAATGTCTCACATTGTGTAATTCGAAAGGCTGTCATTCTTATGATGTTGATCTATCATTCGTTTCTCTGAGGATACATGCAATTACAGAACCTTTGGTGTGACGATGCACTGCACTAATTGGTCTCGCCTATCCGGCAGTTGTCAACCATATCCATCCCGCATGAGATGAGCACATGCATACAACAACCCAACCAACCACCAAAAAGAATACATCTCCAACCACAGAAAACATCCCCACGAAAAAGAGAAAAAAGCAATCACAAACAATTGGAGAAAAAATGCAAAAAGAATGTCCTCGGTGAGGCTCGAACTCACGACCTTCAGATGGCCCAAACTGATGTTTGGATCATATTAGATTCAATATGAGACTGACGCGCTAGCCAACTGCGCCACGAAGACTCTTTGATGCCTGCCGATCCATATGATTGGACCATATAGGTTTCAACGATGCGACAGCCTTGCACAACTGCGATACCGAATACTCAAACGCATGTTGATGGGCATTCTCACAAGAAACCTCAACGAACCACGCACATACGCATTGAAACATTTTACAACTACTGGCCATATAATTCTCTCAATTCAGCTCTTGTATAAACCATCAAGACACCCCGCATCAAAGGCATCTCAAAACGAATATATACAAGTCAAAAAGGGCATAAAACAGATAAAAAAAGGGTAAAGGTGAAAAAAGTTGTTTAAAAAAGAAGAAGAAATTTTTCAAAGTATTGTAGAATCGTAAAAGTCAATACTGCTATCGAGACAACCCGTTCTAATAGCGAAAAAAGCCGCAGACACGCAACACCATTGATGCCTTGTATATCAAAAAAAAAGAAATTTGATTCCTCCCCATGAAAAAGAGAGAGGCCAAACAAAATCCTGGGATCCAAAGATACATGAAAAGACGACGATAATTATTTCACTTTCCTATAAACCTCCCATCTACATACACAACCCCACCGTAAATTTCAAAGGCCACCTTTTTACAGGACAATCATGGCACCACCAGCAAGCATGGCGACGCCCATGTACAGAGCCACGGACAGCTCGCCCAGGCTCAACAGGTTGGCGCTGGGGCGGCCGGCAACAGCGGCGTTGGTGCTGGTGGCAGCACCCTTGGCTCCAGAGGTGGAACCGCCGCCGACAGGGCTGGTAGCGGTGGCAGCAGCCTTGTTGATGGCGCTGGCAGAGGCCAGAGCAGCAGAGCAAGAGGAGGCGGCGCCCTTGGCGCTGATAACCTGGGCCTGGCCGTTGAAGTCACAGGCGGAGGAGGCCTTCTGCTGGGAGTTGTAGTAGGCGTCGAGGACATAGTCAAGCTTGGCACCGTCGTCGCACATGCTGTAAGCACCGTAGACACCAGTGGAAGCATCACCGTTGATACCAGCGCAGACGGCGGGGTTCTTGCCGCAGATGAAGCCGAAGATGTCACCGTAGTCTTTGGTGTCGAGAGAGTCGGAGCGGACGCAAGACAGGGTGTTCTGCATGCAAGTGCAAAGGCTAGAATCAGGAGTAGGAGGGAGGTCGTTGATGGCCTGCCAGTCAGAGGTCAGGGCAGGGCAGCTGGCGGGCTTGTTGGCGGGCTTGTAGTCGCTGGAGTCAACACCCTTGGGATCAGCCTTGGTAACCTGAGCCTGGAGAGCGCTGAAGTCCTTGAGCTTGGTGACGGCGCCGTTGGAGACGGAAACGAGACCTAGGATATACTGTTAACAATTTTGCGGTATTTAGGCATTTCCAATAGTAAACTCACCATAGTCGTTGGCCTCCTCGAAGAACATGTAGACGATACCACCGCTGAAAACAGCAGACATCTCGTCAGAGTACAGGGCAGCAGTCTCCTGGAAGATACGGGCAGCGGCACCGTTGGGCAGGTTGCAGCCGTACTCGGCGAAGAAGACGGGGACGGAGTAGTTGGAGAAGAAGGTGGTCTGCTCATCGTAACCGGACTTTTGCATGGTGCTCTGGCCGCACCAAGAGTAGATGTTGTAGCCCCAGAAGTCAATGGCCTCGGACTGGTCACCGCAGTTGAAGTAGTCGGCAATCTCGGCACGGATATCGACGTCGTCGTTGGCGGCGTAGCCAACACCCTGCCAGCGGTAGTTCTTGGACTTGATGTAGGCCTTGGTGTCACGGACGGCGGCCTTGACGTAGGCAGAGGCGCCAGTGTTGTTCTTGGCGTTGCTGACCTCGTTACCGGCAAAGTAGCCAATCACGTTGGAGTACTGCTGCATCTCGTCGACAACGGCCTTGTAGCGGGCGAACAGGTCGGTGTTCCAGCTGGGGGTGTCACGGTTAATGGACAGAGAGGGCTCTCCCAGGTCAGAGAAGACGTAGATGCCGGCATCGTTGAGGAGCTTCATGCAGGCGGAGTGATCGGCCGTGGGGTCAATGGCGTAGGTTCGGATCACGTTGGTGCCCAGCTGCTGCAGCAGAGGGATGTCACGCTTGCAGTTGGACTCGCTGGAGAGAGGGTCGATGAAGGTCGAGTTGCCAGAGGTGGTGGTTCCGGCCTGGCCGACATCCTGCTGGTACGCAACACCCTTGATGAAGAACTGGGTGCCGTTGGGGTAGAAGAACTTGGAGCCCTATGATTGACAGCCGACGATTAGCGGTTGATCGAGACATGAAGATCTGGAGAACAAAAGTGGCTCGCTCACCTTGGCGGTAATGGAGGGCAGGTTAGCACCGAGGGCGCCGCCAGCCAGGGCGAGCAGAGAGACGGAGAGCTTGGACAAGCTCATTTTGACGATTCTTGGTGGTTGCGAATTGCGATTCGTAATTCTTGAGTTGGTTAAGCGATTGGAAGTGCTGAAGAGCAACAAGGGAATGGATAGAATGTAAAAGCTGTGGGTTCTAAAGAGTGTCTGAAAAGGCCAACTGTTCGAGGCGGCCACCCTCAAAAATGATGAATTAGCTACAAAATCAAAGGAAAGATGCGAAAAGAGATCTGGTCCGTCCAAACGGCGCCATGGAGCAGGCAGCGAGTGTTTTGTTCGCGCGCCAGGAGGAGAGGGTCCAGCACGGGGAAATTGACTTGAGCGGTTACCAGCAGGGGACCCCTGGCTAGGCCCCGGGCTAGGACCTGGCTAAGGCGCTTGCCCTGAAGCCATTTGACGCAGCGGATGGCACACTTGGCACTATGGGAGGCGCAGCGAGAAGCTTGTTTTGGGCAGATCAGGGCCAATAGCGGCTCCGTTCAGGGGCCTGTGACAGGGGTGCGGATCCCCTGGCGTCGAGGATTCGGTGGGCTCAGAGGATGCGGACAGTGGGAGCGAGGCGGTTCGGGGCGCTATCAGCACTGTAGCGCGGACGGTGTCGTTTTAGCAGCCGAGCGCCCTCATCTTGGGGATTTCATGCTAAGCAGCAACTCGACACGAGGCTTCTCGAAGGCCGCTTCCTGCACCGTGTGGAACCGTCAGGCGTGCCCGTGTCGTTCGAAAACATCCGTCCATTGAAAATATCCATCTCCATCCATACGGAAGAAAGGGGCCAGAGTGCTGCTGCAGAGATGCCCCACAGGCGAATTTCCCCTGACTACAGCACGACAATGCAATGCGAGGCACGTTACAGGTCCCGTCTGGGCGAAATGAAGCAATAAAGTGACATTTGACTGCTCGGCACAGCGATCTTCATTGTCGGTCCTTGCATATGCTGTCTCCCAAATTAGCATGCATGGAAATGAACGTTCTTGGTTTTGCTTGGCCACACATGGTGTTTTTGATTGTTGAGGCAGTTTTTTTTTTTTTCTCTTCTATTTACGAGTACTTGTACAACGAGAATTCGTCTTGCCGCTTCTTTTACGAGATACGACTTGGCATTTGTCCAGTACCTAATGTACAGCCTCTCTCCCTTTTCTCGGGTGACGCGTCAAGGCCCTCCCATCGCCTCTGAGCCTCTTCACATGCGACAGAAGCAGTCCAGCCCGTGCTCGCCTTGTCTTGGCCAGCCTTGTTGGCACATGTTGCTTCATTGTTCCATCCCATCCCATCTCCATCTCCATGCCGTACGAGCACAGAAAATTCCACCCGCAGCCGAGCCTCTCCTCTCCAGCCTGTTTCGCCTCGAAGAGCGCTAGCCAGGAACGTGAACCAAAAAAGGCCGGCCCACCCTCGTCTGACGCTCGCATTATTCCCTCTCGCCGTCCTCTCAATCCAGCTCTTTCTTTCTTTTCCATTTTCGGGTCCTCGGTGCCGTAGTGGCTGAGGACCTGCGCTACCCTTCAACTGCCTCTTCCGACTCGTGATTCGTGATTCGTGAACGCCTCCTCCCTTTCTCGGAGCCACGGCACATTCAGCAGAGCTCGGATACGGGCCGTTTGGGAGCCGAGTATCCGGCCCTGCGAGTTGCCCCGGGCTTATGTTGCTTCAAGGTTGTTCTTTTTTTCTTTTCGATTTTTTTTTCTCGCCTAGGTGATGCGATGCTCAAGTCATTACTCAGTAAAATGAGACTCTCTGCTTCGTATTCACAACGTGGCAAATGTATGTCGGAAATCTATCGTCTGCGCACTTTGTAGTAGAAATCGCCAACGCTGTAGAGCACCTCGTCCCAGAACTTCATGACGCTCCAGTCGTCTCGTTTCGGGCGATGTCGATCGCGGCTTGTTATTTTCCTATGGTGATAATGGCCATTGTGATAAACAAGCTCGTCAGCCATCTTTACTATACTGATCTGCACGGAAGTGCGTTGCCACGGATAGCTTGTGCCGAAGACTGAAACAGTCACACAGTCTGTGCTTTTGAATTTGAATGATGATATAGTATGGAGTCTTTTGCTGTGTCAAGCGGACGTTGATTGAGGTTCACCCAAAAGGCGTATGTGCCTGCGTGCAAATGTTTCATTTGGTGCAGTTGCTGATGTCAAGAGAAGAGGACCGCGGAGATGACTTCCAACAAATGATGGGCACATCGCTTCATTTATTCCCGTTGATTATTCCTTCGAGATCCCAATAGTCACAAGATCAACACAGCACATTGCTGCCTTCAACATAATTCTGCCCTGTGCTGGCTTGGCCTGAAGTCATCGGAAGTCATCTGGGTTGCCACCAATCCATCGTGACTTTTGGTCGGGGCCGGCTGACCGGATTGGGGGCCCGCAACGCCGATCCGATCATACGCGCAGGTCCGGAGGCGAATCACCGCACATGCCATTTGATGATTGGAGAGTTTTTGTCTGGTTGCACGCAGATGCAGCACAAGCGCTTAGGTAGGAAGCAGGTAGATGGGAGAGGCGTTATGGTTAAAACTTGTTGCCGTTGACATGTACATTGTACCTTTGTGAGGCTTCTAGCTCCGTTCTATTCAGGTGTTTACCCTACAGGCCAAATGAGAGCATCAAATTGGGGCAGCAAACACTACAGTTAGTCATCATCTCATTAGTTGAAAGACAGATATAGAACAACATGTATTTTGAGGTGTTTGCGAATAGCGATATGTTCTTGTAGCAATGTTTGACGAAAAGAGCTTTAAACAGGTTGTTTACGCTGTCACGATAATAATGCCTAGCTGTTATTATTTGATAGGAACTGATCTTCTATCTAGCACTCTGTATCCAAAACAACAACCCACTAAACTTTCGTGATGATGGTAAATTCCAAAGAAAACCAATACCAATAATAACAGATACCGGGAAAAGATAGTGTCACAGACAGCAAGACAAATGGGTTGGCCGGGCTGATGCTGAATGCCAGTAGACTCACCAAACGCAAGGCTACGATCGCCGACCAACTCCATCGAGAACAATCACTGCAGCTGCTGAATGTCATTTAGCCCATAAATACCTGTCTTTGGTCATCTGCATGTAAATTCACTGGAAATCGATTGAATCAAAAAATGGACATGTCATCTGTCTCTCAACTGCTGCTCGTTTCCTACTAAATTGAGGTGCAGAGGTAAAGCCACTCCGGCCAGCCACCAGAGGATTCTAATGCAACCAAAACCTTACACTTCAACCTCCAGGCCGCTCCCCACTTGCGACCACCCAACAACACTTACAATGGCGAATGCAATACGTTAGAAGTATTCATTAATTGCTGCAATTTTTCTCTCTCTCAAAGCATCATATTCCGCCTTCTCCCCCCCAGCTGGCCGAGCGCAAAAGGCGCATGACAGGGGCAGCTGGATGCGATCCTGCCCGCCCCGCATCGAGTGCGCACGCGATTCACAACTTCCACCATGAATTCGACTGGCCTGGGAGCGTCCATGTGGGCGTCGGCGAGAAGGCGCCCCTACGAACGATTTGACACCCGATCGAAATCCGTACCGCCCGCCAGCCTCTCAGCACCGACAGAGCCAAGCTCGGAGCCGATAGCTGTCCTGCCCTCAGCCTCGTCCGGCGCAGCATCTTCGCTGTCGCCCATACAGGCCTTTCACAGATTCGAACAGGCATGCCAACGCCTGCGGTGGAAATACATCGATCTCGAGTCCTCATACCAGCGTGCGCTGTCGCCGCAAGACTACGGCTTCTCGACTCAAGACGCAGAGGTCAACTTCAAAGTTGACTTCCACGAGTTCTACGTCCGCATCGAACAGGCGCTGGTGTTTGTCCTCCTCGTTTTCGGCATCACCGTTCCCCGCGGTACCGGCGGACCGAGAAGCCAGGCGGCGCATACATATCATCATAACGTGCTCAAGACGCTGGAAGAGGAGGGCAATCCGCTGCACGAGGCTCTGGGACGAGGGGATGTCAATCATGCGCTGTGGAAGGCAAAAGAGCTACGGAATCGGTGGAAGGATGCGGCTGAAGGGAGGGAGACGCCGCCGCTCAAGATGTACGATTTGACGTGGATCGTCAGACAAGTGCTTAGTGGCCTGGAGGTGTCATATGGTATTGCGGCGGGGAGGATTGAACAGCTCAGGATAGAGGGGGATGGGCTTGCTGAGAATGGAGGCGCAAGTGGTGGCATTGATAATGATGGCGATAGCTGGGAGTGGATGGTAGAGATGGATTGGGAGGCATAAAAGCACGTCCTTTGAGCATCTCCATCTGCTGGACGGCTGGAGTTTTTTTTTGTATCATACAATACCCGTATAAGCACATGGGTCGGCGATTTGAGATGGGAGCAAAATATTGTCGCTGCTATAGGCAGTATTCGTATATAGACGAGTCGAATATTGATGAAATATATGTAATGATGTGATTGCCTAGTCTTCTTCTTTCTTCACCACTTCCTTTCCCTTTCGAAAAGCTCTCCGCAGAGGGCACTTCCCACTCTTTGTACTTCCGGCCCTACACTCATTGCATGTTTTACCGTGTGTTACCAATAGGATATGTAATCCGTATTTGTCCTCGTCTGGCACCCTTGCTTCTAAATGTGCCTGTGCCTCCTCTCTGCTTGCCGTCTCAGGCCGCCATCCCAGGAGTCCTGTTATCCGATATACATGAGTATCAACCGGGAAGCTATCCCGTTGCAAACAGAACAAGAGAACGCAACTCGCAGTCTTGGGGCCCACGCCTTGAAAAGAGAGGAGCTCGCGCATGGCGGAATCATTAGAAGCGTGAAGGAGGTGATCGAGGGAGTAGCTCCCGTACTTGGCTTTTGTCTGGCGGAGGATGTTAATTATTACTTTGCTTTTAACCACGCTGAGGCCCCCAGATCGGATCGTTCGCTGAAGCTTCTCTGTTCCCCCGTCGACAATGGCCTCCCAGTTATCGCTCCGCCCGTATGTCTCATCCATGGCGAGCTTTGCTCGAGATGAATTGCGATCACTCGTATTCTGGCTCAAAATGGTCCTCACAAGAGCGTCAGTAACAAACATCGCATCGCCACAGCCAGCGCGGGTGCTTGGAGCGACGATGGCTTCGGCTTGACGTTTTCGCTCGCCGTGGAGGGACGCCAGGATACTATGAGCGAGGGCACATTCTTGGGGCGTCGGATGGAGAAAAGTCGGGAATGGAGATGCTTGAGAATGAGCTGTGAATGATTTGAGCTTGCGAGCTTGGAGAATGGCCGCTTTGTTTGGAGATTTTGATAAAGGAACGTTGAATTTGGATTCTGCTTTGATCGCGGGGAGTGAGCCTTTGGTGTTGACGTCTCTCTTGATGTGGCGGAGACTGCGCCTGAGAGGCGGCGATTCTACGACGTCTTGCGTCATGATTGAGATAATTTCTCTAGGGAAATACAAGATAGCGATATATGAACTTGTTTTCTACAAATTAAAGGCTTAAAGTGAAGATTTACTTGTTGTAAGATCGAGGCGTCGAGTGATGAGGTCAACGAACTATGATGACTAAGCCCCGAATCGCTGCAGGCAACCACCTCCAGGGCTGTGTAAGTGGGAGCAAGACCCCTCTCTGTGTACATTATGTTTCTCACGATCGACATATGTACACGTATTAACTGATACCTCTCTGCTGAGTTTGATAGGCTCGTGTATTCTATTCCTATCGCTTCTAACATGGCGAATATCGATGCCTTGCCAACCGTATCCGCGAGCAAACAGCCCGACTCAACGATAGAGATGCAGCAACTTAGTGATGCTTTCCGCTCAGTCCTAAACATTGCGGAAGAAGCGCAATCCGGATCGTCGTCTTCTAATCTTACCGATTTGACAGACCATTCGGATGAAAATGTTGCAAGAAATAAAGCACAATGGAAGGATTGTACGTAGCCTTCCTGGACATCCCGCAGATACACCCTTATTAATGGTGATTACATGTAGTCTTTACCTTTATGGGCGAAAAGGCCAAGAACTCGGAATATCCAAAGTATTTATTTCGAGCTCATAATCACGGTCACCCGTTTCCCCGATTTCTAGACGATGGCACGGGACAATACAGCGATAGCTTCGGCTCTGACCTTCATCTTTGGGTTGAATATGACGCACAATCTCCAATATGTGTCCCCATAGGCGATCTGACGGAGTTCTATACCGTTGAAGATTTCTTCTCGGAGCTGAGATTTCATCTGGAAAAGACCCAGATTAATGGCCAGGAAGAACGTGCTGGAGAGAAACCAACCCTGTCTTCCATCGTCTCTCTTAGTGGTGACTTTCAGTGGACAGCACAGAGAATCTGTTCGGTTGGTAGGAGGGCGACCAAAGACCAAAGACCTGGCTTGGCTGTCTTTGAAACATCATTGATTGACCCTAGTATGGTGCGTGTCTGGAGGGTAATGGATATGCTGTTATTCCTTGACACCACCATGCTTCTGAAGAGATCTGTTAATATTCCTTTAAATCTCCGTCGCTGGGCCGGCAATGCCGATGAATATGTTTGTTGGAGCTTTGTTCCCCGCGAGGCATTGATTACGTTTATTCCTTTGCCTAAATTAACAGAAGCGCCCAATTATGGTGGGAAGGCTTTTTTGAGGAAAGAGTTTGTGCAATCCAACTACTTGGCAGATTTCAGGCGACAAACTCCGGTACAGCTCTCCAAAGAGGAGTATGCAGATAGGGTATCAAATTTTGTAAGCAACATCATCTCTGATGCTTTCTCTTGGGAGGAAGCGGAACCGTTGGGTATGCACATGGCAGAGCTGCTGTCAAGGCCCAGCTTATGGGGCTACGATGTTACCCCGATGATTGTAGACTTGAAAAAAGCAATCTCGTCGGCCATGGAAGCACACCGGGAACGGATTTCTTTGTTGGATAACTAAGGGATCCTTGATCATAATGTAAAGAGACTGTTTAATCACAGACCTTGTTTGTTGCGTCTAAAATGTACCTTCAACAGGCCGAAAGGCAGTGGCCATCTCACCAATCAACATCTGAGAAGACTATCAAATACATTTTGGCTGCCGTTTCGGCCCTCATGTCCGGCCCTCGTCCATGGTAGAAAGTAATGCCCAGTGGTCCGAACTGCTCAGACTCGCTTTCACCCATGGTCCTCCCCACTCCCCCTGAATATCGTTCTGGCGTGCGCTAGCCACCATCAGGATGATGGCTCCAACCTTTGATTCTGTTGTCGTCGAACAATAGTAGTGGAGATATCCTAGAAGTATCTTCCCATATAGTTCTTTCTCATCATTAGATTACGAGTCGGAAGCTACTATAGTGGGGGGAATAAGCAACAGGGACTATAGAGGCGTCGTAACCCGATCTCCTAGCCTGGGAGAATTTCTGTTGATTGAGTCCATTCTAACCCATAAGAACGAGTGGGTAGATAATAGCTGCTTGATATTTTTACCATGATTGAGTTGGGCTGGAGCGGGATCATATTGGTACGCTGACAGACGCGCCCCCCTTCTAAGTACGATGTGTGTAAAGCTGATATGAAATTGTCTTCTGTCGTTAACCCGGAGAGCATGTTTTCTCCCGGAGCACAATTAGTAACAAAGAGTCGTCAGAGTCGGTCAGGGTTGAGAATGCCTGATGATAGGGTTTCAATCACTGTGCCTACTATATATTTGCTAGCGGCGATGATACATGTATTTACTGCCCGGGCGTCTCCTGGGTAGTAAATCTTCCCAAGGGCAGGACCTCCGATAGTGGTCCTCTTCCCCACAGTTCAAGCATCGGTTTTCATCCCACCTGATCTCTCGGCCGTCTTCAACGGTGTCTTCATGTGCATAGCAATCCCGCAGTACATGAGTATCCCAATCACAGCGGTAGCAGCGTAGACCGCGAGAGCTGCTGTCTCTCGGTATATGTCTGCCATTTTGCTGCTCAGCGACTCGCTCTGCTGAATGTCCTGTGCTGTTCTGTGGGCCGTCTAATATGAGCGGGATGTGATGCTCTAATAGCCCTTTTGTTACTGCGGCAGCCGTTGCAGCCGCGAATCTCTGCCAGGAATCGTTCTTATGGCCGTCGGCGTAATCGGAAACGCCTTTCACAATAACAACGCCAGGAATCTCTTCCCACAGTCCAGCGCCTTCCATTTCAAAGGCCGTGATCTTATGCTCTCTCGCAAGTGTGTCGCGGTATTTGCCAGATTTCACTACTGTATCGCCCGACCCAAAGCGACCGAAATGTATGGCAGGCGCTTGAGCTTTGTTGAATTCCAGCTTTCCCTTTGACTCTAGGCGCTGCCGCCGTATAGTATGCGTGTTGCTACATCCAAGTTTTTCGCAGCTCAAATCTTTAGATTCGCAACAAATAGAATCCGAGCTCTGACAACACTCTGTGCAAGCAGGTAGAGTCGAAAGTCGGTGCTTGTGGAGATAGCTTGGCTCGAAGAGTTGATCACTTGCGGTGCCAGGATAAATGTACTTTCTCCGATGCCGAGATGACTCTTTCGCCTGAAGCTGCTCAAGAAAGCAAGCTGCTTGACTTTCAAGGTGTTCATGCCATTTATCCACCTCTAGGTGGGTAACCAAATCGCAAATTCTTTTCCTCGCCCTGCCAAGAGAGTCTTCGATACCCTTCTTCATTTGGAATGTGCCATCGTATCGCTTACCGAGATCATACTGAATGACGCTTTTGCTGATGACGACGTCGCCTAGCAATAGCTCTTGATCCTCCTCAGTGCTTGGTACGCCACCGCAGATTCCGGTCAGTAGGAGGACCTTCAGGTTTGGGTAGCTCGACCGGAGACTCGCAGCAGCAGCAGCAGCTCTAGCTTTGCCAACATTTGTAGGGCCGACAAGCACGATGTTCACATTGCCCATCCGTGCAGACTTGTATATGTTTTCATCTCCTGGAGCCCTACCGTATCGGCCATCCTCGTACCAGTCGTCTACCAAAAGAGTGACGGCGTCGTACTCCAAGGGCAGTGCGCAAATCACTGCCACTTCGAACTCGTCTCTGCTGGCGGGAGGGCTGGCCATGGTGCAGCTTCGTCAGGGCGGCAGAGACGGTCGTCCCAGATGGCCTCGGAGGATCTGGAATTCGTTGACGCGCCGGAGGGATGGCAGTGCGGAGGTGTCGCGATAACGCGCCATGCCCGCCGCGTGGTAGATGCTGCAAACGACGGAAGAAAGGCTGAGCCTCGAACTGACGACTCCAGATTGGTCGGCGGGGTGTGACAACAGCCAACGGGGCGGGCCGCGCCCATCCCTGCAAGGCGTCTGGTCTAGGTGCATATTGGTATTACTGGATATGTACCTGTATGTACGGAGTAGTCGATGCGATGCCCTATGGCCACGGATTATCATGGTGGCGACATGGATGTTCGACTGCCCAATAAAATAGCTGCAACTTCCGCTCTGGGTTATGTCCCCAAGCTTATGGCAGCTCCTCCAAGGAATATCGGAGACATTCCTCCCGATATTGGCAATCCGTTCTTCTCAACCCTGGATGCACTCGTGAAGCCTCATGAGGTACTACATGTATCCATAGCCGCCAACATCCTTCAGATTCAAGGACCGGCATCTGACCTCTAAAAAAAAAAAAAAAGTAATCGCCCTGACAGAACATAGCTAGAGAGGCGATAGTCGAACTGCCAGTTACTGAATAGACGCTCAACGCTGGTATGAGGCAGTCCAAGAGCCAACTTACTCCGCTACATCGTTTGAACTTCAGCTTGGCGTTGTTCGTCGCTGATTCTTTTGGAGAGACCTAACTTGCAGCACAAGCCAAGTCAATCGCCTGGTAGAGGGGTTTGTCACGGAATGGTTCAAGACTAAATGTGCCTCCAATAGGCCGAAAGGCATTGGCCATCTCACCAATCAACATCTAAGAAGACAATCGCTGCCATTTCGGTCCTCATGTCTGGCCTTCGTCCATGACAGAAAGTAATGCCCAGTGGCCCGAACTGCCGAGACTCACTATTCATCTATTGTCCCCCCAGTCACCCTGACTATCATTTTGGCGCGCGCTAGCCGCCCCCAGGGCTCCAATTTTTGATTCTGTTGTCATCGAACGATAGTAGTGGTGATAGCGCAAATACGCGATTATTGAAAATACTAAAGTCGAGTCCAAGGTCGACCATTTTCACCTTGATATCTCGCCGCTTGCCGTTGACTAGATCGCAGATGACCGCCTTGGTTGCGTTCTCAATGGTAAGATCGCTTGCCGTTGACTAGATCGCAGATGACCGCCTTGGTTGCGTTCTCGATGGTAAGGTCGGGCTTGGTGAGCACACCTAAAGTGCGTTTTCCCTAGGGATTTTCCCTGGGGATCAGCCTCGGCGGCAAGTCGGAGGATCCTTTGGTTGGCAATGTCGCCGTTGCAAGGAATATTTGCATCCTATGCCCAAGAAATCTTCGTTGATCAGGTTGTCTATTTTAATAAAGTGTTGGGAAATTGGTAATCGGTTTGCCACAGCACCGAGGTGAAACTAACATCCAGCGCATAGAGCTGGCTACCCAGCATCCCGTGTCTAAATTCACAGCTATAGAGGCGATGATGGCAGACAGGTACTAGAGAAATATATCGACAGTAGCGGAAAGTAGCGGAAAGTAGCGATAGTAGCGATAGTAGCGGAAAGTAGCGATAGCAGACACCAGAGAACCATGCATTTGCCCAAATAAGGTAGATGAAACTCTCCCCTCCGCGTTTTGTTATGATATATAAAACACATGTGGTCGCTGGGATGCTGGATAGCCAACTTGAGGTGCTGAATCGTTCTGCTCTTTAAATAGCTCTTCTAAACATCTATGACAATATCTGTCACAACATGGACATTGCACAGTCTTGACGACTGGAGAGTTAATCAAACAGGCAACACAGCTTCGTTGGCTATTGGTTTCACTTGGTTCGTCGGCGAGTTTAGCCTCTTCGGCTTGCTGGTTTCACTGCTTTTCGTTTCTAGATTGTATTCATTGATTTGGCTGACTTCATTGTCCTGGTTCATATCCTTCTCTTTGCTGGTGTAAGCGGCTGGTGTGAGCGGCTTCTTCCACATGATTGGTTTCGATAGCTACTGTTAATTCGTTGATCTGCTTTGCTTGTTTGGATGTTTTCTTGTTTGGATAAAGATTCGACGGCGGCTCGAGGCTTGTAATCGCTATGTCAGGACGACACAAGTTGCTCGCACACGTCGCGATCTGAGTATAGCATCGCTAAGTTGCGTGGCTTGCGCTAGTAGATGATTGCTGCGGCTTTACGGTCGGGAGGCGTATTGCCCAACCGATCCTTTCCTTTGATGAGCAACTCAACATCTTCGATCTGCAAATCGATGATCAGCTGGTGCGTTTGTTGGTCGGTCTTGTCATCCATCTTTGCAGATTTGGATAGGTTGTGGGAGAGAGGAGAACGGAGAGAAGAACGGAGAGGTGAAAGGCTTAGGTAAAGGTAAGTATTGTTGCTCTGTTGTAGGTGGTCCGTGCATAAACAATTGATCATAAATTAATTCATCTCCAAGTTTCCCATCGGATTACAGCTGGGAGCGGTGCGAGATACTGGTATATGGCATGAGTAGGATAAAGGCATATTGCACTGGGCAGATATGGACAATGTTCTTGAGATTTCCGGCTGTTCGTTAGCGTGTGTTGTCTGGTCAATGTTCCGGTTCTCAGTCTGATGCTGCTGTAGCTGTACGAGAATCTCATCAGTTGAAATGAAACTGGGGCACAATTCGCTCTTGAGTAATGAAGCTCGCTCCAAACAGTGAATGCTGTAGGTTCGCTAGGACGAAAAAAAAAAGATTCAGGTATATGTCAGGCGGCCGAGTTGATGCCAGGTCGTCGTCGCTATGCTAGGACGATACAAGCTGCTCGCACACATCGCGATCTGAGTAGACCACTACCAGGTTGCGTAGCTCGTGCTGGTAGAGCATTTCTGGGACTTCGCGGTCGGGAGGCTCGTCACATTGGAAGTGCTCTCCTTTTACAGGATCTTCAGCGTCTTATATCTGTAGGCTGATGATCAACTGCCGGGTTTGTTAGCCAATGTCGTCATCCATCTTTGCGGATCAATGGATATACGCAGTAGGAGAAGAGGAGACTGGAGAGGAGGGAGGTGCCGATGGAGGGATTCCTACTCACCCATTGGGAGTAAGGGGATGGTTGCGTGTGATGTATTTATATCTTTCATAGTGCATGGCATGATGTGTTAAGTAGATACGAAAGCAGTGCAGCCTTAGGATTCCAGGCGGTTCGTTGGTCGTATTATTATTGTGTGTGATGTCTCTGTCAAAGTCGGACAACGCCATATGCTGTAGTCAAAGAGTACAAGCACTTCTCAGCAGGTGTTGAATTTGATGGACAATTTGCAATGAGTAATGAGGCTCGCTCAAAAAATGAGTGTTGCAGGTTCGCTAGGGCGAAGTCTTTTGAGAGAAGAAAAAGGTCAATAAATATGTTGGCCGGCTGAATTGCTGTTACTCACTGATTGTGCCCCATGAACAAGTGGTAGCCAGGAATCCTTGCCATCTGGCACACCAATTGGCAAGTTTGATGCATCTTTGTGCGCCGGGTGTCCGGCCTGTTCCCTGTCGCAACTCGATTCCACCGTGCGCGTGATTTTGTAGTTCAACCGTGATGACAGCATTCTCATAATGATCGTGCAAGAAGGCATTGCTGCTAAAACAGTATTTGGGAAGATTCTGAGCTGCGAAAAAGAGACGGGCCAGTTAATGAGTGTTGGGACTTTGCGACGGGGAACAACACTACGGCACCTAGGTACCTAATACTTCTCCCTGCACCAACAACATTAGCTGTCTACCTAGTATAGTACCTATGGGCGGTGTTAAATCTTCTGGCGCTCCGGCTACACTGTTTGCGTGACTTGTGTGTCACTCTGGAAGAAAAAGGCTATTGGTACAGGTTCTGGCCATGTACCACAGCTTGGTGCATGTATGTAGCTGGGGAGAAGAGGTGGGGGGAGGGGGATTCGAGGCGATCGAGATGATGAAAATGCAGTAAACTATTACCGTGCAGTTGATGATCAGCTATCATGCTTCCTGGTTGATGTCATCATCCCATCTTTGCGCGTTTCCATAGACTGCAAGAGAGAGAAGAAATGTGTGGGTGATAGTGGGAATTGGTCTGGGCAACAAGGTCAAAATATGAGACAGACTTGGTTCTTTATCGTTGAAGCTAGGCTCAAGTGAACAACATGGAAAGCACTCAGGGAATTAGCTTGCAGTGAATCAGCCCGCCTTCGCGGGCTGATTCACACTGGCCAAGGCGGATGCCAGTAGTGAACGGATTCACGTGATCTACGACGGGTACCAACACCAAGGACTCAGGGAAGTTAAGGCAGAGATGATGGTACATTTTCTTGCTTCGTCTTTTAGGGCCCATTGACAGGCATTGCAGCACGTAGTATCATATCTCTTTGCTTGCCATCTGATTGACACATGCCCAATGATACGGATTTGCTACCATGGCTTGGAATTGTGTTGGCGTCTGGGGAACAAAGGATCCTATTTTGCATAGGGAATCACGCGTTTCCTCACCAATTCGCATGTTCTCCCCACGGTCGAGGTACTTTTGGCGCATATATTTAGTACTAACGCCTGGCAACTCTATTTAGCCTTTTAGGAGTCGCGAGAAAGACCGAATTGCTGGCCTCAGCCCCAAATATGCGGAGAACATGAGCAAGGATCCCGTCTCCATGGGAAATCGTGCAGATTTAGGCGTTCGACATGTGCTGAAGGGCCGGATTGATGGTCTCATATCCGAGACTGGCCCATCAGCCTCATGCAAAGAACGATGAGGCCAACAAGATACTTTGTGTGGAAGGGCTCTTCCAAATATCGGTCAAGCCAGAGAACTCCATGGAACGCGCAGCTTTTGATCACGCGCAACTTGCTCGCAGATCCTTCCGTTGTACTGCCGATTTATCGACTAATGCGTCACCATCGGACCGAAAACATTACCAACTCCCAGCCGTGACGACTTGACAAGTCTCCATCTCCGGTTCCGTGCAGACGGAGTTCTTCCTGAAACTTAAAAGAACGGAACACAAAATACTACAACACAATGTACTTGGCTTTCGATATATATAAGTGGCTGAAACCCCGAAACAGTGATCGTGGGTAGTGCCTTGATCTTACACCAAAGCGACATGTCTTCTCCAAAGACTCGCTTTGGCGCTTTTGCGCTGGCCATTGCTGCTCTGCCACTCCAGTCACTGGCTTCGCAAGCCGACACTTACGACTACATAATTGTCGGTGCAGGTACAAGTGGGCTTCTCTTGGCCAATCGTCTGACCGAAGACGGCAGCCTCAATGTTGCAATCATCGATCCTGGTGCCGATGAGCGGAATAACCCAAATGTTGCCAATCCCCTCACATGGCTGGGATTGAGCGGGACTTCTGTTGACTGGACTTACTCGAGTGCGCCTCAGAAATACGTCGGTGGAAGGGTTCTCACGTATGATGCAGGCAAGGGAATAGGTGGTACTAGCCTGATTAATGGTATAAATGCAAAACGCCCTGATATATGAATCGGTATGAGATCAATACTGAATCAGTTAGGGATGACGTATATTCGAGGAGACCGCGCCGAGTTCGATGCCTGGGAGGAGCTCAATCCAGCCTCTGGCTGGAACTGGGATACCATGCTACAGTACTACAAAAAGGTTGAGCGATTCTTCCCTCCCTTGGAATGGCAGGAAGATGTCGGCGCACTATATGAAGACGAATATCATGGTTTCTCAGGAGAGCTTAATGTCGGCTTCAACCCGGTCCTGCTCAACGGATCGTTCTACGATGACGCAAAAGAAACTTGGGGAAATCTCGGCCAACCCCTCATCAAAGATGTCAATAGCGGATACCAGGCTGGATTCGACGTTTGGCCGCAGACGCTGGACCCAGTCACGAATACACGATGCGACTCTGCCACTGCGTTTTATTGGCCTGTACAGGATAGACCAAACCTAACGCTACTCAATGGCACAGTTTCCAGGATCCTATGGAAGCCTAACAAGGTCAAGACACTTGACGCATCTGGAGTCGAGTATATTACCCCGGATGGACAGCATAAGACTGTGAGCGCAGTGAAAGAGGTGATTTTGTCTGCAGGGGCACTGCGTACGCCTCTCATCCTTGAGCTGTCCGGCGTCGGTAACCCAAGTCGTTTAAATAATTTGGGCATCAAAGCGGTTGTCGACTTACCGGGCGTGGGAGAAAACATGATTGATCAGCCTAACAACGCCCTATCCTACTCGGCCAACTCCTCGTTTCCAGGCTACGCACCATATGCCACGTTTGTTAATGCTACATCTCTTTTCGGTGATAGTTTTACACTTATATCTGCAGCGACAAAGCAGCTCCTACCGAGCTGGGCACAACAGATTGCTAATGAAACAGGCGGAGCCTTAAAAGCCAAAGCAATCGAGAAGCTGCTTCAGGTTCAATACGATTTGATCTTTAAAAAGGGTGTGACCATTGCAGAGATACTATCTACCGCAAGTGGCACTGCGACTTTCTCAGCATACTGGACTACTTTACCCTTCAGCCGTGGGAGCGTACACCTCAGCTCGGCCGACGACATTAACACACCGGTGATCGACCCGAGATTCATGTCCATAGGCTATGACATGATTGTTCAAATCGCCATCGGACGCCTGTCGGCAAAGTTCTGGAACAGCCCGCCCCTGTCTGCCACGGTTCAATCTGAAGCACAGCAAGGAACTCCCTCGCCTGACGACACATGGGATCAATGGGAGAACTTTACGGTAAGCCACATGGTGTCAAACTCGCACCCACTTGGGACCACAGCGATGCTGCCGCGGAAACTTGGCGGAGTTGTAGATCCCCAACTCCGCGTATATGGCACAACAAATGTCCGAGTGGTGGATGCTTCTGTGATACCGATGCAGATCAGCGGACATCTTACGGCCACGCTGTATGCAATTGCGGAGAGGGCGTCGGATTTTATCCTCAATACTGTGTGATACGAGATGTTGTGGTGTTATGTGGCGATGCAATGGTCTTTGGACTTTGTGTCGTCACTCGGGTCTTGATATGTTACATTGGGAGTCACTTAGAGGGTAAGATATCTGGATGCTAATTGTTGCTATTGTTACACAACGTATTGGATAAAAATACCAGTCACTAATAGTAATGCATTATTTATTAATTCCCCCTACTTCCTGTCCCTTGCCACCTCTGCATAGCCCTGCATGAGAGGTTTACGACGTCAATGGAGCGTATTATTACCCCTTGATTCGGCATCATCTTGCACAAAGTGGCTGCATCAAACTAACATGAGTGACATTCCCCTTCTCCTCACCCGAAGGCTATTTGGTAAGCGGGACACGGCATCGTGCTCAGCAGTACGACGACGTCTCCCAAGCCACGCCAGGCCGTGCAACGAATCGGCGCAATGCTGTTCAATGTAGCAAACCGCTCGACCCCTCGTGTCAATCGATCGCTTTGTCAATCTAGTTGCTTTCCGAGTTAGAAGAAGAGCTATAGTCTGACAGGTTGAAGGTTAAAGTGTTAGCCGGACATCGCACCCGTCATCACGGTTTCTATATGGGGATGTCTCACATGGCGCAGCCAATCCGCAGTGCGTCTTAGACATGTTTGCCAAAAAGTATAATTGTTCTGCTATAAATGCCCGCCTTGTTCCCATTCAAACAGAGGGAGTCATGTTTTGAAAGGGGAGATATTTTGATTCTGCTCATTTGAAGGTTCGCAGCGCTGCTAAAGGTTTCATCATGGTGAGCCTCGTCGCCACACTTGCTTCGCCTCGGGATTGGCCTGCCAGCGCTCTACTGCTGGCGGCGACTATTATTGTTTCGCTCCTTGTTCGTCTTTTTAAGCGGCCTGGCCTCCCTTCAGGCGCGTCATTTACAGAATGGGGTATGCCGTTCATCGGTTCCCTCAACTTCTTCACGAAGAGGGGTGATTTCCTGCGAGAGGGCGCAAAGCGTAGTCCCAACGGCTACTTTAATTTCTACTATGGATCGTATCCTATTATTGCTCTCTCGGGAGAGGCCGCACGCACGGCTTACTTCAACACGCGAGGCCTTGATCTGAGTGCTGGGTATGGACTCCTCCCAGCATGCCTCTTTACTTTCTCAGAAAATGAGACTGACCAGTTCTTAGATTCCGGAAACTCTTTTCTGCAGGCCCCGACATTGACCGTATGCTTGGCTGCAATATGAGCGCTTATTTTATAGTACTCTTCAAGCGGCTTACAGGCAAGGAGCACTTGACTACATGTCTTCCTTACCTCAACAAAGATGCCCGCACTGCCTTTACCGCAGTCGACACGTCCGTTCCCATGGATCCTTTTGTAGTTCTCTATGATTTACTTTACAAATTCACTCACCGTACCGTCGGCTGCCACGAGGTTGCCGATGATCCTGCACTTCAAGAGAAGACGATGCGGTACTACGAGAAGCTGGACAAGAGTTCGGCCCTTCAAGTCATGTTTCCCTGGCTGCCTACACCCACAAAATTTAACAAGATATGGGCGGGAGCGAAACTGCACATGATGTTTGGAGATATGATTCGGGAGAGGAGAAGAACTGGTCGTAAGGCGCAAGACACGATGCAGATCTTGATGGACAAGGGAGAGAGCGATTTGCTGTCCTCAGCTGTACGTACTTTGAACCACTTTATTTGCAATTCTGGACTAACATATTGTTGAATAGTTTATCATCGGCGCATTGTTTGCTGGTTTGATCAACACCGGAGTTCAGTCGGCATGGATTCTCTGCTATCTTGCCCACGACCCCGTCTGGTATGCCAAAGTCAGAGATGAAGTCGACGCCGCTGTTGCAAAATACAGGACTTCTGAAGATCAGACGCCACTAGATGTCCTCGCAGAGCTTTCTCTCGAGGCATGGGAATCTGAATTCCCGTCCATAGATCTGGGAGTGCGGGACAGCATCCGATTGAACCTCATGGGGGCTTCCATCCGCCAGAATACTTCCGGGAAGGATATCAAGCTTGGCAATACCGGTGTCGTTGTTCCAAATAATGCTTTCGCTGTGAGTGTACTACTAGCGTACGGAGATAGGCGGTGCTGACGATTTGTGTTTTATTAGGTCTATAGTGTGGCAGACATACACATGGACCAGGCTATTTACACAGATCCGTTGAAATGGGATCCAAGCCGATATCTTCCAGACAGAGGAGAGGACAAGAAGGGTCAGCATGGATATATTGGCTGGGGAACTGGATTACACCCATGCCGTAAGCAGACCCTTGTATTCAGCCCGTACTGACACGTTTGGCTAACATGGACACAGTGGGCATGAGAGTAGGCACTTCAAGCGCGGATAGTTGAGTCGAAAAGCTAACTGATGAATAGATTGCAAAACTCGAGCTGTTCGTTTCTACTGCCACCTTTTTCGCCATGTTTGACTTTAAAGCCGTTGATAGGAACGGGAATCCGACGACGGAGCCGCTGCCTCGTTATGATAGCAACGCGCTGTCGGCGAAGCGCATGGTCGATACGGTCTATTTCAAGTGCGATCGCAGATTCTAGGTAACTATAATAGCTTGGGTGTAATGAGACCAAGATGGTTGGAGGAGAATGAGCTGCCAAGATATGGAATGATGACACAACAGGGAGAGAGGGCTGCGACGCTCAGTTACGGCACCTTGTATTTGTTTTGGATAATCACTAGCTTAGGAGTTGATGACATCTGTATTCTTTCTGTGTCTGTAGGACTTGTTTAGGTGTGGGCTTTGTCAGGTATAAGCACTGCTAGGTGGAAGTCTTTTGTTGCATCTCGTGTTCAATCTGCGCGGCGAGCGATGCTGGCGTCTGGGCACCCATGTTGCAAACCCGCTCCTAGTCAGACTATCAGCATGACATGTCCAAACAAACAGCTGCGTCGTATTTACCACTAAAGCTTCCTTGTCGGGACGATGCAACGGCATCTTGTTCTGATCTTCTGCTGGAGTTAATGTCGGGGCGAGGTTTCGCTGCTTTGCGAGGAGGCTTTGCGGCGGTGCTGCATTGATGATGAGCATTAATATTCTGTAATTTTGGGGAGATATTGATGGAAATTGACGTACATTCTGTTGCGCTCGTGACTGGGCTTGGATAGGTCGGGTGAAGCTGTTGCTGGTGGACAAACTGTCCTGCGCTAGGATTCGCCATTGTAAATGGGAGCGACGACGTGATAAATACTGTGTTTGTATGGAATCTAATAGGAAATATGATGATTGAGGATCAAAATGAACATTTTTTTGTAAAGATCAAGAGTATTATCAATGTTGTTTGTTTGATATGGTGACGTAGGGGTGCACCTTGCAGTCACACAGCCGAGGTCTCGTGATTTCGAGTTTGAGCACCTGTATTTGATGTCTCTTTCTCTTTCATTATCACTTGCCCATTAATCTCGCGTTGTATTCTAAGATCTTTTGGATAGGAGACATTGATTATTGACTTAGTAGTTCAACAGCTAGAATTACGTATTTACCATAGAAGAGGGCTTGCTTTACTCCACACCATAACGCAATACAGAGGTCATTCAGTAGCCCCGTCGTCCTCGTTTGCATTCATGTAGTGTTCTCTTTTGCATCAAGTCAAGTAGTCACCGTTTTCTTAAGTTACAGCTTACTAGATTCTTTACTCAACCAGCTTACCTTCCGGTTGTCATTTTTTACGCATTATCAAACCCACATTCAACGACGGGGACCCCAGGTCGACTAAAGTAACAGAAGCAGAGTATAACATGCAAAACAACGGAGGCTGGCGGCATTGGGTGAGTCATTGAACTATAATTTGTGAGCTGAGGCTTATTGTGTGGCGTTTGTTCAGGCCTTCTTGCGCTTTGTGAACCTTCATCGTTTATGCCTTCCTACCTGAGGTACCCCACAGGTGCAATGCAAAAACAACGAGCCTCCAGTAGCAAGGTTTGCGGATTCATGAGGCAAAGAAGGATAGTTCCGACGCCGATTCCCTCCTTACTATATAAAGAGGAGGAGCTACTCAGCACCCCAAGTTGGAGATCTGGCATCCCATCGACTACCTGGAGGTCAAGGTCGTAACAAGACTGTCGCTACTATCGCTACTTCCTGCTATTATCGCTTATATCTATATATTCCTCTATTATCCGCTATCGTCACTACCTGTTGGGTTTCGAGCGCGCTGCAGCCACGAATTTAGGAGACTCCGACCATTCGACCAACTAATACACGATGCAGCAAAGGACACTTCTAACACCTCCAACACCTCCAACCGAGGAAGAGAGGGAGTTCTATTACTATGGGCTTCCTTCTCGCCCTATACTTATCGCACGCTCCAGCACTCAAGCTTGGGTAGATCCACAGATGCCTGGGACATTGAATATGTGTCCCAGAGTTCTTCAACCAGTTGGAGAGCATCCCTTATTGCACCAGCTGTGGAACAACGCGGCATCTTCGCTAAGGGCCCAGATCTTACAAGCAGTTAGCGCAGCTGACTGGACTGCCGTTGATATTTTACGTGTCGGGCTTAATGGCGAATTGCATATTACCCTCATGGTGGCTGTTAAGCCTGGTACATTATCATGGAGCGACGGATATGCTATTGCAATGGAATGCAAATCGATCTTTGAAGCCCATAATATTCATGGAGTGGATTGCGAAATTCGAGAATCCCTTGTGAATTTCTGTAGGGATTTCACCGCCGAGTCCACCGCCGAGTCCACCACCGAGAGGCCAGCCACCTTTCAGCTATCGTCGGCACCAATACTGGATGGAATGGTCTATGCTGAGCATTGGGCAGATATGTCTGATTGCCTCGGGACTAAAATTGCGATGAAGCATATGGACGATAGGTCTGGCACAAAGGGCTTATACCTCTCTCTTCAAGCATCTTCGACTACAGGCGAACCCAAGCTCCTAGCTTTGACTTGCAGACACGTGGTTATTGACTCCAAAACAGAAGGTTTGGAGAAATACTCTCGCCAAGAGCTTGGTAACTCAAAGGATGTTATTCAGATAGACCAACCGACCTACCTGGAGACTATCAACTACATGAGAAAGAAGGCCAAAGGGGCTCGGAATTATGCTAAACAATACACCGATCGGGGAAACACTGACTACGCTGCGTCATTTACAAAGGTAGCCAAGACCGCAACCACTCTCAGACGAGCTATGGAACCGTTTGTGTCCCCTTCCTCTAGGGTGTTTGGCCAGCTTCTTTTTTCACCCGAATTGGCATGTATAACGGACCCTAGCCGTGGCAGCAACTGGTTGAGGGACTGGGCATTGATCGAATTACTTCCTGAGTGCCACCAAGCTCCCCTTTGTTCGATTCAAAACAAGGTTTATGTTGGGCCGGAAGATGACTTTGAGAGACTTCTTACCAAACAGAAGGGTGGATTAGAGGGATTTCTTATACCAGACATGCCTATTGTGGATGGCTGCATCGAGCTGAAGGAAGACGTGGTTACTATGGACGAAATTCTGAGTCCTTCTCAAAATTCCGAGCACTTTAATACTCCAATGCTGCCGGTGATGAAGTATGGAGCAAAGGGGGGGTTGACGCTGGGTCTCGGCAACACTTTGGTGTCGATTCTTCGCCATACAGAAACTCCAGATGGGGATAGAGAAATGATGAGTGAAGAATGGGCCATAGTACCCATTGAAAAGGCTAACAATGAGTATCAAGCGGCCTTCTCGACTAAGGGAGATTCTGGGTCATGCGTCTGGGACATGAAGCGGCGCCCTGCGGGTATTCTCTCAGCAGGCGCAAGCCAGAATAGGTTGAACGACATCACGTATGTTCAGCCATTAGAGCGCCTACTTGCAGACATCAAATGTTGTGGGTTTGAGGTTTCTCTAGTTTAGGCTCTATTTACATTAATAAGACTTTTTTGAGCTGCACATATATGTACTCTCAACAGATGCCGTAATAGTAGCAGCATTATGTGGAGGGTACCCTTTAGGCACATTGCCTTTTGCATTGGTCTAAACGCCAGAGATTGGTCCCCAAAGTACATGGTATGCAGTTTTAGAGGACCTCAACATCAAGCTTCGGGTCGATGGAAATTTCCAAATTGGCATTTCCATAAAACAAGCGCCATTAACAGTAACGTACGCTATTATTATTAATGCCTGTCTAGGTACACTTAGGTAACGAGTGAGTGGCCAACATCCCGCATCCCGGCTGCTGCATGTGATGTACATAGGCAAATATCATCCCTCAGATAGCACCTGTGAGACAAAGTAGACACCAGGGTATTATTAATCTACCCGCCTATAATTTTTTTTTTTTTTTTTTTTTTTTTTTTTCCAATTACAGCTACTATCGCTACTTTTTCTAGTCTCTGCTACTACCACTGCCCTTCTGCTATCATTGACAGGGGATGCTGGATAGCCAACCTGGATCTTAGTTTCTTGGTGTGATGAGAACCGACATGAAGGCAAATGAGTTGAGTACGTGAAGTTGACTTTGTTCAAAGAAATAAATAAATACTTCAAAGGCACAAAGAAGACGACAAAAGATCTCCATCTATTAGATAAATAGGGATTTACCTGTATAGAAGCAAAACTCGCTGTGCGTTCATTTGCTTAGTCATGCTTCACATTTTTACGCTTGATCCCTGACAAAAAATGCCCTGCGTCAGACCGATGCACTGAAAACAGGGACGATCCCAAACGGAAAAGGCGTATTTTCACACCCTTCTTTCTAAACTGATTCTCTATTGACCCTGATAACGCTATTCCTCAACTTCAAGCGGTGATCTATACGTTTCTTTATCCCTTATACCAACGCAATCATCCCATAGACGGCACAATGCGCCCCGGAGTCGGATACATTTGACAGGCTTGAATTGTTCGACGATTAACCCGACTTCAGCAAGACAGCTCCACAACTCAATTTCTTCGCAGTGAGTCTAGATCTGGATTTTATATGGGATTTGAAACTGAGAATGACTCGGTAGGGGATATCGGATCCATGAGCTCGTACTCTATGCGTGGGAGCACCAGCCAATTACGCACTCGTCAACATCGCCATTCAGCTCAGGCCTGGGTGAACACTCTGTCAGGCTTGTCACCATCAACGGCGACTTCGGCTGATACACAGAATCCCTAGTATTCAGGCCATGACGGACAATATATATGTCGACGAGCTCTGGGCGCAACAATCCCAACCAGCTCCAGCTACTCGCCTGATATGGGAGAGTTGAACCGAGCCGGCGACCTTGGCGAGTAATGTCTCGGCGATGAGGTGCGCAGCCGAATAGCTTGACGATGTTCGAAACCTCCCCAACTCAAGTCTTTACAATATTGGCATAAATCGGCATATTACCTCTGCCTTCATGAAGCGTTCCTTGGCATCCAACCCAGCGATGGCCTATATATTTTAGTAGGAGTTTGTCCTCTCTTCACGCCCTAGAACTCGTTCTATCTGTTCCATTACTTCGTCGAGAAACTGATACTCCTCATCGGCAGATACTTTAACCTTGCGTTTAAATCACTTATCCACCTGCGCCGGAATCAGCGAGGTTGCCAGCGCTTCAACTGGCGTGGCGATATAATAACGGTCAGAATACGGGTTAGTCTCATTATTATTAAAGAGCAGTTGGTCGAAATGAACTCTCGAGCCTCGAATGGACCATAGTTTGTGCCATCCCTAACCTCAGAAATTGCCTTGATCATTGAGCATCGGGCATTGTACTGTCTCTTATTAGAGAAGTCGTTCTGACGAGGCTGGTTGGTTTAGATTCGCAACTGCAATGCTCGCAGCTATCGGTCAGGAAAACATCAAGGTTGCCGAACTACTATTGGAACGGTAAAACTTCGACATTGCGCGAAGATTCAAAGGGGAAACTTATTATCAGATTGCCCATCGTTGGCAAAGATGAGATTCACGACCTTCACCAGTCAAAACTTTACAGGCCGAATCTGCAACCCCGATGCTTGCAGCCATCGGTCAGGAAAACATTAAGGTTGTCGAGCTGCTATTAGAACAGCAAAATTTCGATCCAACGCGAAAAATCAAAGGGGAAACCTATATGAGATTGCCCGTCGACAGGGATCCGGAAAGAAGAAGAGCACATGTTGAAAAACGCGTACGATGATTATAGGCGGACGCACAAGGGCTCTACCCTACGCGGAAATTCGAAGGGGAAACTTATTATAAGATTACCCATCGTTGGCAAGGATGAGATTCATGACCTTATCCAATCAAAACTTTACAGGCCGAATTTGCAACCCCAATGCTCGCAGCTATCGGTCAGGAAACATCAAGTTGTCGAACTGCTATTAGAATAGCAAAATTTTGACCTAATGCGAATTCAAAGTGTCGACTTATTATGAGATTGCCCGTCGTCGACAGGGATCCGGAAAGAAGAAGAGCACATGTTGAAAAACGCGTACGATGATTATAGGCGGACGCACAAGGGCTCTACCCTACGCGAAAATTCGAAGGGAAAATTTGTTATGAGACTGCCTGTTGTCGGCTTCACAGCCTTCCCCAGTCAAAACTTTACAGGCCGAATTTGCAACCCCGATGCTTGCAGCCATCGGTCAGGAAAACATCAAGGTTGTCGAGCTGCTATTAGAACAGCAAAATTTCGATCCAACGCGAAAAATCAAAGGGGAGACTTATTATGAGATTGCTCGTCATCGACAGGGATCCAATTGGAAAGAAGAAGAACACATGTTGAAAAAGGGAGTGGTTCTAGAATACCAGATACTACCTATTACAGGTAGGCATGAGGAATAAGGGAAAGCGTAGTAGCGATAGTAGAAGAAAGTAGCGATAGTGGAAGAAAGTAGCAATAGGCAACTATCCTTCTTTGACAAATGGAACCATGTCCGCGTCTTGTATGTCCTGCAACGGTATCAAACAGGCGTCGATTCTATAGCGTTTTTCATCAGACGCAAACGCCTAGATATTGGACAATAAAAAGGATCTTACCAAATAGAGCTTGTTTTTTCTAATAGATGTAGATAGATCTAGTAGACGTAGATGTAATGCCTAGATACTGAAGAATGGAATGGATCTGAAGAAAAGAGCCCACTCGGCTTCTTGAGATAGACGATGCGTCGCGATGATTGAAACATTTGGAAATGATAACGAAGACTGATACAGCGACCGCTGATAGAAATACACCATTCAGGGTGTTTGCGCGACACGAAGGGATATATGGGGTTCAGTCCCATGACAGATCAGCTGCCGATTAACTCGCCCGACATCGTGACTTCAGCCGTCCGATCTGGCCGCGAAATTTTTGAGGGGTCACTGGCCTTGTTCCAGTTGAGCTGTTTTATGTCCTCCTAGGATTGCTTAGCGGGCGCTGGTACGACCGAAGTTACGTTTTCGCCATGAGCCTGACTTGAATCGCCGTAATAAGTGACGCGTTGTTTGATGCTCTCTGTCTCATGCCTTACCTTGTGCTGTATTTCGCTTGTTGTACACGAGTGTTGCTGTCTTTTTTCTTCCCCCGCTCCCTCGACAGAACTTTCTCCCGCATCAGCTCTATCGAACAGGAGGCTACACGCCGCCAAAGATACCAAGGACGAGGAATAGATGCGACCCAAAGGGGGCCTCAGGTCGACGGCCGCCACGGCGCATATCGCTACCTACCAAGCAGCCACAGCAACACGCAAACACAGGCGAGGGAAAAACTACCACTGTTGTCATCAATATTGACACAAAGGCCAAAGGGGCAGTACATACTCCCAAAAGGACGCCTTAAAGGGAGCCAGGAGTTTACCGACAAGGGTGCTAAGGCAGCCGTCGGCGAAGCACTCATACACTACGGCTATCATACGGCTTGAGCACTTAGGTCACTCTACGATAATCGATGCGGCGATTGTACCTTTGTAGCCATGGTAGAGGAGATCTGCAAGTAGACAGCCGACGCCGAGACAACGGGTGAATTCGCTTAGCTCATGTTGACCATGCTTACTAGGGGCATTGAAGAGCTCAAATTGCTGCTTGCCGCCGCAAACCCAAGACTACATGTAGTCTGTGAATCCATTTAGAGAGAAGTACCGCCGGCTAACAGCACCTCATAGCTACTGAACCGTCCAAGATCCAAGCCTCTCAAGCCGACTTGTCCTTGTTGGTTACAAATACGAACATGGCCTTAATTTTTCGATAGCGGCAGAGCGACATGTCACAATACACCCGAGTTTGGAGAATAATGACTCGTTTAACCAATGTCATAGGCTGATAAAGGCCAGCCTGTTCGTTCGAATCAGCTAGATTGATGGAAGTTACCTAAATGGATTGGGTCATCCAGTTCGCAGGAGCATCTAATTAAATCGTGTTCAGCTGGTTTGTGCAAAGTCATTTCATTGATCGTGTTCGATCGCAGTCCACCAGTTACTATGAGCTCAGCTAAATTGATTACGCAAAACACAACTACCTAGGCCAAGGTGACCATATCCACTGGCCGTCAGCCAGATTGATCAAGGTCAATGGTTACGGCTGTCGTGAATCTGGTGGTAATGGTACACCAGCGCCGTCGGAAAGTCGAGTGTGGCTGACGCTCAAGAGTGTGTGTGGTCGCTTGATCAACGTCTACTCAGAGCACGATTGCACCTTGAGCTTTCTATATCAAACTTCTAATTTTCAACTTGATATTTCCAAAGAAGATCTAGAGGACAGATGGGGGCCCAGAATTATAGAGCCAGCAGCCTTCTTCCATGCTCTCCATATCGCAGCACATACGCCTTCATCCCCATTACGGATATCAACAGCCTGCAGTTTGGTTGGCCGAGCTACATCATTGAGGATACAGTGATGTTGCTACCCCTGCAGATAGTACATGGCAGTCTGTACACTGCTTCTCTGGTTTTCCCAGCCGCCCCTCCATCCAAGCTGTTTCCTCTAGCAGAAACCTTGTGCGTTCAACTGCAGTCATCGCACGCGTTTTTCAACATGTGTTCTTCCTCTTTCCAGTTGGATCCCTGATCGTGACGGGTAATCTCATAATAAGTTTGCCCTTTGATAATAAGTACTTTGTTCTGCCTAATATCTCCTCTCGCCACATTATATCTCTTTCTCGGCGCAGTTTGTAGTGATATTTCCTCGTATGCCTTCGCCGCCTCGCTAGTTGGGCCTGCCGTGCCGCTGATGATATGGTGTTGCTGATGCTGTTGGACCAGACAAATGACGAGGTGGGGGTTGATTCCATCCACCTCTTCCACCACGAGAACTAAATGAAGAGCTTCTGGCTAGTGGAACATAGCCTCGAGGTCCTGATTGTGGGTTTGTTGGACTCGTGGTATCTGGTCTGTGTGGTGCAGTACTTGGTGTCTGGGGATTTTTCTGAGTTTGCGGAGCTGGCACCGTTGTGGCTGAGGATACTGGAGTAGCGGCAGGACCAATAGGCGGTGCTCGTAATGCTACAGGGCTTCGTGGTGGTGATTTAGATGGAGCGGATGTATTCGTTGTCTTGGGTCGCTGTGTGTCTTTTACAGCAATAGATGGTATTGCGGCAGCGACGTGGAGAGGAGAACCATCTAATGTGAGAAGTGAGCGAGTCTTTGCAGATTGTAATTATAATTAGGAATCCGCCCTCCCTAAAGCAGGTCGAGATAGTATTGTGGATGATGGCCCAAGTTCTTGCAGTGGCGAATGTCCACTTAAAGGGTTGAAATCTGTCGTCTCGTCAGTTTGGTGATCGAGAGCGTGGCCTGGATGGTGCGCCCCGTGTAGCGAGGAGTCTTTTTTACCAATCTAGGGGTTCTGTCTCTGATGTTGGGGATCTGACAATGCCATGGTGGCGACGCGACGAAATGACTTTGGTTAGGAGAATGAAGTTCCTTCTCTGCAAATGTCAGAGGTATTGGCATTTTTTTTGGCTGTATCATACGCCTCGTCTCCAATGGTGCAGCACATGTGTGCGGAAATGTTGGGATTCGACAGACAAAAGCAACACCACTGACTGGAAAGAGACCAGGCTCTTCGCGAATAGAAAGAACAGCTGCTGACACTCAAGCGAGATGCAGCAGAAAGCCCACCTAGAGAGAGAAGAAAGGGAAATGGAACAGCTGCAGATACTCAAGCGAGAATTGCAGCAGAAATCCCGCCAAGAGAGAGAGGAAAGGGAAATGGAACAGCCGCAGATAATAGACGAGAAATATAGGCTAAGAGAGAAGGAAAAGAAGCGCAAGGAAGAAGAGCAATCAAAACACAAGAAGCGGGCCCGGCACGATGTTTGTGTCAGCCATGACCGTGATGGGATGGCCAAATCTGCTGTAATCTTCGTCTTGTCTTTCGCGCTTGCAATGACGAAGCACCGTCAGCGTTATGATTTCCAAGCTTTGTATAGCTCTTGACTTGTTTTCCGCGCTTTATAATTCCTCTGAATGCGAATAGTAAGGTACTGGCGCCAGGAGAACAGCCTTATCTGATGCGTTGAATGCTCTGGCGTGTGGCTCGATGATTTCGTTGAACACGACGTGAAACTAACAGATGGATCCCCCAAGCCGCCTAGCTACTCAGCTACTAGTTAGCAGTCCCTCCTCTCCTAATCTATATGGAGCTGGTGCAGCTTGTCCATCAATTTCTCCCATATTCTCCTGCTTCCCTGTCCAATGCACGAATTCATAGGTCTGTCGGTATGGCCTCAGGCCAAATGATGAGTCCTCTAGTCATGTATTCCCGTTCAAGGTCTGGATCGAGATCGTAATTCATGGTTTCTCTTTGATCCTACCGGTGGGTTTCCGATATACCAGTAGCGCTTGGATGCGTGGGATTTTCAGTTATGCAAGCTGGAGCGTTGCTGGCACTTCGGTCTGATCTGGGCTTGAATGTCCAGTGATTACGGTGATGCCTTCGTGAATTTTCTCTTGCTTCGAGAAGGAATAAGTCTCTGATTTGACAGGGTCAATTCATGTTAAAGAAAGGACTGATTCTTGTTATAATCTGAGCTTGACTAGTCTTTGCATGCGGACCGAGTCATCGCCATGGCTTGTCGGAAACGAGCAACCACCAGTGGGTATGTGGTTGGGATGTAGCAATCAAGAGCTTCCGTAGTGATACTACTGCGGCCAAAGAGGACAGACGAGAGCAAAGTGTAATTGCGTGATGTATGCCAGTTTGTTGGCATAAACAAAAGCGCCGTGCCGCTCATTCTGGACATCATTTTCAGCATGGACGTAGATGGATCCAGTAGAACTGGTGAAAAGTTCCTCCTGGCCTTGGCTCGGGCTGTCATGACTGTCAGTCGCCCAGTTGCTGTAAGGAAGCCTAGTTCTCAGATCGAACCGTATCGTGGAAGGCGATCCCAGCTTCGTGATTTAGTGAGTCGCCCTCGCCTATCTGTGCCCGAAGCTGGACGACTCCCTCGAAGCTCTTCCACCCGCATCTTCAGCACACTCATGGTGTATTCGTTCGTTGGTATGGGGCTTGCGGGGCTCGTCGTGGGACTGGGTTCCTGTCTCAGAAGAGCTTGGAGCGGCGAGAACGAAGAAGGCGTCGGGGATGGCGGGTATCCAGTCGGTCACGGACATGATGAAATAGTAGTAAAGTATGCGCATAGTTATGTCGTAACTAATACGCGCAAGTGAGCGGCATCTCTACTATGCTAGCTGGCCCATAGTAGGGTGGCTCTCGGGTCTGCGCATGTCGTGAATGCGTACTGCCATAGAATATTCACCTTGGGCCTCTGGAGACCCACCGTACAGAGGGCCAAAGGCGAGCGTTCTTCCACGTTCCTGTCCGTCCCATGGGTAAGCAACCTAGAGAATGAAGTCAAGTCGTATGTTGGCCTCGGCTCTCTGAAGTAGATTGCCCTTTTCTAGTATTGATAATCCAGTAGACGTAGTAGATGGACATTGGATGCGAGTCATCAGTTAGGGATTTCTAGTCATTGAGAAATCTGTCTCTAAATAGAAACGGCAGATGTTGGGGATAACTTCACGAGGAGCTGCATTTTTCATCACTGTAAGGTTCCCCACGGCTTTATTGATTGGTACTCGACAGAAAAACCCTCTCGTTCAAATGTTCCAGGTGATGTATTAGTTCGTCTAGAGCTGACAAGTAGGCTAATGTTCGTTTGTTTTTGGTGAAGGTATCGAGGTGCTGGGATTGGCCCAGCTGTTTACGTTCTTGCGATTGTTCCGGCGCTTTGACCAGCGCAAGAGGACGAGCGCGGCTTCTAAGAGAATGAGGCTTTTGAAAGAGTAATTACTGTCAGACTTTGAATACGTAGAACACCAAGATCAGCAACTTCACATAATATTGGAGAAATTATTCAGACTTCGTAAGGCTTACAGAGCCATTAGAAAGCGCTGCTGGGGCTTAGGCCGCACTGCCTGAGCAGGACGGATGCGTAATCCAGCTCGCCAAGAGGTTGTCTTGGTGCAATTACGAAATCAAGTATTGTGATCAGTAAGCACAGATGTTACCGAGCGCGATACATGTATTGTCTCTAATTGTCTACTTGTATGGTATATTAAACTGTTCCTTCTGCAACTTTTACCAACTCGTCAACAAATCCTTTCGCTTTCTATCATACACCACAACGTCAAACACATAAATCGGCCGTCTCATCAACTGCATCATTATGGCAGCCAACAATGTAAATTCAGTGTCTTTGACCAAGATCGAACAGTACCGAGCGCTATACGACACATATCTTCAGCACTGCAACTCACACAATTTTGAAGCAATGGAATCATTTTATACGTCGCCTCTTAACGTCAATGATGAGCCTTGGGATCCAAAGACAGTTACAGCGCAATTCAAGCCGCTGGTGACTGCATTTCCCGACTGGCACTGGGAGGTAAAGCATCTCACCATTGAAGGTGATTACCTTGCTTTGCATTTCAAGATTACAGGCACACATCAAGGCAGCTTCCAGGGAATTGAAGCGACAGACCGTCAGATTACGACGTCGCAATTTACGTTGTATCATGTGGTGGACGGGAACAAATTCAGTGATGTGTGGGATCTTGTCGATATAGAGTCTGTGGTGAAGCAGATCTCATAACGTACATACAGGTACCAAGGGTAGGATAGATGAATGGAGGTGTTATCATGAAACTACTGCTACACTAAAAGGCCCAGTGTTGGAACATAATGTAACCGGCATAATGGATACTATGTATGTTCCCAAATAAGCACCGACGGATGATGCCGAGCTGAAGTAGCCGTTACAGGGCAGATGCATGAGATAAGATGCTGATGCCGGATTCTCAGACAAACTCCAGCAGAAAGCTGACACAGTGCCTCTCGCACCGTGACGTGACATCCCCACGTGGACTTGGCAACACAAGCCCCATTAGTCAAAGCAGGTCTTGGCCTTCAAAAAGTCCCTTCAAGGGAGGCAGGTAAGAAAAAAGCGTCGAACCTGCAATCCTCGGTGAACGAAACGACGCGGTGGGTGAGTGTTGAGCGCATATAAGAAACCAAGAGTCCGCTGTCCAGCGACTTTATTGATACTGTAGCTTCAACCTCTTCTGCCGCTGATTGATCGCGACTCTCCGGCTAGGCTTCACTAGGCCGCTGCTATACGAAGAATCCAGGCGGTGGGGCTTATCGAGAGGTGGAAAGACGCCATGAGGGCCTCAGTCGTGCTGTCGGCTCTCGTGGGCTGTGCGCTGGCCGACGATGTGCTCTACAGCAGGCGGCTGCTCAAGCGAGGCATTGACGATGAAGGGCACTATAATATGTGTAAGGCTTTACCACAAATCTGGAACTACTGCTCTGGCTGACTCGTACATGCGCTAAACAGCCTTCTTCCACGTCAACGACGTCCACGCTCATCTTGACCAGTACGTCAAGGCCGGCACAGACTGCGTCGATCCCGCAAAGGGCTGCTTCGGCGGCTATGCCCGCATCAAGACAAAGGTCACCGAGCTGCGCGCCCAGTATCCGGACCATCTGTGGTTGAACGCCGGCGATGAGTTCCAGGGCACTCTCTTCTACTCCTTCTACGGTGGAGAGAAGATTGCCGAGACGATGAACGACCTCCAGTTCAACGCCATGACGCTGGGCAACCATGAGTGGGATGGCGGCGACGAGAAGCTGGGCGCCTTTTTGAAGAACTTGACGTTTCCCGTTGTGTCGTGCAATGTCAAAAGCGAGTATGCGGATCTCAAGTCGACAATCAAGAATTATCACATCTTTGAGGAGCATGGGCTTGCCGTTATCGGAGCGACGACGCCGACGACACCCACGATTTCCCACGTTGGCGAGCTAACCACCTTTCTCGATCCGGTGGATGAGGTCCAAAAGGCCATCTGGGAGATTCGCAACACAACCGATATCAAGCGCATCGTGGCCTTGACGCACATTGGCTACGACGTTGACCAGCAGCTCGCCGCTGGTACCGAGGGCCTGTCTCTCATCATTGGTGGCCACAGTCACACGCTGCTTGGAGACATGGACGGCGCTCAGGGCAAGTACCCCACGATTGTGAACGATCTGGCCGGAAATGAGGTCTTTATCGTGACGTCGTATCGCTGGGGCGAGTATCTAGGCTCCATCGATGTGACGTTTGACGATGACGGCAAAGCGCTTGCGTATCACGGCGCTCCAATCCATATGGATAACACGACCAAACTGGAGCCTGACCTCCAGGCCAAGATCACCGCGTGGAGAGGTCCATTCGAAGACTTTGCAAACGAAGTCGTCGGCACAACGGAGAATACTCTCGACCAGACTGCGTGCCAGAGCGGCGACTGTCTCCTCGGCCAGGTCATGGCTGATGCCGCATTCGAGTACCTTTACAACCTTACCACGGACACTCCTGAAGACCAGAGACCGAGCTTTGCCTTGATCAACGCAGGCGGCGTTCGGGCAACCATCGACGCCGGTAACATCACGAGAGGCCAAGTCATCACGTCGTTCCCCTTTGGCAATGCCGTGACCAAGTTGACCTACTCGGGCGAGGACCTGCTCAAGATCCTCGAGGGATGCGTATCGCGCGTAAATCAATTCAACAACCAGAAACTGTCATCATGGTTCCAAATCTCGCACAACCTCAACGTCAGGTATAACCCGTCAAATCCTGCCGGATTCATGCTCGTGGATGCAAGGATTTCAGGAGAGAGAATCGACCCGGAGAAGGAGTACGTGATGGTCACTGTGGATTTCGTTGCTGGGGGCGGAGACAATATCCTGCCTAAGAGGAGTGATTTCGTCGTCCTTGACACGCTGGATGAGGTGCTGGTGGATTACATCCAAGCGAAGACGCCGTTGAAGAATGCGTTAGAGAAGAGGGCTGTAAAGGTTGGAAAATGCACCGGCAAGGTACAAAAGGTCTTTTCAGCTTAAACAGGGGGTATATTACAGAAATTATAAAATAGAATTTGAGATTTTATACCTGTCCTTGGTAGCTAGTACTGAGGAGTTAATTCTGGATACCTATGTACGCAAGGTTTAATCTTACAATATGCTTGCTGTGAGACAGTAATATCTAACATTCCGCCTTCTTATTGCGGTCTCAGCCAACTTGCATGAAGGCATTTCTTACTCGCCGGGGAATAATCCCAAAAGTTGTCGAGAGGATTCGCAGCGCTTCATTTAAGCGGTCTCGCCCCTGCAATCTTAAACTTGGGCGAATTCTACTAGGTAACAGTACGTCGATATCTTCACTCTCTCAGAAGCCGAGTGCTCACTGGAAGCTCAATGGATGGCCTCATCGACTGCGACATCGATCCGACCGAAGAGCACACCCACGGCGCATGGCCATCTCACTAGAATGAGTAGACCTTGAGCGCGCCAGATCATGCACAGTCAACCGAAGAATATTTGGGCACAGAATCTAAAAAAAAAAAAAAAAAAAAAAAAAAAAAAAAAAAAAAAAAAAAAAAAAACCCGAAAGCAAACGCGACGAACACTTCTGAGATTGGGAGACAGATTACACTCGGACGGCATAATGTCTAACAACAACCAAAAATAGCCATTGATGTACATGAAAACATTTCTCTGGCGGCGGAATAATTAGAAAATATCACCGTCTCTGAAACTGAACACGTGGTAGATGAGATTAATTACGAAGAAGACAATGTTACGGCAACACAAGAGTCACTCTGTGACCAGACGGCAATTGGAGCACCAGCCTCTTCCATGTTAATAGACGCAAGTTACCATACAATCAGCCAAACAAATAAATCCGTTTGACACGAAATGCCGCATGCCGGCAGCGCATCGTGTCTGCCTTATCTCCTGCCCGTTTGCCCAAGTGTTTCAGGATTTCAGTAGAGCTGAAAGAGCCACGGTCTCGTTCAAACGTTCAAACGCCCAGTTTCATAGGTACTCAATAACAAAGTTCCAATTTTCACTAATATACCTAAGCAAGCATGCAAAGGTAGCTTTGCGAAGTAATATCTGCCAGGTGCGGCTCTCTGGCGTACCCCAACCAGGTGAGCCTTGCGCCATTTCCCTTTCCTCTCTCTCTTGGCGGGCTTTTGGCTGTATTTCTCACTTAAGTATCTGCGAGTATTAATTTTCTCTCGCGAAAGCTTGGCCTCTTTCTATCTCTTCCGCTCACCAGATAAGCTCTCTTCTCTTTATCATTCGTCATCCTCTGAGCCATAGTTCTTCCATCTGACCAAATATTCAACCATAGGTGATGAGCTTTTCGATCTCCTAATGCCCACTTCCCTCACGAGATGGTGCGCGGACACTTCATCGTGTATGCACAATCTAGCGCCTGGGCAGTGCGATGCTGAACGCCAGCGAGCCAATCTTCTCTGGCACCTCGAATATGCCTGCGTGAACGTCTGCGAGGCAGCTCACCCGCAGCATATAACCGTCGTGTATTTTGAAGCATACAATCCATTTACATGGTTGTCGCACTCGTGTTTTGCTGTCATTGCCGCCCTCTCAGTCATATATACCGAATGTGTCTTCATAAAGTTGACTAGGGAATCTGGGCGTATTAAACTGCCTATCCGACTTCAAGACGTCCAACAGTCCGGATGGTTCAAAGTCCGAGGTCTTTCGGGTGGAATTTGATTCGACGGAGTGCTAAATGAATTGTTCAGATGGAATTGCAAGCTGGTCTGACTGATTAATTCACCCTGTTAATATTTTATGAGAGATGATCTTTACAGTATCTTGCATTCCATTACTTCTCCTATCTGAGATAAATAATGCACCCTGCACATCACGCAGCAGATCTCTTCATACACTGTAGCAATTTTTCATCGCAAAAAATCTCAATTCATTTCCTTCCAAAATCTCCCCATCCGCCTGATTTCATTCTTCCTGTTGGATAGACACCGCTTGGTATTTCTATAGATGTGTTAGCCCAAGCTGTGATTGGAATGGTTGGCGTAGCGTACCTGAATAACGAAATCTTTGAACTCCTTGGTTCCGGACTTGTTATACCAGAATAGACATATAGCATAGTGGTAGCCATCTACATCCATACCGTTTGCATTGTTTGACGCCTCTGGTCCATTATAGGGTACACCATATGGATTTTTGTCCTTGTGGTACCATATTGCATACTTGGCAAGAAATCTTCGTTGCACTCTTATGGACTCTTCCCAGAATGATTCGGGTGACTCGCGATATTTCTTGAAAGCTTGGTAACTCTCCTTGAGGCGTCTTGAATATCCGGATGTTCGTTTTGACTGAAAATCCTTCCAGCGGTTTGACCATCCGAACAAATTAGCGAAATGATCGTGAATATCGCCTACCTGCTGGCGATCATAGGATTCTATATCATGGCTCAATAGGTAATCAGCTTCCTTGCTATACAGCAGTCTTTTGAACTTGTTGTTCCTTAGAGCAAAGCCTTTTGCGCGGTTAGTATCTGCTCCCTTCTTCAAGGCTGGAAATCCTGCTGCGCGCTGAATTTCGCGTGCCTTCTTCAAGGCTGGAAATCCTGCTGCGCGCTGAGTCTCGCGTCCCCTCTTCAAGGCTAGAAATCCTCCTGCGCGCTGGTTTTCTAGAATTTTTTTCAATTCCAGAAAGCCGCGCGCGCGCTGAATTTCACGCCCCTTTTTCAAATTTGGAAACCCATTTTTGCGATTAACTTCAAGACCTTTCTTCACTCCAGGATAGCCTTTTGCGCGATTGATTGCCCAAGCTTTCTGTAAGCTTGGATAGCCATTTTTGCGCTGAGTTTCGCGACCTTGCTTCAAATTTGGGAACCCCAATTTGCGTTGGAGTTGTTGACCTTTATTGTTCTTCAAGCAACGATAACCATCCTTGCGCATGATTTCTCGAGCTTTCTTCAAATTTGGATACCCATTGTTACGATTGGTTTCAAGACCCTTCTTCAAGGCTAGATAGCCATTTTTGCGCTGGGTTTCTCGACCCTTCTTCAAGGCTGGATAGCCATTTTTGCGCTGGATTTCCCGAGATTTCTTCAAATTTGGATAGCCATTTTTGCGATGAATTTCCCGCCATTCCTTCAAGTGTGCATAACCATCTGCCTCCAATGTATCTCTGGCTCTCTTCAGGGCTGGGTAGCCATCTTCACGCGAGGTAAATAAAGTATCGCGGGATGCTTTCATGAAATGGTGTGTGTTCTTTATCGGGATGCGGGCCATCGACGCTGCAACGTTCCAAATATAATCCGAGTGTATTCCACTTTGTATTGAAGCGCCTTGTGCAAAGTGAGAGCCGTGGTACGTGTAAAAGATCAAGTGTTCGATTCGTAAAGTCATCTTATTGTATGCAATATACATTGATGCGCGTCCCTGGAAAATCGTAAGGTGAAGACCAAGATCGACCATTTTGAGTTTGAGCGTTGGGTCGTTGTTGAATTTATATATGTATGCCTTAAACGCATGCTTCCCGATCAGAATGATGATAGGAGCGGCCGTCATTATCTTATAGCTGAAGTCAACGCAGCGGCGGAAAATCTTCGACCAATCCGATCCAAAATCCTTTTCCTAAGAGGGTTTTCTGGCCGTATTGCGAAATGGGATCATATCCGATGTGGATATATTCATTGAACGTCCCACTTTCTTGACTTGATGGAGAAGGCTCTGGTTGCTCGAGTCCACTACGTGCCCGAAGGAAATGTTTGTTTTCTTGGTATTGTTGGTTGGGTAATGCCACTGGATGTGCATAACTGCGCCGAAGGGTCCCGATGGCTTTGCCATGGTGTTGTAGGGGTATGACCCTCCAAGAATTTCTCGTAGTTCTTTCAGGTATTCCTGCCAATGCTCATCCATCTTGAGACAATGAGTGTGCCAAATGGATCGGCCTACATCATTTTGGAACGCAGTGGGGTCGATTAACGAGGTCGGGTAAGTCCGTGTGCGAATCCTGTTATTTAAGGTATCAGTAAAGAGTCAATAGACGTGATAAAGGGAACTTACTCCTCGACAAACTGAATGATTTCTGCTTTCGTTTCGGATGTAGCGCGAGAAACGAGTAGGAAGATCTTGATCCAATCAACATTCTCGCTGTCAATGATATCCTCGGGTAAGCCCATAGATGTCAAGCGTGACCTCCAAGCTTTATCCCTGCTCGTGCTTTTATTGTCGTCTTGGATGCCACTCTCAGGGGATGGAGAAAGAAAGGTGTCGCTGTCATCTTGGATGCCACTCTCAGGGGATGGAGAAAGAAAGGTGTCGCTGTCATCTTGCATATCACTCTCAGGGGAAGGAGAGGGAAAGGTGTCGCTGTCATCTTGCATATCACTCTCAAGGAATAGAGAGGGAAAGGTATCGCTGTCGTCTTGCATCTCATCTTCAGGGGATGGAGAGAAAACGATGACACTGCCATCTTGGACGCTATTCTCAATTGGCGGAGAGAGAACAATGCCGCTATCGTCTTGCATCTCATCTTCAGGGGATGGAGAGAAAACGATGACACCGCCATCTTGGACGCTATTCTCAATTGGCGGAGAGAGAACAATGCCGCTGTCGTCTTGCATATCATCTTCAGGAAGGCTGGGATTGAGTCGCTTGCTTCGCCGACGCTTTGGAGGCGGAGAGGTAGTAATGCCGCCGTCATCGTGGACATCATCTTCAGGAGGGCTGGGATTGAGCCGCTGGCTTTGCCGACGCTTTGGAGCCATCTTCTTGATCAGTGACGAAGCGCGATATTTGTCAATTGATCAATTGATCACATTGAAGTCTCCCCATGATAGATTGCCGTAGACTCCCTCGCATTGAGAAAAATTTTCCTACCCCTCGCCTCCAGGAGGAAGGCACGATCGCGGACGGCCGGTCATGACGTATCTGTCAACGAGTTCATGGTACCTGCCAATAGCTGAGAGAACAGTTAGCAATGTTGTACTCGTTACTTTGTGGGTTTGACTTGCCTTTCCATGAGCATCAAATCGTCGCTGGCGCTTGCCGAAGGTGTTCAAAATGATAGCAAGAGCAAGGTGTAATGGCGTGTGTGCCAAGTTTGTTGGCATGAATGGTGGGTGGGCTGAAAGGGTAGGTGGACCAGAGATAGATGAACGAGTGTATTTTATTGAGCAAATCACTCGACGGCTAAAGGTGATCTTAGTTGGCTGGCTGTATTTGACTTGCGTCAGGTTCCCAAGCATTGGCCATGATGTCTTGGATAAGGTGCGTCCTTCCTTTTGAGAAATGAGACTCGCTCAAAAGTAAGGCCACGGATTCGTTAGGGCAAAAGCGCTTCACGATGAAAAGATTCAGGAATATTTTAGGCTGCTACACTAGGTTGCTGCCAGGTCCCCAAGTCCATATGGACAAGCTAGACCTTTGTTGAGATGGTTGGAAATCGCGTAAGAGGGAAAATAGAATAAAAGAGATGAATTCTGGAGAACTGCGGGTGTGACTCATACAATAACCCTCAAACAAAAGAGCATAGTGTCCTTATCGCGGAAAGAAAAGAAAGATGACGCAAATAACAAACAGAAATATCAAGTCCTTATGAGCTGACTCTCAGGTCATCACTCGCCATATCGCCCATTGGCTGCAAGATATAGTCCTCGGTGACCATTGATTGATGTGGCCCCTCTTCGTCCTTTGATTGCTAAGCAAACCCTTATAAAACCAACAAACAAACTAGAAAAAAAAAAGGAAAAAGAGAAAAAAAGAAAGAAAAGACCTCATCCATTCGTCTGTTAACTCGCCATTTTGTCAAGGCATCTACCAGGCAGAATCAATTCTTTCATTTTCCTTGCGTTGATTCTCTGGGTCTGGGTAGCCGCCGGTCATTCCTGGTATGTCTGCGTGTGAATCCCAACTTCCAGCGGGCGCGTAATCGAATGATTCGTCATCCACGACACTGTTGTATCCCGAGGGTCCAGCAATTGAGGTCGGTTCGTGATTGTCAGAGTCCAATTCAATCTGAGGAATAGAGTCATCATCAAAATTAATATCCATCTTCATGTGGTAGCCGTAAAATTGTTGTGCGAGTTTGCGAGCCTCTTGCACGTGATAGTTGGACGTTGACTCTTTTTTAGCTTGCGCCCGTCGATTCTTGACCTTTTTGACAGACTGTCCCTTCTCTGCCTTGCCGCTTGAGAAGATCGGTCGAAACATATCATCAATTGCAGGTACGTTGACAAAGGTAGCTTTCCTGAATGGCTGAGCCCTGTTGCAGTTGCGCCCTGCATGGTCTTGTCGACAGAAACTACAGACGAGTACGTTGTTGCAATCTTCTTTGCGATGCCCAGGTAGCAAGCAGTGAGAACAAACAATCTTCCAGCCGGAGACTCTGACGACGCTGTCCCGTGTTTTGAGGTAATTAAACAACTCCGAGATACCCGAACTTTTCGTTGAAAACATAGCTTCTTGGCCGACGAGGATGGTCATTCCTTGGGCCCGAGTCGTCATTACAGCAAGCCGCTTATGATCATTGAGGAACCCAACGCCATCTGATCGAGCCAAATCGCAAATGACTACCTCTGCCTGATGGCTGGGTGAATCATCTATCGTACGAACAGACACAAGATCGCGTGGGATCTCTGCGGGCGACAGTTGCGAAAGCTTCTCTTCCAGCAAGATTTTCTGCTGTTTGTATCCGGTGATGACGAGAATTTTGCCCCATGCGTAGGTAGAGGGGTCCGCGTTCGGATTCTGCATGAATGACTGCACAGAGTACACGGGGGCGGACGCTGCTAGACGCGAGACCAAGGCCATGATGAAGTTCGCGTTTGTGGGGTTGGTAAAGGAATGTCCAACCTTCTCTTCTGTGCCCTCTTGTACATCGATCAAAATCATGTTCGATCCAGGAACCGCTTTCTGGCCGTAGCTCCTACCGCATTCATCCGTTATCCACTGATGTATCTGCTCGGAGTATGCATCGCGACGGTAAACGGTCTTCATATCAGACATGTATAAATATCCTCGCGCCCACTCATGGACGTCGCCATGTGCTCGATGATTTGCCGATAACACAAAGTCAATCAGGCCGGCTCCCTCTACCCGCTGTAGGAGGCTATGCTTGCGCTGCTCTTTGAAGAGTACCTTGTATGTCCTATCTTGCTCTGCAACAGCCATAGGGCCAAATTGCTTCGTGTCTCCAATGTGAATCGTCGGCGTATCAGGATGTCGAGCTGTTGCTACAAATGTCATGGCTTCCGTCATTCGACCAACCTCATCAACGACGAAAAATGACGGGGTAACTGGCTCGATATGGTTGAACATGGTCATCAAAGCAACCGGAGTACCAGCAACGACGTCGGCGTCGGCAATAAACTTGTCCATCAGTCTCCGGGCCTCGGCCGCGTAGTCTTTCTTGTTGACGCGGAACGCTGTTGGATCTTCCTGCCGAGTTCTCCAGCACTCTATCATGATGTGATATTCCTTCGGAGAGGCTTCTACTTTGGCACGAAGTTGCGAAGACCATGAGTGGGGATCGGCTGCTGGATTTCCTTCTTGAAACTGGCTCATTCTGGACAAATTGATCAATCTGAACAGCCGTTTGTGCGCTCCGGGTGTCTCCTCCGTAATAGGAATACACTCTGGTGCCTCGGGCTTGGCCGTCATGAATGATCGAAGCTCGAGCGCGTATGAGTGGACTCGGATAATTTTCTTATTCGGCATCGCTAGCTTCAAACGTTCCACAGCGTCATTGATCTGCGTATTCTGGGGCGCTGTCCAGACCACCATGGATGGGGGTTTTTGCGCTGGGGCTGCATCAAGCTGCTTCAATGGCTTTGCGAAGTCGGAGCCAATAATGGGTTCATCATCATCACCAGAGCCCCATTCTGCCTCATCGGCTTCGGTCGCAACAGCTTTGCCTTTGTCCTGCTCAGTAGGCGCATCTTCATCTTCATCATCTTCGGCATCTTCAGCATCTTCAGCATCTTCGGCATCTTCAGCATCTTCGGCATCTTCGGCATCTTCGGCATCTTCGGCATCTTCAGTCACTGGGACGACAACATCACTGAGGATTGCCTCCACAACAGTTGCAGCGAATGTTGACTTTCCAGAGCCCGGTCCGCCAGCGATAAAAACCTTGCCTGCTTTAGTTTGCGAAAGTGCCTGGGCTGCTGACTTGTGTTGACCTCGGAATCTGCCAGAGTCAATGAACTTCGCGATGCCAGGGAACATCTTGGTCAGATCGAGAGTAGTGGGAGTGAGTGATTTCTCAAAGGCACAAATGTATCTCCAATATTGCGAGGCTGACGTGTTCTCTCCGAGATTGTTCATAGTATTAACCGCCCAGCACTCTGCTTTATTAGACTTGTCGTCAACCTCGTATTCAATGTATAAGCTGTAACTCTTCATCTTGTGCACATTTTGAAAGTATACATTCAGATTTGTCGGAAACGCCCTCTTTGGAAGATCAAGCTTAAACGGCGGCTGGGTAAATCCGTGTGGCCAATTTGTCTGCAGCGGGACGCGAACGTGAAACAAGGCGACGTCGGCCACAACTCCTTCGGGGAGGTTGACACGATAGCCAGTAAAAGGTTCACCTCGCTTGGTGTTCGTCGGAGCTCTGCACAAAACTTTCTGGCTTCTGAGCCATGCAATAATGCGGTCACGATGGGCAAGTTCATCTTCTCCTTCCTTGTTGCGAAGTTGCAGTGCGTACTTTCGAGCGTCCCAGAAGCGCTTCAGATCCTTGTCGGCATCAGGCATGGCGGCGGCAGCCTCCTTGGAAAAATCTTCAATGTACGACAATATTTTTGGGATCGCGACCTCGAGGTACTTTTCGTAGTTGACCTTTTCAACCACTTCATACTGTCTGCCGATGGCTTCATCTGAGGAATTTTCATTGCCAAGCAGCTTTTGTAACTTCTGCTCGGCTGCACGGAGGACGTTGCGTGCTTTGCTCTCTGCTTCATCCAAAGCATTCTGCAAAGCTGTAGCAAGGGTTTCGACCTGTGCGTTCGTAAGCGCCTTCTGTGGGCGATCGTGTTTACGCAGAGGAACGTTGGCAAAGATGCGCACTTTGGACTGGACTTCTGGAAGTAGTTCGCGTTTCATATCCTTATCCAATGGTATAGCAACCATACAAACTGTCGGAACTCCTGTGGCTTCAATACCGTACACTGCCACGTCTGTTGGCGAAGACTTCTAATCTGAGCCTGGCAAGGGTAAAAAGTCACCAGAGAACATGACATCAGCGCATTCTATCGCAAGCTCTGTTTGCCACCTCGCTTCATCTGCTGCTCCGGCGATGAGTGCCACCGTGCGTTCGTCGTATGACACAAAGGCGTTCGTTGCGTCATCTTGGGTGTTCTCGCGGTCAATGTTCTCCAGCGTGATATTGCCGTAGTCCAAGTCATTGATATCTCCTCTGCGCACATCCTGGGCAAGAGGTCGGAACGGATTGCGTCGGAGATCCTTGGACACAAAGAACTCCCATCGGGTGCGCCAGTTTGTTGTTTCTGGGAACACTATCCACCATGACGAGGCAGCGTCGCCGTCAATTCCATCTAGAACTTTCTTGACTCGACGCGCAATGTCCTGCAGGGGCTCAGGTTGCTTCTCGAGATTCTTCCAAAACATGTCTGGGTAGAACAGATTGAACTGCGACTTCTTGACCGTGAGATCAGCACGAATGAAATTCGGGGAGATCGCTGAAATGAACGCGCTCAAATGTGCATCTGCTTCGACGCCATCAAATTTAGCGTTGTACTCTTTGCCGCGATGGATTGCAAACTCGACTCCTTCAAGATCTTGGATTCCCTCGGAGAAGAGTTGCTCAACAATGTCTTGAGTCTTCGACGAAATCACCTCCAACTGCAAAGGGTCGTCCAAGGATGACATTCTAATGTTGCAAGATGCAATCGTCACGGCCAGTTCTCCATTCTGTAATCGAAAGCGAATGTTCAGCACTGACTCTGTGTTCGGACCCCAACGAGGCTTAACGTCCACCAAGAGACCAGGAGCCACGCTGCCACCGACGCGTTTGAGCCGCTCGTCGTGAAATCCAAACAGACGTTCTCCATCAACATAGAAGAGGACACTTTGACGGCCGTAATTCAACGTGGAGACACTGCGTGTAGTGACTGCTGACTCTTTTTCGTCTTCTTCACCCTGACTGAAAGTATTTTCTTCATTGTCTACTGTCGACGAGCTCTCCACCTGATTATCAGCGGGTGTAGTTTGCTCAGCGGGGAAGGTATCGCCGTGAGTCTGCTCAGTGGGTGAAGTCTGCTCAGTGGGTGAAGTCTGCTCAGTGGGTGAAGTCTGCTCAGTGGGAGTGGTCTGCTCAGCGGGTGCATCTTGCTCAGCGGGAGTGAAGGCATCGCCGTGAGTCTGTTCAGAGGGTGCATCTTGCTCAGCGGGAGTGGTTTGCTCAGCGGGTGCATCTTGCTCAGCGGGAGTGGTTTGCTCAGCGGGAGTGGTCTGCTCAGCGGGTGCATCTTGCTCAGCGGGTGCATCTTGCTCAGCGGGAGTGAAGGCATCGCCGTGAGTCTGTTCAGAGAGTGCATCTTGCTCAGCGGGAGTGGTTTGCTCAGCGGGTGCATCTTGCTCAGCGGGAGTGGTTTGCTCAGCGGGTGCATCTTGCTCAGCGGGAGTGGTTTGCTCAGCGGGAGTGGTCTGCTCAGCGGGAGTGGTCTGCTCAGCGGGAGTGGTCTGCTCAGCGGGTGTAGTTTGCTCGGCGGGTGCAGCTTGCTCAGAGGCTATGAAGCTATCATCTTGAGCCTGTGCAGCGGTTGAGCCACTGTCTCTCTCAATTTCTTCGGTGACCGGCTCGATCGAAAATGCTTCCAGAGCTGGCTCTGGCGAGTCTTGGTAAGGTGTGTCCACAGTATCAGAAGAAATGGCAATGTCGGTTGCTTCATCTTCTCTAACAGTGATTGTCTGGTCCACTTTGACGTCACTTGACGGCTGGAGGTGATCCCAGTTGGCTGGCTCGTCCCAGTTGACGGTTTGGTGGTTGTCCCACGCACCAGCCATGACGTCTCTGGTAAGATGCGTCCTGATTCAGAAGGCGGTTCGTCAAGCGTAGAGATTATCGCGAAAGAGGAATAGGCGTTGCCAAGAGGGTCGGAGGTTAAGACAAAAGCGGTTGGTGATATGTGAGGAAATGGAAGGTGGTGCGGTGAGAAAAAGTAAACAACAAGGTTTGTGCGGCGGGGGAATTTATTTGTGTGTGCAAAGTGGGGCAAATCACTTTTGAGAAATGAAACTCGCTCAAAAAGTGGGTATTGCGGGTCGTTAGGGCAAAAAGCGCTTCACGAAAATGAGAAATTCAGGAGTATTTTAGGCGGCTGTGTAGGCAGCTGCCGGGTCCCCAAGTCGATAAAGACAAGCTAGACCGTGATTGACGACTGGACTTGCGTGCCAAGGGAGTTCAGGGCTTCGCAAAGTGTTCGAAATTGTCTGGTAAATTGGTGCAAGCTGACTCTTGAGAAATAAGGCTCGCTCAAAGAGTAACTGTTGCAAATTCGATAGAACGAATGAAAAGAAGATTCAGGAATATTTTAGGCGGCTGTGTAGGCAGCTGCCGGGTCCCCAAGTCGATAAAGACAAGCTAGACCGTGATTGACGACTGGACTTGCGTGCCAAGGGAGTTCAGGGCTTCGCAAAGTGTTCGAAATTGTCTGGTAAATTGGTGCAAGCTGACTCTTGAGAAATAAGGCTCGCTCAAAGAGTAACTGTTGCAAATTCGATAGAACGAATGAAAAGAAGATTCAGGAATATTTTAGGCGGCTGTGTAGGCAGCTGCCAGGTCCCCAAGTCGATAAAGACAAGCTAGACCTTGATTGACGACTGGACTTGCGTGCCAAGGGAATTCGGGGCTCGCAAAGTGTTCGGCATATTGTGCTGATAAAAAATGGTGCAAAATGACTCTTGAGAAATGAAACTCGCTCAAAAAGTGATTATTGCGGGTTCGTTAGGGCAAAAAGCGCTTCACGAGGGAAAAAGGATTCAGGAATATTTTAGGCGGCTGAGTAGGCAGCTGTCAGGTCCCCAAGTCCAGATGGACAAGCCAGACCTTTGGTTGATGATCTTGAACTTGAGTACAAGGAGTGATCGTGGCTCGTATGTTGTGCCATGGTATTGAACTTCGTATTCGCCTTTGTCATGCTTTGCTCGTTTGTCGATAGTTCTCCCAACGATGCGTTCTTCCCCGTCGGTCCCCAAGGCTACTGGTGGTCTGAGTGGTGCTCTGCTGTATCGCTTGTTTGTGGCGGAAGCTGCATTCGGTATCCCAATAGCTAACGACCCCAAAGGAAATGAGATGTCTAATACAGCGGTATAACAATTCGCTCTGCCTTTGCTCCCTTTGGCGAGTTTAACGCAGACGAGATCTCGTTTCTCCATGTCACAGCGGCAAGCATGTTTCGGATCGCGCTATTGCTTCTTTTGGCCGCTGAAAGATGGGCATCCCACGCGTTCTGGTACGTGCCATGACAGTAGCAGGGCGGAGGCATGATGACCTCTTCCGCGACAGTAGAACAAGCAAGTGCGAGGCTTTTCATCCAGTAGCTCAGATGGTGAGTAAGATGTCGTGCAGTGGAGCGCTGAGTTCGTCAAATAGCTTGATTAACAGCCATGATCGTACGAAGTACTTGGCGCCCATCAGAATGCGTAGACTGTGGATAACTATATTGTTTGTTTTGCAACGTTATCCTGAAAGAGTTGACTGGCTAGTTTGCCTAAGTTGCGAGCGGAACATCATTGGCGATGCCTTTATGAGTGATGGTTGGGCCTTCATCATAAGGAACGATGTGTGCCATCGCTGTGAGGTGAAGTTGGCTGTAGATACTGTTGGCATCTTTCGGGGTCCCCTCTTTGGAGCCGAGCTTCGAACTTACGGTCACCGTAAGCCTTACTGTACTCCTATTTCACAAAGGAAGTCACAACGAAGCGGTCAAAGGCAAGGCCTTTGAAGTAGCTGGTTGAGCTGCTGGCCTTGGCCGTGGTGGCAGCAGTAGCAATAGCAGCAGTAGTACCCGTGTCGGTGTGCTTAGACCCCCATATAGTAGTGATAGAGGAAAGCTTGAGAGACCTGCAGTGGCTCTTCTCAATGGCGGCGGCCAGGCCGGCCGCAGCTAGCAGAGAGACAACCGTGGACAACATCTTGGAAGAGCTTTTCGTTTTCCTTGGATTCTGGTGAAGATGAGCCTTGCTGGAGAGGGTGGGTGGAAGAAGAGAAGGCAAGCGACCGGATTTAAAGCAACAGCACGCCTTGTTCCAAACCCAGACAGTGATCGGCTAGCCAGCTGGGGTCTGGCTGCTGCGATGTCACTCGATGTGGGATACTTATGTTACTACGCACTCCGTATAGTAGGCAGAGATGCAGAGGCTTGTCGGGATACTGGCTCATCTTCAGGCTTGGCGAAACGCTCGTAAGTTGAGTGGTCTGATCTCAAGAGAGTGTTCTGCGTCTCACTCGTGCTCTCATGATGATAACTCCACGTGTTTTAGCTACGCAGCCTGGTGCTCTGTCGGTCGCTCCTCATCATTTCGCAAGGGGCGGCGTGCGTCATCGTTCAAACCCTTCTTCCAGCTCGGTGGAGCATAGCGGTAATTTATCCCTTCCTTAGGATTGCCGCGAGTAAATGAGGCGATATTTTTCCTTCGCCTTGCCTAACCACAGCGCTGAAAGGGATCTGCAATAGCCATCTAATCTGTGGTCAGGTTAGTATGTGCAGGATTGGGTATTTGCAGGATCCTTACGTGAGTTACCGTTTCTATTTCAGTGGAACGGTAATCCGTTCTCCATTGGATAGTGCCTTTGAGTGAACCCATCGATAGGGCTGAAGCTGATGGAGCCGCCTAAAGTCTCATGCATGTCTGCACGGAACCGGGAAACGCTAGCCTCGCACAGTTTGGTTTTTGCCATCTCTCAGGCTACTTTGGCGTCTTCTCGGACTTGTTGCGGATACTTGTTGGATTTGTCGACGTGAATACTTTTCTTTATTTTGTGCTTCGCAGGATTGTTCTTCGTCGCTATCCCCAAGAGGAGGAGAGGCGCATTGGTAGCGTAAATTTTGCTCTGAGATAGGGCTTTGGGAGAGTGTGAAGAAATCCAGAGTGTGGAAAAAAAAATCCACTAGGCGTTCATAGGGCTCCATAAAATCTGCTCCACAAAATTCCAATAGCATCCAATCTCGCCTAGCCCACATTCAACCAAATGTGTCTGTCTTGATGTTTTCTCAACGGATATTTCCAATATGCTTAGGGACAAGAAAGCAAAATGTCGAGCGAACCTGCCAAGTCCCAGCTTGGAGACGTAGTGCCGTAGGGTTTTCAGACGAGCTTGTGTAAAATGACACTAAGCAAGTGGCAGTATAATGAATGCAGCCCGAGTTATCAGAATTGTGAGCCATGGATCCAACTCCTTGACATGGTATTGTCAACGGAGTAAGCCGTGAGAAGATAAGAGTATCAGAGTATCATCGACTTCAAGCAAAAGAATGAAGGGTATTGCCGCACGAATGCTTAGGTGCAAATTGGAAGAGTGCGAAGCTTTGTGCTCAGCTGTGCATTTCCGCGATGGGAGAGAACGAACGCGAAGCAAAAACTCCGGTTCAAGTGAGCCGCAGCGAAGTAGAGTACCTGAGGTAACTTTGGTCATGAAGCAGACACGCAATATAACAGCAGTAATTGCTTCGCCGCTACTTCCTCCATCAAACTCCGGACAGTACGCGACGCTGTTGCTGATGTTTGAAGCGTCGAAGTAGGTGTTGATTTCCTTAATCTCTTGCTCAGCAGCGTACAAGTGCGTGGTAAGCTCCGGAAATCAATGGTAATTCCTGAACATCGACGCTTGCATCAGTAGCCAAGGATAAAGTTACTATTCGCGCATGCCAGTATCTCTGTTTGATATCTATTGGCTGTCACCATGGTGGCAAATGTTATGCGCGTCTGTTGACGGACTTTGGTATGGTGGCCACAGGAGGAGATTATTGGTTGGGAGCAGCACAGATACCAAAGAATCATTGTTGGCATGCTCTTGGGGCCAGTAGGTGTCTAGGGCCATTCGCTATGCAGATTTGTGTGGGCATAGGTGTACCGGGCTCGGCATTGACTTATATTCAGGGGTCGGAGTTGTAATGCCTGACACTCGATGCAATGGAGGCTTTGTTCAAAGCTTCAGTCGGAATGTCCATATTTTCTTGAAGTTTCTAAGGGAGAGTGTCCGCTGATGTAGCTGAGATATGCCTCGAAGAAATCAAGGCGGGTTTCAATATATCCATGGTAAATGGAAGAAGAGATGGTGTCAACCAGTGCTTCGTCACATACGATGGGGTTCAGTGTCTCGTTCTGAAATCAGAAGATAAATTTCCACACACTGCAGCCAGCTGGTGGTCTTGTTCTTCGCGTTCGTGTCAGGGAGTATACTTGGGGGGGTTCTGTTGGAGCGATGCGCGGCAAGCAGGAATGACTGATATTTCGTCTCGAGCCTATATATCAGCGTTAGCAATAGGTTCGTGTAGCGTGAGAAAATACTGGTGAGTAGACAGGTTCAATTTGCGGAATATCACTGACTGCTTCTCTCTTACCATTTCAAAGAAAATACCTTGACATTCCTCAGGGCCATTAGGTTCTTGTTGGGTAGGTTGTTATAGATGCATAGTGATAATCTGTGGCAGCAGGTTGTGACGGCTGAGTCAGAATGTGATCTCTGAAGAACATGCATTCTATAATCTCCTTGCTACACATGACGACAGCATCAACAGCTTGCAATTAGATGGCTCGCAACTTGTCAGCGGAGGAGTCGACAACAGGCTAGAGATTTACAGCCTCGAGAGACCTCAATGTGTGAACTGATTTATGGAAGCGGGACTGTTTGGATGGTTGTCTTCGAGGAGGGAAGGAAGGTAGATCCAAAGTTGACCAGTTTGTGCAAATATGATTAATGCTCTCCATCGACGAGGCATTCCTAGTTTGCTGTTGCGAAACTGATCTGCCAGGCTACTGAGGTAGAAGATTGCTCGCAAGTCCGCAATAGCCATCGTTCTGACACTAGTCGCATGCCCTTCAGCCAGTCACCCAAGTTTATAACTGCTTTTAATAGAGGAGACCACCTCGTGTTGAGCGGTTCAACCGCCGTTGGCCCGATTAACAGTGGCCCTTTCCAAGTCAAATCTCAGTAAGCGTCCACAGGGCTGGGATGAGTGGAGCAGCGATTGTCTTTAAAGAAATGTGAAGGGCTTCGGGTGTGCATTCACAGCCTGTGCTGAATATTTCTTTGAGGAGAGCGCATAACTCTGTTTGATTGCGAAGACGAGATTGAACTCGTGCCAGCGGTCTTGACGGCAACGACGGTGGGGCCGCGGAATGCACGAAAGGTTCAACGAGATTACCGTGCTGAACTGAAGCTAGGTCATCCAGCATGCTCATGACGGCCTACTTCATGACTGTCTTTCCCCCCGGCTCGTTGGCCGCGGCCTTACCAATCGTTGGCGTAAGTCGGGAGAGGTCCATACGTGGGCCTTGACAGAGGAGTTTCTCGGCAGCAAGTGATGTGATGCCGGCCCTGCCATGAACTTGGCAGCGCTCGATCCTCAAGCACTACTCTGTCTTCTCCTCTTGCGACTGAGCGGCATCTGAGACTATTCCAGGCTCATATTAAGCACGAGTTGGCATCCCGCAGTGGGATATGTCCGTAGTCTTGGTAATATCGGGCTGCTGGTTGACGTGCTTTCCAGCATGATGTTTCCCCGTCAGTAGTAATCAGTCATTCCATTTGACCGATGTACGCTGTCATAGGAATCTTGGCATCAACTGCTCAATGAAAGCGGCGTCCATGATTTCTGGAAATGTAGTATTTAGCCGGCTGAATCTGTGCTTTGTTTTCTTTGCCTTTTGCGAGTTTGAACTGAAGAATCGTTATCATAGCTCTTTGAGTCTCTTTAGACACCGTTGCTATGTCCCATGGATGAGAGGCTTGAACATCTTTGCCACATCACGTCTTTCCCTTAGGTGAGAGCGCCGTGATTCCAGCAGCAACGCCATCTGTGGTTTTGACAATTATCGCGGTCGCGAGGTAGATCTTGCTCGGCGGAGTTAGGTTCAGCCAAAAAGCAGCTTGAAGCACAGATCAAGCGGCGTCGATCACGCCGTCGTGGAAGGCCAACCGCCAAGAAATTTGGTGTCCGATTTCATTTGCCTTCGTATTAGATCTAATCAGGGCAGTATCTTCAGCGTAGAGAGCCTATATGTGTGCAGCCTCCTGAGGTGGCTGATGTCTCTGAGACCCTCCTATCAGGCCAGCTCTGTAACCTTGCAACTCGAGAAACTTGGAACAATGATCTGTGGACTTTTTTTGTGTCTTGACTAATGGCGGGAAGACGGAGAGAAGCAGGCCATTCTCACTTGGGGTGTCGGATGACGGTGTCTTTGACTTGCTCAACACTGCGCGCTCATTAGCGTGGCCTTATTGTTGAAATACTCCCCATCGTTCTCATGGACAATAGGCCTTGCTTGATCTCTCATGTAGAATCAACCGCTTCTCGGGTAAGTGCGAACTCCTGTAGCACTGATTTTGCAACCGCCATCTGGCTTTTCCATAATGCAGCGTGGGTAATCATCTTGTCGTGTACCAATAGTGCAAAGATAAGCCCTCTTTGGAGCGCTGCAGCGATGCCATCCTCTACAATTGCCGGCATTTGGTGGCTTGTAGGAGGCCTGTGGCTTGTATGGCAGGGCTGTGATTGGGAGGTTGCGAATATTCTCATGATGATTATCAGTTCCATCAGAGGTTCTAAGAAGCCGCGAGCCCACAGTGTCTGATAAATGCATTTTTTTCAGCTGGGGAATGTGTCTTCTGAGTAGTCTTCTGTCGACGCAAGCGCTTGCTAGAGTTGCGCTGGTGTTTGAAGAGGTAATTCGTGTGAGGTGTTGTTAGAGAAGAGCTCTACATTCAGCTTCGCGAGAAAAGATGTTGGCGAGAAAATTGAGGTGTGCCCCAGAGGACCCGTAGGAACACACGGTTGAAGACTGCGCTCAAGGTGAGAGTCGGATGTCGTCGTCTGTGATAGAGATGCCGATCAGGCTGCTCAGCCCTGAGAGGTGACGTTTTGCTCACGCATTTCTCACGCATTCAGAGCGGCGACTATTTAGGCGTAACAAATTCGAAAGTTGGCGAAGATGGTGGGGCTGAAAGGCGGTTATTAGCTTTGCAACATTTTCTCAACAAATATCAAGTAGTACTCACGCGAAACCTGCCATATAAGGGATCAATGAAGAACAGGAGGAATGAGAGGGGCATACAACGTGAGCTCTGCTCCCACTTCATCATCGAAAGCCTGACTACGTAGCCAGAAAAATCATTGAACTATTAGATAACGAGCAAAAACAACGAAAAAAAGGACCACCCTGGGTGGAGGAAATGTTCCAAAGGTGGGTCACATTGGGCACACGTGATACGTACGGCCGCTTTGTCATACCTCTAGTTACACACTGGGTGTTCAAATGATCACAGCAAGGTTGTCAAGCACCTACAAGTAAGTGCAAAGCAGCTGGAGGTTTTTAAGTTGGGGTGGAAACGGCCAGCTTCTAAACGCCGAAGTCATTTAGGGCCTAATGTTCATGCCGCGATTTTGGTCAGTGAGCTGCATTCAAGCGTAACAAGCCAACATCAGCAATTACCCCATGAGGTAACATACCTACCTATGTGCCATACGTACTATTACAGCGCTCCAGCTGGTTGACCCATTCCTAAACCGGTACTCGTAACGAAGTACGGAGTTAGCTCGATGCCATCAAGCGGGCATTGTTGAACTAGTACCTGGTAGTGGTAGATCTGATCCACCAGCGAATCGAGCCTTGTATGTATTCGGAATAAATCGTGTGACATTGACAGCTTTTTCCTTCAGTACTTGTACTAGTACAAAGGTACCTACTTTACCGCTCAGATGGCCTAATGCCGGATGTAAAGTCCAATATTACCTTATTCGACGATCAAACAGACACGCCAATGAATATTGGATGATGGTTTCATCATCATAGAAACCAACTCTACCAACCTTGCCAAGGCTGGGCTGTCGCATCGTCGTCGAGCCTTTAGTACTCGTCCAAACCGTCAGAACGACCCATATTGGATACAGTATATACACGTAGATGTCTCTTTTTTTCACAGGGCAGATGTGGACATGATCGCGATAAGCCATCCGTCAAAATTGTGGGACCCCCGATGACGCGCGATCTTCAATCTTATCTCCAGGATCGCAAAAATGTGCAACCACTTGGTAAATGAGTGAAATTTTGTATCGTTTCCTTCACCTATCAGAAATTTGAACACGGCAGTTTATAGAATGTGCCGATCGTAGGCAGTCGAGACTAAGGCAAGATAATGTAATGACGCCAAGGTGACGACTGCAAGCCTTCCCACCCTTGCCACCTCGGCACTACAGTAGGGCAAGTAGGGGTACTCGTTGTCTGCTGTCAAAATGGTTCCTGGAAGGACATCAAGCACGGGCATCCATCTTCAACACAAGATCAAAAAGTTGCGGAGAGAAAGGGACGGCGATTTCGATATCTTCCTTGTGTTAAGTAGTGTCATATAAGGAAATGCTCTCGAAACTGGATATTGGGAAGCTGTGCACGCAGGGTAGATTTGTCTAGCCCATGCGAAAAGCAGCCCTCTAGGTTAGGTAAATGGCTGAAGTGACCTGATGGAATCGCCGGCTTGCATTAGGTAGTAATATTCACGATCCTGCGCCTGATTTCCCTGTTATGTGAATGAACAACAAACATTTAGAAGCAATATAGATTTTTTTTCTTCATTTTTTCGACAATAAAGCAGCCGCCACAATCTCTAATGCATCAACCATACAGCGATATCTGCATTCACCGAGACCCGGCATGAATGTTTCCCAATCACCTGTGCATTATAATCTTCTTTCTTTGTCATAATGTCACCGCCATCAGCCTTCGCACATGTCACTCCGAGAAGCAGGTCTATTGGGCGCTAGAAGTACCAAGAGAGTTTCTCGCTCAGACCATGTTCGAACGTACTAGGTACTAAGGTAGCTAGTGACGAAACTACCTAGGTATCTAATCTATAGGTTAGGTAACATACCTAGTAGTGACGAATATAGTGTACCTAGGTAGGGACAAAAGCCGTACGACCATTTTGACATAGTCGCGTCACGCTCATTTCTCGGCCTTCTACGATTCCTTCAAATAACGTCAGAAAATAGAACCTTTGATACCTTTATATCCGGAAATCGTCAAAGAAACATGAATCTACTAAGACAGCTATCGAAGCAACGTTTGCGATGCTAACTTCTGAGAAGCCTGCGCGTTGTCAGGCGCTAGTTTTCTACTCGACCTTCCTCCGCACCAAACTCGAATTCTCCATCCGTCCCAGCGACTCTATGCTCCGCAAAAACACCGCGTCTGCAACCCCGAACCCAGGAGAATTCCAGCACGTCGATACCCTCACTCTTTCAGAAGCCGCACTCGTCCTCAATGCGCTGGTCAAGTCTATACCCATCTTGCCGGGAACGGCCTTGACAGCTTTCGAGAGGGATTAGCGACGCTTCGTTAAGGGGTCTCCCTCCCGCCACAGCCTCGAACACGGACCTCGTGCCCAGCTGCGGCCCCTTCTGGGTCAAGTTTCTGGCAGACAAGCAGCTCGGCGTCCGCCAGATCCGCCAGTTTGCAAATGCGCAATCTCCAACAACCGCAAGACGGGCATCATGGTCACCTAAATGCCGCTATCTAGCGACAGCGTCGAGAACGTCGCCAAGATTGAGTGCTTCCTCGAGGACGATCTGCTCGCCAAAACTATCCACCACGAGCTCGTGGCACGGCACGTGCTTCTCTCTCGTGATGTATTGGCAAACGCAGTTGCTCGCTTAGTAGGCACCTCCTAGAGCGGGCCATAACTTGATGGCCCAGCTGTTGCGCTATACAATACAGTTCCAAGGCTGCTACTACTGTAGCTGCCACAACGCCGGAAAGCCGCTGCTGCCAATTTCTGGCTGGCTATGTAGGTAGATTGTAGACCTGCTTTCCCCATACCTAGGTAGGTAGGTAGTTAGATGATAGATTAGAGGTTTTCTGCCTGGTATTTTCCCATTCCCCACCGAGAGATAATCTAGTGGATTATGAATACTTCCCGCGCTCTGTTGACACCATGAGGCATGCGTATAAGATTCCAGCGCCAAGGCTGTATCCAAACAATGAAAGTTTTGGCCCAATTGAAAATACTTTTAGAGATAGAATATAGGTCCTGGGGAGATGCTAGCGCAGAGCTTGGTTGAGCGAAGACGGCGGTATGCATATTGCATTGGCATTGCGAGGTGCAAGTGCTCAAAACGCGCTGAGAGTTATTATGCAAATCAGCATGAGGAGCAACTGGGATCAGTGACAACTATTGACGATGTTGAGAAGAGAACCATGGTTCGTATTGGAATCTCCATGTTTCCATCTAAGTTACAAAAGTTTGCGAACGCCGAGGAAAGAAATGCACCAAGTTCAAGAGGCGGTAATTTATTCCAGCTTTGGTCCATAAATACTACCGTCACTGTACAATGAAGCCGGGGAAATAGATGAGGGCGCAAAGGCCCTCCGACATTGTGAAAGTGGATGCACCTAGCCGAACTAATTGGATACGTTAATCGTCATCAGATCGCCATAGATGTGGTGAAGGCCCAGCCCACGCCGAGAGAATGTGCGGCCAAGCGAGATTGGAAGATGCGACGGGACGACGTGGCTCAGAACCAAACCCAACTGCAAAGAGTTAAGAACGCCCTCGGAGAATTGCAAGTGGGGTCATATAACGGTAGAAGGTAGACCCAGACGTACTGAGAGAACCGCTACAGCGACGGAGACCGCGAGGAGGGAAAGCCCTGGAACGACCGCAGAGAACGGAGGACCTGGGGGCCTGGATGGGAGCTTCGTAACACGGACCACGTCGACCGTAGCGCGCTTATTTAGCGAATGTAGGAGGACGACTGCGACCACCAGAGAGGGCTGGACGGCGACCGTCTTGGAAGATATGTCACGAAGGATGCCAGCTCTACGCTACCTTAGGTACATCCATATTTACCAGCGTAAGAACAATATTAGAGTGTGAATTGAATTTTTTTTTATTTCTAGATATAATCGTTTAACAGACCACTGCAAGGATAGATGCGCTTCTTCTGTCCAACTCATTCCCAACCACAGAATGGCTTGTGGTGATACACTTCTCTCCCAACAAAACCACCCAATGGTGAGTGCATCATATTTGGCTACATAAGGCCCTTTGGGATGCCCCGACCACATATGCTCATGGCTTGTTAAGACCAAGACCTTGAATTTGTACTGATACAGGTTGTCGTATTGCTCAAGTATATTGTCCGTCATGGTCGTCTGACAACTTTTCTTCGAACAAGACCACCGGATCTGAAGGTCTTCTGTTGGCCGTCTTCATTATGAGGGACTTCGCGGCGATGATACGGGAGATATCGCCGCCGTTTGCTTGTATGATTGGGGTCCCGGTCAAGATACGTGGTTTTTCACCTAGAGCGCATGGATTAGTGCAAAGTTTCAAGCACGATGATCTGGCCACATTCTTACCTCTTCCTATATTGATTTGCACCATGATATTCTCACCAGAGGCAGGATCGATAATTGATCATGCATCGTTACTTTAGCCTGTACGCATCGATATGTTGATATTAATCTCGAGTGTGTGACCGATCTGGATCTTCTTCCACGTGATGTTAATTGACATGGCTGACGTTGTGATTCTTCTCAGAAACCAGGCTGCCCTTCTTGCATCGTATAGGGAACCAATTTTTGCAAGCCGTCTGAGGGATGGAACAAGTTCATCATCCATGATATAGCGACAGCTCGTGGCACTCGATTTCAGAAAGCTCTCTATCGAGAGGCTGATGGTCATCTCGTGCAGCTTGTCATTGGTCAAATTGGTCTGCGGGCCTTATTTCTCAAGAGTGATCCGTTTCCAAGTCCCTGACCCGACTTTAGTTGGTGGAAGATGAATTCATGGTGAAGGATGCTCTTCCGCAACAGAAGTTGTGTCACCAAAAGAAGAGGAGTTGAAACGCCGAAGAATGGGAGAAGGCAATGTAGGGCAGAATTGGCGAGTTTATTCTGAAGAGGAAGAGCCCGTTTGCTCTCCGTTTGTTTTGTATCCACTTCGATATTTCTTGCGTGTTGCACCGGGCCATTGCAAGTTATGCAAATCTTGCAGTCACACTTCTCACATGTTCTAGTTTCTCTGTGAATGAGTGGTGGGAGGATAAACGCTGAGCAGTTGGGTAGATAACAGTAGGTTCGGTTCTTTGTGTTGGAAAACTGCTTCGGTGGCTTCGTCCTCTGGGCATTCGTCTTCGTGAGATGGGCCTTGCAAATTATGCAAGTCTTGCGCTCGCACTTCTCACATGTTCCAGCATCTCCGTGGATGAGCGAGGGGGATAAACGCTGAGAAGTCGGGCAGATAACCGTAGGTTCGGTTCTTTGTGTTGTACTCTGGCGTCTTTGTTTCATACTTGCTGATTTGTTCGGTAGAGAGAATATCTTGACAAAGGCTGAGGGGAATGGTCTGGCCACAACATCGAGGAGGAAAAGTATATTCGTTGAACATGGCTAATTCAAAAAATTCCTCAAAGCATCCGTGGCAGTAAATATGAGAGCATAGTCCCATCAGAGCCTGAATGAGAAGAGTTTCTTCCATGCGGGCAACACAGTTTCGTTCGTTGGTTTCACTTGGTTCGTCGACGATTATGGCTTGCTGGTTTCACTGCTTTCTGTTTCTAGATTGTATTCATTGAGTTGGCTGACTTCATTGTCCTGGTTCATATCCTTCTCTTTACTGGTGTGAGCGGCTTCTTCCGCAGGATTGGCTTCGGTAGCTACTGTTAATTCGTTGATTTGCTTTTCTTGTTTGGATGAAGATTCGGCCGCGGCTCGAGACTTGTAATCGTATGCTAGGCCGATACAAACTGCTCGCACACGTTGCGATATAAGTATAGCTTTGCCAGGTTGCGTAGCTCGCGCTGGTAGATCATTGCTGCTGCTTTACGGTCGGGAGGCGTGTCACCCAGACGATTCTTTCCTTTGATGAGCAACTCGACATCTTGGATCTGCAAATTGACGATCAGCTGCCGCGTTTATTGGTCGGTCCTGTCATCCATCTTTGCAGGTTTGGATAGGTTGTGGGAGAGAGAAGAACGGAAAGGTGCGAGGCGTACCTACGTGAAGGAGGGTATTGTGATTTTCTTGCTAGTGGTCCATGCACAAGCAACTGAGGATGATTCAATGTGCAATTCACTTTTGAGAAATGAGACTCGCTTAGAAAGTGACTGTGGTAGGTTCGATGGCGCGGGTGGGAAAAAGAAGATTCAGGTGTATTTTGGGCTGCTGGGTTGCTGCCAAGTCGAAATAGAAAAGCTAGACCTTAATTAATGATTGAACTTGCGTACCAAAGGTATTCGGGGCTCGCAAAGTGTTCGAAGTTGTCTAGTAAAATTGGTGCAAGATGACTTTTGAGAAATGAGGCTCGCTCAAAAGTAACTGTTGCAGATTGGATATAACGAAAGGGAAGAAGATTCAGATAGTGCTGAGTTGCTGCCAAGTCGAAATTCAGAAGCTAGACCTTAGTTGATGATTAGGTATCTCAACCACTGACTGAAGTCCGAATTCGTCGTGCTGATAGTGAGGCTTGCGGGTTCGCCAGAGCAAAAGGTGCGTGTGTTTCCGGTAGAAGTTGGGCAATTCGTTCCTGAGTAAAGAGGCTCAAGTAGAAAGTAAGTTTTGCGGGGTGGATAGAAAGAAAGAAAAATGGCGAGTCTCTTGGCCCGTCTGATCGTCCATCTTTGTAGAGCTCGATGGGCTATGGGCGAGAGAGGAACGGAGAGGTGAGAGCCGGAGGCGAAGCCATTGTGATTGTCATGTGGGTGGTTCGAGCACAACCAACTGATGATGATTTAATGGGCAATTCACTCTTGAGTAAAGAGGCTCGCTCAAACAGTGAATGTTGCAGTTTCGTTAGGACGAAAGAAAAATGGCGAGTCTCTTGGCCCGTCTGATCGTTCATCTTTGTGAGTTCGATGGGCCGTAGGAGAGAGAGAGACGAACGGAGAGGTGAGATGCATAGGTGAAGGCATCATTAATCCCTTGTGGGTGGTTTATGCGCAAGCAACTGATGATATATTCATCCATCTCCATGCTTCCCATGTGATTACGCCTGGTAGTGATGCGAGGTATTGGTACATGGCGTGCATCGTTCTGTAAGGCAGATTGATTCCATGACAGTTGTTGTTGGTAATGGAAGAAACGGAAGGAAAAAAAAAAAGAAGGTACAAGAAGGAACAGAAGAAGAAAAAGAGTAGTTGGCTAGTACAACGGGTAGCCAGTCTCCCGTTTAATATTGTGTCTGTAGAGTTGTGATTCATATCGGGAGGGAAACCAACAGTGAAAAACTGACAAAGGTTCCGGTGCCCAATGATCAACAGAAGGTGTCGCTAATCAACGAGAGGCGGAGGTAGGGGTCGGTGTGGATTCGTAGAAGCCGAACAGCGTATCATCCGTTCTGGGTTGAGGCGAGTCTCGAGTCAGTCGTGTCAACGAAAGTGCACTGTTCGTCATCCTCATTAAATGGATCCTTACAAATAATTTAAGTGTTGTAATAACACTATCGATGTCTTGTAGTGTCCGTTTGTTGGTTGACGAAGGAGAGCACGTCGTCCAGGGTGCTTTGTACTCTCTGATTTGTTCTGTAGAGAGAAAACTTTGCCATCGCGTTGAATGGGGGAGAGATTCATCGTTTCTTGCCGCATTGAATAACTATACCATATATCTATAGCAGTATCTGTCAGAACATGATTGCGCAGTTTTGATGGATGGAGCGTCTCTCACACAGGCCACGCAGCGTCGTCGTGCATTGGGTTTCATTCAATTCGTTCACCTCATCAGGTGTGATCAAGCCAGCTGGATTGGCTGATTGCATAGTCGTTGCATGGTCAAATGCTAGTACGCTCTGTAAACAAGGTTAAAACCCCTTATGAGAGGATGCGACTGAGTAAAACTTACCCATGCAGAATGTCAACACAATGGCATGATCTGATGATCAAACAGATAGCTCTGAAGGAGCTCCCTTTTTGGGGGGAAGGGGGGCACACCGAATCATACTGGCGATCGTGATCGGGTGTGGATAAACGTCAGGCTTGCCCAAGCTGACATGTAATCCGTGTGTGTTGAAGGCGAGGCGGCGAAAGAGGCTGCCTAAAGAGGCGTTGATGCGCACTGCGACGATCTGATTAGCGATTCCCGTTCTGGAGTTTGTAAGGATGAATCGAGCAGTTGGAGGGGAAATAACCTCCTTGGGCAGCACTTCTGGCGTCGATGAGGCAGTCTCTACATGGTATGAATGGTGAGTGGTAAGAGTGGTAGGATGGAATGGATATTCAAGTTCAAGGGTTCCTTTCGCTGGTGGGATCTGTGCTGATTAAATACAGCACGGTAGGTAGACAAATTACCGTGCTGTATGACATCCATCGTCAAGTGAATTTTTCAGGGCACTTGATTCACTTGGGCGACGGCAAAGTACCAGACATCTGTAGGTAGCCTTGTGCGCTGGCATAATTGGGCGGGGTCGATTAGGTACCTAGGTACATACTATAGGTGCATGCCACATATAGATAGGTACCTCCACTGTAATATTGAACGGGCAGGCCATGATGAGGCTAATACTGGGCGTGCCCGCTATTCACCGCCTTGATGTAGGCACCCTGTGTGCTATAATCCGCAGCCTGTGCCCGCCCCTACATGCATTCACCGGGCGCTGTTATGTACCTAGCCCTACAGCATCTCGTGTGCTACATACTTGTCCACGGTAGAATCCGCAACCTGTGCCCGCTATTCACCGCTGTTATGTACGCGCCTGGCGTGCTACATGCCACAAGACCTACGTGTCCTAAGGCAAAACACAGACCTGTGCTCTGTACGAGCATAGGGAGATGCGAAAGTAGACTCATTTCCGTAGGAAGGTGGCGCTTGTAAAACAGCCGTTAGCCATGTAGCCTTCTTTGTCTCTTTTCTCGCCGTATTCGGGGGTTCTAAGCTGCGCGAGTTCGAACTTCGCCAGATCCTTGTGCGCACTGAGAAGGCGTTTAACGACCTCAACGTTGTCGTTCTGCTTGAAGCGCGCAAAGTGATTAAAAGAGTCCAAAGTTTACGAGGGAACTCCATGGTCAACCATCTATCGAGAAAACTCCCTGTCATAGAGCTCCAGGGACTGTCTTTTTCATATTCCGTCCCGTTTACATTCTTGCTATGATCCGGCGCTTTGCGACCAGCCCGATGAGGACGAGCCTTCAAAGCCTTTAAGCCGATAATGGTCTTGTAAAACATTCGTAGCAGCATTGTGGGAAGATCCAAGGTGAGTATTAGCCCAAAATGAATGCCTCACATTTTCCTCGGGGCCGGGGATCGACCAAGAACATCTCGACCTCTCTCGTGCAGTTAGAGTTGAAGAGCGTGTGGTTCAGCTAATAGGGCGAAACGTACCAATTTTGACACAATCGAGTGCAAATGTATTCCGCAACAACGCATTTGTCAAATCCACTTCCGACTGGCCCCCTTTTGTCCATATAGCAATTCCGCAATCGAAGTTTGGCATCTGCTCGATACGCGTACGCAGCCCTGTTGGCCAATTTAATCCCGCTGTTCTGAATTACATAGGTACCTGTAGATTGCGACCCCGCCCCACCTGTTGTTATGTTCTCATTCATTCCAACTTACCTGTCCATGGTACTTTTGAGCCCAGGTACTTACTCGCTCGTTCTCTGATCCTCAGTTCTGCTAGCATTGCCAAAAACCCGTCTCTGTTTGCCAAAAAGTCACATCGCCAAAGCGACGGCGATTACCATCGGACGACACTCGCGTTCCCCATCGCCTCCTCCACTCTACTGCCCTCGCGGTGTTCACTCAGATCGACGAAACCTACCCGAACATTGCTCCAGTGGCTACGACCTTGGTCGTGATGATGACCACAATGAGGGGCTCACGAATGACGAGAGATGCTCGCGTACCCTCTTTGACAACTGCTATGCTGCGCGGACTGGTGAGCTGAAAGAGTTCTTCGAAATGGGTTTGTGATAATCGCCTCTATTTGAGAAGACATTGAAAAGCACATGAAGAAGAACATCAAAAGCATCGTATTCACTCCAAATTCTGTGGGCACAATCTCTACCCTTGAGGAAGACATGAGACAATTATGGAAGCATTAGCTTGTCTGCACAGCCATGGCATTTGAGGTTTGTCCCACTCGACCCATCCCTTGATGTTAACATGCCCCCTGGCCGCTGACCTATCTACCTCGATATTCCTTTGTTCATCTTCCGTTCGCCTCTATTGCCACTCCCTGATAGTTCTACAATTCTTTATCTCAGCTTGTTGTTTTGCCGCGTACTACTGCAACCGGTGAGCTTTGTCCTCTCCTTTTATTCTCTTCTGAAGCACCAGTTGGCAGGACCGCATATTTTTGCTCACTCCTTTTTACGCCTTGTTAGTTATTCACCACCTACCTCTCGAATCAAGAGCTCTCCTATCCAGTTGGCCACGTTACGTCAGGTCTCGAGGCGTGAGAGGTGTATTTGAAGTCCACCGAGAGATGTTTATGCGGATACGAAGTGCCGGGATACCCGATCTGTCAGAAGGTAGTGTGCTCCATGAAGCTTGTCCAAACAGAGGGAGTTCCTGTTCTGTTGACTATTCAAGCTACCAGCTGTATCATCATCGCTAAATTCTTGAATACACAGGAGCCAAAGTGTAAATCTCACCGCTTGCCGTTGACTAGATCACAGATGACCGCCTTGGTTGCATTCTCGATGGCGAGATCGGGCTTGGTGAGCACACCTAAGGTGCGTGTTCCCTGGGGATCAGCCTCGGCGGCAAGTCGAGGGATCTTTTGGTTGGCAATGTCGCCGTTGCAAGGAACATCTGTATCCTATCCCCGAGAAATCTTCGTTGATTAGGTAGTCTATTGTAAGAAAAGTGTTGGGGGATACAAGGAACATCAGGTATGTGAGACATGAACGTTTTGTAGCTTCTCCTTTTTTGAACTTTGTCTACCTTATTTTCAAAATGATTTTTAAGAGGTTGATCTAAAGTAGGTATATAAAGCTGACGTCGCCTCCGCAGGTGCTCAGGTATGATATAGTCGTCCTTGCATCAATCACCTATTGATTCTCTTCTAGCAAACTGACCAGCTACTGTTCCTCCAGGTATGTTTACCAGGATTCCAAAGCTCACATGTCCTGGTAAGCCATAGCGTCAACAGAAAACGACCATCACGATGACGACGACAATAATAAATAATTCAAGTATTCATATAAACAGCTCCAGATGCAGTCACCGAACAAGTTCTCGACCCGCATCTACCAGTTTGGCCTTATGGTAGCCGATCCATCTGGCTACTCACCGTCGTCAGAAGAAGCACTCCCAAGGTTGAAGAACCCAAACCTGCTGCTAGCGCTTGGCCCGCGAATCCCATTACACGCGAATCGCCGCCTGCTGCGCGAAGTAGGCGCAACGGCTGACTTAAGCAAATACCATGTCATCACTCTGGTCCATATCCAAACGGCTATATGGGATAGCGATGGGTTTACCCCTGCGGTACCCCAAGGAAGAAAGCAAAAGGGAACATGACGCTCGCCACGACCGCGAACATGCCTAACGTGGGACAGGACAATAGCAGCCAAGCAATATACTCCCTCATGAATGCATCTCACGGGCCATGCAACCGCACAAGGCTCCAGAACAGCGAAGAACACCAATAGATGGTGGTAGAACATTTAACAGCTCAAATCCAGACGCAACAAGGCCGTAAGCATCTCAAGCTCTGCGAGCGAGTCTAGTAAAGATAAATAGTTGTTTTCATGTCCAAGAAGATATCGATCCTTGTTTCAAGACGGGTCGCTGGTAACCCTTACGCTAGCGACGTTGCAGATACGCAGTCCTCCGTCGACCGTTCATGTCTGAGACGTTTATGTGAGAGAACGAGGACTCTGGTGTATCACAATACGTCTACATAAAGTGACACTCTCAACGCCCCAAAAGACGAGAGCGAATGCTGGACTTAGAAATACGCCATAAATCCCTCCAATAAGCGACTGAGATCAATCTCTATCTCTGCCGCGGCTGCTGTTGTATAATGGCGCTACACAGACCCATATCTGTTTCCTTAGATTATGTCCAGCTGCAGGATTGCTCTCAGCAACCATTGTTGCAAACTTCTTGAACAATCGACTGCGGATGGATCAAGAGGTAAATGAAGGTAGACTACAAGCGACTTAATCCAAATTATCCGGGACAATGATTGCAATTGTATATCGACGACACTCACATAGGAAAGCCCCGAAACATATTATTTAGGATACACTCCGTAGGTGCAACTGGAAATTTGACCACCACAAACAAGGCTAAGAGCTAACAAGAGACGCCAGCATATGCAGGACCAGCCAAGGAGGTAATCTTGCAGCGCCTTGAATTGCGAAACCGTTATGGTCAGATTGCGGCACAATCTATCGTAATTCCTTGAAACTTGGGTGCATTGTGTGGAGAAGAAAATGGAAAAGGTTTTGGAATACAAGGACAAGATCGAGGGGTCCTTTGGACTTAATAACTAATATAGAGTAGATTACACAGACTATATAATTCTTAGCATTGCTATCATACTCTCTTTCTCAGATTGACATGTTGAATAAGAAATCATCTCTCCCCGTGCGTTTATGATTCTCCTTTGCCTCGTTCCTTTTGCTCCTCTCTCTCACTGGTGCGTGCGCAACCAAACTCGACGCGACAGATGTTATATCATCTCCATAATCTCCTCCTTGGCTCCCCGCTACCGAAAGCGTTCTCGGGGTAAAACTCCCATGTTCTGGAACGCCCTCGGCGTGCAAAGTACCACCATGCTGCGTATTGAACATAGCTCTTCGCGCTGGCGTCCTTAAAGGTTTCGACGCTCGTCTCCTATGATCGTGGGAACTTCCAGCAGGTTGGTTGTGGCGAGAGTCTCTTCTCGTGCTTGTAGCCGGAACATTGCCCCTTTGTTTTAGGAATTTCTGCGGAATGCCAAACATTCCAGCGGCCCTCCTCGGTACATCATCTTCAAATGCCCCGTTGACAGATCCTTCAAAGGTGTAATATCTTTCAGCGGGAGAATCCTCTCGAGTGGAGTTACGGCGGTCTAGGATGATGCTGAAGACTGTAAATGTGAGACAAGCGAGGATGGCGATGGATATGAGGAGACAGACAAAGAAGAGGATTGGCCAGAGGTGATTGGGAAGCATTTTGGAGATTTTTAACAATTACTAGGAGGGAGTTGGGCTTCTTCGTGACATTTGAGAGGGTAGAGATGTGGTGGATAATATATTGTAGAGTTTCATTCATAGTCACTGTTGTGTTCTTGATGATGAACAAATGTTTGCAACATCACAAATACTTTGTTACTTTCGTATACACGTAGACATTGATTCACCTATAATCCTCCAGTTTCAACATAAACTACACCCCAAATCATCTTCAGTATCCTCTTATGTGCCATTACAAGTTCGTTGACATCTCACTCATCAGAGGGGTGAATCACCTACATCGTAAGCCTCAAGTAACACGAGCGAATCAATGATCTTCACGGCCATCAGTCCGCGATATCTTAAAGGTCACAACTGTGTACCACGTTGCTCTATCTTATCCTATAATATAAGTTTCTAAAGATGTCTCTTATACACAGAAATGGCATGGAGATGTTGATTCTCACTGAGCGACTGATAGATGGGACAATGAGGCTGATGGATCAACTGAAATGTACTATAACTAACAGGTCCTTAAGGACGACTGACTAAGAGAGGCTCATAAATGAGATCTATACGTCATACTAACTACTACTCAACTCACCTAGTTGATGGTGCAATCACTGCCACCTTACAGGGAAAAAAACACAAACTTTTCATCGGCCCGATTGCCGTCCCGTCATAACTATCCATGCCTTAAACCAAACCTCATAGAGATTCCCATCTCGCAAATCCATACTAACGAACCCATGACATGGGACAAAATATCGTCGGCTTACTATACTAGTCCTCCATGTCCTCGTCCATGGCATCTGGTACCTTTGCTTCCGCATTGTTGTCATTCGCCTGTGCCTCTGCATCGTCCACCATGTTGCTGACGTGAGAGTAGCCTCTCTTCCGGTGACGTCGATCCTTGTTTTCTTCTAGTAAGCGACGGATGGAACTTAATTCGGTCTGGATGGCTATTTGCCCATCATATAGTTCCTTGTGGACATCGGCGTACGCCCTTGCCTTCCACTTCTCCTCCATTCTTAAAATATAACGGCGGATCATGGCTGTTCCGTCACGAAGCTTGCGATGCACCTCGCTACCCTTGACGTTTTCATTATGTTGCATTTCTTCGAGTTCGTCGATGATCATGAAGATTGGCTCTCTGGCCGACAACTGAGGCTGTCTCTGTACCAGTTGCGGCTCGTCCCATTCGTACGTCTCCAGGTCTTCGGTAGCCTCTTTCACCCACAGCTCGATTTCTGGTTTCCCTGCTTGCCTACTCCATGTTTTCAGCCATTTCTTGTACGTGTTGGGCAATACTATGACTATCTCCCTGCTGAGAACTGCTGCAAACTCATCGTTGACCGCTGATGACCAAATCTCCTTCTGTATCTTGCTGCAATAGGGTGTGATCACTTGCATTGCCTGCGCCCTGGTAATATTCTTACTTGCCGTGATTGCCGTCGGCCATGGTGTAGCTTCCCGGGGCCTGTAGAAAGGCGTCTCGGACGGCTCGCTCTCAAGCATAATACCAGCCTGTTTCTTGGTGCCATCCACCTCAACGGATGTACGCGAGATTGATTGGGTAATAGCCATCTCATTGTAGTCATCAGGGATTCCAGCCTTGTCCTTGTCCGCTATTTGGCTCTTATCTTTGGGCTTCCAGTTCGGCAAAGCGTGCTTGGTCGGCATAATCATGTTTCCACCCTCTTTGAAGTACTTGACTGATGCGTGCGCAAACTCGAAGACCTTGTATTTGATCATTTGCTGTGTAAGAGCATCCGTGCCATCCGTGTCAATCATTCGAAGACACTTGACAACAATCGAGGCCACGACGCTTGTAGCCGGCAAAATATGATACTTGCCCTGTTGCTCGGATGCATCCACGATGCCCTTTATCTTGACATACACATCCTTGTAACCACCCCAGTAACTCCATTTATGTGCTTTGAGGGCACGCGTATCTATGCATTTGGAGACGCACGCTTTGAAACAGTCTGGGTAGTCCGCGGGTTGGAGACGAAGAAGCTGAAACGCGCCGTCGACCAGGGTCTGGCAATATTTTTGTTCTTCATCCGAGTTCAGGTTCATGGTGTCTATAGCGTCAGCACCTTTGTATCCTTTTTGCAAAGTCCTGTACTTCAGCTGTATTCTCTCCAAATCTCTCTCAGTCCATCCCTCGGGAGGGTCCGAAACCTCGACCGTTGAGATATCATAGCGTTTTTTGCCCATGATCGTCTCGCAATACCATTCGTTTTGAGGGATATGACGTGCGTATTGATGCTGTAGAATCGCGTTCGTCAAGGACTATAAAGTCGTGTTGAAGTGCATGAGACGGGGAGAAGGCGAGCAAGAGAATAGAGAGGATGCTCAGACGTTAGTGAATCGGATGCCATTTAATAAAAAAAGAAACGAAAAAAATAAATCAAGAACTGCGCACCTGGCTAATATTCCATGCGTTTGTTGGCAGCCGTCCCGCCCAGACCAGGGGGTTCATCAGCCTTACACCTTTCCCAGGAATCACCATGTCAATCCGTTTGACGCGAACGTCACTTTCAGCATGCAGACATTGACTATCGAGAGTCGTAGACTAGGAGAGCGAGTATAACAATGTTAAGAACCTCAAATTTCGTTTTAACACTCGAGCAGTCTATTCCGTGTTTGAGCCGAAAAGACCTTTTGCGCCTTGTCTGTACATTTCTAACCTTTCCCACCCTTTACGTAAAGTGAATGCAGAGAGGGTGTATGCATAATCTTAGCTTTGTTGTGGGGGGTTTTCCAATAGTTAGATACAATACACTTCTTTTTACATGATGCAGCATTCCGCTTCAATTGTGACTTCATGATCTTGTAGTTGAAGTCGATGCGGTGGCACAAAATGTTTGGCCAAACTAGTCCAACGTCCATTTCTAAGAAGGATTCTTCGACTGGTTGCGGAATAAGATCATATCCGCTGTGTATATGTTGATTGAACATCCGAGTTGCTTAATTTGTAAGCGATGGCTTAGGTTATTTGTTCCCTGTTAGATATTCCACGATGGTGTATAGCGGTGTATACAGTGAGTATACATGCATATACTAGCACCTACCCAAAATGAATGTTGGTTTTCTAAGTTCTCCAGGCTGGGTAGCTAGATGTGCATAACTGGGCCAAAGGGTGCTGATGGCATTGCCATGGCGTTGTAGCAACATGATAATTTAAGAATGCTCGTACCTCTTCCAGGTTCTTGCCGATGGCCATCCATCTTAAGATAATGATTTTGCCAGCTGGATCGGTGTATATCATTTTGGAGCGTGATAGGGTCAATCAACGATGTTGGGTAACTCCGTTTGCGAATCCTTTTGTTATTAGTAAATGCTGATGTGTATTGCCATGGAAACTTGCTCCGTAGATGTCCACTTCTGCCTTGGATGTAGTGCGAGAGACGTATAGAAAGACTTTGATCTAATCGGTGGTCTTGCTGTTAATAATATCCTTGGATGAGCCTATAGATGGTAAGCACGACCTCCAAGCTTTATCCTTACACTTCGCTATTACATGGGGTTAACTCTAGTCTGGGCTGAGGCTTGAGGGAAGGATATGCTAAAACAGCGATGCAACCTTGTATGTCACTATGAGGGGATGGAGGGAAAATAACACTGCCATCATCTCGGACGCTGTCCTTAACTGGCGGAGAGAGAAAAGTGCCGCTGTCATCTTGGCTGTCATTTTCAGAGATAGGATTGAGTAGCCGGCCTCTTTGACGCTTTGGAAACGGAGAGGAAGCAATACGTTTGTCTCCTTCGACCCCGTCTTCCGCAGGGTACCTAGGTATGTACATGTAGGATTGAGTCACTGGCTTCGCCGACGGTTTGGAGCCGCTTCCCGATCAATAACGAAGAATCCCTCGCACTGAGAGAAATATTTCCTACCACTCACCTCCTGGAGGAAATGAAAATAGCGTACGGCTAGCTATGACGTATTTGCCAACGAGTCCATGGCACCTGCAAATACCCAGCAGAACACTTAGCAATAGAGTACTCGTTACTATCTTAGTTTGACTTGCCTTTGCATGAGCATCGAATCATCGCCATTGCTTGTCTGAGTCTCCTTGTGTGGAATTATGGTGCCTCTGGCGATAGGTCTGATCGTGGTATGTACATCGTCTGTGAGCATCTCTTTGTTCACTGTCGCTTTAATGCGCTGGTTTTCACGCTGTTGGTCTGAAGCTATCTGATAGTGCTTGATTCTATGGCGGGATGTTGGGAGAAGTAGTGAGAAGGGTTGAAAATAAGTGAAATAATGCAACAGGCACAACACATAGAAACCGAGTAAATCTAAAGCAATCTTTGACAGCTGTATGGGCATCTCGAGAGTCCATATGCCTACTGTTGCCAGCTGTCTGACAGTTGAGTCCGTTCGAGAAGCCTCACTGGATATCTCAAACCTTCCCTCAGCCTTGCGTGTTCTACCAGGAGTCATCAAGATATTGTTCTTTGGAACATCCTTCACTTCTGCCACCTCAAGCTGCAGCGCATACAACGATGCCGTCCGTTTACTTGCCTCATACCGTCGCACTAACCTTTTCTCACCGTTCTTGTTTTCCATTTCTTGGCATCTCTAATTCTCACTTCATATATACGACTCCGTTGCTCGCGAAGGGATACTCTCTTTCCAGCTCTTCTTGCGTTTTGACCAGTTCTTCTTCCTTTCGCGCCTTGCTTGCTTCCTGCTTGGCCAAGTTTACCCGTTTTTGTTTTCTAGCCTGGGCATCAGACTGACAGATCTTTTGGGCGAGGAGAGTTTCTTTCGTTCTTCTCTTTGTGGCGCTACTGGCGCCATTTCCCCTCTCCTGCGCATGATGCCAGCATAGACATAGGGTGAGGTGAACTAGCAGGAATTACAGTATTTTTTATTGGTCTCAATGTGTCCCACTTGTTCATAAGTGAGTATTGGCTTTTACACTACTCTGATAATAACTATATATACACAGAGATCTCTATACACCTAAATCCTTCAGATTGATCAATATGTGTATCGGAAATCGGGTCCAGCATCCTCCTAAGCTCAAGTCAGTTATTTATTCTGAGATATGAGGAAAACAAACAGCCGAGCTGCTTGTCTCTCCTCAGTTGGCTGAACTTACATCATGATCTTCAAGCAAAATGCCTTCTCTGTCTGCTTTGGTGTTTGCTTTCCAAAAGCCAAAATCGAGGAGAAGAACCAGAATAATAATTAATAGAGAGGATCCTATTGAGGCATAGAGGCCGGGCTTATAACCGGATTGGGCATCTTGCTCACGAAAGACAAGACTTCCCGCAATGCCTCCAATGCCTCCAAACCCAACGAGAGTAGCACTGCAAAACGCTCGCTTCCACTGCCCGCGCACGTTGTTCGCCTGTAGTGACATGGTAGCGGGGATATTGGCGTTGGCACCAGCCGTGACAAGAAAGACGCCGAAATAACGAACACCGGGATGAGGAGCCCAGCCCATAATGGGCAATCCGATGAGGCAGAGTACCATGTTGAAGATGATGATGGGGCCTCTCATTTTTAGCTTATCACCAACCCAGGCGCCAAGAAGCATCACAATACCAGCCAGGGCGTACGGTGGAGCAACAAGACATTGCGATGCCCCAACGGAAAACTTGAGGCTTCGGGTTAAAATCAGGGGGAGGGTGAAAGCCAGCGAATAAGTGATTGTGGTCGAAAATCCGAAAATCCTGTTTCCTTTTTAGCCTCCTGGCTATGACATGTGATGGTGAGAAGACTTACAATGCGTAAACCCAAATTTTCCAGTCAGTACCAGCGCCAAGGAACTTGCGGAGGTTGAACGGAGGTATCTTTGAATCGCCGCGATCGCGCTGAATACGGTGGACGACCCAGTCAAGCTCGCGTTGACCGAGGAAATTCCATGTCAGACGTTTTGAATCGGGAAAGTCGACAAGGAGCCAGTAACCGATGACGGCGAGGGCGCATGTGAGGGTGCCTTCGATGATAAAGATCCAGCGCCAGCCGGTGAGGCCTTCACGACCATTGAGTTGCATGAGCTATTGATGTTATAAGTTTCTATTAATACTCCATGAACACATAACATTAAATGACTTACACCATAGGCAAGGATACCGGCAAAGGCCGAGGCGACGCAGCCCAAGAGATAAAACATGGAATATCGCCTTCCAACCTCGTAACGTGTATACCAGGTCGAAAGAAGGTAGACACAGCTCGGGAAAAATCCCGCTTCGAGGACACCAAGAATTACTCTCATCGCCGCAAGTTGCTCGAAATTCTTGACAAAGCCCATGCCAATCATGACGGCGCCCCAGAGCAGCGTGATGACAGCCAGGTGGGTGCGAGGCCCAATCTTACGGATAAGAACAGTTGAAGGAGGCTGGAAGACAATGTATGTAGTAAAAAAGACGAGATTGGCAATATTCTAATACGTGCTATATGAGCATTTTGTTCTGTGAGATGTGGTGTTGAGGGAAGTCTTACATAGCGGTTGTTGATGAGGACGAGCTCCTTGGACATTCCCGCGATGTTTGCGGAGCCGAGATTTGTCCTGTCCATCAAACTCACTGTATACATGAAGCCTAAAATGACGACAAGTCTTCTATCAATCCTCTTGATAATATTCTTTTGCTCCTCGGGAGTGAAGCCGAAATCCGACTCTTGAAGGGAGATTCCCTGCGCATTGCTCTCAGAGTCACGGGACTTATCAAGCGCCGCTTCCTCGAAGCCGGGCTTCTCTGATTCAGCCATTGTGTCTGATTCCTCGCGCTTTGCGAATAATAGCAAGAGGCAGCGACGTAGTGATGATGAGGGAAACTAATGAGAAAAATAAAAAAGTAGTTGAAAAGGAACTCGTGTTGCCACGCCCGAGAGACACGGAGAGACACACGAAATGGATCGGCAGGGAGAATCACGTACACGTATATATACCTATACGTACGAGTCTATGCGTTGCCAAGATCAACCCCCCCAGCAGCTCGGCGCATATTCCGCATCTCACTGCCCATGGCATTAATAGTATATCCCACGCGGACGAGTCATATCAAGCCTACAGCTGCCAACCCTAGTTCCTCCGAGTCCTGTGCTAGCGGCCATGCTCAGCCCAGCTATCCCATGTGGCGAGCCAACGAAGAGAGCCCGTTTTGCTTCCCCTCACCCTCAGAGACAACAGCTAGGAGTAACTATAGAGCCCGTCCTCGCAAGCCATCCCTCATCCCGGTCCTCGCCAAGAAAAACAAAAAAGAGCCGGGCCTCCTCCCCCAGACTTTTCCAAGTGGGGTCCAGATTCTGGGCCGCTCTGGGCCTACCAGGTATGTACCTAGTAATAGCCTATTTTATGCTTAGACAAGGGTACAACCAGCATCGGGGGAAAGTACACCCATGTTTCCGCTAGCAAAAAGGCGGGCAAATTTGGCTATGATGCAGAGTGAGCAAGAGGTGAGATTTTGTCTTGGTTGAGATATGCATTGCCGGCCGGGTATGGATGACGGGGATTTCGAATAGGGGAGCTACAGGGGTTACGAGGCCCAAGTCTGGCAGCGTGAGACATCAGCACTCGGCAATACTGTAGATACGATATCTCGCATTCAGATAAGTGAGCAGTACCTGAGCATATACGATCCACAGAAGCATAGACTGCAAGATTACGGTAAGCATTATCTCGTTGACAACTGTCTATCAACATACAGTAGCATTATAGTCGTAAACCACGAAACAAAATCTTGTGTGTCACAATAACCTCAACCCGGCCATCATCTCCGTATTTGGAAGTTTGCCCATCCGCGGGGAAGCAAGCTAGACAAGACTCTAAGGACCCTAGCCGCGTAGCTTAAACAGCTAGTCTCGTGCATATCCCAACGTTAGAAAGGCAACAAAAGAGGCGATGCTTTATTTAGGGTCTTGGGCTTCTGTCCAGGTTGGGTCAGATTTGGCGATGCATGCGTGGCGCTTCATGCTGGGGTGCAGGGGAATGGGTAGGATTCCGTGTAGCACCAGGAAGCGAAGGAGTCGGTTGATGGATCGTCGGATGAGAGATGCTATGTAGTACTGGCATCTGCATTTTGCATGTTGCAACACAAAACTGCGCCATCCATCTTGATCCCATCTTGATACTATCACCACATCCATCATCACATCCATCCTATGAGAAACAACAAGAGTCAGTGCACACCCACAATCTCAGACCCCTTCATTCCACACCCGAAAACCAAAACAACATCCCCAGACTCTCTCCGCACTTCTTAAAAACGCCACCTTCTTCTTCCCCTCTTTTCTTCCCCCAATCCAATGAGATGCGAGTAAAGCACTGAAGATGCCGAGGCTCGCCTTCTCCCCCCTGTTCTTCTGTCCGCCCTTTACTAGAGCTAAGCCAACTTCAACAAACAAACTTCAGCTCAAGCAAGACTTACTCCAAACTGTTGCATGAAAATAACTGGAACCCAGCGCCAACATCAGTAAGAGACTTGCTAGAAAATCCCCGATTTGCTGCTCTCTTGCTGATATTCCTTCTCCGCAAGGATCTTGTCCTTCCGGTTAGTCCAAGCTGCGACTATTTATCCTTGGCATTCAGTCACCAGCCCTTCTTAACCAATTCCATCCGCGATTCAGTCAACCTGGCGTTTCGAGGCTTGGTGACGCGGCGACTCATCGCTCGACTTGGTCCTTCCGTCTCCCGTTGTCCCCTCATCCTGGCTTCATCCTCCTCGGGCATCAACAGATTGAGCAACAGACTGTCCAATGATGAATGCTTCATTATCTACTATTGCCACTTAGAAGCGGTACTAAATCCAATAGACTCCAATCAATCGAAGTCAAACAAGCCAAGCCCAGTCAAACCCGATTCCTTCCGTTCACCATGGTATACGATGCCTCGGCAACTCATGGCTCGCCCAAGGAAATGCCCTTTCTCAAAACTCCACACCAACAGAAGACACCCAAAGCTTGCATTGATCTTCTGTATTATTCGCCGGCTTGATTACCACCCCGTTGACTGTCCAAGAAAAGAAAAGACGAAACCCGTGCCAAACTGAAAGCATGCCATGATAACGCTAATGAAAACCTCATACTGTCGAGAAAATACTTAGGAAAAAGTTGAAGGCGGAGATGCTGAATAACCGGGCCACGGTCCATTCGATAACGGCACCATCTCTACACGAAGAAGCCGAATCTTCCAGCAACCGCACCACCAAATCGCTGCACATTACGCCAAACGAGACCAGCAATGCCAACAGCGGAGAAAATCTGCAGAATCTCCAAAGGACTCTTCGTCTGGACCTTGGTTTCAATAAAGTCGACCTTGGATCCAGCCATGGCGGGGAATCGTCCTGTTGTCAGGTACTGTTCCATGAGCGCGTCCTTTTTATACCACTCTGCACGCAGCCAGGCGTCGAATTCGTCTGCGTCGTCGAGAGGTATGTCTGAGAGCTTGAATCGTCGCCAGTAGAAGTTGACAGACTTGGGCGGTCGACCTTGGAGGTAGGTACTAGATAGAGTGAAGATGTTCTCGCCGTATTTGCCTCGTCTACGACATTACCAGTTAGCCATCTTTGGCATATCACGGTTTCCTTGATTGAATCAAACCATCTCAGGAGACTTACCCGACACCCTCATACGCCACTGTGCAGTCGTAGACATATTCCACCGTTCCTCTGAGTTCGTTGAGACAAAAGAAGCTGCCAGTGCTACGCGGGAGCAGCACGTGCTCAGGATCTTTCCACCCCTTCTTTTCTGCCCAACTGGCAGACTTTCGTCGACCGTTTCCGGAAATATTGGTGCCTTCGGGGAACAACAGCAACCACATGGGTATGCGGTATTGCTTCCCGCTGGGATCCGTCCTGGTCTGCTTCAGCTTCCCCAGTCGATAGGCAAGCCGAGGCTGATCCGTTGCCATCTTTCGAGACATGAAGATGAAGCTGTAAAACGTCATGCCCCAGCCAATGATGGGGATGTACTGCAGCGACTGCTTCAGGATAATGAAGATGTGGCCATGTGCCGAAGCTCGGTTGACGTAGCCAACCCACCAGAGGTACAACCAGTCGGTATAAATCTGTTGAGGCTGGTCAGCTCACTCTTGAAACATTTTCGAAGAAAACCAAAAGGTCAAAACCAAGTGTGCTCGTATAAATGAGATTGCAGGTGGGAATGGCGAATTGACAGGTGTCGATGTCACCGCATTCCAAGGCTTCTTACCTGGTGGTTCGCTATCATCACCAAACGCTCAGGAAAGTTGAATTGGACTCCACCACCTTCCATAGGACGGATTTCTCCCGCTACCGACTCATCGCCGCTGATTCGGATCGTTGTCGGGCCCCAAATCTGCGTCATCCAAGTTACGACGATGGCAAACCACCGCTTGGTCATGGACATATAGTCGTAGTATATCTCGCGGTTCACGAAATATAGCCAACACCCAAGTAGTTGCGAAACGACAATACTGCATCTCAGTAAGCATTGATTCTACTCAAGCTCATAACGCGGGCCACAGCGCAAACGTACGTCACACAGCAGGTAAGGAAGTAAACCGCGAGAGCTAGTCCTCGAAGGATCTGCACCGCTCGACCATGGGGTCTCTTGCCCGATGGATGAACATCCTGGGAATTTGCAGAGCCCTTTCCGGGGGCTTCGTTGAGTCCCATGGCAGCTGCGGGAGCGGGAATGTTGATCGCGGACCCCTCGGTATCCTTGTCAACCGCCATAAGCGTAATGTCAGAGAATACTTGTATATATAGACGGTCTGTCCACGGAGTAGCGATGAATCAAGATGCGCAATAAAGCCAAGCCTAGCAGTCTGGCATGAGCCTCAAGGCAGATCAAGGGCACTCCAGAAGAGAGGCGGTGATGTGGCTTCCTGGTGGTGAAGCTCGCCTCGCAGCAGCTATTGGGCCAGGTCAGGCAGGCAGCTCAGCCCGCCAGGCAACGCCTTTCCTGATAGGATATGCCACGGGTGTGGAGAGCCGACAGCCTCGATCGACTTGGCTAGGGCAAACGGCCAGTCAGGGCAGCTGAGCGACTCGGCCTTCAGTCAGGTGCCAGACAGAGCAGCAGGCCAACGGAGAGAGATTCGAGAGCCGTCAGAGCAGCCGTCTGCTGTTCGCTTTTCCGCTTTGAGTCAGTCGAGGTCAGACGGTGTAAGGTGAAGGTTTGGCCAGCTCGACGCAGCACATGATGACGCAGGTGTTGCAGCTGCTTATTCGCTCCCTGCTTCTGCCTAGCTCCAAGCTGTCTGTCATGGTGTTAGCGCTATTGGCCCAACCGCGGCGATTTGTTCAGCCCTGGGACTAGCCAAAGCCAAGTTGCTGGGAGGCTTAGCGGGAGCCTCGGGGTTTTCCAGAGCCCGTGAGTCGCTGGCAGCGCAAGTTGGTGCGACGGTAAAGTGGTCGTCGTGGCAATAAAGTGGCTACAGAATGGAGATGATGTCTGGCATTTGGCTGGAGTTGGCGCATTAGTCATTTGGGCGGTGACTGAAAACGGCGGCGGATGGCCGGACATATGACGGGACTTGTTCCGCAGGTACTGATTCAACAAGTGGCCATACTTTTCTCTACTCAAAAAAGATCATCTCTACACGTACTCTTGTGACGACGATGTTCTCACTATCAAGGCCCTCTGTCATACATGTGCCTCTGCAGCTGTGAGACCTGCTGGGAAGTGACTTGATCACATGCCTCTCTCTGCGCGGGTCATGCAATTCTTCCCAATATCGCAAAGCTCGTATTTGCGGTGGCTCGCCGATGCAGTACCCCGCCTGCTATTTCCGGCAGGCGGTGACAAGGAGCCTTTATGTTCACTGAGATGGAGATGTGCCCGTGAATCGGGTAGCACAAATAAATACGGGCACTTGGAAGGCGGTTGGAGTCACGGTACATGGCAAAATGATGAAACACAGGTTTAATTCTGGAATCAAATGGTCGATAAGCATTGGCTATTCGTAGGAGTGGTCAGCCCACATTCACATGCCACTAAAGTTGGATACATGTAGGTACGTCCACACCAGTGCGGAGCATGAATGCCACCAGAGGACATAGTATGAGAAGTTAATGAGAGTGATGATTGACAGCTGAAAGCTTTTGCGGTAATAGAAACAGACTAGTGATAAAAGATGCCAGTAGTAGCAGAAGAAAGCGACGGGAGAAGAGAACATATGTGTCTAATACATGCAAGTAGAGCTAAGAATTGAGGTTGCTTTGTTTTAGTGAAACCACAAGCTGAGCAACTCCTACCAAAAAGCTGAGCAGCCCAAATAGCGCCGTAAGAAACAGACCGAGGATTGCAACCGTGATTGCATTCCTCTCCGACGTGTGTCTCTCAAACCACGACACAATATTGTTCGACGGCGGCGGGTGCTTCAAAATCGCTTGTAGAACCCTCAACCTCTTTGCCCAGTATATAAACTTGAGAGCACCCAGCCCCTGACGAATCATGCCATCATTCGCAAGGAGATTAGGATCAAAAGTAGAATATATATCGTTATTCGCTCGTGTAAGCTTTTTTGCCAATTTAAGCGACTTGTTGCAATTTGACAGCGGGATGAGTATATAGTAGATCGAATAGAGAGTCTCAAGTAGGAGCTGTGGAGGCAAAGTCCCACTGTATGCACAATTAGCTATTGGCTACATATTCATGACAGGGTGGTCTAACTTGGCAAAACTAGTCTCTGCACTCTCATCTAGGCTTCTATGCTTCGTGAGCCCAATTTGAGCCTTGAGGTACTCTACTTGATGGAACACAGCCAAAGTTTTCATCGTAGGATTGTACACCAGATGTTGAGCCAGGTCGTTGGTGGGAAATATTTGAATCCCTACTCTTCGTTTGAGCTTCCACGCGGTCAAGCTGCGGTTTTTTATCGCAGAGTGCCACAAGCCTAGCGGATCAGTGGGAAAGGCGGTATTGAAAAACTGAATAAAAGTCTGGTCTGGGAGCCATTTAACTGGGAAAACATCGTTCTCCATTCCGTAGGCCATGGGGAAGCCATCTTTTGAAAAAGGGTCGATCATAAATGCCAGCTGAACGGTAGTTTTTACCGCTTTTTCTCTCTCCTTAGGCAAACGATCCGGAAACGCATCTTTCTGAAACTCATCCAATGTTATTTTGTATTGGGATTTTAACCTGGAAACTGCCTGAAGGACATCGGCATGAGATGTCAGCCCCGGTTTATTGATAGAGATCGAAATGTCGCCAATTTGATCAAAATGTGTTATCTCTTGATAAAATCGGCGAAAGGCCACAAACTGAGGCTCGGCGGGCTCGGCTACTTTGCAAAGAGCTTTAACAGCATCGTCGATGGATGTAGCTTGGGAAGAGCTCAGAGTGTCAAGTTTCATATTGATCGCGAATGTCCAAATAACCAAGAATGTAAAAAAAGATACCCTGTAATTCTAATAAGCCTCTCGAGAGTAGCGAAGTCAGATATAGAGATGCAAGTAAGTACAGGAAGGTCCAGGTAGATTTATATATATAAAAAGGAGACATAGATATAGTTCCCTATATTATTCTTTTCATTTTAATTATTATTCCTCTTACGCTTTTGCTTGGCTAGTTGAAGACTCGATCATGTACCCGCTTCGTATGTGACTTATGAGGGGGAGATGAAATATATAACTGGATGTTTAGACCAAATATATACATATCTTGACGATAACTAGATCGAGATGCAACGGCTTGAAGAAGATAAGGCGTTTTGTTGTAGGCCGCGCCCACCGCCAATCCCACCGCCAATCCCACCGCCAATCCCACCGATATTTGATCGCGCACAGCCGCTGAAGGATTCGATGCAACTGCATGTTGGTTGACTGCAAGCATGTAAATGTTGCATCTGCAATCTCATTGGCTCATGGATTCAATATTACCGCGACATGCATAGCTCTTCTGCAACCAAGCCACAAGGACCATATTTGGACCAATCGTTTAGATACAGATCATCCATACTAATGCCAGTCATCACAGAGCCTCGTGAGGAGAACCGTAGTTCTCCACCGCCTCTTTTTTGATTGCCTTTGAAAGTTTGCTTCCCCGCCTTCAGATACATTTAGTAGACGGAGTGTCCGTAGTTAATAATATCAGATATTGCTTAATCTAGCTGTCACTCAATATTGCACATATTACGATAATTCAGGCTGTTTTATCCGAAGATGAACTGGCAAATAAGACCATATTTTCAAAAATTCGATTATATATTCTTCAAATTACATTGGGGCGCCAAATCTGTACCATCTCATACACCGGTGGAAGTGGTGGCTCTGGACTCTTCTGAAAAGAAGAGACCACGAAGTGAAAGCCTCGACCGACCTGCCAAAAGGTTCAAGAGCCGGCCATTCAGAGATGGCTCTAGTTCGCAAGCCACATTGACGTCAGCGCAGCCTTCTATCACGGGATCAACAACATCTGCTGTCAAAGTACAATCGAACGTATCCCCTGAGGGCGTTAACTCAGATGCGGGAATAACGGTTTCGAATTCGACAACGGAAGTCAATTCAATAGGCCAGCAATTGGAGCATCAGTACCGTGATCCCGTGAGAATCCCTGGTGAGGATAAAAATAAAAGTGGCAGTTATGTCTATGCTTTTCCGCATGCAGATGAATGCCTCAGCATAGGTCACCAAATTCGATTCCCAGTTATCATGGATATATTCAAACAAAATCTTCATGAGTACAGACCCATGGCTCTTAAGCACCCAGCTATGACGGAATATAAGTTAAAAATGTGCGGCAGTAGTATTAATAACGCTAAGCCTTCAATCCTGATATATCACCCCGAGACGGATGAGAAGACAGGCCGGGAGATCATACACCTTCTAAGTTGCCCGCGGATTCGGCGGCAATACCGCTCAAATCCATGTTTCGACATCTACTGGTTTAGTGGGCCTGAATTCAGTTATTTTGGACGTCCAATGGATAGTCTCAGCATTCGAATCCAGGATTCGTATATTCCTGGAGCATTGCTATCGGATGATGCTGGTGATAGGATTTGTACCATTACCTGCGGCATCAGATTTCCAAATGTGGATGACACAATTTTTGTTTTAACGACCGCTCATGCTTTTGAAGAGGATGACGAAAACAGTGAGAGAGATACTGAGCATGAGGGGACTGTTGCTGGCACGTCACATGCTCTAAACGAAGATGAAGATGAAGAACGGAATCGGGATATACTCAGGTTTGGAGCTGTAGAGTACGACTTATCTGAACTTAGGAAATATGATAACATGGATAAACAAGACGAATTACCTCAAGTGATCAGACAATACACGGGTCTCCCAGGAAATGCACATGACCAATCCGAAGGCTTTATGGATACTTCTGAAGCCAAAGTTGTTATCAACCCTAATCGGGTCTGGGGCCGATCTCAAGGACCGGAGTGGAACAACGATCCCAATCTGGATTGGGCGTTGATAGAGATTGGGAAGAGCGAACAGTGGGAGGCGGATAAAATCGATCTAGCAATGCACGATGTCCCTGGTCTGGGATATCAAAGCCGAGATGTGCAGGTCGTCACATCTCGGGGCCCGCTCTATGGCACTATTTCCAGCATACCCTCGTTTATCGCCAATTCCAACAATCTTGGCTCCCTGTGCAAGGTTTGGGCCGTTTCTCTTGTAGATTCAAGTATTAATTTCCAACTCACTTACTAATGCCGCTGCTAATCGCATGTGTATAGGTCAAATGTCTGTGGGGGACAGTGGGGCCCTCGTAATAGATTCAATTACGAAGAAGCCATACGGATATGTCATTGGAATCAATTACTTTCAAGAACTATACGTCATTCCATTGGAGCCGGTTTTGGAGCAGATTTCGCAGATGATGCCCGCTTCCAATGGAAACCCGGAAATATTCATGGGGCTCGTCTCATCTCCTGTACCCGGCCCTTTGACCAGAGATCGCAAATATTCCAGGCTTACCAGACGCTTATCCCGATATTGGCCAAGGACACAAGCGCACAACGTAAAGTACGGAAAAGGAAACTCCTCAGTGTCATTGAAGTAACATTGGAACACTGACGAGTTTCTCAGTGCATCGTTTTATGAGACTCCTTGGCTGGAGGATGATTTGTTTGATACCACAAAGTAAGAAGATATTATCGGCTGTTATGCGCATGGAACATTGAGAGTAACACATGATTCCTCAGCAGCACAAACATTTCCGGTGATTGTCCAACTGGCCCCATACCAAACCATCCCAGTGAAGGCACACAGGATTCTTTAATTTCTTTACATTCTTTAGCAACTAGTTATGCTTCACGCCTCGAAAGAACCCAGTCGCCTCCCACACAATTAACAACAACAAGTTATCAACTATTGGATGAATCTATAGATTGGAAGACTCAGAATCTGAATTTTTCCAGTCAGCTTTCTGAAGATGTTCCCTCTTCATACGACACTGCAGAAATCGGCGCCAGCGTGGCAAAGAACAATGCCGATCAAAATCACAAACTACGGACAACAAATCAAGCCCAGCACAGTTAGCCCAAAATGAATGAAATGGCTGAAATCCGTTATCTATCTGATCACATCATTTATACTTTTTACATTATATAGAGGCATATAGAGAAAAATAGAGGAGAGTTCGACGGTGGTATAGAGAAATGGAGTTGATACAAAAGGGGTCATGAAGCAAATATGATGAAGACTGAGGGACTACAAAGGAAAATCACACCATATAAACTTAACTCTTAAAAATTAGACACTACAAAATTACACTGCGAAATTGATAATAAAGAATTCTTTATAATTAAAAACACCATTAGCAACCGAAGCTATTCGCGGACTTTTGGTCGCTAACCCTGCGTGCTCATGTGGGCCAATTCCGATCACTCACGGCTCATCGGCAACCACGCTTCGTATTTATGCTTGCCTTCATAAGGGCAATAAAAAGCAGTCTTCATAGCCATGGATATACAATTGTATTATTTCAACCCTTCTATCACTTTTTTTCCCAGATTCTAACAAAGTGAGCTAACGTAGTGGCACCACATAATTCGGATAATCGGCCGGCAATCAGGCGGGAGTGTCCCCCATTCGAGCTAGAACGTGTATTTATGCACGGATCAACATCTCATTTGCAGGCTCAGAGCGAATGAGCGGTGGGCAATCGGAGTTTTGTTGCCGGGAGGGATAAAAAAGATCCTTTAGCAATCTGTACAGTATGTTAAAAGTCTTATGCCCTCCTCCCTCTTCAGGAAATATTTCTGGAACCGGCAACGCGGGGTTCGATAAGCTGTTGGAACTTTTGCCATCTCACTACACTCTGCTATGTGAAACGTAAACCCAATTATGATATCTACCATTGGTTAAAACATCTGTGTAATATATAAGATTTCCTTTCTAGAAGCAAAATTATGCGGCTTGTTTCTGTCTTTTCAATGAAAGATTGGCAGGGAACAAATTATCAACACAATGGCTGGCCAACAGGACATCATCTCTCCTCTTGGCAACGACAGTCGGCCGCAGCAAGAGATACCTGTTGAAACTTCATTATCAGATGAAAAAATTGAGATAAGCAAGAATGAAAAGCATCACGAGAGCTCTCTGGGAGATTCAGGACCCAAGCATAAAACCAACACAGGCAAGCCTGACATGGGTGCGGAAGTTGAAAGAGCTATCAGCTATGCCGATGATGAAAACGATGACAATTACGACGTCAGGAAAGAAGATCGTTTCGGCGAGGTTACTGTAATCGACAACGCAAAAGATCTTATCACACACGTTCTACATGTGGACGATAATCCAGCTGACTCTCCGTGGACATTTCGCGCGATGCTTATTGGTAAGCTTGGGCAGGTTGTTATGGCCCATACTTCCACTAACACTCTGTCCCTCTCTCAGGTCTCATCCTATGCATCTTCGCATCTGTACTGCAGGAGATTTTCTATTTCAAGCCCCAAGTCATCTATGTGTCGGTTGTCTTTCTTACAGTGATTGCATACATCCTTGCTTTGCCATTCCAACTCATCCCACGCCCGGATGGAGATGGCATTGTAGCTCGAGTATGCCGCTTCCTAAACCCAGCCGATTTCAACTCTAAGGAGCATGCATTCATGGTGATTATGGGTTCAGCGGGCTCAACATCTGCTGTGGCGACACAGATTCTTGCCGCCCAGCGCCTATACTATGGATCGAATCCAAACCAGGGTGCTGCTATTTTTCTCGTTATTTCTTCGCAGTTCCTGGCATATGGCATCGCCGGTCTACTTCGAAGTGTCTTGGTGCAGCCAACCAAGATGCTATGGCCCGTCAACATCCCCGTCAACACGTTACTGGAGACATTGCACCGCGATAAAGCTGAGACACGGAAGCGCCTCCGATCTTTCTATACATTCTTTGGTGGCGCCTTTATTTGGGAAATTATACCATTGTGGATTGCACCCATCTTTCAGGGTATCTCGATTCCTTGTTTAGCCCGGCAAGACAGTTTGGTCTTTACCAACCTGTTTGGAGGCGCGCAGAATAACGAAGGTCTTGGTTTTCTCGGCCTTTGCTTTGATTGGAATTATATCGCCGGGTTGAACTCCCCCCTGTGGTATCCACTGTACACTCTCGTTAACAGCCTGGTGGGATATTTGATATGTATTGTGCTATTCATGGGAGTTTACTATGGTAACGTGTGGCAGTCCATGAACTTCCCATTCCTATCGCAGCTACTCTACGATGGTTCATCCAACGCAACCAACTTTGTCGAGTATAACCTCACGGTTATTCTCAATCCAGACAACACGATCAACAATACCCTTGTTGCCGAACAAGGATACCCTTACCTCTCTGGATCGTACGTGCTCTATCTCATCACTACGAACATTGGTATTACTGCGGCTATTGTTCACATGTTGCTATGGAATTATGACGATATTAAGGAAGGCTGGTCGTTCTTGCGGCCATCCAAGTTGCGAAGGCTTGGAAACGCCTCAACATGGATCAATAACACCGAGAATGAAGAGACTCGACGGCAACTAGCTCTTGCGAACGACGAGGTGGACCCTCATTACAAGTTGATGATGCAAAACGGGTACACCGAGGTGCCCAACTGGTGGTATGGGATCGTTCTTGTACTGTCATTTGTCATCGGTATGATAACCCTGTATTCGATCAAGTCGACCTTACCTTGGTGGGCTTTCATTGTATCGAATCTTTTTGCTGCACTCTTCATCCTATTCTTTGGAGCTCAGATGGGCCTCACTGGTTTCCAGTTCAATCAACAGCCTGTCATCCAGATGTTAGGCGGCTATTTGTTGCCGGGAAAGCCGTTGGCCAACATGTACTTTACTGTATTTGGGTTCAACGGCATCCAACAGGGACAGTGGCTGTTGCGCGATCTCAAGTTGGCTCAACTGGCGCACTTACCGCCAAAAGCGACCTTTACAGCCCAAATGCTGGGTACAATCATCGGAGCCATCATGGACTACGTGATGATGGTCAGTATTGTGGACAACCAGACAGAGACCCTATTGTCGATAGATGGTACCAACATCTGGTCCGGGCAGAACGTGCAGTCGTATAATACTCTGGCCGTGGCATGGACGCTGGCCAAGAATATGTTCTCAGTGGGCAGCCGATACCAATGGGTCACATTATCATACTTGCTCGGATTCGCGGCCCCCATCCCATTCTGGCTGGCTTGGAAACTAACCAAGCACGAGTTCTTCCGCGACGTGAATACATCCATCATTATCTGGTATAGCGGTGTGCTCTGCGTCGGCGTCAACTCGTCACTGCTCATGTTTTTCGGTCTTGGAATATTCGCCCAGTTCTATCTCCGCAGGTTTCATCCCGCTCTTTTCATCAAGTACAACTACCTGATCTCTGCCGCCCTGGACGGTGGTACGCAGGTGATGGTCTTCATCCTCAGTTTTGCAGTCCTAGGTGCAAGTGGGAAACAGTACAACTTCCCGACTTACGCTTTGAATAATGGCGGAACAAACAATAATAAGAATATCGATTACTGCATGTATAATATCGCCGATGGCGCTTAAAGAAGTACACGCAGATGGACAGATATTATTACCGCATATGATGATACCCATTAAATCAACGGAGGAATAAATTCAAATGTTACAAGAACAAATGGATATACTCAGTACCTGTGTCTACTATATACATACATGTATCTAACCTCCAGATTGAATACAGCCATTATCTAGCCTAATAAAATTTCCTTCCATGTGTCTTCGTCATGAGTAAATGCCGTTTTGAATACCTTTCCCAGAGCAACTCTTTTCCAAACACCTTCTTGGGCATGATATTCGATGAGCAAAACAAAATAGACATCCCATTCCGACTCAACCCTCTCTTTGGGAATGTAATACGTCCACTCAGGCATTTCCTCTGTCGTAAATGACTTGGCCTCTGAAATGGCAATGAATCGGCATTGGCGTGGCAGAGGTTCTTTGGCAAGCCATTTCGAGTCAACGACAATGGAGCCACACCGGTCACCTCGCCGGTCCATGATATAGCAGTGACGAAGAGGTCCCTTGATGGAATCGCCTTGTGGGCCCGTTGAAGGCGTAATGCCATTGATAAGTTGTTCTGCTTTCATCTCAGGAGTGACTTCTGCCTCTTTGAGAGCAATGCGCAACTTGTTTGACCAAGTAAAGAATTGCAAAATGGGCAGATCTGGAAATTCCCTGTGGTCTCCGGTCCGACATTTTGATTCAGCCGTCGGGACGTGGAAAGGGTATTCCGGTAACGTAAGCTTGAAGGAATGTTTTGCTGAATTCTTGATGTGGTCTTTAGCCGATGAATTTAGTGGACGGCCGAAAGCGTCAATATCCGGGCTTCGTGATCGTGGACGGATCACCACAATATGCTTATTGTCCCTACCACGGTCTGGGTGGAGGTATTCGGGGCGGCGCTCGTGTGTATCATATCCCGGATACTCTCGTGGACCATGGGGGGTTGGAATCCTATTGAGTAGTGCTCTGTTCGCACGACTTGTCGTTGGCTCCCGGAGTGCCCACATGTCAGGGCGCGAAATATCGCTACCATTCCTGCTACTTCTGCTCCGGCTCCGGTTCCTGCTCCCGCTTCTGCTCCGGCTCCTGCTTCTACTCATACTTCTGCGTCTGAGGATCCTAACTCTGCTTCTTCCGTTGCTGCTCCGGCTCCGGCTGCGGCTCCGGTATGGACTACCGCGTCTGTATCTTTCGTAGACGTTATTGTCATTGTTGTTGTTGTTAATGTCTCTGCCACGGTATCCTCTCCACCTTTCCTCGGTGCTCCGGTCCTCCTTTGCCCAAGTGTGATCCCAAATTCGTTGTGGTGTTCCATAACCGTCTCTAATGTGCCAATCAATCCAAGTGTGGTCTCTGAGCCAGGTACGCACATCTGACACGCATCCCTCAACCATTTGGCGGTTATATGTTACGCCTTTGCTCTTCCAGCCGCACCATGACCAGCTTGGGAACTTCATACTCTTATACTTTTCGTCACTCGAACGAGGTTTCTCAAGTAGAGACGATTTGCCGACGGGTTGCCATAGTAGAGCAAAGTCGAAATGTGAAGTTGGCAATCCAAAGGTGAAAGGCGACCTCAGTGTCCCCTCTATGAGCTTGCACATTCCATTGAACGCTGCAAGGATATCAAATGGCTCATGAAGGTCCCTTTTGGTATACAAGCCGACACAGTTGATATAAAACCACAGAGCTCTCTGTCTTAGCTGCGTCAGTGTCTGCAAGGGTGCTCCGGTGAGATCCAAAGACCATCCCTGGCCGGTTTTGTCGACAAAGATGTCCTCTGACATTCCAGTACTTCTGCACTGGAAATAGACTTGGCCCTTGGTGAATATGAGGCATCTCCTAGAGAGAAGACGCTCTTGAAATGTCCAAGCACGTTGATTCCACTATTCACAGTAAGCAATTGTCATATTTTGGCTGATTCCAAAGTGCTTACCACAGAATCTTCTATGTTGGATTCTGGCGACTGATGCAGCACGAGAAAAACGTCAGAGGCAACCTGTGCAATGTTCTGCTCTACGGAATGGTTCTTGTCAATGGCCATCAAGCCCACTTCAGCACTAGCACCATCAGCGGCGCAAATGGTAAGTGTAGAGTTGCCATAAACTGCAGATTGTCAGAATGTGGCTTTGAGGATGGATGGTGAAGCTGTACTTAGATGCATTGTGCGAGAGTTCAAGTTCCAGGAATGGCTACTGTCCTGAATGATGCAGAGGGAATCAATCCAGATGTACCGTATCCCCAAATCATTGATCAGATTGATGCTCTGCTTCAGCGCAATGGGCAGTTCGTCTATGGTTTGTGCTAAACCACCAGATTTGAGTCGGTCTTGTATATTGCTCAAAGTTGTTCTATGATCTCGGATTTTGCCCCATACATAGCTAACTGTAGCGTAAGGTTGGAACGAAAGGTAATCTTTGTTGTTCGTGTATGGTAGTGGAACCAAGTTCTGGTTCTGGATGTCGATAACTCCAAAAAATGATTGCTTGAGTGTCTCAGCAAAGGGATCCTCAATACCAAGTTTTCCGGTGCAGCGCTTATCATGATTGGTCTCGCATAGCCTAAGGAACTCTCTAATCAGGTTTCTTTTATTGACCACCGGTCCAATACGTCGACCAAGGAATTGTGTTTCCTCATTCAAAAGAAGGGGGTAATCTAAGTTGGATTCATCGTAGGAAGCAGGGGCAGCAAGCACGAGATATGCTTCATAAGCTTTGAGACGGTCGTGGCTCCAGCGAATCCTCAACCGCCGCGTTCGTTTCCTGCTTGAGGGATCGAGGGAATCACGACCATCCAATTCCCATACCAGGCGACAAATTGTGCTACTGTTGATCTTCGAGCGAATCTCTGGAGGGATAGCAGAAGCGATGACTTTGCAAAGCGAGCACTCGGGTGCTCTCGACTCGATTAATTCTAGGGTAGCAACAAATGGACTTCCATTGCTTGGTCGCAGAGACTGCGACGACGAGGGGTTGCAGCTGCTACCGCCGCCAATCTTGAACTTGTCAACACTCAATTCAAGGCTTTGGCATTGCTCGCACAACTGGTAGCTCGTGGCGGGTGATGACAATGTGAGATCTGGCATTATGACGGCCAAGGAAATGAAATGGGAAGAAGTATTATTACGCGATGTGTAAGTGACTGGAGGTGGCTGGCGTTGTTGGGATTATATACATGTTCATGCACCTGTAGGAGGATCTACTACTTGTAAGGTGTGACAGCCCTATGCGACTATGATTCAAATAGGTAGGTAGAGCTTGATCGACAATCCATGTAAAGTCATGCAAGGATCAACTGCCAAGTCTCGTAGTTGAACATTGCCTGGCAAAGACTCAACAACACATGCATATCAACCGCGCTAAATTCATTGCAATAATGCTCTTGTTGTTCTCATCTACTCCGTATGCACGTATTCATTTTGCAACTCGCTTGACAGGCTCAAGCTGATATTCAGCCTAGCATTCAGCCCAGGATGCGGCAGGATTCTCAGCCTCCCTTAGTTTGCATCACGATGAGACCCAGTATTCAGCCTAACTGTGTAAACGACATGCAGCCTGACGTACATCCCAAATCCATCACTAGAGCAAATCCGACGACAGGTGAGAGCGAACATTTGCCTTGTACATGTATTAATAGGCAAGAATTGGGGAAATGCCGTCATACGCTGCAATGTACAGCTACCAAATGGGAGCACTGAAACGGATAGTTGGGTAAATCACGCTATGGCAATACATCTCCTCTAGATGAATAAAATTGTCTTTTGCTAAACAACAGCTCGCTGCAACGCTAAGAAAGGAAATCCATCCACAGCAGCTCCATGATCATGGCAAGCTACCTCAACTCTACTGCAAAAGAGCCCGGCTCACGATCCTAAGATCACCAAAGCTGGCCCTTTCCCTCTTGTTGCCAACATGATACACACCTCTTGATCCCAAGCAATGTCTACATACTTTCGAGCATTCCGAGGACCATGGCGCCAAATTGCTCAAGCTCGGCCAGCTCGGCTGCCGACGATGGCCTCTGACCGACGATGCCTGTCCACCACGCATTCTTCGAGACTCGCACAGTCGCGCAGCGTCGCAGAGCTTCCAGAACGGACGCATCCTCGATATCTCCAAATCTCCAAGCCCGGATCGTCGCTGCTGTCGCTCAACTGGCCGCGGCCACCCCGCAATCTGCTGCTGGTGCAGAAGCTCTACTCTCCCGAGGTGACCGAGTCTGTCGTCCAGTTTGCAAAGCACATCCGAAGCGACTATCCCGAAGTCAACATTGTTATCGAAGCCCGTGTCGCCGTTCCGATCCAACAAGAGCTCGACTTCCCCATCTTCGTCGTCGACAACGGTACCAGCATTGCCGACAAAATCGATGCTATTGCAACTTTCGGCGGCGATGGCACCGTTTTGCGAGCCGCAAGCTTATTCAAGCTCCACGGGTCCGTCCCTCCAATCTTATCCTTCAGCATGGGGACATTGGGATTCCTCGGGGAATGGAATTTTGCAGAGCACAAGAAAGCGTGGAGGGAGATGTACATGAGCGGGAGCGACGTGAGTGCGGGGCGCAATGCTGCCGTCCCGAGAGGAAAGGATGATGGCGTGGATACAACCAGGACCTCTGGTGAAGGCTGGGACCGAGTCAGGGGCAAGAGTATGGGAATGAACAGAGCATCCCGAGTCTTGCTGCGGCATCGGATCAAGGCCGACATCTTCGACAGGGCTGGAAACAACATCAACCATCAAGTCTCCAACACATTGGCGAGCCAGCCAAAGTCGGGGATTGCCAGTCCAACGGAGGTATCGCCACCTCTGCGTGCCATTAACGAAATCTCGGTCCACCGTGGCTCGCACCCTCACCTGGCCATCATTGACATCTACCAAAACGGCCATTTTCTGACAGAAACGACAGCCGACGGCATCCTCATCAGCACGCCAACAGGCTCAACAGCTTATAGTCTAAGCGCTGGAGGACCTATTGTGCATCCATTGGTAAAGTCGTTGCTCATTACCCCCATCAGTCCTTGCAGTCTCAGCTTCCGGTCCCTAGTTCTGCCGCTGGACACAAAGGTGACACTCCGGATGAGCCCCAAGAACAGAGGCCGCGAGCTGGACCTCAGCATCGATGGCAGACGGTGTGCTGGCGTCTTGCCTGGGTCAGAGATCCATGTCGAAGGCGAATTCGTCGGGCGAGCAGGGCCTGGCGAGGAGTGGCATGGCGGAGTTCCGTGCGTGATACGGACAGAGGATGATGATCCATGGGTTGGTGGACTCAATGGACTTCTTAAGTTTAATCACCCCTTTGGCAGAGAACCTCCCAACGAGGACTTTTCTGACTAGTGGTACAGGCCCAGGGCCTCGTGTAAAACTACATTGGATACCGCGAAATCCACGAAATGATACCCTCTTCTGCTGCTCATTGAAGTAGTAGGCCATGATGCAAGATGCTGTATAGGTACATACGATCACCAGTAAATGGTGGAGTGTGAGCAATCGCATCATGCACAAGTGGAACAACCGGGTAACGGATTATCATTGGGCAAATCAATCACTATTTGAAGTCAATTGTAACGTGTAGATGCCGGTTTAAGAGAAAATTCAACTCAGTGAGGGTATCAATTCGATTACAGTATCTTTTATCCATGGAGCTTCTTCATAAATCTCCAGACACCAAATGTCACTCGGCTAGCGCAAAAAGCTGAGGTGATGGTCCAAGTTGACGTCAGCTACCCCATCCATCAGAGGAGCTGACAGCTATCCATGGCCCCCGTCAAGCTGCTATGGGGAGCTCCAGCGGGCTATAGCGGGACTTTTGTCGCTGCCGCAGCGCTCTCACTGGCCACAGTTATAGCGCTGCTGCACTGGAGCTGCACATGACACCCCACACTCGCGGTACCTTGCCTTATCATATCCAAGACGGGACGCATGTGCATCCTGCATCCTGCATCTTGCTTCACCGGCCGGCCTTTGTCTTTTTTCTTCTTCCTTTTTTGTTCTCCCGATTCCAAAGCTGAGCGTCTCGAGAGGCGCTGGCCAAGGGATGACGCATGCGACCCTAATCACTACTATTCTTATCCCCTAAGCTCTTCAACCACAGCTCTGCCATCGTCGAATTCCATTGCCTGCGCCGCTAGGCCTCATCCAGTCGCCGAGCCGCAGCTCCTTGCGCTCGTCTTGCGTCGCCCCATAACTGGAGCGGTACTCGACAGTTTACGTCGTTATCTCTCGATCGCAAAGTCATGATGAAATTCCTCAATCCGTTCAGCTTCAGTCCGGGGCCCGTCACCTTCTGGACAACGGCAGTCTACCTCGCTGTCACCATACCGCTGATTTACGTCCACGAAACGGTGCCGCCTGTTCCATCCGAGCATTCCCTCAAGCAAGGGTTGAATCTGAGCGAAGCGTGGTTCGATCTTCAAACCATCACGAAACAGTACCATCCGTACAACAGTCGGGCAAACGCCGATGTCCGCGAGTACTTGATTAAGCGCTCCCAGAATATCCTGGATCGGAATGGCGTTCCTTACAAAACTGAGACGACCGGGGGAGTGATCTGGGATGACAGGTTTGTCCACTATAGCGACACCTGGGAATCGATTTCTTCAGACGGCTGACAGGTATCACAGGTTCGAACAATCTACTGCTAGAGATACCCTTGACGCGCCGAGAGCCAAGCGAGCACCAGGTGCCACAATCTTCGATGACCGCATTTCGAACGTGACTTGGACCGTCGACTCGCTGTTGCAAAGCACCAAGGGCGGCTCAAAGACGTGGCAAGGCTATTACTTCGAGGGTGACAACTTTTATGTCTATATTCATGGCAAAGAAGACCCCGAGGGCAACTGGTGGGCCTCTCAAGCCGGCGCTGCAAAGTACAGCAAATCCGGCGGTGTTCTCGTCAATTGCCATTTTGACTCGTTAGTCCATATCCTGATCTCCCTGGTCACTTGAGATTATGATGGAACTACCGATATGCTAACATTTTCAGTGTCTCAACCGGATATGGTGCCACTGACGACGGCATGTCGTGCGTAAGCATGCTGCAGATATTGAGCTACTTCACCACCGAGGGACACCAGCCGAAACATGGTGTTGTACTTCTCTTCAACAATGCAGAAGAAGATGGTCTCCTGGGAGCTCGTGCATTTGGCTACAGCCCGCTTCTCAAGTTTTGCCACACATTTGTCAACCTGGAGGGAGCTGGAGCCGGAGGCCGTGCTATGCTTTTCAGAACCACCGATCTTGAAGCTGCCGAGGTCTATTCCAAGAGCCCTCATCCCTTTGGATCCGTCGTTGCGGCAAACGCGTTCGAGAGAGGAGTTATCAAGAGTGGAACGGATTTTGAAGTGTTTGCACCAAACTTTGGCCAGCGAGGTATGGATATTGCCTTTTATCATCCTCGTTCACGCTATCATACCGAAGACGATGATGCGCGTCACACTTCTGTCCGCAGCATTTGGCACATGTTGTCTGCCGCTCTGGCATCGGCAGAGAGATTCTCTGAGATTACTGGAACAGTCTTCAGCGGCGACCGTCCAGACGGTGATAAAAGCTTGGCTCAGACGGGCAAGCCCACCGAGGGTGTCTATTTTGATTGGTATGGCAGTGGATGGTCGGCCTTCCCGCTTAGGGGGTTGTTTGCGTGGTCGCTCACGCTGCTCATTGTGACACCCCTGGTTCTGTCCATTGTTACACTTTTGCTGGTTCGTTCTGATAGGTATTACTTTTGGGCAAAGGACATACAGCTGGAGCACTCTGAGATGCATGATGACCCGATTGCTCTTAGTGGCTGGCGTGGCTTCTTCCGATATCCTTTGGCCCTCATCTTCGCCGCGGGTCTGACAATCGGCGCGGTCTTGCTCGTTGCCAAGGTCAATCCGCTCATCATCTACAGCAGCGGATATGCAGTGTAAGCTTTTCCTCCTTGCCTATATCCTCATCATGATTGTTCTTTTAACTAATAAACTGGTAGCTGGGCTCAACTCCTGTCTCTATTCTACTGCAGCTTCTGGCTCATCATGAGAGGCGCCAACTTTGTCAGGCCAACCGCTCTCCATCGCGGATTTGCCCTAATTTGGCTGTTTATCCTCTCTTGGATTGTTCAAGTAATTGCTGCTCTAGCCGAAGATCGCATACACGTCGGTGGTCTCTATTTTACGGCATTCTTCCACACGGCCATCTTTGTGGCGCTCTTCATTTCGCTGGTTGAGCAATTTGCACTTCCTGGAAAGGAAGAATTCGCCAACCAGTATCAAGACGACGCTGCCCCAGAACATACCAGGATTGCCAGTTCCGAGAACACAATCACGGGCCACGAAGACGATCAAGACGATCAGGGCTATGCGGCAGCAGAGAGTGCTACCGAGACAACACCACTGAGAGCTGGAGAGCAAGGCTATGGATCGAACGACCAACAACCGACATTTGCCAGTACTTACCGCCGGTCAGCTCAGGCATATGGCCAACCTGCTCCCTCGCCTTTGCGCAGCTATCCTCCGTACGAACACGAACAGGCGTGGTCTGGACGACTGCCAACTTGGACTTGGATTATTCAGTTCCTCCTACTCGCTCCTATCCACGTCATCCTTGTGGGAAATCTGGGATTGGTGCAGACTTCTGCGATGGCCATGAACGGTGCCGATGGCGGCAGTCTTTTGCCTCCCATCATGGGAGTCGGAATCATGTCAATTCTCCTTCTGCTCCCTCTGACGCCGTTTATGCACCGCATCTCTCGCCACGTACCGCTATTCCTTTTCGTGGTTTTTGTTGCCACATTCATCTACAACCTTGCTGCTTTCCCCTTTTCGAACAACGCTCGATACAAACTCTACTTCCAAGAGGTCATCGATGTAGATGCTGGAACAAACGTAGCTTCTCTATCGGGCATCTCGGAATATGTTCACGCAGTTGTCGCATCTGTCCCGTCGGCTACCGGCCAAGATATTGAGTGCAAACCCTCGACACGTTCAGGCCTCACTGCTTGCGAATACGATGCGTCATCTCTCCCACCTTATCTTGCGAATGGCACAGAACCGAAAGACTTGATCACCGTGACAAGTTCAAAGTCATTCGACGGCAAGACTGCCAATGTCAATGTAGATGCTTTGGACACCAAGATGTGCATTTTGATGCTTTCTCAGCCGGTATTTGGATTTGAGGTGAAGGGCGCAGCTCCTGCGGATCGCCGATTTGGCACAATCCCGCGTGATGGATTGCGGGTGATTACTCTCTTCAGACGAGAGTGGGAGGGGCCATGGGACATTACGCTACAGCTGACGGACGGCGACCGTGTCTTGGATGAGGATAAATTGGAGGTGACCGTGAAGTGTGCCTACAGCGACATGAACGACGACAAGACAATACCCGTCCTGCGTGAGCTGTATCAATACATGCCCAAGTGGGCAGTCATCAGCAAGACGGCAGTTGGTCTGGTTGAAGTCAGGAAGAAATTTACTGTATCATGATGAAGCGTGGCTTTGGTTTAGCAGCCATCGAACTTGTATCATTATTGTTGGCGACATTGCGGATATCCAAACAGAACTGAATATTATGGATTGATTGCCAGCTGTCCTTTGGCTACATGATTATGTGTACATACTTGAAGCTGAACTCCGCTGGCATCTGCCTTGGGGCGAATTGCAATATGATTCCATTCACATGTCAAGTCCTATCATTCCCCTCACCGCCAGGACCCAGCAATTTCTCTCGTATAAAACCGCACTCATCTGCTTTGGTGAACAGTGGGGAGCCCATGAAAAAATTCACCCAGCCACCGAGAAGAAAGCAATGTAACCCCTTCAGCAGTGGAGATCCGCCGTGATGTTGATGGCATTGCCAATACGAAAAAAATAGAGAAAATCAGGTGGCTTGTTGGCAATCGGAAAGTTTAGAGAAATAAAATCCCATTAATTCTTTTGCTTCATTTCCCCGCCAGTGATGACGAGAATGCGTCCCAGGTCGTGAGTTGGGATGCCGCCGTCAAGAGCTCGCTGTTTATGTATAGATAGCTGCACATTCTTTCCGATATTTGCGGCCAATCTCCAGATTAGACAGAGAATCCGCTACCTTGCCAAATTTGATCGATGAAAAGGCGTTATTGAGTTTGAAGTGCCGATGATGTATCTGGATACTGCCATCTTGGTTCTCTAAAGAAAACATATTGGTATGAATGTGACCAAGGAGCACCGTCTTCCGCCGTGGTTGCTAATGTACAAGTTGTAAATGAGTTTCGCCTTGCATTATTTCTAGCCATGGCCTGTGAGCAAGCAGAGGTTGCAAAAAATCATTCGTCCGCCCATTTTAATAATTATATTATCCTCAATGTTTGCCCTTGTTTCGACAGCGGGGGATCGGCTCTTGTCCCTCAAGGACCGTGAGTCCTTGAGCTCTCGTCGTCATGACTGCCAGACGTTTGTTGACAAAAAAGCCTGACGTTTCAAATCTCACGAGATCACAAATGGCCGCTTCGGCCTAGTGTCTGGGAGAGTCGTCAATTGTTCGGACAGAGACAAGCCCGAATCTTGCGTTCCATTTATTCGGTCATTATCCGGCAAGATCTGTGTATTTCTTTGTTTCTTGATCGGCCAAGGTCGATATTCCCTATGTCGGATTTTCATCACGGCTAGTTCATAGGCTCCCGTCGCCAACTGAACAAGATCGAAAAACAGGATTTCTGCTTGATGACTTGGGGAATTCTCAACTGTGTGTACGAAGAAGATATTGGGTTCTCTTTTGTCGAATGTATTCGTAGTAATGCTTGCGTTGCGGGAGAGAATTCGAGTCTTTCTTTTTATGCGTGAGAGATATGGCCTCGTCCAGCACATAGGTAACTCTGTCCTAAGCTATAGTTCTCTTCCTCTACAGTGCGTTAGGTATAGTACTGGGAGTTTCCACCTGTATACCCGGTTAGTATTAGTGTCTCAGATTGAGAAGTCAATAGAATACTCTGCATACTAACTCTTGAACTAAATGTGCTGTATATAGCAGTTGTATATGGTGTATAAATCCAGGGAGCTGGGCCGTACACACATGATAGACATGTCCGTTTCTCGAAATCTCTTCTGATGAGTCGGTATTTCTAGGTCCATTTAGCTTGTTTTCTCTGTTTTCCAGCGATTCCTCGTTTAGGTTTCAGCTTACCCATGGCCGCCTAGGAGGAAACCGGAAGGTACTTCATGTTCTTCATCACTGTTCTCGTCATCAGGAATGTCAATGTCGATGGCAGCTTTCTCATCTTCATTGACGACAGCAGATCCGATAGTGTCAGCGGTTCTAGGCTCGTAAAAGCTGATGTAACTCAATGGCACCAGTGTTCTGAAGCCAGTTAGAATCTACAGAAAGTTCTGGAGACCCCGGGGCTACTTACGTTTAGATAGGTCGTGAAACGCCCTGCGATGACAGACAGAGAATCGGCGATACTGACGCCACCTCCAAGAACAACCGTACGAGGTTTTCAACACAGTGCTCTGCAGAATTCGGATCAAACTTATCGCTAAGATGAGTTTTCAGAAGCTGTCACTAGAGCCAAAAATAGGTGGCATCTTAGTATACAAGTCTTGGTTATAATTCGAGGTCTAGGGGGGGTGCTACGCACGAAACTGTCTGGTTCGTTGGCGCCTAGCGGTCTTAGGCAAATGTCACAGGAGACTAGTACCTACATTCACGTCTGCGGAACGCATGAAAGACTCAAACAGTTCTCGAGCTTCCCTTTTGTAATCGGCGAGGTTGACTCTGTGGGTTATGGGGTCGTTTGTCTTCATATCCCATGCAGTGTTAGCCAGGTCTCCGTTGGCAGGCCCTGGACTAGCACCTACTATCTTCAAGCTCACCCGAAAGCTGGGGCTGGTAGGGTATTGTTTGGGGTACAGGGCGCATGGAACTAGGGACATTGCTTCGGTAAGTCCTCGTGTCCCATCAAGAGCAAATGATGGCTGAATTGGGTGCGGTCGATCCGAGCGTGATCCATAATAGTCATTATTGCAACTGGGGTATCCGCGACTGCGTCGTTGGTACCAATGAATTCTTCCATGAGGCTTGAAGAGTCTCTTGTTTGTATTCTCTGAAGTTAATGCTGTATGTTGCAGGTTTTCCAGATATATATTCCACGAGCTGAGGGTATCGTTTGGGAGAAGCCATACTAAACTTGATGTGATCAGAATGCTTCCACATCCGAAGTTTTGTTGTGACTGTCATCCTTTGTATGATAGACGGGGATGTGATCCTCCTGGTTCCAAGTGGCGAAACGTTCGGCGGTTTGTAGAGAAGGAAGTTGCCAGGAGGCGGTGATTTGTCATTGTTGGGTACTTATATGAGTCTATGCGGAGGTTCTTAAGCCAATCTAGGCCCTATAGATGTGATTAAATGTCCTCTTTCAGGGTTTGTCTTTTGTTGTAATTGGGCATGTATTATTGATCGGCAATTTGACGGCACATTCCGTGGATGCTCTTTTCAGTCGCCATCTGGTGTCGAGCCTGCTCGTTTGTTAGGGACGGGCAGTTGCATCCGAGGCAAACGAATGTGTGTTCTTGGACTTTGTAGAATTGGTTTCGGTGACTAGTTCAAGGCTATTTCGGTCGAGCTGTCGCACGAGTTTGTTTGCGGCGGTAATTCTGTCTTGATAAAATGGCATTCGTCCGCGATAACCAGATTCCATATGTCATTCTTGATCGTGTTGGTCGGCATTTTGTGGTATGCGGCAATGTGCCTTTTGCCATAGGGACGTCACCATCGTCAAGAGCTGATTCTGCTTGTTCATCATCGATAATGCTGAAATCCTCAACACCCGGTGCGTAAGCGACGGCGTCGCCTTGGGATGAGAACTGTGTCAGCTGCTCTTTCGAGAGCGACCGACTGGCATTATTAGCATCCTCTTCGTAGCGTGAGTGTGCTGTGAAAATAATGCCCCTCGCAGTTCTTTGTTCAGGACATTGCGGTATGTCGATTACTCGTAGTCTTCCATTTGGCACAAGGGTCGGCGATTTATAAATTAACCTAAACACACAAGACACTTATTAGGAAGGACCACGAGAGATAGTAATAGCGACAGTATCCCTGGGAAAGTTTGTACAAACTTACTGTATAAATTGCCATAACTGGCCAGTTCAAGTCCGTTGCGCTGGGTGAAGGGCCTGTTGCTTTGTTCTCTGCTATCGAGACACTTCTTCAGCTGGGCTATGGCTTGATTGGCGGTTCATGTGACTCACATCAACCATTGAAGTGGCCTCGAATTGCTGTTTTGTCTTCGTCATCAGTGACTGTGTTTTCTTTTTGAGGCAGTCGGGTAGATTAGTGTGTAGTCTGTATTTGTCGGGTAAATATAGCAACACAGATTTGGGGGCCTGCATTAAAATGAATTCGGGTCAGATGTTTCGAGTCTGGAGTTACTCGGTAATACTGATGCTGTGACCTACAATCCGTGACGATCCCTCGGGTCCTTTTCTGTAAAAGAGAGTCTGTCAATTCTATTCGCGGGTGCTTCCAATTGTTCTCCACCATCTTCACCATGAACGATTCTAGAGTTGATTTCTGCAATTGTACCCTTCTGGGGGTTGAAACCCCATGGGGGACGAAGTTCTGCCAGCTGAAGATGCCAGATCAACTCGGGGGAGGAGAGATGGATACTTATAACATTTGCCACCTTCATGAACACCCTACAGTGAATTAACAGGCCACTTACCAATCTCCTGACAAGTTAATTCACTCGAGCTTAGGGGGTTACTAACATTAGTAGACGGATAGCTGTCATCGAGGATGGATGCCAACATGAGTCACACCGCAAAGTTTTTGACACATAATACTTTCAGTCTCGGGTAACTGCAGTGTCGCACAAACAGAACTTTTATTACTGGATATATGTATTGCAAGTCCTTTTTGGTGTGGAAGCAAATAGAAATGTTCTATCCACTGAAACCCCATTTGATCTAAATCCCGATTCTCGCTGGTGGAATGTCGTCATTGCAATTTTCCTCTGTGCCGCGACACCTGCCACTCCATCTAGGCTTTACCACTCTTTTCGGTCCATTTCAAATATTCGATTTGGCCTTCGATGACACGGTTGTGCCGCAAAAACACTGATATACGATCAAGAAATTTGTCGGCGAGCTGCATCGCGTCCGTTAGGTCAGGTTCAGGATCCAAACGTTGCGATGGCCGTAGCCCAAGCTCCTCCCTCATCATATCATTGACCAGTCGACTAATCTCATAATTGATCTCTTCAAGGTTCTGGAAAGTATTATGATCTATATCTTGAACCTTGTAGCCAATACTTCGACACACGCTTTGCGGCAACCATGTAAACAAAGGCACATCGTTCCAGGTTCTTTGCTTGAGTAAGCTCTGGATTTTTATCTCATCTCCTTGAGCTAGCTCAAGGCTTGTAGTTAGGACTCGAATGATTTGCTGTATTGAACATTGCTTGAGACGCCTGAGTTCCTTCGCTGCTTCTGCCCAGGCACAGTGCTTCTGGGGATCTTCAAGAAACTCTAGCAAGAATTTGTAAACTGACTTCTTGAGATCGGCATTTCTCAAAGGATCTAGAGCCATGGAGACAGAGCGACAGTCATTGTACGTCATCGATATTTTATTGTCAAAGTCCATGTCTGTTTCCTGGTCGCAGTATTCATCCAAGATTGTGCTGTCGGGAGTCGCCGCTGGGTTCATAGTAAATTGGATTCTACTACATGTTAGATCTAGCAGCTGAAGCTGATGAAGCATTCTCACCTGTTGGTAATTGAAAGCAGCCCCTTTGAACACGGTCTGTGAAGCAATCAGAAAGCAGGCCAAAGAGAAGGCAAACTGAGGATGCTTCTGATGGTAGTGATGAGATGAAGTCTGAAGTAAATGAAGAAGAGACTAGAGAAGAGAGGAAGAAAACGAAAGTAAGAGAGAAGATGCAAAAAGTTGAAGAGGGAGAGGGAGAGGGAGAGGGAAGAGGTTGAATAAATAGGTGTAAGAATGTTGAGCAGTGCAGCTGTCTGGCAGCTGATGCGTTTGCACTCCTTGATGCAGAGGGCTGCTACGCTGCAGCAGCTGAAAGAGGAGGTAGAAAGGAAACTCTAGACACTGCTACAAAAAGAAAAGAAAATAGAAAAAGTAAAAAATAGAGACAAGATAAATAGATCAATTTCTTATGACAGACAAGAGAGTCAATTTTGTAATATCTTGATGCAAGGTAATGTAATATGCATAGGTATTGTTACAAATTGGAGAGCCCCTTCAACGGAAATCTGGTGTCAGCAGCGTCGCGCATACAAATGGTCCAGTCTATATGTGGGAATGAATCGCTCAACATCAGTATTTTGATCAAGAATGTACTTTAATAGTGAGCAATAGTGACTTTGATGGTGATAGCATCTATCAGTAAGACGAGAATACGAGGCTAAGTATGGCGATAGATGCTAGAGCCTCGGCATTGACCCACTCCAGTTAGCAGTCGTCATTCATTCATTCCAATGCCTCAATAGGCGAAGCAAATCTCCTCATCATCATCACCAACTCCAAAACCCCACAATCCACCAGCAGAGCTCATGCGGATATCAAGGTTCCATCACTAATCCCAACAACCGCCAGCTACAATGGCCCCCATCATTTCTCTCCTCGCAAAGCCGCGGCCAAGAGGCGTCCGCCCCTACCAGAGACACGGCCTCATCTACTTCATCTGCGGCAACCCAGGACTTGTCAATTACTATGCCGTCTTCCTAGACTGCTTGCGCGGGATGCTCGATGCAGCAGATGAAGGCTCTGGAGGCACGGCGTTTGACATTTACGGGAGGAATCTCCTCGGCTTCAGCGACGACGACCATGAGCCGTTCAGCAACACCAACGAGCCCTGGGATCTCGACGGCCAGATTGACGGCATGTATCGCGATGTTGCGGCCAGGAGCGTCATTCCCGATAACGCCGGAGCTGAGGGTGAAGACGGACAGGCAGCGCGGCCATACGACTTTGTCATCCTCATGGGCCACTCTGTAGGCGCGTACATCTCAGTAGAAATATTCCATCGGCACATGCAGGATCCATCTCAAGCGCCGCATCTCAATCTTCGGCACGGCTTCTTGTTATTTCCGACCCTCACGCACATTGCCAATTCACCCAGCGGGAGGAGGCTTGGTCTGCTAAGAAGCATCCCTAGCGTGGAAGACAATGCGCACCATCTAGCGAAATTTATCCTCAACTGTATTCCGTTCGCCTGTGTCCTATGGATCATCAAAAACATCATGGGTTTCACACCTCAAACAGCAGAGGTGACGGCCCGGTGGCTCAAGAGTCGAGATGGTGTATGGCAGGCTATTCACCTAGGGCTCTCAGAACTGCGCACCATTTGCGAAGAAAAGTGGGAAGAGGAGCTATGGGAGACGACAATCGAAGACGACGACATCAACAACTACAACTACTACCACGGCAAAGGCAAGACTGCTGCGAATGGAGAGTCTCAAGATGGCGCTGAGACACCACAGCAGCAAATTCCAAAGTTCTTCATCTTTTATGGCAAACACGACCACTGGGTCGCAAACCATCTGCGGGATGCGTTTATCGAGAGGAGGAGTGAAAAGGGACACACAAAGATTCAGATTGACGAGGGAGATATTCCCCATGCGTTTTGCGTCAAGGAGCGTGAGTTTTGTCTTATAACGTGCCTTCAAGAGAGATACTAATTTGGGGTGACTAGATACGAGCTGGGTAATAGCGAAAAAGGTGTATGAGTGGGTAAAAGAGATTGAATAGGGACCATAGACACATATACTAGACGCTGCTGGGTTATGGAGGATGATACAAGGGCGTTGCGCAGCTCTTTATCAGCCCAGATTCTTATAAATTCACCACGATTGGTCGTCAGGCATAAGTAAGCCTGCATAATACTTACTAGATAAAGCGGAGCATCCTTCAATGCCCAACTACAGCCCAATATTCTTTGTGACAATGTCTTAATCCTATTGAATTCTCCTTCATTGACTCCGACTGTGTAATCATCATAAGCACTCGGACTATGAACCCTTACGCACGATACCGAACCCGGGCGACTCGTATAAGAGCACCCACTACGAATCTCAATGGCTCTAATGTCGGGGACCATGCCCGCATACACCAAGGAGACAAAAACATATTCGTTAAGTATTGGAAAAGTCAAGGCAAGGCTTGAGGCTTTTTCTTCTTCCATAACTCAAGCTAATAATAAGACGTAGCTTCCTCGCGCGGTAATAAGCCTTCCAGCGCGGTTCAAGGTCAATTAGACGAGAAAGAGAAGATTGGTTAGTTTTTCCAGTTTCAAGACAGTCTAAAACTAACCTCAAATAGAATGCCGAAGCTCTCTCAGCTTCCGTGATATCGGCGCCCGTCTGCAGAATATATCCCCGACACATCCAGGTACCTGCGACTGGTTTTTTGAAACATCTGTGTTTCAAAAATGGTATGATCACATCGAACACAATAACAGATTGCTATGGATCAAAGGAAACCCTGGTACTGGTAAATCGACATTGATGAAACATATTTTGGAATACTGCCAAAATGAAAATGACTATGCCATCGTGTCATATTTCTTCAACGCTCGAGGAGCCGAACTCGAAAAGACACCTCTCGGCATGCTGCGCTCGCTACTATTTCAACTCCTCGAGCATGAGCCTTCTCTTTATGATCAGTTTCTCCTAATATTTCGCAAAAAGAATCAAGATAGTCCTCCAGGAGGGTGGGAGTGGGGTGAGCCAGAGCTCATAAGATTCTTCCTCTCAGAAGTACCAAAGTGCCAGTCAAGGCCACTCCTTTTGATTATAGATGCGTTGGACGAGTGCAGCGACGGCGATGTGAAAAAAGTCGCAGAATTTCTTCAGCATTTGAGCACCGATGCCACAAATGCAGGAACTACGCTCAAAATATGTCTATCAAGCCGTCACTACCCCTTCATCCGCTTTAGAAGATACCAAGAACTGGTTTTAGAGAAGGAAAAACAGCATGACGAAGATATTAATAATTACATCTCTTCCAACCTAATTAAAAGAGATGAAGCGATTGAAAAAGCCCTCAGAAACAAATCGTCTGGTATTTTTATGTGGGTTGTGCTCGTCATCACTATGTTGAATAAAGCATATGACGAAGGCAAAATGGAAGCTATGAAGCAAAAGCTAACCGAAACGCCCGCCGAATTGGAAGAGGTGTTTGAGATGCTGCTTAATAGAAACAACCCTGATAAGGATGAGACTATCTTGATTTTGCAGTGGGTCTTGTTCGCCAAACGACTATTGACACCAGAGGAGATATACTTTGGTCTTATAGCCGGCACAAATCGCCAGGCATTAGGCAAATGGGATCCCTTGCAGATAACGCCTGATATCATTCGACGACGCATCATCAGTACTTCTAGAGGGCTTATCGAAATACGCAAAGACAGAAAGGAAACGGTCCAATTTATTCACGAATCCGTCAACGACTTCCTAGTTCGAAACGGCAGGTTACAAAAACTAGACCCGGGGCTTATGCAAGATCCGATTGCGAAGAGCCAAGATCGTCTGAAGAACTGCTGTATGTCATATTTAATGATGGAATCACTGGAGCTATCAAACAATGGAGAAATTGAATCTTTTTTTTCTTCCCTCGAATTCGTGTCCAGGTTTTCTTCCATTGAATCCGCATCCGGTGTTTCTTCCTTCGATTCCCCATCTAAGGTTTCTTCCCTGGAATTCGCACCAAGGGGTTATTCCCTCGAATACACATCGGGGTTTCCTTTCCTCAACTACGCATCCACATATGTGTTTGATCATGCAGAAGAGGCGACATTGGTAAGCCAAACCGAACTATTACGGAGTTTAAAAGACGATAGCGTTCTCAAGCGATTAGAACGCCTCCATAGTTACTTCGTGAACTACGGTCGAGATTTCGCACCTCTTAGTCTATTGCACATTCTGGCAGCCCGTGGGCTCTCTACATTGGTAGAGACACTGCTTGACCATGGAATTGACATTAATGCCAATGGTAGACCTCATGGAACAGCGCTTAATGCGGCTATATACTATGGACGCGAAAAAACCGTAAAAACACTACTTACCAGGGGAGCTCATACTCGCGGAAGCCTCACCCGCTGGACCCCTCTAAAGATGGCATTCCATAAACCTAACAGAGAGATACTGGCAATGTTGATTGAAAATGGCGCTAAACTTGGTGTCAGGGAAAGACTCACCGAAGGCAACGTGCTTCACCAGGCAGCTCAGACTGGTGATAAAGATGTCATAGCAACGGTGCTTGAAAAGGGGGCAAAGATTAATGCTCGAGGACCTATGGGCACCGCTCTTTCTGATGCAGCATATCGAGGAGAAATAGAGATTTTAGAGATGTTTCTTGAGAAGGGAGCAGATATTAATGCTCGAGGGATTCGTGGCACTGCGCTTATGGCAGCAGCTGAAAGTGGGCATAAAGAGATTGTGAAGATGCTCCTTGAGAAGGGAGCAAAGATCCATACTCGATCGCCTATGGGCACCGCGCTTATGGCAGCAGCTGAAAGTGGACATAAAGAGATTGTGGAGATGCTTCTTCGAAAAGGAGCAAAGATTAACGCCCGATCCCTTATGGGCACCGCTCTTGTGGCAGCAGCTTCTGGAGGGGAAATAGAGATTGTGGAGATGCTTCTTGAGAAGGGAGCGAAGATTAATGCTCGGGGAATTCGGGGCACCGCACTTGTGGCAGCAGCTTCTGGAAGAAAAATAGAGATTGTGGAGATGCTCCTTGAAAAGGGAGCAAAGATTAATGCTCGAGGAATTTGGGGCACTGCGCTTGCGGCGGCAGCTGATAACGGAAGAATCAAGATTGCGGAGATGCTTCTTGAGAAAGGTGCCAAGATCAATGCCCGAGGATTTCGGGGCAGTCCGCTTCAGAGAGCAGCATTTCGAGGAAACAAAGAGATGGTAGAGATGCTGCTTAATAAAGGAGCAAAAATTAATGTTTGGGGTGGGCTTTATGGTAATGCGCTTCACGCGGCTGCTTATAAAGGAGAAATGGATATTGCAAACCTGCTTCTTGAGAAGGGAGCAAATATTAATGCTCGAGGACTTAAGGGTAACCCGCTTCAGGGAGCAGCAATAAGAGGGAAGAAAGAAATGGTGGAGATGCTCCTCGATAAAGGAGCAAAGGTGAATGCTCGGGGAGGCTTTTACGGCAATGCACTTCAGGGCGCAGTGGCTGTAGGGGACAGAGAAATTGTGAGGATGCTTCTTGACAAGGGAGCAAATATTAACGCTCGACTTATTGGCCCTACAGTTCGAAATTATCCTATACCACCGACTATTGCGGGTATGATGATTCTTGCAAGGCAACCGAGTATCGATGCTCAAGAACGAGAATTTATTAGAGAGGTTCTGCGGATGCTTTCTGAGACGAGATTCAAGGTTAATACCTGGGGCAACATCTATGGAACGGCACTTCAGAAAGCAGTGTATTTAGAACAGTGGGAGATTGTGAAGATACTGCTTGATAAAGGAGCAAAGGCTTAATATTTGGGGGTCTACAATAAACATGAAGACAGTTGAGTCTCTTGACGTTAAAACTAGTTTCTCCATTATTGAAAACCCACTCGACTATTTATTTGCTCAGTTTTCCTAGCCTCAGTCACCGGCGGAGTCATCGTGTCAGCCGCGGGTGGCTACATGTATGAAGGGCGTGCACTTTTGTTATGCCCCGCATTCGACTCCAAGCACATGCCACTCGCAGGATCAAAAGTCTCAAAAAGAAAACTCCAACATCTCAAATCAACTGGTCAAGCTGAGCAAAATGGGAGACCTCCAACCAGAAATCCGTCTTGGGTAAGTCATCCATCCAAGTCTGTTAGAGAGGCAATATTGACTCCATCTCAGCAACTCATCAGGATCGTCGTTGCCTAGCCTCCTCGATGCAACGCTTGACCAACTTGCCGAGGGGCTGAAGAGTCGTCAGTTCACCAGTGTTGAGCTGACCAAAGTATGTGAACGCGATTTCACTTCATCAAAGGGCATATTACTCATCACCACAAGGCATATCTGGCACGCATCGAGCAAGTAAACGAAGCAGTCCACGCCGTCGTCGAAACAAACCCCGACGCGCTCAACATCGCCAAGAGTCTCGATGAAGAGAGAGCTTCCGGCTCAATTCGAGGGTAAAGCCACCCAAATTACCATATCTTGCCAAACTCAGGCTCACAGATGACAGCCCGCTTCATGGAATCCCAGTTCTGATCAAGAACAACATCGCCACCCATGACAAGATGGACACGACAGGTTCGCCCTCCCAACTTCACATCAACATATTCGTAACTATTTCTCACCGTTTATACAGCCGGGTCACAGCTCCTCATCGGCGCAACTGTCCCCCGAGACGCCTTGGTCGCGCAGAAACTTCGTGAAGCCGGAGCCATCATCCTGGGCAAGACCAACATGTCCCAATGGGCCAACTACCGCGCTCGCGACTATAGTATGAACGGCTGGTCATCCCACGGAGGCCAAACACTCGCTGCATATCACATCAACCAATGTCCCTCTGGAAGTTCCAGCGGTAGCGGAGTAGCAGCTGACTTGGGTCTTGCGTGGGCGGCGCTGGGAACTGAGACGGATGGATCGATTGTCTGTCCGGCAGAGAGGAGTGGCATCGTGGGGATCAAGCCTACGGTCGGTCTAACATCCAGAGCTCTCGTCATCCCAATCTCAGAGCACCAAGACTCCGTCGGGCCCATGGCAAGGACAGTCAAGGACGCAGCGTATCTGCTACAGGCCATCGTCGGAAAGGATCCTCACGACAAGTACACGGCTGAAATACCTCACATACCAGATTACGTCGCCGCATGCAAAGACACCCTGTCAGGAGCCCGAATAGGCGTCCCCTGGAAAGCCATCGAGCAAAGCCTAGAAAAGGACGCGCACCTTGATTCAGAAGTCCAAGTCTTTAGAGAGACGCTCGCCATCCTAGAAGCCGCCGGCGCAACCATTGTCGAGGCCAACTACGATTCATCGATAAAGGACATCCGTGATGCCGAAAAGGTGATTATGAGGGCGGACTTCTTCGCCAATGTGGCGTCGTATCTGGCGCAATTGACATCAAACCCAAGTGACATCCACACTCTCGCCGACATACGCGAGCAGACGCAGAAACACCCCCTGGAGACGTATCCTCAGCGTGACACGGGCATCTGGGACGACATCCTGTTTGAGCAGAAGTGGGACAATACCGACCCTCAGTTCCAGCAGGTGTATGAGCGTCTTCAGGAGCTCGGTGGTCCTGGCGGTCTTCCGGGGGTCCTGGAACGGCATAATCTTTCCGCAGTAGTGATGCCCACGAGCATGGCTCCGATGTGGGCTGCCGTGATCGGTGCCCCGGCCATAACGGTGCCGATGGGCCATCACTCGGAGACGGAACCGGTGCACGAGGACGGCGAGTTGGTGGAGACGGGGCCGGGAGTGCCTTTTGGGCTGAGCTTCCTAGGGGCCAAGTGGTCTGAGGAGACCCTGATTGGATTGGCCTTTGGGTTTGAAGAGAGAACCAAGGTGCGAGGCCGTCCGGTGAAGAGAGTGGTTGTGCCGACGGCAGAGATATGACTAGGCATATAAAAGAAGTGATTTATAGAATTCGGACAGTTGTTTACGAGGAAGGCCCCTAGAGGTTCCACGGGAGTTAAGAGGAAATGATCGACATCTTCAGAGTTGTCGTGTCCTTGCAATTGGGACGTTGGCCATCAACACTGCGATATTCTAAACAAATCTGAATCCCACTGTCAATTGCAGATCTCTCAGAAAGTTAGGTGCAGATTAAAGCGTAAAATCACCTTGTGTGGGCAACATAAAATGATGTATCGTTGATTGTGAATCCAGGGGCTATCTAATTTTGAGTTTGACGGGTCGTTCTCAAGCTTATCTTGTAGACGTTGGAACCCATGTTTTTTCAACCAGGAGAATGTGACTCTTAACCAATTGCTTGTACGTCCGAATTCACTTGCTGAATGGCATCGATTGAGGGACAAAGAGAACACTATACAATCGACTTTGTGGGCCGTCGCGACAATCCGATGGGCTACCAACGCAGATACGGAGCCGGGGGAGGATGACGGCGGACTTACGGAGACGAGGCCGGGGGCTTCTTACCGGGATGACCTTGCTTTGCTTTGGGTTTTTGCTCCTGGGCAGACAATCAAGATGCGAATGAGGAGGGCGACGATACCGGCGGCGGAGAGGAGAGGTGAAACAGATGAAGTCATTGTTATCAGCCATATTTCACGAGAAGCTTTGTGGTTTCAAGCTTCATGGCTTGAAGCCTCTTTTCGAGATCCCGCGCAAGCCGAGACGAGCTGCAAGACTTTTAGAGCCAATGGCATGCTCATGAACGACTTTTTTCTCTCGCAAGGCTTGAGATGAAGAGTCATCTTGGAGGTATTGAGCCAGTCCAGATGCAGCTGGGCAAGCAGCATGTCAATCTTGGCTGGTGATGGTTTCTGACGTCACTGTAGCTTGTCGTTTCCTTGTTTTTGCGCCTTTTTCTCTTTTCCATGTGATGACTTGGGAGTTTTGTGAGTGTCATCGTGGAGACGATACTGGGGGAGCATATTCGGACACACACCCTACGCACATGGAGCATCAGCGAGCGTATGTACATACCTCGACCGGCAAATCCGAGACGCCCAGCTATAAAAACACCCCCGCGAACCGCCTCGTTCGCAGAAAGGATACTTGACAGGAGTTCGGCCCCTGCAGACAAGCGTCGTCGATCACCCTCTTGACACTACCATATGCCGTGCCAAGAATCAACCAAGAGCTGCAAAGTCCCACACTCTCGGAAGAATAAAAAGTGAAGGAGAAAATAAAAAAGGATAAAAAAGAAACTGCCTTGCTGCTAGTGAATTCCCCGGTCTGACGTTGGTCTTCCGTGTATTCCTCCCCCCCCCTCCCAAGCTCCAAAGTCCTGTAACGGGCGACTTCTCCGCCGTGATTGGCCGAGGGGCGATATCTTTAGACTGCGCCTCGACGTCATTGTCGACGGGGCGCCCCGAGAGAGGGAGCAGGCATAGTTTGATAGTCAAGATGGTATCCGGAATTGGCAGTGGCTCTATTGGATTGGATTGGCATTGTGCAATCTATTTGATTCTTGTCGCCTCAGCCGATGGTCCGCCTGTGACCTTGTTGCCTTTTTGGCTGCGCCTGGCGTTGCACGGGCGTCGGTTGAGGAACGCAATATATCTCGATGGCGGTGGCTTGTCGCTGGAATGCGCCTCGTGCGACCTGGAACAAGAGCCGTCAGCTCAGTAGAAGGCCGAAAGAACAATGAGCCGCTGGATAATTGCAGCAAGGGCGAAAAGGCGCATGTCACTGCGGCGGCGAATTACTCGTTGCGTGCTAGCATCAGCAGGAAAATACACTTTTCGGCCATTCCCCAAGCCAAGTCAAGTCCAAGTCCAAGGCCAAGTCCAAGGCCAAGTCCAAGTTTGAAGTCAAGGTTGGAGTCGCTTCCTGTCACATTGGCCGCCGTCAAGTGACTTATGCATTTATGCCCGCTAATGCAACAATGCACAAATCCCGCACAAGCCGCGTCATAAGGGCCCCACCCCTCCACAAGCCCGGCAAGGTACGAGCGACGTACCGCCTTGTACCTCGTATAACGACTTTGCAGCGAAATGTGCACGCAGCACAGCGCAAAAAACGAAAATTCAGCGCTACCCGGCTTCTCTACAGCGATCCCTGGCAGACGCACGCAAAAAGCGCCAAATTGCGGCCTCGAAGCGCGCGAATTGGACGAAAATCCAGTTCTCTCGCCATGATGAGAACAAACATTCCCCAGCTTTTTTTTTTTTTCCTATTAGGTACCTATTGTATAGTACCCTTCCCGCTCCTCTACTAAATCCTATTTTAAGCAAAGAAACTCAACTAGCCCCTCCGCCGATACGAAGGAATGCCACCCTCCTCGCAGCCACAGCTTCTGTTTTGGCGCCACTAAGTCTGTGATGGCTGTTTGGAGTGTGCAGAGTACGTTATGCAAGTGCGTATAAACGCCCGTCTGTGTGTGTGCACCCTTTAATGCGCCTCCGCCATGGCCTCTGTTTTTTTTTTTTTCTTGTCCTTTGCTGCTGGGGATGGATGACTGCATGACCTCCCCCGGATTTTCTGCGTGATATGGGTGACGAGATCGTCACACAGCGCTCTGTGTACTGTAAATGCCCGGATTGGGTAATTCGCGAGGTAACCACCAAAGGAAGAGCGTGCAAGCACCATGTAAGACGGGTGGGATGATTCACTCCGTCTCTTTTTCCATCCATACTGGCTTCATATTACGTGGACCCCAACAGCTGTACTGTACGAGTACTATACTCTGCCAGCTTGTTTACGTGCCCCAACCCAACCTGTGCCTCAGAATGTCGTCTTAGCGCCCTGCAACGATGCAGCTCCAGCACGGTCATGATCCATCGTCATCTGCAAAAGGTGGTGCTGCCAACCACCGACCTGCAGCCAGCCAGCAAGCCATTATTCCCATTTGTCTCATCTTGCGTGTCGTGCTCCTCTCTCACTTCCCTCTGTCTCTTCCCTCTCTCCCACTCTCTCTCTCTCTTTGCTCACCTTCTCCCCTTCTACCTCATGATTACCTACTTTATTAGGTACATACCAACGCACCGGAATACACGTCCATCTAGCTCAACAACATGGTGCCACGTCAAAAGCCTAATTCCAACTCTTTTTCCCTCCCAGCCGTACTCTATACCTACCACTCACCAGCTTCCGCATACAAGTACATCCTCGGAAAAACAAGCTGTATTCGTCCACCCCCAAAAACCTCATCCATTGGTCACGCAAAATGGCATCCCAGCCTTCTTCTCCTCCCTCTTCCCGCTCTCTCTCTCTGCCCATGTCACTTTTTTTTTTTTTTTTCCTTTCCTTTCCTGTTGCAGCAAGCCGTCTCTTGTTCACTCCCAAGTCTTTTCTCCACCTTCCCAACTCCTCCCATCCCCACAAAAAAAAAAAAGAACCAACCTCGCCTCCATCTAAAAAAGACAGGGAACAGGAAAAAAAAAAAAACCAAAACAAATATGTAAAAGCAACTCCACCAAGAAAAACAGCAAGGAAGAGGGAAAAAAAAACAAGCACAAAAAAAACGTAAAACGCCAAACGTGCCATGTACCATGTATACGCCCCTCAGCCATGAGGGCCAGCCAGCGGAGCCACCGGAACCCGCACAAGCTCCTGCTGTAACGTATACTTCCGTCGGTTTGTGCAATGTACTGCTGAACTGGGAAAAAAAAGCACCGCGGTTGGTAGCTCGGAGGTACATAGTACTCGGACTCCGTAGCTTCACCTGAACGGCAGCATGGAGGTATCCTCACTGGTACGCTTAAGACTGACCAGGGCCATTTTCTCTTAGTCAACAGAGCAAGACATGGCCGCAGAACTTGGCCTGCAGGTTGCTCGCGGAAGCTCGGATACAGCGGGTCTCAGCAGCTGTTGCTTCCTTCAAGTACAAGCAGAAGTAGAGGTACCGGGGTTGAGTACTTCTTGGTACAGCCTGAGGGTGTCTCGGTGACGGCCCGCGCTGTGGTAGGTACGAGTAAGCAGCTCAGCTCAGCTCCAATACTGCTGCTGTCAAAATCAAAGCCATCCATCGTACAGAAGGCATTGATTTCTATTACATTTCAAACACTTGGTAAATGACCAAATAGTACGTAAAACATCACTCTGGAAATCACAATACAAAATGCGTGCAAGTTGGTTTATAATCGTAAAAAAAGGTCGTCCGAAGACATTAGCATTAAAGCCAGTAAATCTGGTATATTTTGTGTATTACACCTCCCTCGAAAGGGCGCATGATCCAAAGCCAACAAAAGTCGTCTGGGGTCCAGCTCGTAGTTCATCACACCGTTATTCCTTTCCACCTCACCAGGTCGTTCCCGAAATCCGATATCCTCCAAACATCGCTACGTCTCCATTCTCGTCGTTGATTGTCAAACCCCTTACAGGGCAAAGGCGCAGAGAGCGGCGACCAGGGCAAGGCCGGGCAGGATGGTAGAGCTGCCGCTGGTAGGGGCGGTGGGAGCACCGGTGGTGGTCTTGTTGCCAGCGGGAGGGGGGACAACGCCAGTGCCGGTGCCAACAGGGCCAGCGGGAGTGGTCTGGGCGGGAGCAGAGCTGACGGGAGTAGAGCTGGGGGGAGCGCTGGCGACGGAGGAGCTCTGGGCAGCGGAGGTCTGAGCAGCAGAAGTCTGGGCAGCAGAGGTCTCCTTGGCAGAGGTGGTCTCCTTGGCGGGAGTGGTGTTGGCGGCAGAAGAGCCAGAGCCAGAGCCAGAGTTGGCGGCGCAGAGAGCCTGAGTGGCGGGCAGGACCTTGTCTATAGCACAATGGTTAGATCAAATCATTTCCTTTTCATCTCTCTCGGACCAGATTCAACATACTGATGGCAACGTCAGTGCCGCACTTCTGGATAACACAGCTGGTAGCCTGGGCCTGGACAACGTCGAAGTCCTTGCAGATGCAGACGTAGTCGGAGGTAGAGCACTTGGTGTTGGCAGTGACGGCGGCGTCGAGGCAGGGCAGAGCGCACGAGGGGATATCGGCGCGAGTCTGAGCCTGGGCCAGAGCGGCGAGGGCAAGGGCAACGAAAGAGTACTTCATCTTGTCGGTATTAAAGGGTTTGGGGGGTATTAGTTGTTTTTTTGTAAGTTTTTGGGTTTAGTGTTCAGGCAACGAATGTAGCTGGACTGTAAAGCGAGCGAGTGGATGGAGAAGAAGAAGAAGAAAAGAGAAAAAGGCTTCGGAGATGGAGGGAAGCCTCTTTATGTACGTTGTGGACGAGCATCCGTCTTTCTTCGTCTCCCGTCAACCTTGCTGAGCTTCCCTTCCCTTGCCTTAGCCTGCGTACAACCCGTCTGTGGCTCCTGGTCTCAGCTGGGGCCGCACGCCCCTCCCCTTCGATCGTCGGGCCGGGGGTGCAAAATGAAGGAGAAGGCTAGCACGGCCTAGCAGGGCCGAAAGGCGACAAGGCCCTCAAGGTTTAGCTTCTTAGCACTGCTCGTCCATGGGGACTTGGGGGAGTTGAGATGGAGTCAGTCGTGGAGTCGGGTTGGCAAGTACCGCATGGCCCAAGTACCCCGAGCAGTGACCGCGGCCCAAGTACCTGCCGTCGCCGTGGCGGTGCGCTGGCCCGCGTGGCTCGACGCAGCATCTACACGCCGCACAAGTACCGCATGCGCCGGCCTGGACAAAACATACACGCCCGTTGGCGTGTGCGCACTGCGGAGCGCGACTTTCTTCTCTGGGCAGCAGTGGCTGGTGGAGTCGGCGCTGTGCCACGGGCTGGTGCTGTTACAGGGGCTGCCAAGTGCCAGTGACTCGGTCGTTGGCCACTGCTGCTAGCGGCGTGTGGTCACTGCAACCTCTGCGCTACAGCGAGCAGGCAGACGTGTTAGTGAGGACTGGAGCGTGGCAATCCAACTTGCCAACCTCGTCCGGAAACAGGGGGGGCTGGCTGGGATTGGCTTGGGCCTAACCTCATCTGCTACACACGGCCGAGCCGGGCAACCCAGCGATCGACGGGCCTTGGCTTTGTATGGGGATGACTGCAGCAGGTTGCTCAGACAAGTGCTGCAACGGCGAGTATCAGGTACTGCGGGATGTGGTGAGTGCTGCCGGTCGATGCCAGGTTACTGCTACAGTGCTGTGCTATGCTTGTACATGTCTCATGCGAGTCCTGCTGCTGGTTGTTGTGCCGACTTTACGAACACTCCGCGGTTGGTGCAGGTGAGGTTACATGTCCACGCAAAACATGTGAATTCTCACATCGAGCCGCTGCCGCGGGTTGGCCAAGCAAAGAGTCTCTCCTCTCCAGTCCAGTCCAGCTAAATAAACGAGCAACGGGGATGCCGCACGATGACCCGACGGACCCCAGCAGAGCAGCCCAGCGCTCCCCATTGGCCTCGCGCCGGAAATTGCCAGTTGAGCAAATCGACAGAGGCCCAGCCTGGCCAGATCCAATTGTTCTTCTTCGTCTGGCCGCATCACTGCCATTGGCCCAGCCCCCAAAGCAATCCGCACCCTGCTGGCCTGCCTCCTCGACTTTTGCAGTCCGAGATCTGGGGTTTTCATGTGCAAATGTGGTTGGCCAGCTGCAACTGCGGCCGGTTTTGCCTCCGCATCGCGGGTGGTGTGTGTGAGTGGGCGGTCATATACAAGTACATGTAGTCACATCACTGTTGTAAAGCGCACGTAACCTTGCATTCGCGCTGTGGCTGGGGTTGCGACTCTATTTCGCGGCTATGTCATTGATGGCATCACATTGAACAGGTACTATTTTGTGACAATTGACCGCCGAGAGGCCAGTGCTGCTGCTGCTATTCTATTTGCTTTGCTGTACTGGCAAGACAATACACATCAAGAATCGCAACAGAGAATCAGCTACCAAGTACGGAGTACTGCTATGACCATCCATCTTCGGTCTAGGTCCGGCCGAACCGTTGGCCACAACCTGCTGCCAACAGGTGCTGCGGCGCTGTAATTCCTCCTTCCAAGGCGCCCCCTTCAGTGGCCTCAGCGCCCTCGACCGCCCTGTGGCAAACCGCTACAGCGACAGCCAGGCCTGTAACCCCCCCAGGCGGCCCACCAGCCATGTACAGGGCATGTACCTTATGCGCAGAATGCGGATCTCAACCCTCTTGGCCGATCCAAATCATTCATCTTTCCGTCAGCATCATGTCACCACAACGTCCGGAGATATGCTCGGCGGCGTCATCAGGCTACCAGCACAATACCTGCGCCGGGCTATGCCTGGTTGAGTCACCCCAGCCTGCGCTTTGCTCGATTCTGCAGGCACACACACTCGTCTTCAGCCTGTTTTCCTCGAATGGCGCGGGCTACGAACTGGCGGAGACAACTGATGCGCCCTCCTGGCTTGCCTGGGAATCAACTGCAGCGATCGTCGGACCTCATCTGCCCATTCCAAGCACAAGCACAAGCACAAGCCCGACTTTCCGCCAAGGTTCGAGAAGCTACTGTAGCTCAGGCAGAGGGAGCCAAGCAGCCTTCGAAACGAGGCGAACAATAGGCTCAACGGCTTGGAATGGGGTGGCGGCTCCACCAGACGGCGTGTTTGGCTCAGACACGACGGAAATGGGCAAAGGGGATTGGGGGACTTGTGTCGAGGAGTCTACATAGTATGACAAAAGGAAACCAAGTGAGAGGCAAAACCCTGATGCAGGAACAGGACTCGAAAGCGCGCATGAGCTGAGACCATCAGCAATAGTCTGCTAGCCCTGTTACTACTACCGCTACTCTCTACTACTCTCTACCCAGACCGTCGACAGTCCCGAAAGTTGGCCAAGCTCGCCGCCATTCCTCTTCCAAACCCACAGGCCGACCTCAACTGTCGCTTCGCCAAAAGCTCCTCTGGACAAGTCCCCGGCCAATCCTGGTCCTGGTTGCGACGACCTCGCTAAGTCGAGCAGAGCGAATCGGGCTCGAAAAGTCCGGGGAACGGGGAGGCAAAGGAGGGTCAGTGAGCGCTTGGGAGACAGGGCCTGAATCGCTCTTCCATCCATCGCTCTTCGACGCAATTTCCCCCGCAGCTTCACCCCCTGACGCCAGTTGCTTATCCCAGGCGCCTGATCCGATGGGATCTCCATATGGCCCACGGCCCATCGGCTAGTTTGCTCTAGCCCTGGCTTTTTGCAACTGGGCTGGCAGCCAATCTCCAACATGTCAATAATATGCGGGCCAGCATGCAGCGCCAACCAAGTTTTTTTGTCCTTCTCGTTGCTTCTGCTCGTCTCTCCCCTGGTCCGCCATGCTTCGCTCTCACACTCACACTTTGCACACACTCCCCCTCTCGCTCCGCTAGCCATGTTGGTACATACAGCTTCACCTTCTCGAGCGCGCCGTGCCGAGGCCAATAGCGGTGCGCATGTAAATCCTTTCACCATGTGATTTTGGGGGCAGAGCAGGAGTCGCTTTACAAAGCATGGCAACATGGCATTCTTCGTCGACTTTCCGATAATAGGGGCGGCACGACGCCACCAATCTCTACGCCGTTTGACGGTAGGCTCCAAGGGATGAGTCGGACACCGATCGCAATCTGATCAAAATTATGCTCTCCTACCGCGTGCATACAGACCCAGAACGAGAGATGATTTCATGCGGGCCCTGTCCAGCGAGTCCACTGCTACGAGTACATACAAGTAGTACTCGGTACATTCAGGTAGTCAGATCTCGTGGTACAGTACGGAGGACTTCCGTCGACGAGAATTGGCTCTCCTCCTTCTTAGACCTGCCACGGAGGAAAGCCCCAGTCTGGCATGAGGCCATGACACAGGGCCCAGTGGGTAGTAGTCGTCGTGACTTGCTTGAATCCTTGCTATGCCATGCCATCCATCGAATTGGCGAGTGCCGCAGATCAGAGAAAACAGCCGATGAGTGCTTGTTCTTGTCACTTTTTGCTTCAGAGATGCCGCCGTGCCCAACGCCCCTCTGTCTTGCCGAGATGCTACTCCGTTTAATGCCTCCCTGTCCGAACGAGTCTCAGTGTTGGCAAAGTCAGGCCACTCGCGTGCGGCCGGAGTCGGATAATACTCCGAATCAGCCAACTGACTCTTGACTCTAGATCCAGAGATGCATTCTTGGAAGCTGCAGGGTTGGTTTTTGTGGGCAAATCCACGGCGCGGCATCATTTCCGGAGCTTGTCCAAGCACTGAGCGATGGTATTACTCGTACGGAGTACGGTAGGTGGTATTGCTCGCTCTCACCAACAGCAATCTTACTGGGTACGAGAAGCAAAAGTGCTTCGCGCTACGACTACATGTTGGCTGGCGGCTTGAGCTTGCCCTCGTTTGGACCCGTTCTTGCAGGATCTGCATCATGAGCCATGAGGCACAAGATGCGATGCTACTCCCGCCATGGCAAATGCTCTTCACGTTGCTATTATTACTGCTAGCTCAAGGACATGATCGTCGAAATGCACTGCCGGCAACCATTACAGAGAACCATTTGACTCTCGGAGATTGAACATGCTTTACTTGATGCAGCCCGCTACTGTCACGGTTTCAATTGGACGCTACAAAAATTGGCCCGAGAAGCTATATCCTTGCCAGGCTGGTGGACACGGCACGGCCCCAATGCTCCTTGTGGACGAAAATTCAGTGTGGAGTGCACTAATTGTGCTGAGCCTCGTTTATAGTCTGTACGACTTGCACAAAGGCCGACATTACCATGTATTACATACAGTGGTCTACCTTGCAGGGGGATGGCTTCTGAGACGACCGTTCATCGTTGGTGTTGATGAAAGTAGATGGGATCGGAACCTTGAGCTGCATGGCTCAAACTCTATTATATTCTCTCCCTCTCTTTCTCTATGTTTTGAGGTGTCTAAGCTGACTGTCAGGAAACAAGGGAACTTAGATTCAGATCGTGTCCCTGTGCCGTTATTTCCCGCGGTTGTCCGTGCGAAGTCAGTCGACAAGCGGCATACGAGCAACAGCAATGGCTTTCAAGGTCGAAGCGCCCGGACGGGCACCATATGCAGGACGGCAGCGAAAATACGAGTCAAAACTCATCCTTCCAAGCAGACTACGCCCTTTCTGAGACGAGGGCAAATGAAGAGTACGAGTTGAACTTTTGCCTTGCCGAGGAACGTCTATTCGCGCGTGGAATCCATGCATTTTGCATGCGCGCCATGAGCATCTGTATCGCCCTTTCCCTCCCTTGAATCAGGGTCTTCACAGGGACTAAGCCCGGCGATGAACTGGCTGCGACTATAGTCACAATGTTCCCCCCCTTACAGATGAATGGCGCTGGTGAGCTGGTCGATCCCGTTTTCCCCTGGACGGACGACGCGGCTCGTCTTGCTCGACTCCATCATACTGCAGGTGGCGGGCAAGCCACAGCTGAGATATTACCATGGACGGCCGCCACCACAGTTTCCCTTGGTCATCTGCACCGAGTATTTGCTGCGACAACCGACCCTATTGGCAGGCTGTGTTGTCTCGAGAGCCGAGACAGTTGGTGTGCGTATGCCTCCCAAAGATGCCCTAACGCTTCAGCTGTCTCACCGATGGCTTCCATGACACGTCAAGGTGGTACAATCGGAGCGGAAGTGTCACTTTATCACCTTATTCCTCCGAGGCAGCGGCATGCTGTCTCAGTATGCGAAACACCTGGACCCATATGTAGCGTCTCTGACTCGACTCCCTTGATGTCTCGAACCAGGTCTTGGACGAACTCACGAGGATGAACCGGCACGCATTATTGGTCTGCGAGTGTTCATCTAATGTACGAGGTACTGTATCGGTAGCTATACGATGAGCCCTGGCGATGGCCCGAGGATTCTGTTTGCCCTTTTTTTTTCTCAGCTGTACATACGTAAATACGTAAGCACCATTGCTGCAGCGCTGAAACGCTATAGCCACACGCCCTTGGTGAATCCAAGGGTCTGGATTGGGATTGGGGGACGCAGTGCTATTTTTGTGGTGGCGAATGCGAGAAGGGGCTGGGACATGCGTCTGAGACATGGCATGGAGGATTTTAGTAGCGTTGGGAAAGGTGAGTGGCACGGGATAGGGATATGCAGAGCACAGAGTATATTTGTGCGATTGGTTAGTGGTGCGTGATGTGTGTTTGACGTTGGGACTGCCACGTAAGAGGTATATATGCATGTGCTTCGTATATGTAAGAGGTGTTGTCTTTATTCAGGATTCGTTGGGGGCTTTATGGTGAGTTACCTGGTGGCTGGGAATGATAAGATGGTGAGCCAATGGTGGTGATGGCTGGAGATGCGGCTAAGTGTGTTGTGCATTGGTCTGATGTATCGTTTGTAACTGATACTCGTGGGCTTGTACTCATCGTAGATTGGGCCTTTGATCTGGAGTAATACGTAGATGGCTGTTTCAGCTTGTCTTTATATCTGCGGGTGGTGTGTTGTATGGGACTTCATCTTGTCACATATAACATCGAGACCTAACTCAACAAACCTTTTCTAGATGACGGCTTGATCCAGAGTTGCAGTGGTTATATCTATTATTAGTATGAAAGAGTCAATAAAGCTGCAATAGCTAGTTTCAAGGTATTGTGTCCAAGTCTTCGTCTTACTCCCTAAGGTCTGTCAAGCCTCGACTCGCTGTTTGGCAAGTGGAACTGTTAGGTGATCAATAGATGCGTCGACAAGGTGTTGTCTGGAGTTTGTGGAATGTACGCGTTGGTATGCCTGAGAAGCTGTGACTGTTTGGAAGGCCTTGTTGCGCCAAAGGATCTCAAGGGTAGGTAGGTAGCGGTTTTGATCAACATGGCAAAGTCATAAGATTATGATATCGAATGTTGGGAGAATTAGAGTCAGATTGTTTCCCTGCTTTGCTTCTTCTGTAACCTCTTGAGTTGCTGGTATTGGGACGATAAGACAGATTTCCCACTAGATTCAAGGAAGTGAGTTTAATACGGAATAAACGAGTTGAGAACCCTAGAATGGAAAGCCAACATGCTCAAAAGTCCTTGGATATATCTAAATACAGTCCGAAGCTGAAGTCAGAATTTTGCACTGATATAACATATTGGCTACTATTTCTTATTTGTAGAGCATTCTCTTTCCGGTGGTATATAGGGTAGAAGTTGTGAGGAGAATTTGCTCTATGCAGTCTTGGCGTGCCTGGTCGCAGATTTTTGACCGCGCATTCATTTCATGCAGCTTTACGCTGACAGGTACCATGTTTCAGCAATTCTATTCAATTTCATCTACTAGATCTATCTATATCTGAATATGCAGGATCCATCTATCTTTACTGGATATATCCGCATCTGCGAATTGTACTAGTAGTAGTGATGAGACTACAGAGTATGTACGACTAGGATCCTTCGGCTCCTTCGGACTGTACTATTCTCCACGGTTTATATCGCTCATTTGCCCTCGTCATATGAATAATGCCACAGTGCGATGAATCTTGCAAAATATATACACAGCGCATGTTGAATTAAGCGACAAGATTGATTGCTTGCATTCCCCGATCGCTGCATCGTTTCGACCGATTCCCTATTTGCGATGCTACTAGACTTGATGCAGGCGATGGCGCAAGCATGACTCAGGCTTAGGACATCTAATCTGGTCGCTTATCGGATTGAAATGTGCAAGAGGATTCGCTTCCGCATCGTTCAGCTCTTACTTGGTAAATGTCCAATAAGCGGCAGGATCGTCATAAAGGCTGCCCTCCAGGGTCGCATTTAGGTGGATTTGAAGCAGCGCTGGCCCAATCCGCGGCCAGATCGGTGACAACAATCGCGGTTTAATATAGAGGAAATCGCGATGTAATACAAATCTGGCAAAGGTATCCGTATATTGTTGTTGGGTCAAGGAATAGCACAGAGGATGCCGAGCTAGGGCTTTCTTTTCCTAATGGGTTTCTCATCACCGGCGGTGTACGGATTAGATGCATAAGTCCGCAGTAAGTTGGTCGCAAAAGATCGTATATATAGGGTCTTGCATGCACAACCAGTCCACAACCAGTCCACAACCAGTCCAATCCCAGTCCGATCCGAGGCCCAGGAATGAGATCGAGATTACATTAAGCGCTATATAACAGTAAACATGTTAAAAAATCCGCATCTGTGTAACCACATCAGGTGCGGAGTCACAGCAGCGCCACGCCACAGTATGGATCACGGCGGGAATTCCCCCTCTTCACCGCAAGGGCTGTTCTGGAAGTGAGACATCTGCTTGCTGAGTGCCTTTTTTGTGCTCTCTTGACGAAGCCATGGCTCAACAATTGGAGCTGGAACACCTTGGCGATGCCCTCTTCCCTGCTGTGCCATCGTCGTGGCAGCTCACGGTGGGTCTGTCCATGATTGCCGGCGTTGTTTCCCACCATCTTGTGTTTCGGCCGGTGGAAATCGACAGCTACTTGTGGCGACTATTGTTCATCTACCTCTTCACGCTAGCTACTATTTTTGGAGGCTACATTCGAATCGGAGAGTACCGAGTTGTGGCGGCCTTGCTGCAGACCGTCCTAGTTGCAACTGCATACAATGTTGGAGTTTTGACTAGTATCTTTGTGTATAGAGCATTCTTTCATCCTCTGCGGGAGTTTCCCGGGCCCTTCTGGGCAAGGATCTCTCGGTTTTATGCCATGGGAAAGATGATTCAGAGCCGAAAGGGTTACGAAGATATACAAAAGCTCCATCAAAAGTACGGAGACATTGTGCGAGTCGGTGGGTGACACGACATACCTGTGGTGAAACAAAGTGCCTATACTAAACAACAAATGAAATCAAAGGGCCGCGCGAATTGTCCATTAACCGTCCCTCTGCCATCCGCTCTCTTTACGGAGCCCACTCGCAAACATCGAGACCGCCATGGTATTCGCAGACGTCGAGACACCCATCCAAGTCCTCGTTGATCAACACGCGGGACTCAGCAGCACACAAACTACGGAAGAAGATTTGGGAAAAGGCCCTTGGGTCATCTCGAGGTACGAAGGCGGACAACTCATTTCCTTCTGAATATCTTACAAGCCGTTTGATGAATATGCTGACAGATTTTGAAAAGCATTGGATGTATATGAGTCGCGAGTGCAGGCAAAAGTAGACCTTTTACTGTCCAAAATCGAAGAGGCAAATGGCAACCCAATCGATATGACAAAGTACTTTATGTACTTTAGCTTTGATGTCATGGCAGATGTTGGTAAGTGACCAAAAGAGCAATCCGAGCATTGTGGTCCATGTCTTTCAGTAAACTAAGAGATTTCTCGCAGGGTTTTCCAAAAACTTTAACATGCTCGAGTCGACAAGTATTCACCCAGCTATCAAAGGCGTTCATGACACCATGTGGTTCATCGGGCTCTTGACCACCATACCGTGGATGCTGTACATGGTCGGCTCGACACCGGGTTTGAATAGTCTCAGTCGATTCTCTATCTGGTGCCATGAGCAGCTCAACGAGAAGCGAAAGGTGAGTCCCTACCTTCGTCCCTACTAGACTTTGTGCCGTGATAACCAGCTGATTGTATGTTTAGATCCTGGCTAGTGAGAAGGAAAAGGAACCGCAGGATGTCATGTCGTGGCTGCTAAACGCCATGGACAAGGGGGACCCCGCGGCACCTCCTTCGGAACGTGCCGTTCAAGAAGATTCTCGTCTTCTGATTATAGCTGGAAGGTATGTACTGGTGATCTTCTTATCACCCACATAGGATTGAAACATGCTGATTTTATCTCTCAATAGCGATACGACGGCTGGAGTATTGGCAAATGCGTGAGTCTCCTCTAAAATTCCTCGGAGTCCGTGACCTTCCATCGCGACTAACATTTGGATTTTGCAAGGTTCCATCTCTTGTTAACGAACCCCCATACCTACGAGCATCTTCAAGCCGAACTTCAGAAACAGTTCCCAGGAGGAATCAGCGACTGGACATATGAAAAGGCAAAGGCAATTCCTTATCTCGACTGGATCGTCTACGAGACGCTGCGATTGAGGCCCACAGCCGCAGCAGGAATGCCCCGAGCCCTGCCCTCACAAGGCCTCATGATTGACGGCGAATTCATCCCCGGCGGAACAATCGCCTCGATTCCCCCCTATACGTTACAGCGAGATGCGCGATATTGGGCAGAGCCGCTTGCTTTTCGGCCGGAGAGGTGGGAGGACTGTTCGATGGATAGCGTTCCCTGGATTGCGTTTAATCGGGGGACATGGTCGTGTCCTGGGAAGGGTCTTGTGATGATGGAGCTGAGGATGGTGCTTAGCCGTGTACTTTTGCAGTATGATGTTACTCTGCCTCCGGGGATGGGTGGAGATACGTTTGAGAGGGATACTATTGATAATGTTTCGATGGTGGTGCCTGCATTGTATCTTACATTTACTCCTAGGTAAAAATGTGATTGATTGGCCTTCCAAGTGGGCTTATGAGGATATGGAGAAGCAGAGATAACTTTGCAGTGTAGAAGCTACATGTAGTTGATTTGTCCTACAAGTCCCTCGAGAATTGTGATTATACTGCTGTTATTTGTTTACAGTCATTGATAGAGGAGAAAATTGCATCAACGCGCTTTTTGCAGTTAGTTAGCAAAATGAATAGAACCTCTATTGCATTAACATCTATCTAACAGTTAGCTTTCATATATGCAGTCGAATAACGCCAGAGCGTTATCATTTATCTCCAATTATTTTACCATTTCATTATTGATGGGCCGAGCTAGATGGTATTCTAGTGCCTGTATATGTTCTTCTATGAAGCACTTTTATATAGACACTAGGAAGCATTAAATAACTCAGCCTTCTGCGGATAAACCTAGAGCTACTACATAGATGTGTATACCTTAGGACCAATATCCATACTAATAGCCGGGTAACAATTCGTCAAAATTGACCATACGAAGGCCAGTGGACTGATAAGAATTGTTGGCTATCCGCATCCAGTAGTTGCCTATTAGCACCCCCTTCAAGAAGAACCCTGATTAAACCATGTTGTTTTGATGCAACCGCGTAAGATAGTGGTGTTCGTCCATATACGTCAACCCTGTTGATGTTGGCACCTCTCTGAAGAAGGGATCGGATGTAAGGTCCATAATCCATATTACTTCGCTTAGGAGATCCTCTGGTGATAGACTTATGGAGAGCATGGTCAACTGCAGGGGGGAATGGTTTACCACCATAATCAAACCCTGCAACGATAAGAGAGCCTCTATGACGAAGGAGTTCCAAAATACCACTCTCCCCTCCTAGAACCGCATAGAAGAGTGACGTCCAGCCATGAATATCAGCTGCTTCGATATCAGCACCGTGATCTAGGAGAAATTCAGTAGCTTTGAAATACCCACGCTCGGTGGCATATGACAGCTGCGTCCGTCCATTTGTATCCATCGCTTCGATAGGAGCTCCTCGATCCAATAATAATTGAACAACCTCTGAGTGTCCCCTCTCTACAGCTAGTAAAAGTGGCGTGCAGCCATTTTCATCTCTTGAATCAATAATCATGGTGCCTCGATCTAGAAGAATCTGAACCAGGTCTAGGTGTCCCCCTTTCATGACCATGATTTGCAGTTGTGCGGCGTCGTAGTCATCTTTTGCCCCAGTGATAGCCCCCCCACATAAAAGAGCTCGAATAAAGGCCATATTTTTATTAAACACAGCGTAATGAAGTGGTGTATGATTTCGATTGGATATTGCCTCAACATTGGCTCCATGACCTAACAAAAGCTTGGTAGTAGTCAGATCTCGATTCTTCACAGCTATTAGAAGTGGTGTATCTCCTATTTTAGAAGTTGTCTCAGTATTGGCTCCGCGATCTAACAAAAGCTTGATAGTATCCTGATCTCGATTTCTCACGACCATTAGAAGTGGTGTATCTCCTGTGTCAGAAGTTGTCTCAATATTGGCTCCGCGATCTAACAAAAGCTTGATAGTATCCCGATCTCGATTTCTCACGGCCATTAGAAGTGGTGTATCTCCTGTTTTAGAAGTTGTCTCAATATTGGCTGCGTGATCCAACAGCAGCCGCACAGCTTCTAGATTTTTGTATCTCACAGCAGTTGAAAGAGGTGCGTCGAAGTTGCCCTCTGGTTCAACGTTGGCACCGTGCTTGAAAAGCAGCTGGATCATATTCAAATTCCTTTTTTCCACAGCTACTGAAAGTGGTGTCCTATCATGTTCTCTTGCCTCAATATGGATGCCTGAGTCAAGGAATAATTGAACAGCTTGCACATCCCCCTTTTTCAAGGCTGAGAAAAATAGGGTCGTGGCCATCTTATTTTCGGATATGGGAGTCGCTCCGTTTTCGAGTAATAATTTGACGATGGCCTCTCGTCTGTAGGACATGGCATAGAACAACGGTGTACCACCAATATCATCCGTTAAATTGACTTGAGCTCCAGCCTTAAGAAGTGCCTTGACAACAGCCACGTTTCTGTTCCAAATAGCGTACACTAGCGGTGTACGGCCTGACTCATCCATAGAGTTGATTTCAACGTTATTTCCAAATAACAGTCCAGTGATCTTTCTATACCACCTGCGGTGGCCTCGGGCTAACAATCTGACAACAGCATCAAAGCCATTTCCCGCAGCCCATGAGAGTGCCGAGCGCCCATACGTTAGATCTCGAGCTCTGAGTTCAATATTATCAGTCATTGTTGATATTATCATCTGCACTGCCTCATACAGTCCAAAATAAGATACTATCATGAGGGTTGTGAGTTGCTCAGGGAAAGGTGTAGATGTTTTCTCCCAAAATGTCCTGAGCCAAGCGTCGCAATTTGGACCGGTATCGCATATCCTCAATATCGACTGCATCATTGATTTTCTAACTTCGATTTGAGATGCTCGGATATGTGTGGCCCAATAGTTAGCAGAATAGTCCCAAAGAATACGAGTCTCATCATACCTAGAGAGCTCGGACAAAGGCTTGTTATCCTGATGCTCCAAGATAAGGTAGCAAACGCAAATTTTTGCCAATACATTGTGAGACTCCTGCGGCATCAAACGGTGTTTCCATTGTAGATCCTGAGTAATGGAATTGGTTGATTGCGACTCGGCATTGCGAACTAGGAATTCTCTTGCGGTTTGGTGGAGAAGATAAACCTTGGAGTTGATAATGGTTACAAAGAGTCCACAACTATCTCTTATATTCTCACGCAAACGGTTTTCCGCTTGAATATCGATTTCATCGTAAGACTGGTGGTAGCTCTGGATCGCCAATGCAAAACCTAGTTCTGCCAATGTCAGGGCTCGTTCAGCTGCCATGACAATGTGCAAAATCTTCTCGGACTTTTTAAAATCAGAGCTTCTAGATAAAATCCTGTTGTACGCTTCATCGACCGTCCTTGGAATATGAGTAGTAGCTCGGAGTATTCCTGTCCTATCAATGTTTATATCACTCTCAACCAGATCGAGAATGAGGTAAACCCAAAGATATGTCCTATTAGGCACCCGTAAAAGCTCTTGTAATAACGTTCGTCGCTCTTTTTGTCCAAGTTGTAATCGCTCGGCAATATCTTGTACCCTGGCCTTAATATATGTATCAATCTCTGCGGAGATCTTTTTCAATTCTTCTTCACTCTCCCCGCTTAGATGTATTATAGGCAGATTGGGGATTTGTAGAGGTTGGAAACCTTGCCGAATTTTGCCAAATGGCCGGCTTGTAACGAGAAACTTCAAGTTCAAGGTTAAGCGGCTGTCAGCACCATATAACTTGCATAGTTCTTTGGCAAGTCGAGATCGTCCATGATCCTCGCATTCGTCAATCGCGTCTAGAACGCAAATTATCTCTCCGGCACGCACATCTTGGGCGGTGGAAAGAAGGATGTGCCACAGTTCACTGAATGAAGCCAGGAACCGCTCCCCTCCAGCTTCAAATTGATTCGTAATGGACTCCGAGAGCAAAGCAGGATTCTGCTGGAACAGCTGATACAAGATACAGCAAAGAGCACTGACAATGCTTTTCTGGTCCTCAAAATCGTCCTTGAAGAAAAAATAGCACACCGTCCTCGATGTCTCGCTTAAAAGGATATGGTCGACGAGATATTTGACCAGAACTGACTTGCCACATCCTGGGTCAGCAGATACCCAAAGTAGTCTTGAAAAAGTGCTCTTCTTCCAGTCTAGAAACAGCTGGTGCTGCGTAAACCATTCGCAAGTTCCAGCTACCCGATCTGGGTTTCGTTCCTTGCGATCTCGATAAGGCGAGGTATAGAGTCTTTTCATTATCTCCAACTGTCTCGTGTCAAGTTGTGTTGTGTTTTGATACCCAGGGGGGCCATTTCCTAAATTCTGAGGGAAAATCGAGGGCATTGGCAGCGCTGTAACAGAAATATTAGAACGGGAGTATATCAGATTCGACCCAAGAATAGTACTTACTAGTATCCCAATGTTTCAAGAAGGCTTTTGCAGTTGCTGCTGCTGTAGCCGCTGCATAAGATTGCCATATTTTATTCTTATGGCTATCCGCATAGTCACAAACACCTTTGATGACAAGAGCGGCAGGAAATGTCTCCCACACTCCTGCACCCTCCATTTCGAATGCGATCACTTTATCGCGAGCAACAAGTTTATCTCGATCTTTTCCAGATCTCATGACGGTATCTCCGGTAGCCACAAGCCCAAAATGGATAGCAGGTGGAGATTCATTTGATGTTTGTGCCAACCTTGAGCGAGGTCTTAGGTCCAGCTCTGTACATCCAAGCTCCTCACAACTTGCTTCGATGGCTGAAGAACATAAATCATCTTCATCGAGGTTGGCACATATCGCACATTCTGCCGGCGGACGGTGCCTGTGGAGATACTTCGGCTTGAATAACTGGTCGTTCATTGGCCCCGGATATGGTATCGTAAGATCAGGTTGCTGACGCAATAGTCGAAGATTATCCAACATTTGTTTCTGCAACTGAGATTGGCCTTGAGTAGTTTTCAACTTGGCCAGAATCGCGCAAACTTCAGGTCTAGGCCTTGGCAGGTTATCTCTAGGCGTATCCTTTCGCGCAAATGTATTAGGCAATCGCCTCCCGAGATCGTATTGAACCAGCCCTTCACTGATGACGACGTCGCCAAGGAGGAGTTCAGATGGCCCAAAAGGTGCGCCACCACAGATGCCGACGACCAGAGCCAGTTGGATCCCAGGAAAACTAGTACGAAGATGTGCAGCGGCGGTTGCAGCAGCAACCTTTCCCATGTTTGGCATGTGTACCAGAACAACATTGTGAGACCCAAGCGCACCCATAGAGTAGGCGTTTGTGTCTGATTGTTCTTTACCATATTTTTCACCGTCATATCTGGCATCAAATAATGCGCTGACGAAGCTTGCCTCTAGCGGCAGGGCGCATATAAGTGCGATATTGAATTCAAGTCGACTTCTCGGCGGTGTGCGATTGTTTGACATTGGTCTCGCCCACATGTAATTGAAGAATCTTGATCCACAATGCTGATAGAGTGTTGATATTTGTGATGAAAAGTAGCAGTCTATTGTGGAGCGCGTCTAGATAATTGGGTTTGAGTTGGGTATCAAGGAGATTTCGGGGAAGAGGCTCTCAAGATAGCACAGCCTTTCTGCCTTGTGCTCTCTTCCAATCAGGCATAGGTGGGGGCTACAGGAAGCAACAGGTAACATTATGTCCAACCATGAAGTCATCACGATATGATAGGTTGCACGAACTCCTTCAATGCCCACTTTTCCGATGCAGCCTCAATCAATTTGCTTATATACGTATTCATAAGCCGGCCTGCGAGGCAGGAGAGGGCGAGGTAGAAACGATGTCTGCTCTTAGTTATCCTTGTTGTTCAGTGGGTAGTAACTTGGCACGATATCATCAATTATTAGGAGCTATAAGGGTAAGAACTAGAACAATTCTGGGCTATTGGAGAACTCTCTATATTTCCATCTAATGAATCAGTCTTCAAGCGTTTTTGTAAATTTCTATAGCTTCAGCGCAGATAGCTGCCGCGTGCTTTGACAGTTTCTCGTAGTCTACTTTGTGTTTCTTATTAATCATTCCAGCCTTTAACTCAGCAATAATGTTGTCACGAAGCTTCTTCTCAATCTGCCGCATTGAAATGATTGCTTTACATTTCACCTCTTATCAGCATCCGACGCAAGGTTGAACAGCGCAACAAGACACTGAAACACTAACCATTAGGCAAACTGTTCAGACCAATATCCGTCCTAGCAGCTAAATCGTTCAACTTGGTTATCACGTCAGAAAGCGTCTTCTCTAGCTCTTTCGCGCCGTCGCCAAGCTTGGAGCGGTTGCCGGTGAGAGTAGAAAAGAAAGAGCTCCGCGCTCGCGAAATCTCGAAGAGAATGGATCTGCTCTCATTGAAGTCGGCCTTGATCTGCGCGAGAATGTCCACGGCACCAATGGACTCTGTAGATCCGCTCACATGAATTGGAGAAAACTTGCTCCGTGCAGGCATTGAAAGTAGCAATGGAGGAATATTGGCCGAATGCGCAAAGGTTGTAAAATTGGAGGATACACGTATTTGGTCAACTGTAAAATTGAATACTAAGACTAAATGCTGCCTGCTTCATAGTTGAAGTACTGGCTACAGGTACTTAACGCTGGATTTGAATGGTTGTACACGATTATTCGGCTTAGCCGCTGACATTGTGTGATGGATTGTGATTGGGCTCAAGTCGGGCACCCTTGCATACAGGTCGCATAGCCTCGTTTCAAATGTGGCTGAGCCTGGCAATTGACTATGCATTGCCGCTTGATCGGATGGTGTTGTGGACTTGGTATAAATAGTCCAAAAGAGTGAAGATTAGCCTATTCGTCATTCCGTAGTTGATAACAAGTTTTAAATACCATTTCTTCATTTGTATGTCTGTTTCTGTAATCATTTCTAGAAGTATTGCTGAGTCTATTTTAACATATTCGCACAAATGGAAATGGCGACTCTTAAAACTGACGGGATGATTACCGGCGATATGAAGTTTGAGCAGCGGCTGTTCCAGTATACGTTTAGTACAGGAGCCGAAGAGCCTCACTTTATCATGTTTAGAGGTCTACAAAGACTCAACATTATCCGGTTACAAATTGAACTCGCGCAAATAAAGAGGATTGCCTCAGAAACTAAGCAGTTGCCAAGAGACAAAAGTGAAGAACTAACTAAGCTTCTTCACGACTATAGTAAGAGAATATGCAGCCGCACTTTGTATCAGTAATCGAACAAAGACTAAAATATACGGTAGCCAACGTTATTCGTGACTATGAACATCTCAACAAACTAATCCCCGTCACCGGATCTCAGGCCCGAAACCAGCGGCTCGACATCGAGCAAGCTTTTGCCGAAGTCGGAAACCTATCCGAAGACCCAGGAACTTACCGTCGACTGCCGGACACGTCAATGCTAGCCAGCGACCCACTCCGCGATATCCTCAGGGCTGTTCTGCCAAAGTCTCTAACGTACACCAAGCGAGAGATACAGCGGCGGACACCAGAGTTTCTGGAGGGCCAACCGCCTACGGAGGTTTCTGCCTTTGTAGACAAGTTGGCACGGTTTATTGTTGCGATTATTGGTGGTGCGGCGCTTGTGGTGCCGATGCTGATTATGAGATTGCCGGAGGTAACATTAACAAAGAGCTTGGTTACGGTGTCGGTGGCGGTGTTGCTCTTTGCTTTGGTGCTGTCGAGTTTGTTGAGGGCGAATAACATGGAGACGATGGTGTCTACGGCTACGTATGCGGCGGTTTTGGTAGTCTTCGTGGGAACAACTTCATAACTATGATTAGATTTATATAGTATCTGTATAGTATACCTGTTTGTTTTGTTTAAGTAGTTGATGACTCGATAGTATTAGTATCAAGTGTAGTAACCAGCTAGAAGGCAGTTAGAAGTTTTCTTGCCTCTTCCACACCAACCATCTCCACCACCAACACTCTTAGTTCCCGCCAAAGTGCCACAAACCAAGTTTCTTCGCCATCTGCTAAATATAATTACTCCGATGAATCCCCTTTAATTCTCCATTTCCCAGATGAACATGCCCAATAACCTCTGCACTATGCTTATTACGCAGAGCCCCCACTAAGCCTACCCTGGATCAATCCCCATTTTTCGGCCCAGAAACAAACAGACGTCATCTGCTAGCGATTCATGCAAAGTGGGCAGGTGGGGAAGGAGGGGTTCACTCAGAGGGGTCACGGATGGACTTGCCTGCGCAGGGCCAAAAGCCTCAGTGCGGCAAGAGTTGCCATTCTTTGGCAAATGGCCTCACCGTTGCTTCTGTTTTTGTTTGTATTCGCTGCGTATGATAATTGGTGATTCCATGACTAGTAATGGCAGGCAGCTTTAATAATTTCTGGATGGCGAATTTGATGAATCTGCATTAATAATGAATGCCAATTGGGTGGGGATATTGTTTATATGGTTATGTAGAGCTGCAAGTTGACAGAATATAAATATCCCCTGCTGCTTTGCATCTTTCCGAGCTTCAATTCCATCTATACCCATCTACTGCTCTCAACTTATATCTAACCTCTTCTTAACAACACCACAACCAAAACAATGGCCAGCAAGACCTTCAACGTCGGCGTCGTAGGCTATGGGTAAGTCACACAATCCCAATTGTTCAACCAAACAAACAACAATAACAAGCTAACAATCATCCTCTCCAGCCTCTCCGCCAAAGTCTTCCACATCCCCTTCATCACCACAACCCCCGGCCTCAAGCTGCACGCCATCGTCCAGCGCTCCCCCAAGCCCTCCGACTCTGCTCCCGCCGACTACCCCGACCTCAAACACTACACCTCTTCTGACGACCTGATTGCCGACGCCGACGTCGATGTCATCGTCGTCACCACCCCTCCCGACAACCACTTCGACCTCACCAAGAAGGCCCTCGAGTCCGGCAAGCACGTCCTGACCGAGAAGCCCTTCGTGCCCACCTCCGCCGAGGCCCAGAAGCTCGCCGACATCGCAAAGGCCGCCGGCAAGCTCATCTGCGTCTACCAGAACCGCCGCTGGGACGCCGACTTCCTGCTGGCCAAGCACCTGATCCAGACGGGCGCCCTGGGCCGCGTCGTCGAGTTCAACACCCACTTCGACCGCTACCGCGCCGACGCCCCGACAAACTGGAAGGGCCAGCTCGGCATCTCCAAGGGCGGCAGCGCCCTGTTTGACCTCGGCACCCACCTCATCGACCAGGCCTACGTGCTCTTCGGCCTGCCCCAGTCCGTCCACGGCCGCCTCCTCAACCAGCGCGAGGGCCGCCCCGAGTTCGAGACCCCCGACGCCGTCGCCGCCCGCCTGACGTACCCCAACGGCCTGCTGGTCAACGTCAACATCAGCGCCCTCAGCGCAGAGGTCGACCAGCTGCGCTACTGGATCCGCGGCACAAAGGGCAGCTTCCGCAAGTTCCACCTCGACCCCCAGGAGGACTACCTGCGTGCCGGCGGAAAGCCCACCGACGCCGCCTACGGCATCGAGAGCACCGACCGGAGCTCCCTGACTGCCGTCGACGAGGCCACCGGCAAGTCCAGCCAGGTGCCCGTGCCCGAGCTCGCCCCCGAGACGTACCGCACCTTCTTCAGCGAGTTTGCCAAGGCCCTGCAGAGCGGCAATGCTGAGGACATTCCCGTCAAGGCTGAGCAGGCCAGGGATGTGCTGAGGATCATTGAGGGCGTTTTGGAGAGCGCAAAGACTGGAAAGGACGTTGTTCTCGCTTAAGCGGGAGGCTAGGTGCAAAAAAAGGAGAGTTTTGAGTGCATAAGTTGTATAGAAGATTTTTTGTATATACCAGCTGTACATAAGAGCAGCAAAATGTCAATGAAGTTTACGTCAAAAGGTGTCTGAACGTCTCTCTCTATCCAGTATGTCAAGTGTGATTGTCATACTGAAATATGGCTTCAAGTTCGTTAGCTAAAGCTGGGCTCTATGGGGGGGGAAAGTCACCATTGGTAAAGCACAGCAGAGGAATATTCAATTCGTCATTAAATATGAAAACGCTAACCACAAAAGTAATATTGAGATCCCAAAGGAAGATGAAAAAGTCGTCAAGAGAAAAAAATAGTCATGATTCTATGCACGCTGTTGTCGCTATAGCGAGCTATGTCCTGGTACTACCCATCCAACCAATAAAGAAAACAAAAAATTATCCTTAAATGTAGAGCCCAGCTTTACATGAGCAACACAGCACACACCACCGCCGCTATCGCCGTCATCACCGTCGCACTACCGGCCGATCTTGTGCCCATGCTCTCAATCTTGATGGGTGTGCCGAAAAAGGCCGGGTTGTAATCGCCCGGTGCCTGCTCCGCGAGCGTGCCATTCCAGCAGTACTGCTGGAAGCACTTGTTGCAGGCATCTGGCACGGGGGTTCTTGTGCGCTCGAAGCTGCGGGAGAGCATGGCGCAGCCGACACACACAGGCCAGTTGGAGTCGCGTGTCGAGTTGCCCTGGGTGACGACGTCCCAGCCGTTGGTGACGATGGCGTTGCGCTCGTCCAGCTCAGTTGTCATTTGGAAGGTGGAAATGTTGGACTGGAACTGGTAGGGGAAGTTGGGCAGGTAGACGATCAAGGGGGACTCGCTCGTCACGTTGGTTGAGTTGCAACCGAAGAAGACGGGCTTGGTGTTGAGGCCGAGATTGAGGAAGGTGTTCTTGCCGGGGACGTAGGGGAATCCAGTACCGTTGGAAATCTTGTCAATGGCACGCTCATACGTGGCAATGGGAGAGGCACCATCGGGCCAGCCATTGTCGGTATCGGCCGACGAGTCGACGGAGAAAACAACGTCGACCTTGCGCTCCTGGAGGAGGTGAGGGTGGTAGGGGATGTTCTGCAGATCCTCACCACCGTCAACCAGCGTCAGTCGGTTATTGCCAGCACCGGGGTTCCGCTCCGGGTTCCAGCCCTTAAAGGGGTTGGGCGTCCAGTCTGCAATGTCGTTGTTGTCGTTACCAAGCACGGTCAGGATGCCGGCCAGGATCTTGACGACGAAATCAGGGACTCCCTTGGGCACATAGCGGCTCTTGTCATCCTTGAGATACAGCACAATCTGGTTGAAGAGGGTGCTGGAAGTGCCCATGATGTAGCCGGCGTTGTCGAAGCCAACCATGCAGCTCTCGTTCTTGGGCAGCGAGCCATTGCTGAACTTGGAGCCGACGTACTTGAGCGGCACGTAGCCATTAAGGGTCGGGTCAGATGAGCCCAGCTCCCAGGGGTTGATGTCGAAAACGGTAGAGTTGTTGGAGATGATGACCTGGCCTGGTGCGCGGCCATCTGCAACAAGGAACGGGAGAGGAGCTTGTGCGTTTTTGAAGTCAGGGTCGTCGGCAATAGAAGAGAATGTGAAGCCGGGACCGCCATAGGTAGCATCGACCAACTGATAAGACAGCATGCGGCCCCAGTAATCGGTGATGGAGCGGTCATAGCCGGCATCGTCCTTGGCATCAACGTCGTCGAAGATTTCATTGTAATAGCTTACCAAGCTATACTGATCGGGACCTAGAATCTCATGTCAAATTCCGTCACTCAATGCTGCTGCGGGATGTTTTAGACGCGAATCGAACCTACCTTCGAGAATTGAGTTTTGTGTCTGCCAGAGAGTGTCTGAGCTGAGAGCAGCCTGGATGGTGGTGAAGTTGTTGGTGTAGATGCTGCCAACCAACCAGCCACCTCCAGACAGACCAGAGAGGTAGGTTGCACTCTGTAGCAGACCACCCATGGCGCCCGTGGCGTTACTACCCGGTGACCGAGAATCCCAGGCGGCAATGGCTCCGGCTCCGTTCAACATGGCACGGTAGCCGCCTCCAGAAACAGCCAGGCCGATGTTGGGCAACGCTGTGCTGTCCTTCTCGACATTGGACAGGTACCTATCACTGTTGAAGCCGGGGATGGAGACTCTCTTTAGAAAGTCGCGGATGGGCGCAATAGTCGCATTGCGTCTCCGGGGTAGCCATTCCTTCTCCTGGGGGCTCAGCTGGGAGCCAAGGCGAATCGTGGGACGATCGCTAGGGCAATCTACTGGCGAAGGGGCATAGCCCTTGGGTGACTGATCGGTAGCTCGGCCCTCGAGAGACCGGGGGAACTCTTGGAAATCGCGATAGCGAATGTCATTGGGAGGCACTGAGAGAAGAGTGTATGTTAGTTTCGTTTCTTGTATAGCTCATTTGCGATTTGTTCATTTCGGTCGTCCTGTGACCAGGGAGGATGAAATAACAAGACAGCAAGTATCTATTGGTCCAATCTCTAGCAATGAACGCCCATTACGGCGGAGATGCTCACGCAGAGCCCATAAAGGCGTTCTCTTGCTTTTCCCTCCCAAATTCAATGGCATTGTGATGGTGGTTCTAACTGGATCCGTACCTGCAGAAGCCCCGGCCGGCGCCAGGACAGACGCCGCAGCGAGCAGAACCGCCAAACGGCTCATGGTAAAAGTTGAGTGTGGTATTTGAGAAAGCCAAGACGCGATCTAGCTGAAGTTTAAATAGAAATAGAGGAGTAATAGGCTGAGAATATCCCAAAAGAAAAGAGGACGGAGAAGAGCAAGCGGGTTGCTCGGCGAAGAGGGAATGTGAGCAAACAGACAAAGAAGAATAATTACTATGGCCAAGATGAAAATCAGCCCAGACCGTCAAGTGGCATGAACGCCGAGAACAAAGCAACACCCGATGACGGATCAAAGAGGGACCCGCGGAGATTTATTGCTTCTGTGAATCGACCAAGTTCGAAAAGGGTATTATTAGTACTTTCTTACCAGCCCTTTCAACGAACCCGATGCGGTGGCTTAGTCGATGTTCGTGGCCCTCCACAGCATACTAGTCGCCCTCCGCTAGATCATCTCACTTTTGGCAGCACCCTCCGTGCATCGTGCGGATCCGAATAAAGTATCCAAGTAGATCCACGCCAGGGTCCATCGCGCTGCGTCAGGCCAAGAAGCGGTAGGTTCGCGTGGCCGTCTTCGCACTGCCTGCTTGGTGGCTAGCAGCACCATCAGGCCAAGTACTCCATGGAGACTGTGTCCGAATATGGGCGTCAAAGAGTCCGAATGGCGCTTGTTTCCTCTCCGGCGCCATCATGTCATTGTCCGTCTTTGTCCAGCTCCCATGTCCAACAAAAGCTTTGGCAGGGGAAATTAGGTTCCGGGCGGCCGCCGCCAATGGCACGCATGTGAAATTTGAGTCGCCTCCAGCCGCCAATGGAACCGCCATACCAAGGGCATGCCAAGGGACCAGCCGCTTCACAACGTTCTTGGCGCCTTTACACTGTGACGCTGTGACAAAACTGAGACCCGTGAGGGAGATGGCATGTGGTCCCGTCGAAGGAGCGAGGCGGTGCCGGGGGAGCAGAAGGGCGAGGCAGCATTCGCCGGGCCGCTGAGTCTGAGCTAAAACATCATTGTGCGTTTCCTTGCCTCCTTTTGCCCATCTTGGATAATTCCTCACAGTAGCAACAGCAACAGCGTCCGGCGCCTTGCCCGAAATGATGGGGCTTGCTTCAAGGCTGCTTATTCGAGGCCTTGCGCAGTAGATTTTAACTATCTGACCAGTGGTTTAGCGTCCAGCTCCGGTGCTCCTTGGTTCGTGCCTGAACTTTGTTGTTGTGCGAGGACAGGTACGGGAGCTTGGTGATTTCATCGCGTCCGGCAGCCAACCGCACGGCACTCTGAAGCCACGCTGTGTGGCTATCTGCATCAAGGAGAAACAAAAGCCACTGTTGGACAGCACCTAACGCAACGACGCTGCACTGTGCTGGGGGCGCACCGATCCACGGGTCAGCAGCAGACAGAAAGCCCAGCATGAAACCCTGTGAGCAGATTGGCGTTTCACCCCATCGGCCCGTGCCCATTGCCTGAAAGGGCATCAAAATCCCTGCAGGGCACCGCACAGGCGTGTGGAATCTCGTGGGCTGAGGGTGCCCACTTTGGCCCCAGAAGCTATCGCGCGTTTGCTGCCCAAGAGGGTCGCCGATTCGAGGGTCCGACATGGGCAATTCGAGATTTCGAGATTTGGGGGTTCTGACAAGTCGAGACAGTCGGAAATCGATGTCATGACATGTACATGTCCGGCTTGCACAGATTTGAAGCAGAGATGTGTCAGTACGAGATGCTGCGAGGCAGAAAAGGCTGGGGGAGCAGAGACGCTCTACCGCCCTCGGCATATCTGTTTCTCCCTCCCTGAAACCTCTCGACCTTCCACTTTGTGCCTCCCAACACAACACACGAGACAATTTCTCTTTCAAGTCAAAGCGCCTTTGTTTTCCTCTCCAATCCTCTGCTCTCCTTCCGTCAGCCAAGAAGATCCCACCAACGGCATGCCCACCCGAGGCTGAGCTAGCAAATAAGAAATAAGGACAACCACACCGCCCAACCAAGGCTCAGGCTCGGCTGACCACATGGCTGTGCTTCTTCCCAAGCTTTTGCGCTACTGTATTGTGCTGCTAGGCGCTCCGTCCATACGAGTAGCAGCAGTACGCGGGGGACAGTGAGTTTGCTTCCTGTTGATATCATCACGGCTCCGATCTGCTCTGCTCTGCTCTGCTCCTTGCTCTGCTCTTCTTCCAAACCCCAGCGGATGTCCCGGGACCGCAGCTTCAGCTCGACCAAAAAAGCGATGGATCGTCATTGTCCGCGGCCACCGTCAGAACCACAAAGACCGCTCCTCCATCGCGGATCCCGCCATCGAGGTTCTACTAATACTGAGTCGCAGCGCTAACAAGCCCCCCCAAGCTAATGCCAGTCGGCCTGGCGCCCTGCCGAGCTTGCCGAGCCCAGCCCAGCCAAGCCCTGTCCCTTGTCGCTGACCAACCAGAAGCTCGACGTCAAACGGTCTCGGAATGTTGCTGTAGCCCTAGGTCGGGCATATCGGAGTGTTGCCGAAGCGGCGGCGATGCCCTTGGCTTTACTGGAAGAAGAACAAAAGGATTGCAGCATTGCGTAATAAAGAGTGATTGTCAGTGCTAATTCGTTGATCTTGATGTTGTTGGAAAGACAGGAGTCGAGTCCATGCAAAGGTACCACACGCAACGAAACCGGAGGTTGTACGAAGAAATGACCAGCCACCCGTAGATGCGGATTGCCTCTGTCTAATTTCCCGTCGTTGGTAGGGGATGTAGTTGTTTGAGGCCTCCAAGGATATTAGAACAACGTAGCTTGACTGTGTTACATTCAGCATTTGGCTCCCGAGTGGCTTTGGAACAGGCCAGCAGAATACCTGTGATCACTCGTGGTCGATTCGTCCGCTGAGATTAGGGGGAGAAAAGGCTGTGCTCCTCCCCAACTCGTTAGACGAAATGCTACGTGACAGGCACTACTCCGTAAAGACTCTCGTAGTACTCCGTATAGGTTAGCAGTATGTTCCCCTTTAAGGAGAAGAAGAAGAGGAGAGGAGCACGATTCCATCAGTCTCATCAGGGGCATGTTGAAGTACCTAAGAAGTGGTTGCTCAGCTCCCCAACTTGGCTATCCAGTAGCTACAGAATTAAGTGCCATAGCGAGATGCAGAGGAAGCACTTTAATGTGCCTTGGTCTAGTGCCTATTGCTATCACTGCATCCTCGCGAAATATACCTTAATTGGTTTCAAGACCGTAGACAAAGACTAATCTACACTCCCCTGTTAAACACTGGCATTCACTATTCTCAGATATCGTGCCTTCTACACTGTTGAACAGCTCCAAACAACGCGGGCATACCCACCCATAGTCCAGTTCTGGCTGGCGATGACAACTGAATCCATATTGTTCTCCACGAAACTTTCCCCCAGATGTGATGGCCACTCTGCTCGAATCTCCTCATCTTTCTCTTGCTAACATCTTCTTCCAGTGATAGTATATCCGAATCAGCGTGAATTACCTCTTCCATCATATATCGTCTCGAACGGCATTCTCGACATACCTGTGCGACAACTGTATATCGCCACTATCCAGCCCCCCTCTCTTATTTGACCATCTCAGACGTCTCGATTTTCTTGTGTCCTCGCTTCATGGTCGTCCAGTAGGCAGTGAACGGGGATGCTTGTGGCAGAGATCTTGATTTATGACGCTAGATGCTCCTCTCCTCGACCGCTATTCAATACAATGAGTATACTGCTCTGGACTGTTTAGAAAGCGTGGAGCTAGTTCAATGATACGGCTAGCGTACATATAATTCAAATCGTAGAGATGCGAGAAGATGTTTTGTTTCAGGCATTGGAGTAGGAACTATTCCTATTAATTTCCCTGAAAGAAAGTTTTCTCCAAGCATGAAGCAACGAAGTGGGCGTAACAGCGTGTCCCAAGCTATACACGTTCCTTTTCAAGGCCACGTCAGTCTAGAATGTGCTCATATATCATCGCATCATGTACATTTCTACCCATGATACAAGTCATTCATTACTCTGGGCGTCAATACAATACGAAAAGTCTCAACGGGCCCTATCAATACTAAAACAGGACATTATTCCATACAGCTACACTTGATACATTTATAGAGTAAAGTTGCAGAAAACAAAGATAAAGAGCCTGTGCGATTAGTCTGCTTCCCCAAACGGACAAACATGCAAAGAGGCCTACTACGAAGCCATAACAGCCTAGAGGTGAGGTGATGTAAAAAATCCCATGATTCGGACCAAGAGCAATTGGGCTGTCTTTCTTTCTTTCTTTCTTTCTTTGAGCCCCGAATTGAACACTATCCGTCGAATAAATCCTGTGAGTACGGTCTCATGTTACTTTGATCCCTATTACAGTCTGTTGAGTATATTTGAGTAAAGGCAGTTGGCCCAAGTTACGTGGCCAATGATTACGCGCCAGGGGGCGGAGGCGGCGGGGGCTGATCGCTCGGGGGTGGAGGAGGAGCATCTCCAGAAGGAGGAGGAGGAGGCGGTGCGGAGCCTGCGTACTGCTGGATGAGAGCATTGAGGGGACCCAGACCTGGAGGAGCAGATAGACCGGCAGCACCAGCTTGAGGGAGGCCAGGAGGAGCGCCCATACCAGGTGCAGCGCCATAGCCACCATACGCAGCGTAGTTGGGATACCCACCCATTCCAGGAGCCTGGTGTTGAGGTGCCTGGTGAGCCTGTTGGTGCCACGGGGCTGCTCCTCCAGACGAAGAGCCATAGTTCTGTCCATAGTAGTTGTTTTCGCCGCCATGGCCGTTGCCGTTGCTGTTCTCGTGGCCGCGATTGCGATCGCGAGCCCAAGGAGCCGCAGAGCTTCCTCCATTGCCCCCATCGTTAGAGTCTTGGTTGCGGGATCTCCATGGTGCAGGTCCACCGGTAGGTCCTCGCTGCCATGGCTTCGCATCGCTGTTCCCGTTGTAGTTGCTGTTGCTACTTGGGCCAGCCTCAATCTGCGCCGGGGCAGCTCCGGAGCCGCCGCCAAGTTCTTGCATGAGTTGCTGCAAAGGGGCGTTAATACGAGATGACAATATGGGGATGAGGAATGACTACGTACCTCCATTTCACGATCAACGGCATCACCACCCCCGATCCTACCTGCAGGTCGGCCACCCGCGTCGTTGCGCCAATTGGCACCCCTCTGGCGATCCGGACAATCTCTAGCCATATGGCCTGCATTGCCACAAACTCGGCAGATGATGCTGGCGGTGTAGTTCTGTCGCTCAGGACAATCATATTTGCGATGTCCAATCTTACCACAGTTCTGACAGGCTTGGTTCTCGTCGTCTCGAAGAGTTCCGTTGAGCGCTGCAAGTTCTCGAAGCTGGTTACGCTTGAGCTCGTTTTGGCCTTCGGGAATCGAAGCCGCCTGCAAAGGTATCAGTATCGACAAGTATCAACAAGATGAATGCAAGGGGATTACCAGGGGGGACTTACGGTTTCAATGACGTTGTGGATCAGCTGCTTCGCCTTGTTGACCTTTTCTTCGGTATCTGCCATGATCAAACAGTGAAGATCTTCCTCCTGGTTACTGGAGTGAGCTGCGTCAGAACGACCCTTGCCCTCTTTCACGGAGCCCTTGCCACGAATGGCAATCTTGGCTCCAGAGTCATTCTCCATCTTCTTTAGTGTATTACCACGAGGTCCGATAAGTAAACCAACTTTGGGGGAGAGCTATGTGTTAGTAACTGGACTTGATAAAAAAGAAACATCGGAAGACTTTAGGATTAGACAGGCACAATCAATCGACGGAAGAAACCAGAACCCCTTACAACGCCGCATATCGGCATAGTAACGAGGGTCTGATCATAGTCCAAGTTGAAGGAAAGAAAGGGGGAGTTAGTGGTTAGGGTTAAAGGGTTAGCAATCATACTGAAGTTAATCTCCGGGTAGTCGTTAACAGGCACGTAGACTTTCTCCTGGGTCTTTGTTGGCCTGCGGTAATCCTGGGGCGGGTGGTAGTTAGGAATGGTCTTCATGGCCTTTTCGACCAGCTTGTGGCGTTCGTCCTCGAGGCGCTTTCGATAACGATATTCTCGGGTGTTGATACGTCGACCATGGTTGTCGTACTGGGGGGGCGGTGATGGGGATCTGCGGTGTAACAGCGTTAGTGTCTGTCCGTCTGCTGGCAACGAGGCCATGATGAGCGGGGGCACATACCGGTCACCATCTGCGGGGACGACGTCGTCGATGCGAAGCTTCTGGCTGATTTCCTCAATACGAAGATGCAGAGTGTAGGCTTCGAGCTGCTCGCTCGTCATGGACGAGAGAATGGCGGTCGGGAGCCCCATAAGACCGGCAGCCTTGTTCTCGGACGCGTCGCCCCATCGATTGCGCTTCTTGCGACGACGAGGGCCATCGGCTTCGCTTCGTGGTTCAGGATCGCGGCCCCGTTTGAGATCGCGTTCTTCGATGCCATTCTCTTCCTCTTCGCCGCCGAAGCGTCGCGATTTCCCAAGCGGGATGTTGTTGGAGCCCGTGATGCCTTGACTTCTCCAGGACATGTTGGCGGCTGATGCGGGGGTTGTTCTGCGACAAAGAAGCGCAAAGATGAACGCGTGGAGTGGCTTTGGCCTGATGAAGTGGTAGCTGTGGCCAAATTGCGCTGCATCGCCTCTGAAGTTTCGAGCTTTCCTTTGATATCGGAAAAGGGTTTCTCCGGAGTGCGCAATCTCGCCGCTGGTGCTTCTAGAACGACTTGGGAGAGGTACAGAGGTACCTTGCCAATGTACTCCGTACTTGGCGCTACGAACGAGGCCCCTAATTTGAACCGCTAGAATACCTCTGGTTCCATAGAGGCGGAGCCCGAGAAACAGGTAGCTGGTACTCCGATTTAGGCGATCGGAACTCGTTGCTGTTGCTTGTGATGCGTACCAGGTACTAGGAACTCGCTACGCACCCAAGATGCCCTACTGTACATTTCGTGTCCAGAGTGGCGACAGCCTTCTTTTTGCCTGCAACATGGAGACGGATGGAATGGAAAGGGGACAGTCTGCCTGTTTATTGGCAAGAGTCTTCCGGCTTGGCTCCCACTAACACGAGGCTACATACTCTTGCGAAAAACTAAACACCATGACGTGCGCTTCGAGATAGACTTTGCCGGCTCTCCGGAGCACCTCATGGAGACTTACCTGGTGCTAATTTGGTGTTGATTACATTCACGTGCTGTGGAATCTTCAAGTCCAGGAGCCTCAGTGAAGCATCTTCTCATTTTGACGGCGAGACGGATGTCATCTTTACTGACCGGCGAACTAAAGTAGTCTGAACAGGTAGTCGCTGATGGAACCTTTCGGTGTGGGACGCTCTACTGCTTACTGAACCTGTGTGAAGATCCAAGGCATGGACCGGTAAAGCGGACTTCCGAAATGCGCAAATTTCCGTCTCTTCCCCATCGACCAGCTTGGACATCTGGTCAATAGGTACTCGTAGCTTACGGGTACTATTACTTGTGTAAACGAGATAAAACCACAGAGCAAACCTCTCCCACACGCGGTCTAATTATCATCGCCGAGCTCGATTAGCTGCTCCCAACAGGTACCTACACGTTGGCTGTGGATCGCTTACAGCGCCACTGACTCGGCGTTCGATACTCACTCCCGATTTCCGTCATTTAAATCTCAAAGACTAAAACGGCGGCTTCTGCAAGGAATCATCGAGATTGGAAAGGCGTGCAGCCTGTTTCGTCCACCTGCAGGAGCTTTGCCTAGCCTCCCGGTAAAATAGTCGCGAAGCTCATGTTGGCGACTAGACAAGCGGCTGTCTGAGTCAAGGCAACAAACGGACTGCCAGAATCGTATGTTAAATTGTGGCCTTTCCGGCACTACCAAGGCGGACAGGGCCTCTCTGCGATCAAGTGCTTTGCTAGCTCGCGAGTTGATGGCATCTCCAAGTCGGCAGTCCCAGATGTGGCGTGTCAGCAGCGTTGAAGCAAGCCGTCGGCCAAACCCACGCCGTTGACGCAGTGAATCCTTGCAGGACGAATGGGGATACTGCAACTAGCTCGGATGGCCTGTGGCGCCATCTAAATCCGTGCGGTAAGTGATTTTGTCTGAGATCCTTCCGCTGCTGACCCCTCTCGAGCTTCGGGTGAATACATGCAAAGGAGCCGTCGCGTCGCCAAGTCCTCGTATTGGATGGCTGTTGGGAAGGATGGATGACATCTTGCGGGATCCCGAGTTTCAAGGTTGAGTCGAGACTTGGCTTTGCCCCAGCCGAAAGCCGGCATCGAAACGATGCTACGGCACGGTAATGTAGTATCCCCGCGTTGATGAATGAACCTGGACCTGCGATTCTGATGCGTGGCTTGCAGAGACCGAGCCCACTAATGCATCGACGGTAGTAGTCCTGGTGTGCAGAGGCCTCTTTTTGCTCTTTTTGGGGGCCTTGAAATAACCGTGCCGGTACTCCAGATCCCTGTACTTGTACGGCGGCATGCCATCGGAGGCGGACGATATGAGCAGCAGCACTGATTGGCCCCCGAACCTGGTGACTGACACCTTTGCGCACCCATTTGCCTGTCCTCATGCTTATGTGCTAGCATGACCCGGCATAACCCTGCTCGGCCGTAGTCTAAAGCTTGGGGTCCACAAGAGCTCGACTATGTAGTATCAGTTACTGTATATCTATCTGGACCATCTCCAGCAGGGTTCGGAGAACCAGTTGGGGGACAGACCGATTGCCTCCATCCCGAAACCTGCGGCGCCCGTGACAACCGTAGCCAAACTGCAGAGCTGCTGGTCGTGGCTGGATATTCTGACCCGAGTAAGCGAGGCGATCCCGCTAGACACCACCTTGAATCCAACAGAGACAAGACCAAAGATTATCCGAGATCATCGATCGGGTTTGTTCACCGGCGATCTAGAGAGAGGCGACTTGATGAGGGGCCAACCTACAGCGGGGGAAGCAATTGAGCATTCATGTCCACGTTGCCTCGACAAGATCACCAACCAGGACATCTTCCTGCGACAACGTTTGGAAACTGACACTCGACTTTGGAATTTGTGCTTGGTGGCGCAGGAGCCGACTGGTGTTTGTTATACACCTACACCATTTGACTAGTGGCTGGGAAACGCACAGTCTGCCGAGTGCTCCCCTGAACTTGCATACACAAGCCCGGATCATCAGAGCGCATTTACACTGTTGTTGCGGCATCTAAAAGGAGACTCATTCAAGTTCCTGTCGGAGGTGCCGGATCTGTCTGCCCCAACAACAAGCGACGAGTTGCGCCTACTTCTTATTGTAGTGGCCACGCACCCCAAGATCGTTTAGCGAAAATCGAGGTGGAACGGGCCGAGCCTCTTCGGCGCGAGACATAAATTACTTACCGTGGATTCTCATTTACTGGGCGGCTTCGTCAACTGGACCGGAAGGCGACAAGATGGTGGGAGTCCCTGGAAGATCCAAGGGCTGCGTCACTTGTCGGCGGCGAAAGAAGGGTGTAAGTCAACTGGTTGATCTATTTCCGTGAACATCCACAACCATGACCATCGCCCTCAAGGAGAGAGAGTCCGCGCATATTATATGGTCGTGTTTGATTTCGTGAGTAGGCTAGATTCTTGTTGCTGACCTCTTCAACAGTGCGATAAAAACGTCCCGTCGTGCCATCAATGTATACGGTCCGGCTTGAGATGTGAAGGTTATGGGCGAGACCTCGTCTGGGTCAACACCACGCCAGATGGAGATGAAAGCAAGGTTAAGCCGCAGCCATCTCTAGGAAAAGCCTCATCTGGCCAACAGAGACCATGGAGTGTGATTTATACCACCAAGTCTAACAAAGGCAACGACAACAACAACAACAATAACAACAGCACCGCTGTTGCCCTCCACGATTCGCTCGCTCGCTCGGCCAGAGAGGAGCTCTTTTTCGGCATACTCATCGCCACATCCCTTCCTTATGGCCACCTGCTGTCCCCCAAGGCTTCAGCCATCTCGACCAACGGGTGGGTAGCAGCGGTTGACGAATATTACAACAGAGAACCGGCTATTAGATATGCAGCTCTGGCAATGAGTGCAGGGTTCATGGGTGTTCAGGATCGGAATAACCAAGTCACCCAACATAGCCAACTCACACTTCAGGGTCTCGAGGCTTACAACCGTGCTATCCGCGAAATGGTCCGAGGATTGAAAGACCCGAAGCGATCTAAAAACGATGGCGTCCTTGTGGCTGCGAGGATATTACAATCTTACGAGGTATGGATTCTACGCGAAGCGATAGCATCATGGAAACTGACCACACTATCTACAGTTATTTTTCGGAAGTGCACCCGACTGGCGTGCCCATATTGAAGGCCAACTGTCTCTCTTTTTGGCTAGAGGACCGGAATCCTTCATGTCTGGACAAGCGCATCAGCTGTACGTGGATGGACGAGTTCTCGTGGTATGGCCTCAAACCTCTTCTCTCTTCTAGTAGGAGCCGCAATTAACCTTGTAGTAGGTCATGTTAGCAATTGGAAGGCGAGCCAAATCACCACTTCACTCACCCGAATGGCGCACCGTTCCATGGCGTATTATACCCAAGTCGATCAAAGACAAGTTGATGGACATCATGGAAGACATCCCTTTCATGCTGGTCAGCTACGACAACCTTCGCGCGTGCCAGGATCCTGATCGTGCCGACGAGCTCCGCCAGATTGCCATGTTGAACTGTGAACATATTTCAAACAGCCTGGACATATGGGAGGAGGAAATGGGGCCTATTCTTCACCAGTTTGATTATACGCTTGCCGGCTCTCCTCTCCCCGAGCCCAAGGACGACACGGAGATTTCGCTCGTCTATCTTTCAAGCTTGTACTGGGGTGCTCGTCTGATGCTGTATAGCACCCTTGGGATGATGAACATGGCCTATGCAGCGGCATCAGTGAGCCCTAGCGCTGACTCTGTCCCGTCTCTCAGCGCCTCTCCCGCTTCGACTGCTCCCGTGTCGACACCAGCCACCTCTCCAGAAGATGCAGCTACGACACCAGGCTTTTGCGAAGAACTCCCTCGGGTAAGGATGGTCAACCCAGGAATCTTTGCTCGCAAAATTGCACACGCAGTCCCTCTGTTGTATGGGCCTACTGCCGGTGCCATGCAGGGCGCTTCAGGTCTCCTCCCCATGGCCCTTGCGCTGCGTTTCTTTGCAACGACCGAGCCGCCCGGACAAAGGAGCGTAGAGTCTCAAATGATTTACAATCTATATGCTAAGCCGTTCGTGGGCAGCTTTGTTGGACGCTTCCTCCAAGATCTCCAGGGACCGCAGCTTTCCGAGAAGGCGAAGCGTGATAGTGAGGTCAAGGCACAGCGGAATATCTTCTGGTATGCGGTATTGGGCAGTGAGAATATTGTGCGTAATGAAGCTTCATGAGGGGTAAAAAACAAACACGTTGTCGTTGTGGAAGGGCGCGTTGGGTTCGCCAAGATGCTGCTAGGAATGCGGGTGTTGTGATGCGCTGCAGAATGTGCGCTACACAACGTGGACTTTGGGTTGAGATTCAGTGTCTACCATAGGATGCTTTCATCCTGGGAGTAATATGTAGTATTTTTTCTCAGATTGCGGTTATGCCAGACGCACTGGGCGATGGGCAACGAATCACTGACACTGGCTGGCCAGGTCACGGAATGCCGCTTGGACGGTCCGCCTTTGTCCAACTGCCCTTTTTTTTTTGTAGATAGTTTAGTCTAGAACAATCCAGTGGCTTTGCCAAATATTTGTTATTAGCTGCTGAATGTATGCCAAGAATAAGCGACTTGGTTTGACTCACAGATGTACTAGATCTATATATTTGTATGCATGTCCGCAGCGATTATTGGAGCTCAGAAGTCTCAACACCAACAACACCACGTGCTCTTTCAAAAACAAAACGATCAGAGTTGACGCTCTTTGTAAACACAAAATTCCATCACCACTTGAATCCTTTCGATCCGCAACACATCAAAATGCATGTGTGCGTGTGCATCTGCGGCTGCCCTCGGGTGGTTGAATTTGGCGACAATGACAGGTGCCGATTCTGCGAAGAATATCACAACTAAGGCTCCTTGGAGTGAATAATATCATTTACCCCTCTTTGGAAGACGAGAGCTCCAGTCACCTTTACCGTCTGCCTTGCAGAGTTGCTGGGGAGGATCCATTGCATGATGGGAGGCAGGAAAGCAGGAAGGACTGGCGTACGGGGATTAGCGAAAATGGATATGAGTGCTTTTCTTATTGATACAGCTTTGGTAATTTAATATTGCAATTGGTTGAAGTGGTTGCCCTTTTGATACGTGAGCCTGTATAGGTACGTTGCTTGACCAACACTTACCATTCATTCTCTTATAGGTATGACCAACATATATACAGTGATCATTCTTCTCTTGTAAGAACGTCTAATCATAGTAAGCTGCTATATATAAATTAAGTCAAATATATTTACTCAGTAGATACAGGACTTGAATACGTCCATGAACCCTCTAGCAAGGGCTGATACTCGCCGCACTGCCTGCATCCTTAGGAATCACACCCTCGTTAACTGCGGATTGATAACACCATCTCCATTCGTTGAATCCCGAAATCCAGTTGCATTTCCACGTCCAAAAGACCCAGCCGGCAGATTTCTCAAAGGTCTGTACCTGGGCGGCCCAGAACTGCTGGTACCAGCCGGCTTGGTCGGAGCGGTCGCGGATGCCGAGCTCGGAATTATCCTGAACGGAATCGGCGACAGAGATGGACCACTCGCCGATAATAGCGTTGGCTGAGCGCTGTCCATTGCAGGCGGCGTTGATATAGCCGTCCTTCGTGGTGGCGACGCTGGTGTCCCATTTGAGGTAGCGATGATCGTCGAAGGCGGCGAAGTCGGTGCTGGGGAGGGCGCTGGTGGGGTCTCCAGAGCCCCAAGAGGCGTCCTGTTTGTCATGTCAGTTTGTTGATGTATTATAGAAGAGTTGATAGACGATTGGAAAGTTGGTGTCAATGAGAAGAGAGACGAACCATGAATTGGATGTGTAGGCGCTTGTCGTCAGAGACTCCCAGGCGGTTCTCGGTGTCTCGGATACGGTTCCAAGCAAGTGGATAGTAGGTGTTAACCATGTCGGCCGCCTGACTGGGGAAGTCGCCAGAGTGAACAGGTTCGTTGATGACTTGAAGCATACCGACAGAACCGTAGGTTGCGTTGGTATGGATGCGCTCCGTCATCCACTCCAGGAAGTCGGCTGCTCGCTCGTAGTTGTCTTGGGTGTAGAAGCCTGGCTGGGAGACTCCCTGACGGCAACCCTTGTTAGCTAGCGAGGACAGGTCACTCTATCAAGGCTGGGACTTTCACTTACATGGCCGGTATATTGCTGGTTTGGGAACTGCGCTCCAGGACCACCATGAAGATCCATAATGACATAGATGCCGGCGTCGTTGCACCATCCTACAAGGCGGTCCAGATATTGGATGCCTCCACGGGGAAAGAACTCGCCCTCCTGAACCAGATCTTCGCGAATCCAGAATCCCACAGGAATTCGGACCGTGTTAAGACCCAGACTCTTGATTTCGCTGATGTCGTCCTGCGTAATCCAGGTGTCCCAGTGCTTCTGAAAAGCGGCGTCAGCAGCGTTCTGGCCGAGTTTTTGAACACAAGACCACTCGTCGTTGAGCCCGCCACAGCCCATGCTGGCAAATTCATCAGAGGCCATCCATGGTTCGATGATGAACTGGGAGCCTAGATTGACACCACGGAATTTGTCGCTGCCGGGAAGCCACCTCATAACATTTTTTGTGTCTCGGCTGAAGACTGTGTTTAATATTATGTGAGCTGGTGTTTGGCGGGTCTGTTTGAGAGTTTACTGACCCTTTGCATTGGACTGGGGAGTCCAAGCATTGGCAGAAGCCAAAAGCATTGATAAGGCAATTGCGGACAGCATATTGATGAAGAGCAGTTGTAGCAAGTGTCTTAAAGAGATAAGAGACGATCTGAAGAGCCCTCAAATCCGTATAACTCCTACATGTTCTTATACTACTCGCAAGACAACCAACAAGTTGCCAAGATGTTTCCTTGAATGCCGATCATCAATCGGCGATCTTCTTCAAAGGGGCTCTAGTCAATATAGAAACCCCATCAACAGCTTTCCCATATACAGTGATGCTGGAAAGGCCCGAAGCGGCCGCGGGTGTTGGCTTGAACTGTCGATCGCATTGTATATTTGACACAACGAGCAATCATGTTATGGACCATGCATATGCGTTATGTTCCCTCTATTGACAGTATGTATCAACGTGTTGCGAAATCACATAATTGTATTAAGCCTTTGTTGAAGCCAATCTGTCCCTCAAAAGCATACAATCCGTTTTAAACTGTCACGCAACCGCTTTCTGTTTGCCCATTTGGCATCGTTCTTAGACAAGCAAGTCATTCGGACCGAATGCCGATCTTTAAAAACAAGCTTCTCTTTATGGTAACGCCAAGAAACTGACCCCATGCTGACGGCCCCTGAGTTCCATGTTGATCATTGACACGTTTCCGCAGCACGTTTGCCTTGTCTTTTAAGCTCCTAAAAAGACGGCACTTGTCATTCCCATATTACGTCCTGACGGAGAAACATGTCGACTGGGTGTCGGCTTTAACCACCTAGTTTAGCATGTAGATGATGGACGTTGGGTTTATACAAGGGCGATGGTTCTCCACTTCCTAAGTCCTTATTGACATGAACATGTCAGATACAGATGAGGGTGGGCCAATAGGTGTCTTCATCGGACGAGTGCAAAGACTGGGGGTTCCAGTTTTCTTTATACGAAGCGCCAGTATGTGTGAATAGCACCATGCTGAATCATTGTTTCGTCTCTATCAAGTTAAGTTTCTTAATCAAGTCTCTTAAGGCTTTGCTGGTGTAAGATATGAGTTGTTTCACTGAGAATATTAACATTAAATTCTTCACCAAACCCCCATTTTAACCTCTTACATCTGACCGTTCTTTCTGTTCAAATACGAAGTGGATGTATCCAAACTTCGAGTTACGAGGTGATTAGTTTTGTTAATCCATGCACCTGAAAACACAACTACCGAATCTAGAACTGCTGCCTACGTTGGCATTAGTCTCATCCCGTACTTTATTCGCAGTTGTCAGCTTACTACCACGAAGTCCGGCACTCAATGGAATATAAGTATGCCATTTTTCTCATCGAAACAACATGTACATCGTTACCGCTTTGGAGACAGCATTGACTAAAACAATCCAATTTTGTTACCAGAGAATACGCCAAACAATGTCTCTAAAAAGTTACGTCCTCTGGCTGGGAGCTTCCGCTGCGGTCATGGCCCAGCATCCCTTATCTCCCAACGGCCGAAAGGCTGGATCAGCTGGCGATACTGCATTGGCTTATTGGAGAGATCATTTGAGTTGGTGGCATGATTGGACACCAGCTCCTTCAAGCAGCAAGGGCGCAGGACTTGTTCCCGTCTCTATGCTTTGGGGTGGTGGCAACAACGGGAAACTCGACGCCCAGAGACTGCAACAGTTTCAACAGTTAAAAACCACGCCTGCCTATGTTATGGGCTTCAATGAACCAGATTGCTCTGGAGCCGACATTTCTGCAAACATCGATGTCAACAGAGGCGTCAGCTTGTGGAACAGCTTGATCGCTCCTATGGGCCAGAAGGGAGCTCTTCTCGGCAGCCCGGCCATGTGTCGCCAGAAGGATGAGTCGTGGCTCAAACAGTTTAATCAACAACCACTTGCAAGGAGCTGGGACTTTACTTCCATCCACATCTTTAAGCCGGACATGGCAGGCGTGCAAGCCGACATCGACTACTACTGGAACACGTATAAGAAGCCACTCTGGGTGACGGAATTTGCATGCGTCTTCGACCAAAACAACTTTACGCCTTGCACGGATCAGAACCAGATCAACCAATGGATCAGCGACATTGTGGATTTGTTTGAAGCCAACGAACATGTACTTGCGTATGCATACACTGATGGTCTCGGCTTGGGATCTGCCTGGCCTCCCGTGAAGAGCGATGGATCTCTCTCTCAGTCAGGCCAAGCGTATTTGAATGCTATCAGCAGGTATTACTAAACAGCTGGACATGGATCGGGAATTGAAAAGAAGAATGAGAGGTTGCGATCGTATTTAGGCCGAGGTGTACATGTGAATGAGATTCAGATTATAGGCTTATATCCCCTCATCATGCTCAATCATTCGATACAGGTACCTAATCACATGTAAGTTCTACAGTATCTGTCCCACTAACAACTAATTTAGGCAGATACTGCCGCCAGAAGACATCTGCCTAAAGCTGGAAGCTTCACAGCATTTTTAACACCACCCGAGGCTGTTGGTAGGTACATGTAGTGGGGTAGGTCGTGAACAAATGAGTACATATGTGGTTTTTCTCAGCAATTTTAGACCCTCTGGTGGCCTTTAGCTGCATGGAAAATGTCATGGAGAACGTAACCAAGAGGCAGCGAATAGTAACACATGGCGTGGACAAAATAATACATGCATATACGAAGTGGCATCGCTGAGGAGAGAGATTTACATATATGTTGTTGCAAAGCAGCATAATAAATTTCAAGGCATTTGTCAGACATTAGTATCGTGGCCATAGATTGAGGAAAAATTGTCATTGAGATCTTGTACTTTATTTAGGCCTGGAGCATTTCAGAGTAAAAATTATTTCACCATATACAAGTATGTATGCATTTAAGGTAGTTCTCTGTCCGAGAGATGCGATGTTACATGTATATACTTAGGCTGATGTGTATATCTGAAAAAAGTTTGGTCATAACTCCATTTCCCACACATATCAATTGCGCAACTTAGCATACATGTCTATCGCTGACGTATTGCCTCATATATTTACAGCATTTTTAATCCTCCCAGGGCTTGCTAGTAGTGTGGTTAAACGACTCAGCGAATAGGAGCACAGATTGTAAACACGGTGCTTTACGGAGTATATGAAGTGGTATTGTTCAGAAAAGATGTATCATATACGCTGCTGAATCCTTGCTGCATGGCACATATACTCCGAGATATGCCTTTGACATAAGGGGCTGGAATGTATCGTGGTATTGATAGAAAGAGAGAATCGTAACTGCAAGGGGGATTACTCTAATCTTTCAACTAGGGAAGAAGTATGGAATTCCATCTAAATTTTCTGTAGTATATAATCTATCTGGAATGTAGATCATGAACAAGTCAATTCTATCGACTTCGGGGCAAGTGGCCATCTAGCCTATTGATCCTTGTCAGTCCCTTGTCTCCATCAAGTAAAAGTGAGGTTGCAAGCTCATCGAACCAAATATAGTGAAGAATTGACAATCAACGAAGCTGTCCAGAGACGACACCCACACCCTTAAATTTGCAATGCCACAATCTTTCCACCCTCAGTATATGTGCCATTGACGGGGCTGAACGTGGCGCCACTAGTGACAACATAAAGAACATTCTTATCCCGAATTGTTCTGCCAAAGGCGGCTGAGGTATCTCCGGCAATAAGACTCGAGTTGAGATTTCCTGCAATAACTTTGTTTTCTCCGTCTAGCTTCACCTCGGTGAGCACGTTGAGTGGGTTGCCAGCGATATATGCTGCTTGAGGTGTGACCGCAAAGTCATCACCGAAGACTCCTGCAACGATTGTCTTGTAGCTTCCGGTGGCGTATCCAGACTTGCTGACAGGCACGCGTCCAAAGATAGGGTTGAACGAGTTTGTGTAGTAAACGTAATGGTTAAGATATCGGATCCCGTTGAGGCCGATGGGTAGCGGAGCCCCTGGGGTAGGCTTAAATGCTTCATTGTCAAGCACCAGTTTGTACACCTTTGTTTGCGTGTTTACAGAATAGATCACTCCTCCAGTTGAATCTGCAGTAAGAATAGTATTGGGCGTAGACTCCAGGGTCGTCATGCCATTCAGGAACTGAGCTTCAGGAATATCGGTAACCTTTGAGACTTTAGCCTGGTCGTTGTGGAAAGCTACCTGCCAGACTGCCCATGATCCTGGAGCGGGGCCGGTTTCAGCTGTAAAGTTGCCTGCATTGAGCGTAAAAACGTCTGGAGACACTTCTGTTATACCCAGAAGGCTAAGATATTCCGAAAAGCGATGAATCAGCTTTGCACTCTTTGGGTTGAATGGATTGACTTCATATAGCTCCGGTCTGTCAGTCAGGGTGACGAGGAGGTTTCCATTAGATCGGACAGCAATGTTTTCGACCGATGTTCCATTACTGAACTGATAGACGAGGCGATGGCCCTTAACTGTTGACCAAGGGCTTCCGTTTCTAGGGTTGATGACGGCACCAGTAACAACTGAAGCAATCAAGGTCGAAAATGTAAGAACGAAGCTAGCGTACATCTTGGCGGTGTTGATTAAAGTGCGAATGATAGAATGGAATATGGAAACAAGGCACAAATGCAATTGTTTCTAACATGACAATATATATATATGTTTGTAGCTACAAGCAGCTCTACGAAGTCCGGCACGGATTTCGGGCTCGAGGTGGGCAAATGCTTTCAAATCCTTGTGCCTGTGCCGCGCGCAATATTGCTCTAACAGGTTGCAATGTGCCCCTCAATCCTACATGTTGACGACATACTGGACCTGCATCGTCTGATTGAAGTCAGAGTAATAACTGAGCCAAGGAAATTGATGATTTCTAAGCATTCTTTGTTGCGTGATAGTAATCAATTGAGATGAATTGGATCAATGAACGCGTTATAGTCGCTATACGAGTTGGCCCGACTCGGACCTCGGACAACCATGTTTTGCAGGTCTAAGCTGATGAAGGTTGGCTTGCATACGTAAATACCTAGGAACAGAATAGGCCAGTCTTTAAATAGACTATTCACAGCTCTGGGGTTGGCGTTTCATCGAGCTGAGATGGCGCTAGATGACATGCTGCATTGAGCGTCGCCGTTATGCCGTTATGTCATCCCAGACCACAATGATTTTTGACATGTGGTTATTATTTAGCATATAACGTTAAGTTATGCTTGGATATCCGGCACTGGATGCACTATAACATCTTTTTGATCACAAACTGCCTCGAGGCTTGAAGGACAATATTTGCTTAGTTGCAGGAATGACAGTCTTCACAAGCTCATCGCTGTCGTCGCTCCAAGGGCCTATACGAGAACACTGGATGAAAATGCTGGGTGGGATACGCCCGTATGGCTCAGACGAGTGCCGAATGATTAATAATCTTGCGGAAGTAGCTGAGCATCATGTCCATAAAGCCGATGTCAAATCTAATGTCAGATCGATCTCCAAGGTCAGCTTACATATCACCTCTGCATTTGCTCCGTTAACTCCGACGACACAAAGCCATATTTACTATGTTTCAATTGTTAATACATTTCTGGACAATTTCTCATCTCACATCCACCTGGTCCAGCTCATCGTAAATCTCCTTCTTCACAGCCTCATCCGCCCAACACATGTCGACCGCATTCCTCGCCAGCTGCACCATCTCTTGCTTCGTCAACTCTCCATAGTGATACGCCTTTTCCATGTTGCCGTCGATCCACACATCATGCATGTACACAGGATCATCGCTGTTGATGCAGAACTTTACGCCTCCGTCCAGAAGCTGTCGCAGTTTTGGGAAGAGGACCTCGGTTGCGGTGCGTCGGTGATAGGCATGTGGACAGAGAGTCAGGCCAACGTTTCTGTTGACTAACCCTTCCACCAGCTCATCTCGATCAAGTGCATCAAGCCCGTGGTCGATCCTTTCTATCTGCACATCGAAAATGGCCTGGCGAATGTGTTCGTGCGTATCCTTTTGTCCAAAGTCACAGTGCGTCGTGATGTGAAGCCCATCTGCTTGAGCTCGCTCAAATGCCTTCTTGAACAACATCGGCGGCCGTTCATAGGCGTTGCTGGCAAGACCAACTGCATGGAATAGACCATGTCCAGATCTAGCCCACGGCAAGGCTGTTTCATATGCGGCCTCCCCGTCTTCGACGGGCTCATCCCGCAAGAAACAGAAGATCCAGTTGGATCTCACGCCATATTTAGATGCGCCTTCACGCTGTGCTCGTAGATAGCCGTTTAGCACGTGCTCTGCAGGGATACCACGGCGTGTATGCGCTTGAATGTCAAAAAAGGGTTCGACGTAGCGAACATTCATCTGACGACATCGCGCCAAATAGTCCATGGCAAGTTCATAAAAGTCATCCTCTTTGAGCAGAACCTCACAGCCCGCAAAATAGGCCTCTAGAAATGTCGGTACATCTTTGCGGCCGCCGAGTTCCGGACGGTGATTATAGGTAACGTTGTACGACTCCAGGAGTTCTTCGTAGGTGTGATATTCCTGGGATTTAAAGCGTAGCGGAATCTTGTTTCGCTGAGCAAGTTTCCATCTCAGCGCTGGCTGAAGCGTGCCTTCGATGTGTATGTGAAGCTCGACCTTGGGAAGAGAGGCAATGAAGGAAGAGATTGTAAGCCCGTTCATGGCGAATTGTCTCAGACCAATGCCTTGTTATCGCACATGAGTAGGGGACAAGAGAAGTCCATACGGAAAACTGCCGCTGAGTCTATGGGCGATGCTTATCGTCTTCATCGGCCAACTTTTTCGGCGTCTCGTCTTAAACTATCCCTGGAGCAGTCAAGCTGTGGATATCATGGTCGTGTCTCGATAATTACCATTAGTGTTGAGAGATGTTCATTGGATATCTCTACTATGATAAATCAGAGCTCCACATGGGCAGTAAGCCGGCTGAAGCTACTCTGGAAATCGCAATCCGACGGCGCAAGCTTCTCGTTCGTACCGCCACCTTTTTATCTGTCGGGCAAGAATTTCAGCCAAAGCTAAGAGATTCTCAGAGCATCACCTCTCTCAGTTTCATTCCCCGATCATTCGAGTTTCTAGCACGAGACCAGAGACACGAGAAGTGGGTGCGTCTAGGCTTTTAACCGGGTATAGTTCCCCCTCACCTCGGCGAATGGCCGATCTCGGGAGACAAAACTCGTGCATACCGTATCTCGTGCTATCTCATCGTCGCATTCCAAGATAAGCGTGAGGGGAAACGCGGTGTAATAGGAGGAGGGCATCTGCCAGAGATCGACAGGCTGCATATACATATATACACGTATATTACACGCATTCGATGAGCGGCCAATATGATTGCCCATCTCGCGAAACCGAGCCGTTACTGGGCAGTCCCATTGAAGTTGACGGCGAGATGAGTTCCCCAGCACAGGAAGCGTCTCGCATGGAGACGGGCCCTGATGCCGCCGTTGCGCGTCGCGTGGTGAAGAAGATTGATCGAGTCATCATCCCCCTGCTGTTTGTTACTTATATGTTCAACTTTATGGACAAAGTCATTTTGTCGAGCGCCGCTGTGTTTGGGTTGCGCGATGATACGGTAAGAGATCAATGCCATGATATCCACCGCAACTAGAGTAAACATCATAACTAACCTCATGTTTGCCATCGCAGCACCTTATAGGACAACAGTACAGCTGGGTTAGCAGCATCTTCTATTTTGGCTATCTCATCTGGGAGTATCCCACCACTCTCCTCATCGCCCGGCTCCCTACCGCCAAGTATCTCACCTTCAACACTCTCGTATGGGGTGCAGTTGTTGCTCTGACAGCAGCATGCACCAACTTTGGTGGCCTTATGGCCGTGCGGTTTCTGCTGGGCATGGCAGAGGCCACAATCACCCCGGCCTTTATGTTCCTGACGTCGACATGGTATACTCGAGATGAGATGCCGACACGCGTGGGCATTTGGTTTGCTGGCAACTCCATTGGAGGCATCATATCCAGCCTGATTGCCTTCGGCCTGGGGCATGTCAAGGATGATGTGCATCCGTGGCGGTGGATGTACATCACCCTCGGCGTCGCGACGTTTCTCTGGAGCATCCCCATGTTCTTCCTTCTCCCAGACAGCATCTCCAAGGCGAAGTTCCTGACGCCTGAGGAGCGCCAGATTGCAGCTGATCGCACGGTCATTGCCGGCACGGGAACTACCGAAAACACACACTGGAAATGGGACCAGATGGTCGAGTGTCTCATCGACCCAAAGACTTGGCTTATCTTTCTCATCGAGCTCGTCGGCCAGATGCCCAACAGCGGCACCCAGAGCTTCTCGAACATCATCATCGCCTCCTTCAACTTCACCTCGTTGCAGTCCACTCTCATCAACATCCCTTACTCGGTGATATCAGCAAGTGTTATTGCGGGCACTGGATGGCTTGCTGGCCGCTATCGTACCCTAAACTGTCTGCTCATCGTCGCTGTCCTCATCCCCTGTGTTGTCGGTTCCGCTGTTATCTATCGCCGCGACAGCGTGCCTCATGGTGTACAGCTATTTGCCTACTTTCTCCTTTCTCCTGGCCCCGCGGCAATGCCCCTAACGATGGCGCTTGTCCAGTCCAACTACCGTGGTGTCACCAAGAAGATGACTGTTACGGCTATGCTATTCCTAGCGTATTGTGCCGGCAACATTTCTGGGCCTCAATTCTTCCGCGCAGCTGAAGCACCAACATATCAGACTGCTTTCAAGACTATCATGATTTGCTACTGCATTGTTATTGCCTTGGCTGTGACCTTAAGGTTCTACCTGCAATGGGTAAATACGAAGCGTACGAGGGAAGAGGGCTTTGTTGGAAATGCCGGTGCGGCTGGCGCAGTGGCCGATGGCAAAGTGTCTGATGTATTGGACGGCAAAGATATTGCCCAGGCGGTCACAGAGATTCAACTGAGGCCGGAGGATTACGAAGATGTGACGGACTGGAAGACAGTCGGTTTTAGGTATCGTCTATAGCTCTCGCCTCAGTATTACGCTGCCATTCCGCGAAATATACGGTCGATGTATTTGCTATTTATCAACAGACTAGAAGGCCTGTAGGTATCTCGTGAAAATGGTTTCCATGTAAATTGATATATCTATTGTTGTTCTAGCTCTTATTTGAGTTTCAGTTCATTGATCTTCTATTCGGTTTTCGATGGCTCAGGCTCCGAACTGTAGTCGATAAGAGGTTCACCGCCAGCAACAATATTATGAAAATGGCCTAGTGTCACTGTTGCCACTTCTTTGCTCTTATCAAGAAAGTTATTCTCGTCCGGTGCAATAACATTGTTATAATAAGGGTCGTTGAAGGCATTGAAAAAATGTTCCAAGCTAGGGATCTCCCAAATCACAGCACCATCAAAGTCCATAACGGCGAGGGGGAGCGGCGTTGCCGTTAAGGGTTGACGCAGGGCACTAGGAGTGTGAATCTATGCAATGTCAGATAGACTATCTGACGGGATATTCTTTTTGTAGAAAGAAATCTCACCTGTGTATATCCGATGATGCCATGCTTTTTGGACCAGTACGCAATCTTGGGCGCATGGACATTCCTCCAGTGGTCATAGAACTGTTCTTCTGTAAGATCAGGCCTACGCCTAATGAAGCAAATTTTATATAACGTGGAACTCATATTGATTGAGTTTTGAAGCCCTAGAATATTGCGATTATGGATCTTGAATTTGGGAGGCTGTTTGAATTTGCCATGATTCATCTGGTATGTTGCTCGATGCTATAACCATATATACATACGTACATGTATGCTTCTACATGATCAAGGCTCATGAAGCGTTTCATCGACCGAGCTTCGGCCGAACATTCAATGTATTAGAAATGGAATTTGAAGCCATCACAGTCAAAGCAGATCCCTTGAGCCGTCAATGGATGAATGCGTGCCTGTTACTAATTAGGTGCTAGTTGCGAGATGAGATACCCCATAGTGGGATGCGATCCTTATTCCGCCGAGCTCGGCCGAATCTCAGTACTAAGAGAATACGGCACAACAGGACTTTGAGTATTATAAGCAGCTAAGAGATAGAGAAGGAAATGATGTATTTGGCATATACGGGACACGTCTAATTGGCCGGTGTATTAATTTGTGGCAAGTATGAGCGAAATCACAAAAGTTATCGTCATTGGAGTATGCTTCCTCGTATCTGCACGCTGCAAACCATTAAAGCACATCTCGTGTGCATTCTAACTGGGCTCTTTGCAGGCTGGAGGGAGCTTAAACCCTGTTGTTATCACGTCGTTGCAATCGCACGGGTTTGTTGTCTCTGTTCTGATTCGCACTGCTTCAACTGCCGAGCCTCCACCCGGTACCAACGTCTTTCGCACCGACTATTCCAGAGCTTCCCTCGTATCGGCGTTCAAAGGCCAAGATGCAGTTGTCAACACCATCACGATGCCGGACTTCGAGGAACAAAAGAACATCATTGACGCTGCCGTCGACGCAGGGGTCAAGCGATTCATCCCGGCCGAGTTCGGGATTGACACATCAAAAGAGAAAACGGTCGAGATCATGACCTTCCTCCGCGTAAAACCGCAGATAATACACTATCTCCGCTCCATTGAGGACAGGATTACTTGGACGGCTATAATTACGGGGCCCTTCTTTGACTGGTAAATTCTTCCGTTGTCCTCCTTCTGTTTCGGATGGGTCAACATCCGTCCGTGCATATGGAAAAATATTAATGCTAGGCTAATGCAACCGTGTTCGAATAGGAGTCTCGGCAATGGGTTCTTCTCTTTTAATCTTCCAGCCCGTGTAGCGTACATCCATCAACCCGGATATCGCAGTCACCGCTTCAGCTGGTCGAATTTGTCCACGGTTGGCGAGGCAGTGGCCCGCGTCCTGCTGGCCCAAAGTTCGCCCATGGTTGTTAATCAATACGTGCGAGTCAGATCTTTCAATGCTAGCCAGGACGAGATCCTGGAATCGCTTATTTCGGTTTCTGCGCGCATAGAAGCGGCAAGGGGCTCGGAGACTGTTGAGTGGAAGCAGATTAGCGTCGATCTAGAGGAAAAAGTTGTCGAAGCACGGAATAAGCTGGCCCAGGGCGACACAAGCGGCTTGGGATACATACTCAGCAAAGCAATCTACAATACGGGAGGCAACTTTGACGAGGAGGGTGCGGTCATGAACGAGAAGCTGCGCATGAAGCCGGACGAAAGCATGGATGATGCCATTGAACGAGAGTTGATCAAGCTTTTCACCTAGTCCACTCCTGACACTCGGTGTCCACATACATGATCAGATTGCCATGGTTGGAGTGGGCCATTCACATTTACAGTATATGTACGGAGTATGGATCTTATACATATTACTCCTAGTCAAGCGTAGCGTATGCGCACATGCTTGTAAGGAGTAGTAAACTTCAAATACCACCCAATTTCAACGCAGGACCAAGTCTTGTTCTGTGCAAAGTACTTGCGCAACATGCGTCCGGTTCCAATTACTGAACCACTTATCAAGCAATGGGTTAGTTTTCCGTAGGCTCATCCTTGCTGACATGCGCCCTAACTGCATACGCTTAGCAACATGATTACTCGACTCCAATTTGCTAGTTATTTATAATACAGTGAACGCATCAGTTGAGCTCGGCTTTCGCCACCTGAATAAGATGGGCGTGGATCGGCGACCGCACGACCAAACTGCGAGCGTCCGAATTCCCGATAATACGGATATCCCGCCTTTCTAGGCCTTATCCGCGGGGAACTCGACTCAACTCTCAGGGTTGTGTAAACGTGTATCTGGCTGTTTTACGCTTACCCCCTTCCCATGGCAGCCAATCATGACTGATGGATGAGACGCCGGGCCGAACTCCGTTTGCAAATCATATACGGAGTACCGGTAGGTTTATCTGCAGGGGTACCACGCTCCATTCTAGGCAGTAGCAGCTGGCCCTTTTCCGACATGATGGTTCTCTCGCGGGGTGCTAGTACTAATAGTATAGGTATGGGGGTCCTGCTTCCTAATTCCTACTTCGTACTTGTAGCGAGTAATATTATTAGTATATCAACCGCCCAGATCGTTGTTTGCACTGCATATATGTTTAGTTTCTGGATCTAGCCATTCACTTATAGTGGTGGGGGCGTGATCGCTGGAGAGTCCTTAGTCTCGCATGGAAACTCCTAGCCTAGTAGGCTCGTCTGTTGGGGGCTTCCTTTATATACTAGGCCTTAGCCTATTTTCAACTGCTGAGCTTTACGTGATAACTAATATATTATAGCGTTTCAAAGCCCGACTAAGTGAAAGCGTGGAGAGGTTCAACTTGCCGGTGTCGATCGACTCACCAACAGCTGTCCCCTATCAACCCATCTACAGACGGCACTCAACAATGATTCGATCAACTAGGCAACAAAATTCAGCTGATGGCATGTCGCCGCTCCAGCTCCGAAAGGTCCGTAAAGGGACTCGCAGCTGCTGGGAATGTACGTCCTGAAATATCAATGCCGGTCCTGCTCTCGCAGTCTTGCAACTTTGTCCGATTTCTAATCGAAAAGGTACTGTTCAGGTAAACGCCGCAAAATCAGATGCACATTCCCTCCTGGGAATACGACCACCTGTATATGGTGCATGTCACATGGCTCCATGTGTGTCAGTCAACGTTACCAAGATGAGACGAGCGATGCATCACGCACCCAGAGCATGGATGCAAGGATGACGCGTATCGAGAGTTTACTGGAGCAAGTTCTTGAGAAATTGGATACTGGAAGCCAACAGAGTCATACCGAAGACTCACCGGGACGTCCAATAACTGTCGACGATGGCATTGGAAACGATGTCGTCAACACTGCTTCCAACATTTCGGCACCTTCGTCAAGCTCCGCGGTAGTTTCTGTCTTCCGGAGTGCATTTGTAGGAACAAGCCTTAATATTCATTCGACTGTGCTAACACGGAAATTTCATACTAATCGGTCTTTCTGGCTTTAGTTTATGTCAGAGATTGGTGGAAAGGAAGCATGTTCGACGGCTGCTTCAACCCTGTCATCGGATACTAGCCTATCCACTGTACAACACGACACAGGAATGTGGCCGAAGCTGAAGAGAGTCTCCCGCCTGCTGTTGGAGATGATGCCGTCTCGTACTGCCATTGAAATTCTTGATAGCCAAAGCTCGCCTTGGATCTGCCAACTTCTTCGCCCTCTTCCGTCTCTCAAGCAATCAAACAAATTTTCGCTACTCAAAACGATGCCACTCGAATCGCCATCCCTTAGCCACCCCACGATTATAGCGAGAGCCTTGATGTGCATTGTTATATGCCTACAACAGCTGCCCATGCATGTCGACATCACGCAGCTCCGGTTACCGTCTCCACGAAGTGAATACATGCAATCTATTACTTCGATTATAATCTCTCTAGTTACTTCAGATGATGAAATTATTGCCACGCCTGAGGGTCTTGAATGCCTTTTGCTTCTTTCCATCTACTTTGTTAACTCGGGTAGGCCTCGACGAGCATGGCTTAACAATCGAAGGGCGCTGGCAGTCGCACAGTTAATGGACCTCCACAGGGCACATCGCGAGGATGTTGACGACAACAGTAGCAGCGTAGAAGCCAACATCGCGGAAGTGTGGCCTCATATAATTCACTTCGACCGACATCTCTCTCAGGTTCTAGGATTTCCATGCGGAGTAGTGGACCAATATGGACCCCTTTTCCCGAGCAATTTCAAGCTTATGCAGCATTTGGATGAACACAAGCAAGATGCCCTCTATCTTTCACAGCTTGATCGCATAGCCGGGCTTCTAATCGAGAGAGAACAGCGATCTCCGAGCCTAGCAATGGCTATGACGCAGTCCATTGACAATGCGCTTGTGAATCTGGCCACGTCCATGCCACAATCATGGTGGCATCCCTTTGACAGGCTTTCAGGGACGCAGGCAGAAGCAATGGACATGCTCTACGCTCGATATAACATTCAATTATGGCATCACCAACTCGAAATGTCCAATCATTTGCCGTTTATGCTGGATGCAGCGGAGGAACGACAGAGCGAATACAGCCGCATTGCGTGCCTCAAAGCCGCGAGACAGCTTATCAAAGTATATCTACCGCTACGAACAACGTTTGGCATGTTCTCGTGCTGCATGACGAATTTCCAGGCATTTACGGCCGCCGTGATTCTCATATTCAACATGTTTCTTCGGACGCCGGCTGTCGAGATGGAGGCCTTATCTGGTCGGAGAGAGAGTGACTGGGATTTGATCGCCAATGTTATCGAAGTTCTAGATGCAGCGGTTGAACAGTTTGAGGACAGAGTCGCTCTACAGGCGCGCGACGTTTTGAAGCTCCTCCGAGCCATCGAAAAGGACCCAAAGACGCTGCAGGGCGACAAGTTCCACTTCACAATACCTTACTTTGGAACCATTTCCATTGCGCGTAAGAACCATGTTGGGGACCAGGGCGACAATCAACCGGCGACCGACGTGTCTGAGAGCACCGGCCAATTAGCGCCTTCGGGGACGGAGTTATACCTGGACTACTCTCCGACCTTCATGACAACGATTGACTTTATGGGGCCGAGCACAGCTGCCGATGTTGATGAGCTGATGCAGCAGTGGTTGGTTGAAGATATGTAATGGTGTCATTCCGCGGTAGGCAAGGGTTCAACTCAATGTGCCATGGGCAACTCTTCGATTAATAGGGTTCAAAATCTGGAGAGTACCATGTGCATTGTTCAACCCCTGAGCGCTATTCTCTTTTTCTCTCTCTCTTTGCTTTCATCTTATGTTAGTCTCCATTATCGTTAGCGGGCGCATTGGGTTTGGGGATGCAGCCAATGAATATCATGTCAAAAGCAAAGGGCGCTGTATCTAATACCATAGGCAAAGTTGTGGAGAGCAAGGAGATATCTAGGAAGAGGGAGACTAGGGTGGTTTGTATTTTTTTTCTTTTTTCAAATAAACACTTAAATTTGCTGCACAAATGATTTTTAGCTAATATAGCATCGGGCCTTTTTAGACTGCAGTATGACGCCAAAGACTGCTTATAGGCATTTGTTTCATAGCTCTGAGAATCGAGCCGGAATTCGGGCAAGCGTAGCTATATCGACCCAGTCTCCCCAGGAATTCTCTAACGAATCCCGCCCGTGATTTCGGTATCTGCTTGAAAAATGACGGCAGTTGGCTTGTAGAAATGCTGCCTATCTTGGAATCTTTCGCCGAGCACCTGCATATATAGGTGTCGCCATCCATGCGAACGCCAATGCTGACTAGCCGTCGCACGCATGATATTTCACATGGGACTATACGTGTGCATAGAGAGGGGGTTTAGTCTATTCTTTTGGTGTCGATTCAAAGAGGGGGAACGGGGGAAGTTCTTCGGCGGTCGACTTGAAAATGACTTTGACTTGAAAATGCATGAGTTTACTACGGCCTCTATTTTAAAGGGCGTCTCACTGTTATCATCTCACGACGTTGCAAAACCCACCAAATAGGCATTAACAAGTCATCATTGACATTGGTGTTGACATATTAACTATCCTATGTGCGAGTACTAGTAAGCACTGTGGCCAAAAGAGTCTTGTTTGGCTCCCGGCGTTAAGTCGTGATGCAAAGCGGGCTGGCATACTTAGCGTTTGAATCCCTTTTGGATTTCCGATGCCGAGATGATCCTTCCATGCTTAGTAGAAAGCTATCCCGAGTTTTCCTTCGCCAAGTCAGTGAGAAAGGCAAAGAAACCCAACTATGACGAATGATGACTTCCCGCTGATCTGAGGCGTAGCGTCGGAATTCCCATTATCCCGAGACTAAATTCAACATTAATGGGATATTACGATGGGATTGAACGTCGCATAAGGCGACCCAATTCAAAGAGGCTGTAGATAAATAGATGCAGAGTGCCATCATATTACTGATCATATCATCCTTACCAGAGATGTTGCAGCAAACAAGATGATCAGCCAGTGCCTAGGGTGTGACGGCATTCAAAGGGATGGCGTGTGCCTAACAAAAAAAACGTGCTGATTCGGTCGCTTATCCAATCTTTCCTGCCGGGGGATTTCTATGTAATCAGGTGGTTATATACAGTAACTATAAGTCAGCGGGAAATTGGGTTGCTTTTCTCGTTTTCGCTCTTCCAAAGCCGCGTGCTGTTGCTGTCAAATAGGCACTTGAGTATGTACATAGGTAGTTTGTCTATAAATTACATGTATACCGAAGCATTTGAAAGCATGGCCAGCCCAGCAGCGATTACGACATTAACTACATTCGAGATGGCATACGATCCATCAACCAACACACGAGCTGACAATGATTTACGGAATATGTACTAATTGTATCCTGAGGAGCTTTTCTGGCATGGATCTCTCCCGGGACGCTTAACTGCGATATCCAGGGCCAGGAACGGGGCTCTCGGGGCGACTCTAACTTCCCGCGTCGCCAAGCTCGCCTACTTCGTGTTTCTCTAGCTTTCAAACAACCAGGCTTGAGCATGCTTATGCATCTGTTAAGAAGCTAAGTGACGCCGGTCGGATGATTTCAGAGCAACAACAAGGTCCGTAAATGAGCAAAGCTTGCGAACTTGTTCTGGCAGCCATGTACAACTAAGCCCATCTAATAACATACTGCCTAAATAGGTAGTTGTACACTCCGCACATCGTGCATTTTTGACACACACTACTGGACGTTCAAGTTAACGTTGTACTCCGTACTCCGTAGTATAATCATATTTACAAGCCCTACCTGTCTCCGCTCAGATGGAATGCTTGCAGACGCATCACTAATAATTGCTGTCTCGAAACGGAAGTAACCGCGTAGCTGCATATTAGACTCAGCCACCACCGCTTATGCCGCCTTGCAACGGCCCATTCCGACTTTACCTTCTTAATTTTATTCTTATAGCTTTCATCTTTATATTCACCTTCATCTTCACTTCTGTTCTACTCTTTTCCTGTTTCCCTGTCCGCGAAGGGAGCAAAGAATACTCACATGTATGGAATTATTAGCGCGAGCCTGCATCTGGCCACCTACCCAACCAAGCTGGTTGGCGCCATCTCCGTCTCAAACGCCCCTATCCGAGAGTTTTTCCGTCTCAACTGTTTCAAGTCGCATGATCTGGCTTACGCGTGGGAAAACGCCGCAGAATGGCAGAAAAGCCGCGGATCAACGGGCACGCCTCATACTCTCAATGGCGAGCGAGATTGAAGCAAACAAAGAGCCAGCATTGCCCAAATCACCCATCCTTTGCCCTACCAAAACCCAGGTTTGGTATTTATACACTTTTGGATCATCCAACATCTATTCGTGGCCCCATGTAGTCACGAGCCCGAGTACGGAGCCGAACCATTCAACCCTCAGCCTCAGTCTTTGCCCCGTGTCAGCAGGCCAAAGACCACTCAAGGGGTAATTCCACGGATTATCACGGCTAGCGCTCGCAGCACTATGTCTGTTACCGGACTGACATTCGGCCAAGCCACCAAATGGCGCCGCTTTTGCCCCTGTGTCATGAAATTAGCATGGGGCTAGCTCTTAGTAGGTCCCTAACAATAGATGCTTAAAGTGGACTTCCGGCTGCCGATCGGCGTCAAACACGGTGGGGAGAGAGAGACGGACGTCTAATCTCCGTCCAATCGATCTGGTTCATCTTTGATGACTAGGACCGCTGGGCGAATGTCACGGTAAGGTAAGGCCGCTGTACCCCCGTTCATCACGGAGGCTGGCCCTCATGGGCGACAGCTGTCAAGTTGGCTGTCAGAGATCGGCGGAGAAGTCCTACCACGATCCGCATATATGCCTTTTGCTCGTCCCATCTAGGCAGGACGTGATGAGCAAACCGGTCTAGAAATGGCGACTAGGACGTCTAATAGTGCCATCGGCCCGATGGGCATGAACCACTGGGCTGAGTATAATGAGTAGGGATCGAGCGGTAAGACGAGCGAGGCTCAATGTTCTTTATATAGATGGTGATATTTTCCTAGTGAGCATCTTTGACGGTTTGGTCACGCGGTCAAGGTGGTCGTAGCCAGCCACCAAGGTCTTGATTGCTCCTTTATTACGGGCAGCGTCTCGCTACCCATTCATTTTCGTATTATTCTTTCTGATACTCTCGTTTCCCTCAGTCATTTCCTCGCCATGTTGAAGTCACTGGCCTTTGTGGCCGCCCTTCTGGGTGCCGTCACGGCCTCGCCAACAATGGCCCGCCACGGAGATCGATCACTCGAGCCACGAGCGAGCACATCCTTCTGGTATGCTGCCATGGACCACACTGGCCAGTACAGGGGCTATGCTCCTCACACGACGAGCCCCAGCTCGTACAACGTCTTTGTTGCTGTAAATGCCGGCGATGGGGGTTCTCTTCAGCGTGCCATCGACTCGGCCTCCAGCGGCAACCGACAGAACGAATGGCTGGCATCTCAGCCTCGAGTTGTGTATATCCCTCCCGGAACTTATACGCTGCAGAGCACCCTCAACATGCGAACCGACACCATCCTCTTTGGTGATGCCACCAACCCTCCCATCATCAAGGCTGCGGCTGGCTTCAGCGGCAACTACCTTATCAATGGCCAGGATCCCTCCACGGGCGTCTCTGGCGAGCTTTCGTTTGCAGTTGGACTGAAGAACCTCATCCTGGACACCACGGCCGTTAGCGGAACCTCTAGCATCTCTGCCCTCTACTGGGGTGTTGCCCAGGCTGCCCAGCTGCAGAACGTCAAGATTGTTCTTGCGCCATCCAGCGGTGGCAAGGGCCACACTGGTATCCAGCTTGGTCGTGGATCTACTCTTGGACTTGCCGATGTGCGAATCGAGAATGGCCAGAACGGTATCTGGCACAACGGCCACCAGCAGGCTCTCTACAAGAGCATCTACTTCTACAAGAACACCATTGGTATGCTGATTAGCGGTGGTAACACCATCACCCTGCTGAACCCGACCTTTGACACTGTCGGCACTGGTGTTTCCAACACCGGTGGCAGCCCCTTCATCGGTATTGTCGATGCCAAGTCGATCAACTCCGGCGTCACCTTCTCGACCACTGTCTACCCCTCGATTGTCATCGATAACCTGACCAAAGACACGACCTCCGATGTCGTCGTTCTCCGCGGCTCAACGGCTGTTGGTTCCTCGAGCCACGTCGTCAACTACAGCTACGGAAACACCGTGGGCCGCAACCCCATCTACGGCGCTGTTACCGGAACCACTGCCCGTCCCAGCACCATTGCCCCCGGCGGCCGCATTCCCGCCATTCCCGCGCCCAACTATGCCCAAAACCCGGTCACGGACTTCATCAACGTCAAGGACCCTAGCCAGAACGGCGGGCAAACGGTCAAGGGCGATGGCAGCACAGATGACTCGGCTGCTCTTAACAAGGTGCTCCAGTTTGCTGCTGCCAACAACAAGATTGCCTATTTCCCCTTCGGAGACTACCGCGTCCTGTCCACCCTTCTGGTTCCCGTCGGCTCTCGCCTTGTTGGTGAGGCTTGGGCGACCATCTCCGGTGGCGGCAGCTTCTTCAAGGACGCCTCCAACCCCAAGCCCGTTGTCAAGATCGGCAACGCTGGCGATGTTGGCGTTGCCCAGCTGCAGGATTTCCGCTTCACCGTCTCTGACGTCCTTCCCGGCGCCATCATCGTGCAGTTCAACGCTGCTGGTGGCAAGGCTGGCGATGTTGCGCTGTTCAACTCGCTCATCACCGTTGGTGGAACTCGCGGTGCCGATGCCCTGACCAACGCTTGCACCAAGGCCAACGCCGAGTGCCAGGCTGCTTTCCTCGGCCTGCACTTCACCGAGAACTCGTCGGCCTACGTCGAGAACACCTGGAACTGGGTTGCCGACCACATCACCGAGGGCTTCAGCGGCGGCTCCAACATTGCTGCCAAGGGCGGTGCCCTGGTCGAGTCTAAAAAGGGAACCTGGTTGCATGGTCTCGGCAGCGAGCATTGGTGGCTGTACCAGCTCAACCTTCGCTCTGCCAGCAACGTGGTTGTCTCTCTCTTGCAGAGCGAGACCAACTACGACCAGGGTGACAACACTCAGCAGGTTCCCCCTGCGCCATGGAAGGTCGATGTCGCCGGCTGGGGTGATCCCGACTTCTCTTGGTGTGACAGCAGTGCTCGTTGCCACATGGGTCTGGCCAACTATGTCCAGGGCGGCTCCAATATTTACTACTTTGGCTCTGCTTCTTGGGCTTTCTTCAGCGGCCCCGGATATCAGGGTTGCGCTTCTGGCGGTTACCAGTGCCAAGGTAAATTGATACATGTTCCTGCTGGAAGTGACCATAGAGGATACGTTGCTAACATTTTTGATAGATTACATGCACGTTGTCAAGACTACCCCCACTAACCTCCAGATGTACGGCATGTGCTCCAAGGACACCAAGGTCGCTATCCGATTGGGCACTGGTGTCGACATCAACGCCCAGGACGGCTTCACTGGAGGCTGGAGCCCTGGTGGTGATGTTGGCCGCTACACAACCTAGATGTTGATATAAGGAAGTACTATCTTCCAACCAAGGAGCCATAGTGTATATATGTTGGGGTTGTATTGCATATAGTTATAAATTTGTCAATATACTAGGGTTAACCCATATATTTCCCCTTCCAAGTTCCAATCTGTGCCGCTGGAATCATGCTTGCATTTGTTTCCAGGCGCGTCTCGTTGCTAATTTTATCTTGACACTCCACACATAAGCTTGGGGCAGTTTATTATGAGCGCACTATAAGCACAGCCATCTTGATTCCAATGATAGAGGGGCAAGACATGCTAATGCATCCACTCCACCGTTCTTCCCTTTGAGTAAGGTGTCCGAAGCTGAATCAATTGTTTAGATAATACAGACCATTAGGGATATTAGTGGGAAAAGTTGACGGTGTATAAATATACGACATCCATGCGTTGCTGTGTAATAAATCGGAGGGTTCCATTGCTCGCTTACTACGCTCACTCAGCATAGCAATAGAGTCCTAGAAGCCATGGTAACAGCTTCAGCTTCGTCCCTCGATGACATCACGAATGATGATCTACGCGATTGGGTGGAACTCATAGGGCAGATACAAATCACGGCTGATGCAAGCATCAAGAAAGAAGAGGCAGGAGGTGTAGTGTTTGATCAACGGGTTTTCGATGAATACCCTTTCATCAAGGCGCCCGCGTCACCAGAAACCATCCACCAGCATGAAGTGACGCTCCAAACGTCGCTGCCCGACGATTACAAGAAGTTCCTCCAGGTTACGAATGGTACAGGATGGACTGGCATCGGCTGGATCCCGTCTCTGTGTGGCGTTGAGCAGTTGCGATGGGAGCAAGCGGACGCTGTAGGGTTTGAATCGCTGCGCTTGGAGACTTTCCCGCCCAGTGTGACATCTCTCGAAGAGACGATATCTTTGACGACTGATGAGTTTGAAGAGGCTCCTCCGCTGGAGCGAGTACTGAGGATCAGCGATGAGGATGAGGATACCATTGTCTTCTTGCTGGAGCCCGAATATGTACGAAAGACATGGGCGTGGTTGGCAGGAAAGAGAGGTATCGAAACGAAAGATGCGCCAGGCCAGTGGCTGTAAGTTCTTGACAACTGTCTCAAAGGCATTCATTTGGCCTATGTCTCTAATTGTTTAACTGACCACCTCCAGCTTATTCGTATTTGTGCCTTGGATGGCAAGCACCAAAGTGCATCCCACTTTTGAAGGATACATGAGAGCCAAGGTCAAAACCATCAAAGCATAAATGAAGCACATTTCAAATACTTCCCCAACAAAACAGCTTGCGCGACAACCAACTGGTAAAACCATCGCTCGTATCAAAAGACCTCTTTCGTTGCTACACTTGTCTAGCTGTGAACAGCTAGCGCCGAGTTGTTGAACTAGCAAATGATACAATCTCATGAGTCTGAACACATCTCATGACTGCAAACTGCTGACAGATGCGCCTTAAGTTTGGCATGTGAATTTGTCAGCCGATGCATTCCGGCAGTTGATGCCAGATAGGTGGTTTCTCATGAAGCACTTGTAAAATATGTATATTTCCTTGGAATGTTCTCAATTTTTATTTTATTTTCTTTTCGCAGGAAGCTAAAGTAGTGCAGCACTTGAGTCTCACATTAACAGCATCTTGACACAATGGAGCGAATGTCTGGAATAATTGAGCGGGGTCTTCCCAACGCCGTTGTCTACGATCTCACAAAGCCGAACCAAGTCACAGTCACGCTTCCATCAAGATCAACCTGGTCAAGCGGTCTTCACTGGCACGAAACTCACACAGAGTATCTCAAGGTCATCAAAGGCAGCATCAAAGTCCGCCTAGGAGACACAGAGCAAGTCGTAACCGCGAGTAAAACGAACCAGCCCGAAATCAAGGTTGAGCGATACGCCTGGCACGAATGGCAGCGAGCGCAACTTGAGGGAGAGGAAGTTGTGGTTATCGAGAGAACAGACCCAGAGGACGGCGACAAGGCCTTGTTTTTCTGGAATCTTAATGGAATCATCCTGAATGCGGGCAGGATTATCAGCACAAATGTGCCGGGGTTTTCCTTCTTCCCTGCCACGATAAAGGATCTTATCATCGACTTTTGGATCACATTCAACCTCTTTATTGTGTTTTATTCTTTGGACAACTTCCCCGTCATTTTGAGCACGACGAGATTTTGGAATGGGAAAGGATCGCGCGCAAAGGCGGGTCTGTCGGCAGATTGGTTTGTATCTCACTTATTGTTGTCACTTGCTTCTTGGGCAGGTCGGATATTTGGACTGCGGGCTGTAAGGCCAGAGTATACACCTGCTCAGCATTACCAGCGTTGGAAATCGCATCATTATCTCGAGAAGTCGAAATAGTCTTGGTGATTGACGTGTGTTCGGGTTGGTAATGCGAGCCTTCAAGTGAAGTACGCGGATTTATATGGAGCTGCCAGACGGGATGAGCGCTGTACTGGGCAGTAGAGCTAATATTCTCTAACATGCTTATTTATAAAAGATTTATCGGTACGGAGTACATAGGTAGTTTTATTTAATACCATCAAGTTTGTGTCTCGATTTGATGCCCCTTTTGTGCCGCTGGAATGCGTAATCATTGGTCTCATGCTCGATTTAAGCTTACCATTGTGCCTGTTGATCAGTTGAAACTGAATGGATGTCTCGTCTCGTACCTGTGTATCTATGAAACACGAGCAGCACAAATGAAGCACGCTCCTACATTGATTTCTCCGCTAATCATTCTCGTCCCATTACAATGTGTGCTCAGCATCTTGTTCTGGGTACTTATGTTTTCAATAGATGGGAGAGTGACATTATTCCCTTCAATTTTTTTTTTTTTTTTTTTTTCAGATTATTAATTGACCGGGAAATTGATCTTTTCCGTCTCGAGTTTTCCGTTCAGATAAACGATCTCGCCCATCGTCTATGGACACTCATGACACAACATGCAAGCACACGAGTATGCACCACATCAGAATTATGGAGCATCTATCGATGTTGCACTCGAGAAAGCTATCCCTGTTCCACTCATCACACCAGTCGGATGCAATTCTTGCCTCCATGCATCCTTCCTCTTGATCCAGTGCAACATGATGACAATTAAAAATACCGGACCTCCACATTCCCGACATTATCTCCAGTTGGAGCGCTTCATTTTCAACCTAACTGTACGGGGGAACTAGTAGTTTCCGCGATGGGGCTCATTTGCATGAGTTTCAAAAATCCCTTGCCCAGGCAGTATCGCGATTGGTGACGCGACGATCGTGGGGAAACCTCTGCCGTGCCGGAGAGTCCCGGCTGAAGCGGCATTTCATGGTTTGGGGGTCATGCCATGATGTTCAAACCAATGAAGTCATTCGCATCTCCTACAGGTAGCTTGCGATGACCATCCCAAATCGCTACAACGGGTGATCGACACGACTATGACTGCATTCGATGTTTTACAGAACGCGAGCTGTACAACAATGGCCGAGCTTTGTTCCGGACCCCTCATTGATGTCTCACTCAAGGCAAGCATGGTTGAGCATTTAGGCATAAAAGTTGCAAGGAATGACGGCAAGAAGGGAGGATTGCGCCTATCATTCGGTGGCCTTTTGAAGACACCTCTCAAGGATTGAGCTTGAGCTCGGCTGACAGACTCTGAAACTTCTACAGTTCAATTACCATCCGAGAGTGCTAAGAGAGATATCCTGCTTTCACAAATAAGAGGAAGCCTCGCATCTCAATCATGAGGTCTCTCCTTGCCGCGCTTGGCATCTTTTCCAGCGCGGTGGTTGCGACTACCGAAACCACTGGCAAAGCGTCCATTCGCGATCTTGGCCTACAGAAATGGACTGTGACGAATGAATACGGTAATATCACCGTGCCGGGCAAGTTTCCTTCACAGGCTCATTTAGATCTCCATGCGGCTGGTGTGATTGGTGAGTTAAGACAATGCGAGACAAGTACTGACTTCGGGCTATACTGATTGGAAAACCATAGATGAGCCGTGAGATCTCCTTCTTGGTGGCAATAGTGCGGTTGATTGAAGAGACGAGGCTGATGTGATGATAATAGATACAATGGCCTAAATGATTTTGATCTACGGTGGATTGCAGCTCAGAACTGGACGTATTCTAGCAAGCCTATTAGCGGATTGTAAGTCTTTACCCCTGTGTTGATGGACGATGAATGAACCAGAACAGTCATGATAACATCGACTCTAGGAGTAAACAGTCGAACACGGCCACGTGGCTAGTGTTTGACGGTCTGGATACATATGCAACTGTCAAATTCTGTGACCACATTGTTGGAACGCCAGATAACCAGTTCAGGCAATGGTTCTACGATGTCTCTTCTGCTCTTGCTAGCTGCAAGAGCGATCCTGTTCTCAGCATCAACTTTGGAAGCGTGCCTCGCATTATCAATGCCATCAACGCAAGCGATGAAGTCCAGCGTAAGCCGCATATCTTTACACTTGAGATAACTTTGCTAACCATGAGACTAGATTGGCCAGCTTCGGTGGTTTATCCATTCGAGTATCCAAACCGTCAATGGGTCCGCAAGGAACAAAATGACTTTGGTTGGGATTGGGGCCCAGCCTTCTCTCCAGTAGGACCTTGGCAACCTGGACGTATTGTCCAGCTTAGCAAAGGCGGCGAGTTGTACTCTCTCAACACCGACATTGACATCTTTCGCAAGGGTCAGTTTAACAATTTTGCTCCCGACCAGACTGCTCCATGGGTAGTAAACGCGAGCCTTGATTTTTTGGGAACTCTGCCAAAGCACGCTTCCATGTCGGTGGTTATTACCGATGCCAATGACAGCCGCTCAGTATTGTACTCCGGCAAACTGGAGGGAGTGACACAGTCTGACATGACAGTCTCTGGCTCTGTGACAATAGATGCCAATAAGCCCAAGTTGTGGTGGCCTCGGGACATGGGTAACCAGCAGCTATACAACATAACAGTCTCTGTGAGCAGCGCAGGGTCCAAGACACCGATTCTTGTGTCCCAGCGGCGCGTTGGCTTCCGCACTATCTTGTTTAGCTCGGGAAATATTACAGATGCACAAATTGCCAGTGGCATCACTCCTGGAAACAACTGGCATTTTGAGATCAACGGCCACGAGTTTTACGCCAAGGGTGCCAATTTGATCCCTCCCGATGCCTTTTGGCCACGAGTCACCTCGGATAGAATGAACCGTCTATTCGACTCAGTTGAGTCGCAGAATTTCAACATGTTGCGCGTATGGTCCTCAGGTACATACCTGCCAGATTGGATCTACGATATTGCTGATGAACGCGGCGTATTACTCTGGAGCGAGTTCCAATTTAGCGATACCTTGTATCCTGACAGCCCGGATTTCAAGGAAAATGTTGTTGGCGAGATCACCTATAATGTCCGTCGGTTAAATCACCATGCCTCTTTGGCATGCTGGATGGGCGGTAATGAGTTTGAGAACTTGATGTTGCCGATAGCTCAGGGCGCCGATCCAGAAACTTACCCATATGTCCTCGGACAGTATGAAAATCTCTTCATTACTACGCTATTCAATGTCTTGGCTGCCAATAGTCATTCCATATCGTACAGCCCTTGCAGTGCAAACAATGGTTGGCTAGAGATTGATCTTGATCTTCCCGTACCTATTGTTGAGCGGTACTACAATACTACCAGCGGGCACATCTACGGCGACACTGACTTTTACAACTACGACACCTCTGTTTCCTTTGATACCTCCGCATATCCTGTTGGTCGCTTCGCCAACGAATTTGGCTTTATCAGCATGCCCAGCATTCAGACATGGCAGCAAGCCGTTGATCCTGAAGACCTCTCCTTCAACTCGACAACGGTCATTCTAAGAAATCATCACTACCCGGCCGGCGGACTGACCAGGAATATTCACAATAGCACTTTGGGCCAAGTTGAAATGACGCTGGCTGTTGAGCGGTACTATCCTACACCCGACAAGACCGATCCAGTGGCCAATTTTAGCTCATGGTGCCATGCTACTCAACTGTTCCAGGCAGACATGTATAAATCCGAGATTCAGTTCTACAGGCGTGGCAGCGGCTTGCCAGAGAGACAACTTGGCTCTCTCTATTGGCAGCTCAACGACATCTGGCAAGCCCCAACCTGGGCAGGCCTTGAGTACGACGGACGGTGGAAGGTGTTACCATATGTCTCTCGCAGGACTTATGAGCATGTTATTGCATCGGCTTTCTGGAACTACACTGCTAATGAGTTGGAGATCTGGGTAACTTCTGATCTCTGGGAGTCTGTTTCTGGTCAAGTCTCGTTGACTTGGGTTGATTTGAAGGGCAACCCGATTGCAAACAACGCGGGCATGCCGAAATCGTCGACATTCCATGTAGGTGCCATCAACACAACACAGATCATCTCAACCAACGTAAAGTCAGATCTCAAGATTCCAGATACTAGTGATGCTGTCTTGATTATCGAACTTACAGCTCACGGCAAGCTCCCCAATGCAGCCAGCGGGAAGACAACTGCCTTTACTCATCACAATCACTTCCTCCCCGTGTGGCCCAATCAAGCCAAGGTGTCAGATCCCAAGCTAAAGTTATCGTATAACAAATCTACAAAGAAATTCACGGTGGAAGCTACGGCTGGCGTATCTCTGTATACCTGGCTGACGCACCCAGCTGGTGTTCTGGGCTTTTTTGACGACAATGCATTTGTTTTGAGACCAGGCGAGAAGAAGGAGGTTGGATTTACACTTCAGCAAGACACCACTGGTGGGAAGTGGACTGAGCAGGTTACGGTGGAGAGCTTATGGGACTTGACCACACCATAGTCTTAACAGTCGGCATAAAGTACAGGATTAGCAGAATAGATGGCTATCATTACGTACAAATCTGGGCAAATGAGTGATTGATGTTGACGATTTAGACAAAAATTAGATGGGCTATTATAGTAACTTTGCTCTATTCAACCTCTTCAAGTATTTATCGTCCAAATGCTTTCCTTGAAGCGTACACGGTCTCAGAATCGCCCGACTGCGATTTAAACGTAATAGTTTCATCCTCGTTGATAATAATCTCAGTTACTTTACCAGCGTCTTCTTCTCTCAAAATGTGCTGCTTAAATCCACTAGTTTCTTCCGACGCATATAATGTATCAGTCGTCGATCTCGCAACAGCCACCGTCGCCATGGTAACTGGAATAGCTAACACAGGACCACCTGTGAACAATGCAATCGGAGCCAAAAGCGTTCCAGCTTTGATGAGGGCTTCGGGCGAGACGCTCTTCTCAACGGCATCAAACGCGCCGCGGAAGTTTTGCGGATTGCTATAGTAGAGCGTCTTCATGTCCTGGCTGTACCAGGAGATGAACCACCAGTCACGGCCGGTGGTGAAGAATCCAGTGTTGTACTCGACTTGGAGGGACTCATCGGAGGAGTCGCCGGCGGGAATGGCGGCCCATTCTTTGCGGTGCTTGTAGACGTCGCTGTATTTGTGGACGAGGGAGACGCTAACCATGGGCTTAGAGGTGTTGTTGCGGATGGAGACCGAGGCGGTGCGTTTGGTGGTCTCCATGATTCTGGTGATGATGAGATGAGATGGATGACTTTCTTTATGAGCGTTGCTTGCTTTGTGATTGGGAAGCAAACAAACAAGAAGCAGTTGGCTTAATTTATAGTCATCATCAAGGCCATCATCCAGGTAGTAATAATCTAGCCGCCGTCCATGACTGCATGTCTCAGTTGGTCAAGCAATCACAATGTGATATCACAAAGCCACACCTGAAGGTCTCACCATAGTGATTGAGAGATCCCCATAGAAGTCCCGTGCTTGGAAGATATTTCCAATGAGCCCTTCCTGGTGGAGACATGAGAGCGCATTTCTCTACGTAAACAATGGTTTATACCCATGCGTTTGAGGAGGCTCTGAGACAACAGCTGAAAACTAACAAGAAAGCTCCACTAACTTAGCTTCATCTGATTAGCAAGATGCCGGGACGGCTGATTAGACCCGGGATCTAATTTTGTAACTAGTAAAAATGATTGGTAGCCAATTGTCGCTCTATAAATGCCGAAGTCACGGATCTCGACCACGTTCTGTCTTGGCGGTGATCCAGTTTCTCGGCCTGGACTAGCGCAATACGGCGCATGCATTTTGGGTGAAGCGTAGACAATGGCTGTCAGCGTTGACAGTCCTTTCGTGAATATAAAGGCCATGTCTCGGCTTGAACGGCATTTTCTCCAAGGCGGGAGACATGCCACTGAACATGGTCATTGTTTCTCTGTCATGTTTATATAGTTCAGAGCACCGACATGCACGGGGTATATCATCACGCAAATGAGTGTTCATGTTAATGGAAGAAATGTACGCTGCTCCGTATAGCTTTTGAGTCATGTGCTAACCTGTAGTCCATTTGTTAGAGGCCTCGAGGGCCTTGTTCACCTTTGTTCCCTTTGATAGTAAATTATTAGAAAGGTACTCTCAAATAGATCATTGTGATTGGCTCTAAGAACACCAAAGAATAGAAACTCTGCTTTCATGCGCATCACGTTCAACTACATCATAGTGAACGCCTTGTCTGTTCCTTCCAGCCCCGTGATGCCATCAAGTTAAAAACCCGCGATGTCGGCCGTAGATAGATCATCAACAAATTGCACATCGATCTCTCAGCCCTCGTTATTGTCGACTCAACTGCAACACATCTCACTTCTTCTTTCCTGCCTACCATGACTCTGCTTCAGCCCGCTTCTTGTCCTCGAGGCGACTCTATCAGCTCTGACACATCTTTACATTCTGCAACCTCTTTTCAACCTGACGCCTCTACTCATTCTGTCACTTCTTCTGAAGCCGTTAGTTCTGCCGGGTTAACTACATCTCCCGCCGTCTCCAGCCCTACGACTCATAATCGACGTGCTTCTACCAGCTCTATCGACTCTGGTGTTTCGATCGACTCTGACGTTTCTATCGACTCTGTTGTTTCCACCGACTCGGGAGTTTCCATTAGCTCTGACGCCGCATTTCGTTTTAATACTTCTACTAGCGCCTCAAACACTGACACTAGCTCTTCCACTCCCTCTGGCAATTCTGCGAGCCATATACTACCGTATCAACATGACGGATCTACCGAACCGACCAACTCTACCAGTTCTGTTAATTCTACCAATTCCGGCATTTCTGCCAGCCCAGACACCACGGATGAAGAATCAGCAGATCAACAGAGCCAAAGTTAAACAGGTCACTCAAATGGGGGACATGCAGGAACTATCGAATAGGGCTGGAAATGATCACAGGCGTAATGATCCGCCAGCTCAAGAAAAGATACGCCCGAATAATGGAAACTCGCTTTGATGTTAACATGAGGCAGGCGGTAGTTTCTGACATATAGTGTTTGCCACAGCAACAAGTATCTCTCCTATGTTATTTTCGATGACTCTTTTAGAGAATGGTCAATGGAGGGTATCTTTCCTGCTATTTAGGGTACATAATACTGAGAGAGTAGATTGTTGAATTAATACATTGATTGATACAGCTCCTGAGCCATTTCATCAACATGTGGTCTATCCTTCCCTTTGAACTGTAAAAACGATTCGATATCCATGATTGTGAGTACATGTTGGCAAAAGTTAAAGGAGTTAGACGGGACCAATGGATCAAGCAAACCCCCGGCCGTGTGGTCAACTACTGCTACCATACCCGAGAACTTGTTTATCTTGATTCGTTTAGCCATTTGCAAATTCTCCATTCAGGTATGATCGGCGTTGCTAACAAGTGATTTTCTGTTAAACGCCACGCAGAACGCCTCGCCCTACCTTTCCATAGGTAAGTAGTGTCCGTAAAACGGGTACAATTAGCAGCAAAACGTCAGCGTGTCCAGCGGTTAAATGCGATGATTGGGTCTTGTAAATCCTACACGCAAGCGACACTAGTATTAGCCGCAACTAATTTTTAGCGACTTTAGTGATGGATGGAGCTGACGAAGGTGCATACGAACATCACGGCTTCGGCTTCGGCCCCGGCTCGAGGAGTTTGAGTATTGTGAACATGGAGTATAAACAAGTATTTATTCCTTGTGAAGTTCTACCCTTGGAACCAGTTTTGAACCAGATATCTTCTTCAAGCATTAAAAATCGCATAATTTTGGTTGTTAGGCAGAAATTCTAATCATTTACCAAATCGCGACATATCCCCATCCACCGTTTCAAAGCGACCTGCACACAAACAGTCAAGACGTAATCCCTAAAACAGTTACAAGTTTAAAAAACATTCCGCCATGCTCGTCAGACCAAACACTTCGACAATTTTCAGTCAACTGGATGAACTGATTCGATCTGGAAATGGAGGCAATACGAGTACAGCCTCCGTTTTGGCTAAACTTGGGACACCTTGCGCTTCAGTCGCCATTATGGAGGATGGCGTCATATCATCTCATTGCTTTTCAACTGGACAAGAGAATACGGAGACCGTTTTTCAGGCCTGTAGCATATCGAAGCCAACATTTGCAGTTGCGTTGCTGAAGCTCGTTGACGAGGGCAAGCTTGAACTCGACAGCCGCATTGGTGATTTACTACCACAAGATGTTTTGGATATCTTGACGAAAGACACCTCTGCTGCTCTGAGCTCTGCGGTCAAAAGTATCACCATTGCTCAACTTCTAAGCCATACCTCTGGCCTCTCTCAAGGCGGTTTCCCTGGCTATTCTGTCTTGGATAACGCACGAATTCCAACACTGCGCGAGGTATTAACAGGAGCGAATCCTGCCAATACTCTGGACGTGCACTTGCAAGGGTTTCCTGGGCAGTCTTATTCTTACTCAGGCGGTGGTTTTGCAGTCCTCCAAATTATCTTTGAGACCATCACAAATAAGGATTTTGCCTCTGCAATGCAGGATATTCTACTAGGACCTTTAAGAATGACGAGATCCTTCTACCATCAGTTGCCGACTCAAGAAAAGAACGCAGCCAAATGCCACTGGAATGGCTACACTCCTTGTGAAGATGCTCAGAGAGTCAATCCTGAACAAGCTGCCGCCAGTTTATGGACTACACCAAGTGACCTCTTGAAGCTCGTCAGGGCTGTGCAACAGTCTCTCCAACGCTCCGACAACACTGGCTTCCTTCGGCAAGAAACAGCCAAGACTATGCTAACAGTTGTGGAACAAGATGTTGCTCTTTCATGGTTTATACCTGGAGACTTGAAGAGTGTCTTTAGCCACGGCGGTAGTAATTGGCCAGGCTTCAGAACTTATGTTGCTGGATATGCAGATCTTCCGGGGGCAGGCAAAGTAAAGATACCAGAAAACTGTGGCATCTCCATCATGACAAATGCCTTTGAGGGAGACATTGTGGTATGGAAACTACTCCAAGCCATTGCGTATCTTAAAAAATGGCCAGAGATCCCTTTGCCACTAGGATATACAAGAGTCCTGCCATTCAGAGCCCCCAAAGAGGAAATTGGCACTCAGTGGAAGCGTTGGTTGGGTAATTGGACATGTGGTAAAAAGAGTTGGAGCATTGAAGCCGATGAAAATGGGCACCCGGCTATTCGATATGACCAATTGCCCCCTTCTCCACTGGTACAAGCAGCAATGTCGGATACTATCAGAGATGGCAAAACCCAGGCTACCAATATGATGGTAGATGGACTGGATGTTCTGATATACTTCTGTGAAGACGACACAATCGAGATAGTAAAAGGGAGAGGCCAGAAAACTACTAAGCTGGTGGGGGCATGATTTTGACTACTTTACGTAGAAAACCGTTTTAGGAGCACATTTCTTTATATCGATTTAATTTATATGGTTGTTATGGTTGAATTCTGCGACAATGTCTTTGCATGACAAGAAGGGATCCATTTAATGGCTTGAGACTGATAATATTAATAAACCAACGCTTGAGTGACATTTTTCGTTTCTTTATGAACCCTTCGCCTCACGGAGAGCAAATGCTAGATGCGTGCAACGAATCAGACATTACTTGAAAGCCAATTTACCAATCCCAAATTCCGTCATTTGCAACACCCATCACGAGAATAGCAATCAGTCTTGAATCAGGCTCTTCATTATTTACAGCCAGGGCTAACTCAGCCTTGAAGCATATGAGGCCAGATTAGACACTTCACCCACAATGGCGGCATCTCGCGTGCTATCTTTTGGCATCTGGCCGAGCTCATAGAAATGCCACATGGTCACGACAGCGCCATGAATAAAAGAACGTAGTTGATCATGGCACCAACTCCTCAAGAATCTTCACAGATCATTGGGCCAACGTTGACTTTCCGATTCAACTTCTTGAATCCTTTTTGAGCCAAGCCTGAGAAGACAACCTTGCAGCCAATTACAATGATCGAAGTAATTCCTGACAAAATCTTGAACGGCAAACTTTTCACTGAGTACATGGGCACAAGGAAATCACCCGCGGCAGTGAGGCCAGCGCAAACGATTCCTAGAACTGCAGAGGGAGTGCCAATGGTGCTGTTGCCACTTTGGTCCTCGGCCTCCAAAGCAGACATAAGATTTCCAACCAGGCCCAAGATGCCGGCGCTCATATGACAGGCCGCAAAGATAGGCATCTTTGCGGAATCCGGCAAAGGGATTAGGCCCTTGTGCTCAGACGCTGAAGGTGACGGCTTGGAAGAAGACGAAAGCAACCCCCTTATGCTCCGTTGGCCAAAAAGCTGAGCCATGTCGTCCCAACTTCCGGCAGAGATAATGGACTTGACGGAGCTATCATTTCCAGGGAAGGGGGCATGGCCTTGGACAATCTTATAGACGACGGTGGATGCTGAGGCGCCAATCCAAGTAACCAGATCGAGGAATGAGAGAGATCAGGGACGCCGATGAAATTGAGAATGCCCGAAATAATAGGGATGTGAATTTTGCAGTCGAGGATGCCAATAGCAGACTGAGCCAGATCATGCAGGACATTAAGAACTGTGTCCACCACTACCTCTATGCTGGACAAGACACCGTCGACAAGTATTGCCATGAGCTTTTTTAGGATCTCTACAACACCCAATTTGGAAAACTGATTCGTGAGATCTTGTAGCTATGTGGAAATGGCGCCGAGAACATGCGCCTTGTTAGACAGCGCAGACACCAAGTCATTGGATAAGCTTCTCAACACCCTCTAACGCTGGAGAGATTCCTGAAATTATCAACTGTCCTGAATGATCTCTATACTTGTCGGTCAATAGTCTCGAGCTAGGCGTGTGGTTTTGAGAGGTATTCGTGATATTACCTGAAGCAGGCTTATTTCCTGCATCACCGAGTGCTGGAGACCAGTAATGTTGGTGATCAAGTCCTGATGCTTGGAGAAGAATGGGTCTTTATACGTAAAGACTTTGGCACTGGGGAAGACGAAGCTGTTTGGCTGGTAGATCTTTAATTCGCGCATCTCATCAAGCAAGAGGCCATCTATCATCTGCTGGAGGGCAATAAAGACCCACTTTCCTCCTTTTTCGTATCGTCGCTATCCATGTCACCCTCGGGGTCCCGGGGGTCAGATCTGTCGATGGGTGTGCTGCTTGTTTTAACGAACTGCAGCTCTCCGTTTTGACTGGTAGACAAAGATCATATTTCAGTCAAATAGTTGTCGTACGGTTTACATGGCGTCTAATCCGATTTATCGTTTGGGAAGCCTGCATTGATCCAACTCCTTTGCGCAACCTCGACTGTTTGATCTTCGAAATAGAAGTCATAGGAATAGCCGGTGTCAATAACTAGATGTGTATCATGATAAAACTTGCCATCGATATACACTTTCATCCCGGGTATATTTCTTCCCATGGCTTAGGTGGTTCAACTGGAAGGACTCCATTTTGGATATGGAGCACATATACGCCAATGGCTTCACTTATGCATTGTTACATATGATTTCGATGAATTTGCCTTTTATTCACACTCATCCTGACCTATGAGACAAGAAGACAAAATGTTAATATATCATGACTTATATATCACTGTTAGGTAGTTGAACCTTGGAATAGATTGTCTTTAAATAGGCCGAGCAATCAATTTGCTACTCTCTTCAGGTAACTTTTGACAAATTCAATGTAGTCTGTTTCCAGAGAACCCCGAATAAAATGCCCTCCATAGAGTTAATTGTATTGTTGCATCATCTATCAACCTCATAGAAAGCCTCATAACCGTTTGGTGCATAGTCATTTCACTTATAGGTGGATGGTCGCACAGTAAGTGCCACCAGTTTGAATACATGTTTTTCCCCCTCTTTTTTCTTCCATTTCTTCTTTTGACTTCCATTAAGTGGCTACAGCAAATTGGATTTAACCTTACGTCCGTGGTATATGAAAAACCCTATTGAGATCCCACTGTGAAATTACCATGTGCACCTGTATTATGAGGCTGCCGGCTGTTGGCGGCCGCCCGCATTTCCAACGCAAGCCTCAGTTCAAATTTACGTGGCACCACTGTTTGTTTACATTGTTTGTTTACATAAGAAAAAGAAGTAAATTGCCGTTCTGTTGGTCCTCTATATGTAGCCCGTGCTGCGCCGCACTGATATTTTCCCTCGCTCCCTTCACGAATAGCGCGCCTGGTGAGACAACACGCACACTCTCTGTACTCTTCTGAATCGAGAAACTCGTTGGCACTGGCGCTGTCTAAATTAACATCTTTTGTTCGGCATCAATCCTATCCGCGGAACTCGATTCCATCTGCCGATTCCAACTTTATTTCCTGACATCCATCCCTTCTACCTAAGCATGGCACCCGCTCGCAGGCCGCAACGCACATCGCAGCGCAAACCGAATAAGTCCAAGAGTTCAGTTAGAGAATCCACAAAGCGACAGGCTTCAGCCCAGCCTGATGATTCGCGCGTGGAAACAGATGTCCTTCTGGCTATTCAGCCTATCCACCTGAGCAATATTGTTCATAGGCACAAAAACCATGAGTACCGGAAATACAGGCTGCGAGATGGAGTGGAGCGGCTGTGGCTGTATGAGACACAGGGATCGCGAGAAGATAAGGGCCGCAGTGCCATAACGTGAGTACATACATGTATTGAGGCTGGCATCAATGTTTGTACTCAATGCTGACTTTCCATCAGTCACATTGCTACCATTCCTTCAATTGTCCGCCACACACCAGGCACCGTGCCGGAAGATCCTTTTGGTATCGGAAATGCTGAATTTAATGCTGGCCAAAAGCAATCCAAGTACGGATACTCAATACTTGAGCTTTACGAGCTTATTCGGCCCATTACACTTGAAGAGATGAAGCAGACGTGGAGAATGGGCGCGCCAATGGGATGGTGCTACTTGAAAGAGGGAATGTGGAATGATAGATGGGGAGACGAGGAGGGAAGATCAGACCGAGTCAAAAGAATTTTTTAATGATTGATGTATTTTCCTATCAGCCCGTCATTAAGTGCTGAGGCTGTGAGAAACCGCATGCATGTTATTACATATCACCAGTTAGAACCGTCTAAGACTGCTCGTAGATATTCAACGGAGAAGGAAGCCCGAAATAAGTTCTTTGGCTCAGTGATCCATCTCTCAACCTCGTCCCAGATGCGTTTTAGTCCTTGAGTTCCATGTTTCGATCTGAGCCGAGCATAGCTCAGTAGGCCATCTGTACCCAAGGCTTCCATAGTCTCATAACCGCCGTTGCATACATATAGGCTCTTTGAGAGCTTAGCTCCGCTCCAATCGACAACAAGGGGCGCGTAATGAATGTGTGGCGTGCGGCCTACACCCTGTCCTGTCAAAGCGGACCATTCCGCGAGAGGGCGATAGAGGAAGGCTTCCTGATAAGTCCCCGCATAATCAGCACCGGTAATTCGAATATGATGGGCATCTTTGTCAAGAAGATGAAGCATGGAACGTATGAGATTTCGAGTTGGCGCATTAGCTTCTAGACGAGCTATTTCCGAAGGCTGAGATAGAGAGATGCTATGCTCTCCATGATACGGACAATAAAACGTGATGGAATTGTGAGTATACTGATTTAATATTCCATGCTTCTCAGTTAGACTGCAGCCTGGGACTGGGCAAGCAGCGCGAAGTGCTATCGTGTTATACTTCGGTGACAACTGCGATGCCAGACGAGCTCGATGGTTCACCACATAGGCAAGAAGTTTCGGAAGTTCTGGATGAGAAAAGAGATCGGACTGATATGTAGGCCGAAAGGAGATGCCAGACCATTTCGACATTTGATCAAGCACTTCTTCGTAGTCGATCATATAAGCCGCCAGTACGGCTGGATCATCTCTATACGCCCGCTGATACTGTATGCCTCCTATCTCGCGAGTTTCATGGCTAATTGGTGCTGTATCAACGATTGCGATTTCAACCGCTACAGATATTGCTGAACCATGAGCTGAAATCTCGTCATGGATGGCTTTTGCCAACAAGAAAGCATAGCTAAATACAATCAGCGTCCCTGCGTGAGGCGAATTATTAGGCTGGAAGCCGGCGTGTATAATGATAGGACGGGTGAGGCCTGGGCTAGATCTGTGAATACAGGTACTCTGTGCAGGACAGCGTTCATGTAGAAGGTCGCCTTCTATGTTGATATTCTCCGGCGATCTAATAACTGTTTTATGATGTCCAGCGATGGGACTGCAATTGTATACTTGACATGGAGGCGCATTCTTTATGCACACCACATCAGGTGTTGCTATAGTGTGTATACCTGTGTTTGAGGATAATGAGCGCCACCATGCTCCAGAAAAACTTCATCGTTCATGAGTGATAGAATTGTAGGGCTAATAAGCCCTTCCTTGAAGGCGTAGGCACCACCTCCAAGTGGGTTATGCACTTGGCCATCATGAAAACCTGCATAAAGGGGTCGATGGGGAGATAAAACAAGCAGGAAGTCTTGGATAGCTGAGAAAATGGCTGTTTCGTGGCTGCCACCTTCATTACTTGAGCCGCCGGTTAAGGTGAGAGTATCAATAATACTAATCAATCTTGAAGCAGCATCTATACGCTGACTTTCATCACTCAAATGGCAAGACATGATGAAATGAGAAGAGAAACTTGGCGAATAGTTCAATCAGCCCCATATGCTATACTTCGTATTTATGACACCTTATGTTACCAGAGCACACCGACCTCCTCCGCAACCCCTCTTTACAATTTAATGGTGTTACCATGTAGTAATACTTGGGATGTGCCACCATGAATAGAATGTATGGCTCAGAGACGGCTTATCCACTGCGAAACGTCTCACGACATAATGGTGTAATGTGAGATGAACACAAGTGAAGACCAGCTGACCTTGTTGAGCACCGAGAGCAGGCAGCGACCTAACATGCGTGAGAATCGGGAATGATGAAGTAAGAGGTTAAATAACTCCCATCTAATATCAAACTAGCATAATATGAGATATGGTAAAGACTCTATTTTTCTCGCTCCGTCTTGTAGTAATTGGGATGCGAAGAACTTCTATATGCAGTTTGTTGGGACCCACCACCACTCTCTGGAAACACAGAGCTATGATACAATTTCCCTTGCCCCTGTACAGGTAGTTTGCCCCGTGAACCTTGATAACAATAGAGTAACAATTTTCTCAAGTTGCTTAGGCATTTACATCAAATGGAACCAGGCATGACTACATGTACATTGAAGTACCTATTCCACTTGCTGCTAACCCATCCTCTAACCCGGCCCTTCTGGCAGACCTGGCTCGGTGCTCCAGAGAAGTTCAAGACCAGGGTATGATGGATGAGGTGATTGCTGGATAGTTATGGCCTCGCCTCCTGCAAAGCGAATGCTCCATGCGTTCATTGGGAACTGCCCACTTGAAAAAAGCCAGCTGAAGAGTGCGTAAGAAGCAGGCTGCAGGTTCAGCTTCCGGCTTGCAGAGAAGTTAATTACAGGAAAACGATCCGACGAATAGAAGCTGAAGCTCTATTTACATGTAACCTGTCCCACAAGATGACTACCATCCACGGCTACCCAAGAGAGAATGGCACGATGATGCGATAGCAAATCTTATTTCTGACGACAGCAGCCCAAACGGTGACGGCAGTATTCGTATTACTCTATGTGACCGTCCAGTAGATTTCGGTCGGTTGCTATTCGCTTGTGGAATCCCATTGATGGAAGGGTGATAATAACTCCATATAGATGATGAGAATATGATCAGTTTATTTAACATTTTGCAATGAGATACTTGTGTTGATGGAACAGAAATGGAAAGGTGACAACGCTCTTGTTTAGAATCTCTCATCCTAGGTCACGATATTCTCTAGCAAGCTGATATGCCTATGAACGATGAGCTTTTAGAGTTACCAATCTTGATTAAAGCGGGCCAGCCATCTAATATGTTATAGATCATCTCATTAGCCTCTTCTGAAGCTATAGCTAAGATGATACGAGGCTTCGCAATCTCGCGCTAGCATACGCTAATCTCCATGCTCACAACCATCTGCAATTCCTAGTAAGCAGTAAGCAGTTAAAAGAAGTTGCATAAGCAAGTTACATCCCCTAGACGATTATTCCACTCACACATAGCCGCTCTCTTATTACCTTTCTTTCACCTTTCGACAATACCATACAGCTACGGCGATAACATCAAAAGAGTATCATCTCATACACGAGTCAATAACCAGATACGATTCCCACTTTTGCCCGCTGTCATTCCACAAGGCTTGCCGAAAAGAGTAAACAGTGAAACAGGAGGCGCACCTAGGCTCTCTTTCGCTCCACAACGCATCGATCCAATAACAGAGCTCAATAGTCTACAACACTACTAACGATGAAGGAGCTCTGGAGATAAAACCCAACCCCAGAATCCTGTTTGCTTGCATTTCCGGAACGGCTTCACCCATATCATAGGCCGGAACTCTAAATGATAGATGGCACTGCGATTGCATTGCCGAACAACCCGCCCGAGACGACCAGTAGAATGCTCAAACACTTTGTGAGATAAGCAGGCAGTGCACTGTAACAATAGAGCAAAAGTTAATAAATTCCAAATCGACAAACACATTCATATGGCATAAGGCAAACATATCGCCACGGGCCGATGAGTTGTCTCTCTTAGCATGAGACTTATTAGTTCAATGTTTGTTCAGCGTTCAAACATCTCCACTTTGCTTGCCTCTGCAATTTCTATATCTCCACCGAGTCTCGATTGTACATACACCATGTTTACTTCTAACCACATCTGTAGAGATTCCACAATAGGAAAGCGAGCGCCTTCGCAATCGAGGATATGAAGGTCTGCACGATGACATCTGAAACAGCAGAGCAGGGGAACTAGGCCGATAACGAGAAGTGCTGACCTCTCTTTAGTATCCTGTAACCGGTAACGTATCAGACGACCAAAATAACGCCCGGAGAACGAGAGACAGAGAAGGCACTCGTAGTTACGCCATCAGCCTTGTTCAGCTGATAGCTTGTGAGACGTATCTGCCTTAAACTTAGTTTTGAATAGACAAACACAATATGCATCAGACTAAACCTCATTGTTGCCCTCCATCTGTATGACTTTTTCAAGCAACTAAAAACCCGCAGCCACTAGCAGTTCCAAGGCAACAGCAAATGCCTCCCACCATGCAGGCCACTCTATCCTAGGATCCGTCTTACCATAGGAAGCTGCTAAATTTGGACACAAATGCAGTAACTCGTCAGTAGCCCACATAGTCTCGCCTTGGCCACCAAAATAGTGCTCGCGGTGGAGCAGCGCGGTCCGGAAATAGTCTCGAGGCATTCCAAAATAACATTGACGACTGGACGAAATGTTCAAAATCCGAATTGCTTACTCCGAATCTCTGTCCATTCATCAACTCTCAAACACTGATTCGTTATCTGTTGAGACTACAAAGAAGGTGACTGTGATGCAGATTACCCATTGTTTCCAGTTTCAACAATCACCATCAAATATCGGTTAATTCTACATATGCAGGGGGCGCACTGCCCTAGCCGTGTAACCAGCCAGGGTCGATACTGCGTGCCGTGTCTTGGTAGCTATTCCACGTGGAGTTGCTGCTGGCCGTTTCGAGTGCTGTAGCATTCATCATTGCAGAATTTTCCACTTATACTGGCAGGGATTGGAGCAGTCTGATGCCACGCTACACCAACGCGTGAGCAGGAGATACAAGAATCGCGAACGGGCAGACTATATGTATTAAAATGTAAAGGTATCAAGTATGTAATGTGTCCAATATGCACTGCACACAAAATCTAAAGTCGTAGAAATCGTAAAAATAAAACCAACTCCCCTCCAATCGCCCGTATCGACTTTTTTTGCCGCTCGTATTCGCCAATCAAGCTGGCAGTTCCATGGGCTCATCCGGGGTATGCTTCGCCTTTGCCGAGTCGAACTCGGTTGAGCCAGGTGCTTCGTGAATGGGTCTAACATCGTCTGGATCGTGTGGATTTAAACCATGGTGCACCAGAGGAGTTGCCGATGATTTGGGCTCAACTGGAGTGTAGTCCATCTCGTGAATTCCCGTGTCTCGGCTGCCTCTCCGTCTCCGGATGAAAAAGAAGGCAAGGACGCCTATGAGAGCTGCACCACCCAAAGAGCCGCCCACAGCGCCGCCGATGACGCCTCCGTTTGAGGATTTGCTGCCGCTTGATGCTGGAGTTGTCTCGGCTGGGGGCGGTGAAGTGGACGTGGCCGTGGATGTTCCTGTTCCTGTTCCAGTAACCGTGTTTGTGTTAGAAGAGGAAGACGATGTTGACGTCGTCATAGTTGTCGGGGTCGATGATGTTGTTGAGCTTGTGCTGGTAGTCTTTTGAGCTACATTGATAGTTGTGATTGCCGTCGGAGTGCCTGTGAATAACTGTCAGTTATGGCAAGATTCGCCCATCATGATTGAAGGCAAAGCACATGAATAAGCGCATCATATGGTCGCATACCTGGAAAGAAAACAACAGCATTTTGATCGGAGCAGGGATCCTCGGTCTGCAGCAGGTCGATATTTTGTTGGTTGATGCACCAATAGATATCCTGCTTGGTGTTTCCGCATTTCTGCATGCCCTCACCACCAGAGACATTGTCCACATTGGGAGTTCCGCAAAACGACGGGCAAGAAGAGCTCCTAAAGCTCTTGTCGGTGCAGCTTCCACGGACAAACTCGCTGGCACCCGGCTTCTGCAGCTCGTCTCCCGTGGCCTGGCAGATGCCATTGGACAAACAGGCGTAGCCAGTACCGCAGCAGACGGAGTTTTCTGTGCTGTCTGTGCAAGGAACATCGCCAGGAGCAGGAGTGCCGTCAGGATAATAGCAGAGGGCGTTGGCTTGGGCAGCCAAGATGACGAGAAGAGCTAGAGACCGCATTTTTTCTGAAAGAAGGCCGTGTTCCCCCACTGCAAAGATCAACAAGTTGGTTATGAAATAACAATGCTCTTATTGACAGTCTCCAATAGCATGCTGAGCCCAGCCCAGACAATGAAAGGCGAGTGGGAACAAGCAACAACAGCGAACAGACTATGCCCAAAGAGAAGAAGAAAAGGAAGATCAGAAGGGGAAAGAAGGGGAAAGCGAGTAGAAGACGGGAGATGAAGCTACTGCATAATATGGGACAGTCATACGAGTGAGATGCCCCGGAAGAAGGAAGAGGGCCGCGCGCCGGAGAGAAAAGTTCAAGGCTACGAGTACATGTAGTCTAGCAGCAGAAGAGTGGAAGCAGCAGCAGCAGCAACAACAGCACTATGCGATAATAAGCTGATGATCCCCATCTCGTCTACTCCGTATCCTGCTAGTACAAGTAATGCCACTTTCCATATTGCACAGCACTCCTGAGGAGCCCAAGAGCCTCATTGGACTCACCCGACGGCATGGGTTCGTCTTACTATAAGTGGACTTGGCCCAGCAGCTGTTACAAGACAAACACCGGCACGGCCAATTGCAGGTTTGTAGGGGTGTCTGGGGGCCACTGGCCGAGTTGACGGGATTGGATGGTTTTGGAGTTGGTTGCCAGGGATCACGAGCCTTGGTGCGGCCCTTTACCTAACAAAGCGCTTTAACCATAGGGCTCTATTTAAAGCACCGCAACCTCGTGATGGGTTGCTGCCAACATACATGGACATACATGGACAGCTGGCTCAGCCCTCTTGGGAGCTCCGTAGGAACTAGGTACATGTAGGGATGGAGAGTCTGGTACGCGCCAGGACTCGGAGATACGGCTGAAGCTGTGCAGGGGGGATGAAGAGATGGAGCTGCGAGACCCTTGAGGTTGCGGCCAAGATGCGGCACAGGCTGAGTACCTATAAATCCGATTGAAGGTAGACGAGTGTACTAAACGGTACCAGCATTTACATGTATTTATACCTACATGTATGCAGCTCGCGATTAAATGCATCCTCGCGGTTCCGTAAATCCGGCGTCAATCCATCGCCAATCCATCGCGCAGTTGCAGGGTGCAGTAGGAGCCCAACACCCAGTTAGCTCTACATACATAAACATAGGTCATCTAATCAACACCGCCACCCCGGCCCAAACAACATTCTCGAGCAAACAATTCTAATCTGCCTGCATGGGCCTGTAATCGAATGAATTGATGATCAAACACATCAAGGCTGCTAATAAGGGGCACAGAGGGGGGCCACAGCACCTGCAATGATTTGATCCTCCACTACTACTCTACAGCCGTCAGCAGGCAACAGGCTATGTGCCAACCAACCAACCAACTAACTAAACCTCAAGGCTTACAGCGCCCATCCCCTCCAAATTCGCCAGCTGATGTACATGTATACTGACGTCAACGCATGTACTCCGTCAGGGGCCTTTCACCTCCAATTCCGTGCACTTCACACATGCTTTGTCTCGTCGCCTTTACCATCATCTGCCCCTCGCCTTGAATTCCGTCCAAGTTCAAGTCCAAGCCTTCAACTGATCAAATCAATCAACCAACCCTCCTCAGTCAGCTAATCAATTGTCGTCTTCTTCCTCTCATCAAATGTCGTAATAACAACCATCCATCATGATGCCCATCATCCGAGTCAGAGGCTATGCCTGGATCGCCTTCGTCGCCACCCTCCTCCTCGTCTACTTCTGGAGCACCTCCAGCGTCTCCTCCTCATCGCCTCCAGACTGGCGCACGCCCAAATACAACTCCTATTTCTGGAAGACGCTCCCCGTAAACTATCCGCCCAAGTCAATCCGCCCGCTGCCAACCACATCCCCAGTCAAGTACCCCAAGGTCCAGACGTCATTCGCCAAGGAGTCGCCAGAGGCCCGCAAGACTCGCCAAGACCGCCAGCTCGCGGTAAAAGACGTCTTTGCCAAATGCTGGGCCTCATACAAGGAGCACGCATGGACCGCCGACGAGCTGGCGCCCGTCTCCGGAGGCAAGAAGAATCCGTTTGGCGGCTGGGCCGCTACGCTGGTTGATTCCCTCGACACCCTCTGGATCATGGGCATGAAGCCCGAGTTTGACGCCGCCGTCGTCGCCGCCCATGCCATTGACTTTACCAAAACAGCCCTCAAAGAGGTCAACGTCTTTGAAACCAATATTCGCTACCTGGGCGGCTTCCTCTCCGCATACGACCTGAGCGGCGACTCCCGCCTGCTGGACAAGGCCATCGAGGTCGGCGAGATGCTCTACAAGGCATTCGACACGCCCAACCGCATGCCCATCACCAGATGGGACATTCACGCCGCCATGGACGGCAAGAAGCAAGAGGCTTCTCCCGGCGTGCTGGTGGCCGAAATCGGCAGCTTGTCAATGGAGTTTACGCGGTTGTCCATGATCACGCGCGACCCCAAGTGGTTCGACGCCGTCCAGCGCATCATGGACGGCATGGCCGCCCAGCAGAAGTCGACGTCGCTGCCGGGGCTCTGGCCGCTCGTCGTCAGCGCGCAGGGCGAAACCTACGACAAGGGCGACGCATTTACCATGGGCGCCATGGCGGATAGCGTCTACGAGTATCTGCCCAAGATGGCCGCCTTGATGGGGGGCCAGCTGCCCATGTACCAGGAAATGTACGAGAATGCGGCCACGACGGCGACCAAGCACAACCTGTTCCGGCCCATGACGCCAAAGAACGACGATATCCTCATCTCAGGCTCCGTAAAGACGGAAAACGGCGCCATCAATCTTGACCCCCAAGGCCAGCACCTGGTGTGCTTCCTCGGTGGCCTGATGGCGCTCGGAGGCAAGATGTTTAACCGCCCCCAGGACTTATCCGCAGCCACCAAGCTGGTCGACGGCTGCGTCTGGACATACAAGGCTCTCCCCCACGGCATCATGCCCGAAACATTCCACATGCTGCCCTGCCCGTCCCCCGAAGCCTGTCAATGGGACGAGGCCGCCTGGAAAAAGGAAGTCGTCCGCCGCGCCGACGACAAAGAATCCTCCACCGCCGACGACATCATCAAGCGAGACCGCCTCCCCCCGGGCTTCACGTCCATCCCCGACCGCCGCTACATCCTCCGGCCCGAGGCCATCGAAAGCGTCTTCGTGCTCTACCGCGCCACGGGCCGCGCCGACCTCATCGAGTCCGCCTGGGCCATGTTCAACGCAATCAACTCCACGACGAGCACCGCGCTCGCAAACTCCGCCGTCTGGGACATCACCGTGCCGCGCGACCAGCTGCCCGACCGCTCGGACTCGATGGAGTCGTTTTGGCTGGGCGAGACGCTCAAGTACTTTTACCTCATCTTTAGCGAGCCCAGCACGATTAGCTTGGATGAATACGTGTTTAATACGGAGGCGCATCCGTTTAAACGCCTCGTGCGATGAAGTAACCGAACTTTACACTTTTTTGTTGCTTGTTTTCTCTCATACATGTACTTAAAACTGGAGCATATCTATCTATACATAGCTTTGAAAGCTTGGGCATCTTTGGGTATCATTTGACATGAAAAGGGTTTTTTCGGATAAATGGAAAAAAGGAGTGGAAGCATATATCAGAGTTATACAGCAGAGAGAAGGGGGGCTTATCATAGTTCTCGTATTGGTTATACATTACAAAGCTGTGGCATCTTTATATTGACGTTGGATGCAACGCCACCCCCTCGCCATCACGAGCTGGAAAATTGACTAAAGAATATTTTTACTTTTCAACTACAGGTGCATTCGCCAGATCTAAATATACTTTGCATAGATCTCACAGATCGATCGGCATCGAGGCGATCTTAACCCATAGTTCAAACTTCTCCTCTTCTTGGCTCGCTCAGCAACAACCCCCTTGTCACAAACACATGCAAATGGAATTGTAACAGCACGCAAGTGACACATACACATATACATACATCACACAAGTTCACTCGCAAACAAGAACAACAAAGTTAATGATCCATAATTTCTCATTTCATCTACCTATAGTATAAAGTAGAGTAGAGCTCTGCAGCCCGCAGTAGCCATTCAAAGATAATTCAGTTAAACATATCTTCAGAAAAAAAAAAAGACAAAAAAGAAAGCCCCCAAAGTGCCATGATCCAAAAATAAAAAAAAGGGGGGGGGGAGTGTTTAAAAAAACAGACTCCACTTGCCATGTCCAAAACGTGCCACCCAAAAATAAAGCAAGAAAAAGCAATGAAAAGATTTAGACGCCGTGTTCCCCACCCAAACTGATACGTGTGCGCTAAAACCATGCGCAAAGAAACATGAAACCCAATAGTTTTTTGTTCAGTAATCATCATCGTATGTTGATCCGTTTCTCAGGAGTCAAGTCTTCGGACAAAGGGAATGGAAGACAAAAAGGAAAACAAAAGAGCCAGAGAGAAAGTAAGTTGTAAGAACAAGATTAATACAAGGGGCAGGTCTAAGCCGAAGGTCAGGGTAGCGATGGTTGAAGAGTATCCAATGACCCAACTATGTGAGCACTGGATACTACCGCAGAGTGTTGAAATTTAGCTCGCCTGTCATCGCAGTCATGTTGTGGAAATGCTGTGGCTGGCTTGGCATTGCGAAGCTGTCCTGGCGCTGTCCCGGCTGCCGCATATTTATCATGTTGCCCATGTGATGCGCCGGCTGCAGCGGCTGCATGTTCTGTGCTGCCATGCCCATGTGCGACTGGCCCATTGGGTCATGCAAATGGTTGGGCGGCGGCTGATTCATATGCTGGTGTTGATGCTGATGTTGGTGCTGGGCCGGGTGTTGATGTTGTTGGGGTGGAGGAGGGTGGTTTCCAATTGGGCTCATCACCATCTCGGACATTGGCGTAACAGCATAGCCGTTGATGCCATGCGGATACTCCATAGTCGGAGACATCATTGGAGGGGAGCCCACAAAGGAGCTGGGCATCTCTGAAGGCTGGCGCGGAACAGGCGGGGTGTTGCCTGGGTTCGAGGTGCCATGGGAATCAGGAGTACCTCCATTCATCTCCATGACG